GGATCCGCTCGAGCAGCAGATATGCTGTCACGGCCAGTAGCATCGCCCTGGTTTTGCATCGAGGAGATAACAGACATGGCGGATGGCTGAGGAGAGGGGTATCTTCGGCTTGCGGGCCCGATGGAATGAATGGAAGGTTCCGAGACCATACCTTGAGGCGGGGACGATCCAGGAGCCCCCGGCAGTGGCTTGACCTGCTGGAGCGTCTTGTCTTCCGGTAGCGGGACCTCGGTGGAGGAACCCCAGCCCGAGGGACCGGCAGCACTTACAGGCGGCTCGGACACTGAATCTGGGGTTGCTGGTCTAGGGGCGGTTACAGTCGCCGATGCAGGGCCTGGAATTGGCACTGGATTGGGCACTGGCTTTCGGGCCAAAATGCCCTGGTTTGCTCGGTCATCACTTGGTCGACGGAGACCCACTGCTGGCTTCGCATCAGAGGCCAAGAACGCAGGCAATGCTCCCGAGTGAGGAGTAGGCTGTCGCCTGGCATGGCCGTAGGCACCCTCATTAGGAGGGATTCCGTTTGTGGCGAATGGTCCCTTGTATCCTGGGTGGTTGAGATCTTGCGTCTCGCCAGCACTGCCAATAGGCCTCGAAGCATAATCAGACGGCTCTGAGTGATCTTGCTTGGGGCCTGTGGGTCCGGAGCCCCTCTGAGATGGGCCAGACGTTCTCGCGGTGGTGAGGCTTGGGCTGGTTGATGCTCTATGTCCAACCAGATGATCCTCCTCGTCAGATTCCACTGACGACGTCTCAAGGTCCAAACGAGACTGGGACTGAGCCTGAGCCAAGGGCGACGGTCGCACCTGCTGCTGGCCTTGTGATATAGGCCTACCACCCATACGCGGGCCATTCTGGTACATCCCGTCGGTGTCGGGATCTATTGGGCCCGTGTGAGCGTTACTTGGAGCGAACAGAGGAGGTGGTCTCAGGGCTGCGGATAAGGGTGGTGTCTCAGCACGGCCGTTGGCACCATCCTCGTCTGGCTTCAGCTGCGCAGACGCCTTCCCCCGTAAGGAGCTGAACATTCCCGACATCGATCCACGACGCGGTCGGCTTTCCTGCTCATGCTCAGGAATTGATGGTGGTGGCTGCGGAACCGGTGCGGCGGCTGTGGAACCAGTCCTTGGCCTGGGATAGAAGCCACCACCATTCGGAGACGACGGCTCACTTGGCAGGTGGTCATTGCTTCCGACTACAGTCATCGGTTGGCCATGGAAGGGACGGCTTGGTTGTTGCGAGTTGTCCTTTCCTTGTCGCTTCAGCTTCCCTGCTAGTCCGCTGAAACCACCAGCAAAGTATTTGCTCTTCAGGGTTGAGCCATTGCTATTTACACTGCTAGTTGCAGTGCTCTCATTAACCGAACCCAGAGTCGTCGACTTGGCTAGTCCACTCTTAAACCGCCCTGACTGTGTGATCTTCCCGAAAAGAGACTTCTTCTTTTCAGAGTGGGTCGAAGGCGCCTTGTGAGAATTGGTCGGGCTTCCCGGTCGTGGATACCGCATTTCATCCATGGACGAACGATTGCCGACGGCGGTACCCGTCAAGACACTTGTCCTCTTCCTCCTTGGTTGCGGCGGGTTTTCCAGCGAAATCTCTGAATCATCGTCGTCGTCGTCGTGCATGTGGGGCTCAGTGGAATGAGGCCTATGATGATCAGGTACCAGACCTCGACTGTCTCTTTGTGGCAATTGGTTAATTCGATTGCTGATATTCTTGAGCAGGCTCATCCTTGATCGGCCTTCGTCATCCATCTTAGGGCTATTGTTCTTTATGGCTCCCCACCCTTGCGGCGGTCGGTCTTGCTGTCGATCGTTACTATCCATCGAAAAACGAGAAACCTGCTGGTCGGAGTGGGTGCTGGTCTGGCCAGTTGAGCCGGCACGACCTCTCGTGGTCGGAGACTGGGGCACGTTAGGAAACAAGTCAGGATGACGCGCAGCAGCGGACGGTGGGTTGCTGGGCCGAGTGGCGCGAGTAGGTGATTGTAAAGGCGGATGACCCGACGGACGATATGTCGATTGGATTGGGGAGACGGGTGTAGCAGCGCTCATGCCTGTGTCCTTTGCAAAACCCGAAGGATTACCAAAGGTCTGACCAGGGTCGTTTTGCTCAGCCCCTGTCTCCTTTTCAAGGCCAAAATTAGCAGGTTGTTGGGGAGAGGTGTTGCTGTTGGTTCCAGCACGTTTCCTGGCAACCGGGACCAAGGGCGCCTGCAGGTTGCTCGTTTGCATCGCCCAACCACTTGGGGCCGCGGCAAACTGGGGTGGGGGCGCCACGAACTGAGGTTGCTGTCCAAACTGCGGCGGAACCTGTGGAACTTCTGGGATCTCGTTGCCAGCGTTGGCTGCGACCGTGTCAATCTGCAGGGAATGGCTGGCAGAGGAGGAACGGTGGGAATTATGCTGCGAGTCTCGGTTCGAGTCCTTCAACCCCAACGATGTCCGTCTCGTCCGGCTGCTGTCGGCACCAACAAGCGTAACCTCACTGTTCTGCCCAATGGAGATGTTTGTACCGTTCTCGAGAGGCGCCGCAACGTCGCTACCGAGGAGTGCGTGGTCGGGAATGTCGGCGCTTGGACTGAGAGATGGGACCGGCGGGATATCACTATCATCGATCATGCCAGCCGAGGTGGCCTCTCTGAGACTGATGCCAAAGGTAGATCCGCGCCTGATGGGGGGGAGGCCTTTGAATGAACCAGTCCGTTTAACCTGCTCGACAGGGCTGCTCAACTCCTCTTGCGGTGACTGGGGCGGCGACGACTCGTGATGCTGCTGTTGGTGATGAGCGTACTCCTCCTGCTGGGATTGAGGGTGCTGCGCTGGGTATTGCTGCGGCGGGTATTGTTGAGGAGGGGGCGGCTGGTATTGCTGCTGCGGGTATGGAGGCTGGTATTGTTGTCCCTGCTGCTGATGTTGCTGCTGCTGCTGGGGCGGATATTGCGGTCGTTGGTACTGGTGAGGTGGTGGGTATTGTTGTTGCGGGTATGACGGCCGGTAGACTGGCTGCTGCTGCTGCTGCTGGGCAGGCGGCTGGTATTGCTGTCGATGCTGCGTTGGCGACGGGGGAGAGGCTTGTCTGGTGCCCTCAAAGGCAGACATAGTAATTGTCGTGGGCTGCCGGCTAGAAGCAGCCTTGGATTTCTGTTTGCCCATGTCAGACAGCTCGCTCGAGTCGCGAGGGCTCGAGGACCCGGGTTGGGATGGGGATTGAGGGTGGCTGTGATGGAGAGGGATGGGTGAAGGAGGAAATTGGGAGCGGGTGAATTTTTTGTGGTGACCGGTAGGCAGTAATCAAAGCAATCGCAGGAAGATGGTGGTGCTCTCACGTTGTCGGCCGCGAATAGCTCAAATGGTCAGAGCTCTGCTCACGGCATACGGGGTCAGGGTCAGGGCTGGAGGGGATCGGTCCATCAGTTGAGCGCTCAACAGCGACTGGTCTGGCGCATCGCCTAAAATCTCAGCACGTAGACGGTTAGGTTAGTCTGCTGTTGGCGTGTGTCGGGAGCGAGCGAAGGCAGTCTGGATCTGGCAGCAGAAGTGGGATTGGCCGGAGAGGCGCAGCGCTGGCTGGAGCAAGGCGACACGGCGAGGCGATGGGCGCTGGGCACTGTGGACTGGAAAGATGGAAAGACCCGACGCTACGCACCTGCAGTCAATTACATTACCCACCACGGAAAGCAGATGGAAGGGACCACAGTCCGTCCACTCAGCTGCTGCTGGGCCGGCGTGCTGAAGGAATCAGCCAGCTGGAGCCGCGGTGGAGAGCTGCGCCAGTGGGAGGCTCTGTGACTGGCGGGCGCGCTGAAGGAGCTGGCTCTGGTGGAGGCCGCTGCTGGGGGGTGGGGCCAGGCCGTTCGCCGCGCTGCTCTTTTGGCTCTGGTGCTGATGGGCCTGTTCTGTCTCTGGCCCAAACGGTTGTGGCGCCGCTCCATCGCTTGCCATAGTTGCGCCTTACGGGACGTCTCCAGCCTCCAGCTGAAAGGAGGCCGCCCCACGGCCTCGGCGATCACCAGGTGCTATCACTCTCGCTTCCGCGGCCTCAATCTCAATCTCGGTCGCTACCCCTACGTATCCCTATCCCATCTCCATCACATACATAGTACCATTCCGTCCCATCCCATCCCAGTGCAAACTCTGTAGAAGAGTGGTCCACTGGGATGCCATGCAATCCGCGCGCATCATCACATCGGATGGTACCTATTCATCATTACACATTCACACATAACCTTGGTCCCAGTCGATCCATTGGCTGGGGTGTATCTATGTATGGATGGCCCAGGTGGGTTTGTGCAGTCATTACCGCATCCCGGGTACATCTCAACGTCGTAATTATGGTCCTGTACGTGTGCGTGCATGAGGCCGAAGCAAGGGTAACCAGGAAAATCAAGCGCACAGTGGTGTGAGCGGCCCTCGCATCTGCATCTGAGTGGTGACGACAAGCCTTCCACGGGCTCGACGCGCAGGGGTCCGGGCTGGAGGGAAATTGTGGCATTAAATTCCTCATGTATGTGTCCCCGTCCGCGTGTCTCATCATAATGTAAGCCAAGAAAATTTGAGATTATGAGGTTCATGCCCCACAATCCCAGTTAATAAACACGAAGCTTGAAAGATTCCATCCCACTCCTTCAGTCCTTCTAATAAGCCCACATCTCGCCTCTCTCTCGCTGTATCTCACGATGTTGTACATAATAAGAGGGGCGGGTCCTAGTGATGCTAAGAAAAGAAAAGCCCAGCAGACGAAAAACGCAGTAGGGAATAGAGAAGGGGACCCAGATAAGCAGACATAAACACCATCCCAGATGAGGCAAGATGAACGCAAAAACATAAAATAGTTCGGGGCAGCCAACCAACCAATCAAATTAGGTACTCAACCACAGATCTTTATACACCACATCAATCTGTCTGTGGCCATCACCATCAACTAACCAACAGACAGATCAGAACGACAGGGAGAGAGAAGCAGCAAAAGAGGGAATCGGAGTGCGTAAAAGGTGGCGCTCAGTGCGTCTTCTTGTCACCGGTTCCACGCAGTTTACTCCTGCCCTTGCTGAACAGGCCTTTGCCCATCTTGCCCGCCGATTGCATGAACTCCTTGCTCTTGTGGCCAATTTGGTTGCCTCCATGACCAAAGGCACTTTCAGCGGCAGCCTGTGCCTGTTCTCCAAACCCTGCAAGCCTTACTCGTGCCAGTTTGGCACCTGCTCCAGACTCCTGTGACGAACCCATTGTCCCTTGTCCCGTAGAACCATGTGTTGTAGTCGTGTGCAGAGATGGGCCGCCGGCCATGAAACAAGTCGCGTTGGCATGTTCCGGACGCACTGTCATCAGGGCCGCCATCCAACCGTTGAGGCCCGAGTCTGTCATGGCGATATCAAGCCTCGTTGTCTGGAACTTGCTCAACCGATCCCCTGGAGATGTATTCATGATCTCCTTCAGGGACATCACATCCTTCTCCCTGGGAACCTCGAATGTCGCCGAGTGAGCATCATTGGTGGTTGGAGATGGAGGGAGAACTTCCTTTTCAAGAGATTGTGCTGTTGGGATAGGGAAAGGAGCATTCGTAGTATTGTGACGGTCTGAGCCAGGCGAACCTCGATCATTATTAATATCCGGGGGCCCCGATGGGCCTAGTAGATCAGGCGAGCCCGACCCAGGAACCATGATAATGGTTGGAGATATTGGCAAATCCGGGGAATTGCTGATACTCTCCTTGCTCTCTACTGGGATCGGCGCTGAGTCTGCACTGGGTGGTGTCGCCTTGGCATCTGGACCGTCCACCGGAGCTGGTGGCGGCCCAGGTGCGGGCTGCTCAACCTTTTCCCAAGAGAATCTGTTGCGTAGAAGATGATCAGGAGAAGCTGGCCCTGTGCCCGATTCCAGTTGCTTTGAGTCCACCTGGGGGGACTGTTGGCGAGAAGGTCTATCAAAGGATGTAGACCCAGCAGTGACAGGGGGGTGTGTTGGTGCAGCCGGCTGCTTAGAGCTCTCGCCCCAATATTCACCACGGTTATTGAGAAAGTCTTCAACGTCAGATTTTCCTGCAACCTCCTGTGGTCCAATGTCAGCCGGAGGGCTCGGGGTCGTCGTAGGTATCCCGCCGGGAGTTAACGATCGCATAATCTCGTCACTTAGTGCATCGCTCTTCTTTATAGGGGAGGAATCCCCGCTACCCGTACTGCCATGCAGTGACGGCAGATCCACCGCCGATGATGGAGGGGGAGGGAGGTACGGAGCGTTTGGTGGCCCTTCAGGCGCCTTTGGGCTGGAGGGGACCGCCAATGGAGGAGGGCGAGCATTGAACGTAATATTAGGAGTGCTGTTCATAGACGAGGGGTTCGACACCTTTCCACTGTCAATAGACCGTGTTTCTGCCACCCAACCCCCAGATAATCCTGGCCGTTGCGGGTTTGGAGCAACGACACTCGAGGGCGCTTCAGGAACATCGTCCATCCGTGGAGCTGAGGGGCCAACAGGCTTATCCCCTTGTACACCATTCTCTGGGTTCTGCTTCTTCAAGCTACCGGAAGTGCCTGAAAACATGTCTGAGCCGAATGTCGACATTCGTGCGACACTGGGAAGCTTAGGAGAGTCATCCTTGTCCGCTCCAGTGTCCTCCGGTCCCTGCTCAAACGACAGCTTCCGCGGCTCCGGTGCAGGCGGGCTGTTCTGGGTCTTTTGGTCTGGAGACCGGCGCGAATCGTTCGACGGACTCTTGCTGATTTGGGGCCGGGGGCCGGCGATAGATGAGACCGGGAAGGAGGGCGCTGGGGGTTGAGAGTCGACTGGGGGATGGGTCGGCGTGGAAATGGGCTCCTGCGTAGGTTGGTTTGCAGAGGGGATAGGGAAAGTCGGGCGCCTAAGGGCAGGTATTCGAGTTTCGGATGGCAACCTGCTATTGCTCAGAGGAGGAGGTCCGCGAGGCATAGGCGGCTCGTCGTCGGGCGACTCGGGCTCATCGTCGTCGGAAGCTCCCCAGTCGTCGCCGTCGTAGTTGACCGTCTTGGCTTCCACCCATTTCCTCGTCTTGGTCCTGTTGACATTGACCTTATACGCACTAAAAGGCCGGGCGTTAGTCCACTCGCAAAAGGACATGTGCGTATTGCAAAATGGTGGGAAGCGAATGATCCCGCGATTGACTTGGAGAGTTGCCTGAAGTGGCGTCATACATACCTAGGCTGCCCAGAGCGTCCGCCTTGGCCACTAGATTTGTCCATAACTTCTAAATTTTCCAAACCGGAACTCCAAGTTTACATTTCTCCCCTGCGTCGCAGTCGCAATCTCCGGACGTGAGCGCCTTGCCTGAGCTCGGGATGCAGCCAGTTCTATGCTTGCACCGTAAATGAATGGGATGATTGGGCGTCAAACCAGAAGAAACATCGCTTGCCGAGGAAGTATGATGACAGAATGGGATAAATATACTGTAATGGAGCAGTGCAAGGAGAAAAGAAAACAGCAAAATACAAGGACAAGTTGGGCGACAAAAGGTGCCTGAGGGGTTCTGGCGGACTGATGACGAGGTTGTAATTTCCAGGGCTACAGAAGTCAACTAAGGTGCCTCCAACCACGCTCCAACCACGCAGCCTGATCCACGTGCGCCACCGGTGAAAACCATGCGAGCTCGACATGAGGCGGTACCAGCCACAGTTACATACGTATGCGCTACCAACAGCTCCCTCCATTCCACCCCTTTCCCTTGCCCTGTGGAGGATGGGCTAAAATAGCATCCCGTCTATTATTATAACCTGCATGTTGGTGCAGGTGCAGAATACCTCCTCTTCAGGGCCTGCCTGCTCTCCCTTCTACACCAGTGCATAGTTTCGCGAATCGCGGCAATAGTATCTCCTGTTCATGGCTGGGCGCTTACTTCGCATCAGAGCACGATATCAATTACCATGATTGGACTGTACATGAAACCTGTGGCGGGGAACAGATGCCTCGGCACCAGAGCCTATCGCTTCGTCGCATTGACCCAAACTGGGACATTTCCAACCCACATTCTTGAGGTTGAAGAATATCGGAAGTGCCATCCGAAATCTACCGTTTGAGAATTCCTAGATTTGGAGTATTTGTTTGTTTGGTCGTCGACGTCGAGTAGACACCACTCGCATGCATTTAGTACATGTCGAGGAACGCATGGGGGCCTATCCTTCAAGAAGGGTGCCGAAGCCAGTAGATGATCGACGTGGCACAACGCCTTTGTTCAACGTCGACCTATTCAACGTCGATCTACCATACAAGTGGTTATGGTTTACCCAGATCATACTGGACGTTAGTACATAATTGAGTGCGTACGGTGCAGGGTGGCTGAGACTTGCTGCTTGCAGCGCTTGGCTTCGCGAAAAAGACATCGCTTAGTCATCGTTGCTGTCCAATGGCGCTAAGCCAGATCGTCTTTCCACGCTGCCCCACCTCTCATTGGCTGAGCCGCCGGACTTCAGCACTCGCCCGCCACGACTCCCATGACTACGCCTTCACTAGGCAATCAAGCCATCACTCATTCCCTTCATCTCTACCGCCGCCTCCCCTCGCGCAACCACCAGTCAATTTCATAACTTAATTATTAAAGTACAAACTCTCATATATTCTGTTCTCGCCCACTTCGACCGCTTGAGGCCATTACCGACTCCACTCGCCCCTGACCCCTCGGTGTCGCGAAATCTAAAACGGACAACGTAAAACTCATCTCCCCCGTCACAGCCGACCCCGAGTTCGAGTCGTCGCAAACACGCTCCCTCTCCATTTTCCTTTCGCATTCTATAATCTACGCATAGACCCGCGCTGGACGCGATCTTTGTTGCCCACAATGGCCGTCGCATCCATTCAAGACCGCACATCCGAGTTCCGATCAGTCCTCGCACAGGCCCAGCGTCGCCAGAATCTAAACAAGGCCACCTCGCAAAAGAGGTCCCTCCTCACCGACTCCCAAAAGGCCACTGCAAACGGAGATGGCCGACCACGACGATCGGATTTCGCCAGGAAGGCGGCGGAGATAGGACGAGGCATCTCCGCGACAATGGGGAAGCTGGAGAAACTGGCTCAGCGTACGTTGGGGAACCCAGGCACGTTTTTCATTTGGCGGATGGTACTGACCAGAACTAGTCGCGAAGCGCCGAACACTATTCGATGACAGACCAGTGGAAATCAACGAGCTCACCTTTGTTATAAAACAAGACTTGTCATCGCTGAACCAGCAGATCGGCGACTTGCAATCTCTCTCAAAGCAGCAGCGACCCAGCGGTGATCAGGAAGGCGAGCACAACAAGAATGTTGTATACCTACTACAGGGGAAGTTGACCGACGTATCTGTCAACTTCAAGGACGTACTGGAGGAGCGCACAAAGAATATTCAGGCTTCCCGGTCGCGCACAGAAAATTTCATCTCCTCTGTATCGCAACACACCATGCCCTCGATGTCGCACCAGCCAGGATCTCCGCTATATGGAACGCCGAATCGAGCTTCTCCGGCCCCAGCCCAAGACACCCTGTCCCTCAACCCCGTGGGCGATCAGCAGATGCTCATGATGGAGGAGGCTCAGCCTGCCAATTCCTATATCCAGCAACGTGGTGAGGCCATTGAGGCGATCGAGAAGACCATTAGCGAGCTTGGTAGCATTTTCGGACAGCTTGCGACCATGGTCTCAGAGCAAAGCGAGATGATTCAAAGAATCGATGCCAACACGGAAGATGTGGTGGACAACGTGGACGGCGCCCAGCGAGAGCTCCTGAAATACTGGTCTCGTGTCTCCAGCAACCGATGGCTTATTGCCAAGATGTTTGGCGTGTTGATGATTTTCTTTTTGTGAGTACAGCCCGTTCGAAAACTTGTTGGCGCGCGCAGCAATATGTAGAATATTGTTCTGACTCAAATAACGCAGGTTATGGGTGCTTGTCTCTGGTTAGACGGGGAGTTTACATGAACCACGGGTTGGCGGGACGGTACGCGGATTTGAATTTTTGGGTGTTTATTTTTGAAGCCATATATTATACAGCCGGGTTGGCATCTTGGACTGTTTGGAGAACTCGTATTCTTGCTCTCTGCGTTGACCCATCAGGCAGAGAGCTGTGTCTCATTCATGAGCTAAGTGACTTCCACGACAGGAACATAGAAAAGGCATACCTACTTTAATATTATTCTCATCGAGCAGCCAATGACTTGTTCGTCTTGGACACTGCCGCTTTCTTTTTTTAAAGATACTCGCGCCTCCCAGAACACCTGCTCCACTGTGTACGATATATCAGCCTTCCGCATCGCCGGTACCTCCCATAAACACAATTCCCATTGCCCTAGTGATGCATAGCGGCCAATTTCAACCCTTCGATTCCTCGTGATCTGTGAAACTAGGATCATTACACATGACGAAATACGGACGGCAGCAGAGCACAGAGCCCCACCAGGTTACACTTGTCGCAGCTCGAGGCTAATTCGCCCTGACTCGGCCCATCCCCCAGCCCCCAGAGTGGAAGTCTTCGCCGGCTGCCCGCATTTTCCGAGAATGGGGCCTTATCCGCGCATCGGTCTAAATCCGCCCGAGTCGTCGGGCCAATTTTTCCATCGCCCGCCATGGCAACACCACCATGGGGACCAAATTCCATCGCAACACCTGGCCCGGACGCCTTTGGCCCTGGACGGAATAATGAGGAGGCGACTGGGGCTCGGCAAATCAGCTTGCTCCCGCCTCCGTGGGGCCCTCGTCCCTCTCCGCATGCTATCTCGCGTTGTGGGCGAACTATGTAGCTTCGGGTTCCCATTTATATACTAGAGGGGAGCACTTACACGGGGGCGCGGGGTGCCCTCCTTTCTTTTTTTCCTGTGATTTAAAAGGCTCTCTCTCCCTTCTTCTAGTCTTAAATCCTTGCTGTGTCTCTATCTATCCCGTGACATTGAATTCGATTTCAAAATGGCTGCCACTTCTTTCAAGCTCAACAGCGGATACGACATCCCCTCAGTCGGTCTTGGTAAGTGCCTCTTCTGCAATGGAGGGGTAGCGAGCGAGACCCCTCCATGACGAACCCCGCGGGTACCAAAATGGACAGTCGAGAGCTCATATATTTAATTCACTCAGGTACCTGGCAGGGTGAGGCCACCGCCGTCAAGGCCGCCGTCGCCCACGCCCTCAAGAGCGGTTACAAGCTCGTCGACGGCGCGTACTGCTACGGCAACGAGGAGGCCGTCGGCGCAGGGATCAAGGAGGCCCTCGACTCCGGCATCAAGCGCGAGGACATCTTCGTCGTCACCAAGATCTGGGCCACCTACAACACCCGCGTCGCCGAGGGCCTGGACAAGAGTCTCAAGGCCCTCGGGCTCGACTACGTCGACCTCCTGCTCATCCACTGGCCGCTGCTGCTGAACCCCAACGGGAACGACGACAAGTTCCCCAAGAAGCCTGATGGCTCTCGGGATGTCATCCACGGGTGGGATCACCTCGAGGCCTGGAGGCAGATGGAGGCTGTCGTCAAGACCGGCAAGGTCAGGTCCATCGGTGTCTGCAACGTATGTCTACCCCATTCTCACTCGATCCTGGTCTTTAAACTAAAAGAACCGCAAAATAGTACAGCAAGAGCTACCTGGAGAAGATCATCGACAATGCCACCATCCTCCCCGCCGTCAACCAGATCGAAAGCCACCCCTGGCTCCCCCAGAGCGACATCACCGAGCTCGCCAAGTCAAAGGGCATTCACATCATGGCCTACAGCCCTCTGGGCAGCACGGGCAGCCCCGTCGCCGAGGCCGAGCCTGTAGTCAAGCTCGCCGAGAAGTACAAGGTCACCCCGCAGACCATCCTCATCAGCTGGCAGGGTAAGTGCTCATCTACATGTCATTCAGTCAGAAGCGATAAGGAACTAACTGTAGCATAGTCGCCCGCGGGCACACTGTCCTCCCCAAGTCCGTCACTCCTTCGCGCATCACTGCCAACCGGGAGATCGTCAACCTGAGCGCCGAGGACACCAAGTCGCTGGACGACTACTCCAGCGACATTGTCGCCAAGAAGGAGTGGAAGCGCTTCGTCTACCCTCCTTTCGGTATTAACTTTGGATTCCCCGACAAGCAATAGATGGAAGCGGATTTTCTATGTTTTTAGAGCTCTGGTAGAAAGATGGCATGGGACAATTGAAAAGCTACAAGATAAATAGTAAAAATTCAAACAAATTAATTTTAAACAGAAAAACACTCAGTTCAATGAAGCGATGACCGGGGTCCAACTTGCGACGTCATCCATGCATGCGCTCACTCAGTCTCAATTGACCCCTCGCACTGCCCCTCACTCGCACCATGTTGCCTCAAGATGATGAGGTGCGTAGAATCATACACACACCTTGTCGGACCAATTTGGCGCAATTAAATCTGCTTCGGGAAGAATACCACGCTGACAGTGCCAAAGATCCTTGACTTTTTTTTTTCAACAACGTTATCTCTATTTTTTTATGCTCTGTTTCTCTTTTACTTCATAACTCATTCCTATGCTAATTTTTTTCTACAACAATTTCACGACGACTCGGGCAGCTCGATAAATACCTTGATGACCAGATTCCCGTCCGCGTCCTTGATCTGCCCGGCCATCTTGAAGGCGTCCTGGATGTGATCGAGACCGGTGAAGCGCTGCGTGATGAGCTTGGTCAGGTCGGGCAGGGCCTTGGGGGGCTTGGAGAGCATCTCGATGGCGCGCTGGTACGTGTTGGCGTAGCGGAAGACGCCGACGAGGTCGACCTCGCGCAGCGCCGCGGCGGACATGGGCAGGGTGAGGATGGGGTTGCCCATGCCGATGATCATGATCTTGCCTCCGGGCTTGGCGGACTACAGAAGTAAGACCGATGTCAGCTTCGTTTGCGCGTGTGTGAAACCTATTTGGCGGGGGGACTTACGTAGATGGATGTCTGCACGCAGGTCTCGACGCCGGTGCACTCGTAGACGACGGAGACCTCGCCGACCTCCTGGCCGTTGACCTTGGTGGCCTTGATGGTCTCGGAGACCTCGCGGGCGTAGGCGAGCTTCTCGTCGATGGTCTGGGGGCGGGCCATGGGGACGACGACGCCGGCGTCGGCGAAGCCGTTGGCCACGGCGAAGTCGACGCGGTCCTTGAGGATGTCCGCGATGACGACGGTCTGGGCGTTGTTGGCCTTGGAGACCGCGGCGGCCAGGAGACCGACGGCGCCGGCTCCGAAGACGAGGACGGTAGGCGAGGGAGGCAGGGCCGCGCGGTCGAAGGCGTGCATGGCGACGGAGAGAGGCTCGATCAGAGCTCCCAAGTCGCTTGAGACCTCGGCGGGCAGCCTGGTTTGGGGGTCGCGCTGTTAGCTTTCTTGCTCTTGGTTTTTCATATGCTTCCTTTCGTCGCGGCCAACGTACTTGTAGCACCACCGGGCAGGGTGGTTGATCTTCTCTTGCAGGGTGCCCTGGGCGTGGGGGAAGGCCTTGGCCGAACTCCTGAACTTCATGCCGCGGCAGATGTTGTAGCGTCCGGACTGGCAGTACTCGCAGGCCTCGCAGGGCTGGCCGACCTCGAGAGCGACGCGGTCGCCGGGGGCCAGGTCAGTGACGCCATCGCCGACAGCGACGACGGTGCCGCTGGACTCGTGGCCCAGGGTGAGAGGCTCACGGACGATGATGTCGCCGTTGCGGTAGTGGTTGTAGTAGTGTAAGTCGGAGCCGCAGAGGCCGGTGGATGAGACGCGGACCTGGACCTCGTTGCTGGAGGGGGCTTCGAGCTCTCGGTCTTGCTACACGAGGAGGGCAGAGGTGTCAGGCAAGCTTAGAGATGTTCAATTCATGAGGTTTGCTTACAATGCGAATGTCGCGCTCGCCGTGGAGTACGGAAGCTTGAACGTGCGTGGGACACATGATGGGCAGAGATGTGAGATGAGGTGGGATGTGTGTGTAACTCGTGACGGTGATCAGAGCGGGCGGCGGCAGACCTGGGCGAAGGACGAAATAATACAAAAGACGGAATGCCTCTCTACAGCAACGCCAATGACACGAATGAGATTTTCAATTCCGGTTTCCTTTCTTGCAGATGATTTTTGAGAAAGTTGGAGGCAGCACACTCGTCGGAGAAAGCAACGACTTTCCCGAAACCGGCCACCAGGAGCGGATAAAGCTGCGCGTGGCCCCCTGCCACTAACTGACGCCGGGCCACCAGCATGAAAAAGCAGAGACGCCATTGAAGGTCCCGAGGACCTATTAGCGCCCAATTGACCAAGGCGAGCCGACGATTTCCAAGTGGTCGGGGCGGTGGGAGTTTCCCAATTGTCCCAATTCCGACCTGCGGTGGAGTGCGTGGGCAGCCTGTAACCCGCTCACTGGCTGCCCGCTGCTGGAGCCTACAAATGCCCCCCCACAGTCGCCGACCCCGCTGGAAGCTAGCGACTCAGCCGATTTCTCCCCCAAATAGCACGGCCCAAATGCAGTATGTGCGCCCGGCGAGGGGCAGTGGTGAGGGGCAGCTCGTCATGGCGGGGCAGTTTTTCGGCGACGAGGCCAGCTACAGTGCCCTGGAGAGCAGATTTGCAGCTGCGCGTGACGGATAGACTAAGGCAAGGGCCTCGACAGGGCCTCGCTAGCCGTCCGTAGCGATATGCAGTCGCGCTCAATGGGTGAGGTGGATTGCTTTGGTGAATAGATCAAATCAGTACAGCCTGGAGCGCCCTCCGAAAAGTGCGGTCCCACTTTCGGAGACTGGTCGGACTACTCCTTGTGAAGCCTTCTTCAACGAGTAAATCACGTCGAGAGCTCCCTCAATTCGCCTCCTCTATTACTTCACCTCCTTTTCCCTCCTCACTCTCCTCCCCCTCCCCTCTGCAAATCTCGTCGCAAGTGAAGCTATCCTAATTGCAAAAATGGCCGACTTCTTCTCACTCAAGGACCACACTGCCGTCGTCACGGGTGGTACCCGCGGTATTGGCCAGGCGGTTGCCATTGGCCTTGCTGAGGCTGGTGCCGATATCATTCTGGTTCAGGTGAGAGTTTGAGAACTGTCTTCTCATTCTATGGGGGATTCAGAAAACAACTAACACGACGGGCATTACAGCGCGACACTAAGGCTACAGACACCAAGGAGGCCGTTGAGAAGCTCGGCCGCAAGGCCTGGATCTACACGGCCGACATCTCCTCCCCCGAGCAGGTCGCCGCCCTCACCCCCAAGATCCTGGCCGACGGCCACCAGGTGCGCATCCTCGTCAACTGCGCCGGCATCCAGCGCCGGCACCCCTGCGAGGACTTCCCCGACAGCGACTTCAACGAGGTCATCCAGGTCAACCTCAACTCCGTCTTCTCCCTGTGCCGCGACGTCGGCCGCCACATGCTCTCCCTCGAGCCCTCGCCCGTGACGGGCCGCGTCGGCTCCATCATCAACTTCGCCTCCCTCCTCACCTTCCAGGGCGGGCTCACGGTCCCCGCCTACGCCGCCTCCAAGGGCGCCGTCGGCCAGGTCACCAAGTCCTTCGCCAACGAGTGGACCTCGCGCGGCATCACCGTCAACGCCATCGCGCCGGGGTACATCGAGACGGACATGAACGAGGCCCTGCTCAAGAACCCCGAGCGCCTGGCCAGCATCTCCTCCAGGATCCCCGCGGGGAGGTGGGGCAGCCCGGACGACTTCAAGGGCACGTCGGTGTACCTCGCCAGCCGGGCCAGTGGCTACGTGAGCGGCCACACGCTGGTTGTCGACGGTGGCTGGATGGGGCGGTAGAGGGGGCAGATCCTACCTTTTTTGTTTCTTGTAATGAGTTTTGAGCTTCCAATAAAAAGCGACCCTATTGTTCTTTTCCCGTGCTGGGATAATTGCGACCGTGACCGTGACCGTGAGATGATGACAAAGCTTATGTTCAGCCTCAGCAGGTGAGCCAGGCCCAACGTCAGCAATTTCAAAGCTGCTTGCAGCTTGGGAAAATTGCTGGCTCTTGTGCATTTAAAAGAGCGCGCCGGATGGGGTTGGCGGAAAGTCAATTCCGAGCTTGGCCCATTGCATGACAACTGAGACCTTCGCATTGGAATCCGCAAGGGAATTAGATTCCCGATGTCTTACGCGCCGGCATACAAATCAGGGAAACCGAAGCGAGTACCGAATCACTTTATTCCGATTTTAAATCCAAAAAAAACAAACATCTATTCTATTTCGCTCATTGTCCTGCCCAAGCGTGGCCTGTTTATCCAAACAGGCTCCGTACCGGCGGCTCTATATTTTACTTCCTGCGCTCTCCCATGTCAGTTTGCCGCTATACACCAACATGGCGCGAATACAAAGAGAAATAATTAACCCTCTCTAAATGCGAGCAGTAGGAACCCATCCGTCAATCAAGACGCTCCTGTACATCTACCGCCCCAAGAGAGGAGGGGTGAGGGGTTGGTTGTCTGAGAAGAAGGGAGGGGGGCGGGCTCATTGAGATTTACTCTTGTCACCCTCATAGTAGTGCGCCATCTGCAGGCCGGCCCTGCGGAAGCCGCACTTGACGTAGAAGCCCTCGTTGGCCTCGCTGCAGTCGAGGATGCTCTTGTAGCAGCCCACCTTCTCGGCGATGAAGTCGAGGGCGTGGATCAGGCGGAGGCCGAGCTTCTTGCCCTGCTGGTCCTTTGCGACGGCGATGTCCTCGATGTGGCCGACGGCGCCAAGGCTGTGGATGCTGCACGGGATTAATCTATTAGTACTCCGCCTTATGGAGGTTTAGGGGCGGGCCACTCACAACTTGTGCTCGATGATGAGGGCGCCGGTGGCGACGACGGGCTTCTTGCCCTCGGCGACGCGAGAGGGGTCCTCAATGACGACGATGTAGTAGCTCTCCCCGGCCTTGAGCTTGTCGAACTGGGCGTCGTACTTCTCTTGCGAGAAGTCGCCGACGGTGGTAAGGACGCGGAGGCAGTCGAGGAAGCCGTCATTGTAGTCCCTCTTCTCGAGGGCGCGCAGCTTGTAGCCCTCGGGGAGAGCTGCTGCCACCTCAGGGGAGATGAGGTCGGCGGAGAAGAGCGAAGCGTCAGCCATTGCGATGTGGTTGTTCGAGTTGGGCGGGGTAAAGTCTGAGAGGGCACAGAGAAAGGTCAATGGGAGAGTGACGGTGTTCGTTTGGCAAGGAGATGATGCTCTGACGCCCTGAGAAAGCGGTCTGAATGCGGATAATTAATAGATCGGTAGAGCTACCCAGGTCTAGCTGAAGCGGGACAGATACTGATTTCAGCACCCCTCCAGCGCTTGTGGCCGTGCCCAGCCACAGCGGGCCCCTGGATCTATCTCAACTGCACGCAGATTCAGGGGTCGGCTGCGCCTCATCGTCTATTCTTGGAAACACGACATCCAGGTTCCGAGATGCCAAGGTCTGTATCCCCCACTCTCCGTTCGTATTTGAGGGTCATGTCATCAGTGAGGTCGCCATTGGGCAATTGCGTCGGCATGTCCTTTGGGCGAGGCTGGGATGTTTCGATAAGCTTTATCAAGCTTTTTGGCTCTAAGAGGTCAGATTGATTTGAGATATGACCTGAATAATGTTGAGCCATTATACGGCCCATCTTATCGTTGATGGACGAGGTTCCAATGCCATACTTATCAAGGAGCGCAATATTCAAGGCATCCAAATTGAACAATGGCCCAGCTCCAACCCAGCCTCAGATACCAAGAGGAAACATACCGAGACATACATGTGATACTTTGCGCTAAGGCAGGGAAATTCGGCCCAACTGGTATTCATCATCAGGCCTACGGCTATAGGGTAACATCATATGGTCAAGGTATAGGGTAGCTCGTTTGACCCTAGTCTCATTTAGGCTCACCATGCCGCGCTCTATCAAGTCAAACGTCACCGGGACAATCACATGCAAACACTTAATCATGCCAAACTTGCCTTGCCATGTGCGTTTCCGTTCCCACAAAACCGAACGGGGGGGACGCGACCTGATTGCTTGACTCTAGTCGTTCCTGGCGAAATGAAATGTATGCGTTGGCGTTATGCGTTGCCACTGGACTGTTTGATGACTCTGTGATGTCTGCCCATAATATCTACCTATGTATTGATTTATCTACACCAACTAGCACAGATGAAGTCAGCATCAGATATCTTGCCACCGGATATACCAAAAGCCATTAGAACCTAAAAGGATATTTATGAATCGACAAACAGCCGTTTCACCGGCCACTGGCGCGCCTCCCCAGCTGGGGCCGACGCTCCTACCCGCTCCTATTGCCAATGCGGTCAGCTTTGCTACGCGCTCGACATGTTTCGCCATCCGCGTCGGCTCCTTTGTCGGCACATACGGACTTGATGCCGCGAGGTTTACAACCTTGTCGAGTTTGGAGGTAGCCAGAGGGTTGCTCGAAGGTGTTCTTGCCCGAGCTGGTCGGGATGTAATGCTTGTAGGTCCGCAGTCCAACTTTGCCGCAGCAGACGCCGAGACGGTGCTCGAGCGCGGTCTGGAGAACTTGCATCATGCTGTAAGTCAGATCGTTTTTTGGACATCGGCCAGCTTCCAGCTCACCAGCACAACACTCTCTACGGCCAGTGACCTCTCCCAGCTCCTGCTCTCGTCATTGGACCAGTTATTCGGTGCGACCGAGCCATCGCGCGCCATTGCCAGCATCATCACCCTGATCCGACGCGAGTTTAACAATCCGGTGACGGGGAGTAGTGGGGAGAAGGTCGGTGTTGTTGATTTGATTCTCTCCCTGAGCGCCCTTGCGTACCTTCAAGGGCAGTGCTGGAAATCAAAGGAAGACGAGCGCCGTCGCCAGGCTCTTGAAGAAGTTGTATGGGATATTGTTGTTCTTGACGATGGCGAGCGGATTGACGTCCAGTATTCTGGGCAGTCGGGCGTTCACCCGGATCGAGGCGTCGTTCCAAACGGGGACGTCCGTCGTCGTTCCCGGATCCTTGGAGATTTTTCAGGCCCTCTGTCGCCACCCTCCGGCAAGACGGACGACGATGAGGAGATGTTGGAGCAGCTTAAACTTCAGATAGCTTCTTCCCTCCCTCCGGGATCAATGGTGTCTGTTTCCAACTCGGTATCCACTGTTCAGACCATCACAGTTGATGTCCAAGGTCCGGAACCGGTGACGCTTCCTACGCCGCCGGGAGCTGAGATTGTGGAAGCAACTAGTTTCCGGCCCTCCAGTCGTCTCTCATGGGCATCGCAGGACCAAGACTCGGAGCCCTCCTTTAGAGTTGTGTACCAAATTAAGAGGGAAAAACTTCAGGATAGCAAGTTTCATACACGGGAAGACGGGCTTCCCGTTCCTCAAGTAGAGGAATTAGATGACGAGGGAGCGAGGCTGAAGCTTGATGGACGTGAGGAGGACAAAGAACTTCCTTCTATCAAACACTCGAGCCCTCTTCAATCCCCCTCCCACCCCCGACGACAGTCTCGATCTTCCCAGTGTGTTGAAGCTGATTGCCAGCCTGGTAATGAAGTGGGATCGCTACCGCCTGCTCGTGTGAAAGTTGAGGGGCCACCGCGCCGGATGTCTACATCCAGATCCAATCCTACTCTTTCTGAGAAATCACCGAACCCACCTTCACCATCGAAAAAGGTTGCCGAGAATGCCGCAAATCAAAAGAGGCCTCGAGCACCACCAGAGACAACCTCAACCCGAAGCTTCATAGTCAAGCCGAAACAAGAATCGCCTTCAGCCGGGCGGCGACCACAAATCACCAAGCGCACAAGCTCTTCTCAAGAATCGAGATCATCTGATAAGAAGGGTAGTCTGAGAGATGTCATCAAGGGTAGCGGGCAGAGTATCTCAAACATTTGGAATAGAGAGTCTTCCGGATCAGAAAATGGTGGCTCGTCGAGCAAGTTGAAACCGCAGTGGAGGATACCAAGCGGTAGCGGAAAGCTCAATGCAAAGCTGAAGCCAGTGGCATCCATACGCCCGACCAAGCCGGATGATCATCGCCCATCGTCTCGATCCCAATTATATCCGGACCCAGAGACGATTCCCCGGAGCTCCTCGAGAGCAAGTTGCGTCTCCATCCAGGAACATCGGCGGAATTCAATCATCTCCCAAGCTGATGCATTTTCAATCCGCGCAAACGGCGAGATGCGCGCGGCGTCACCAACGTTCTTCCGCACTGAAGTATCGACCCATGATACTGTCAGCCGGCCGGCTTCAGTTTATTTGAACCCTGGACAAACTTCTCAAACATCGCCAAAACGGGGCCATCACGAGAAGAATCGCCACAGCCTTTACAGTTTGGGGACGAATGATTCCGAAATGTCGGTGGTTTTGTCTTCTCATTACCAAAAGAGCGCTTACCGCACCTCCAATGCACTCAGTAGCCTTCGCCAAGCAGGATTTGTCGAGGGCACATTCCCAGTCGCCCCTCTGCTGCAGAACATATCCCGATACATGCGGTTTGCGTCTGCCTCGTACGGCTCGCAGTTTCTCAAGCTTCTCGGGATCTCAAACGATCTTCCCGCCATTTCAAAGGGAGATGAAACACACCATGATGTCCGTCATTTCCTTCACCACACAGAGTCTGACATGGGTAGCATCCTGCTGGCCTCTTTCGTGGATCACGGGGGTGGTAGTGATTCGAGTGGATTCACGGATACAGGTGTTCCGTTAGTACACTACATCTCCCTCGACCACAATGCGAAGGCCGTGGTTCTTGCTTGCCGCGGAACCCTGGGGTTTGAGGACGTATTGGCCGACTTGACCTGCGAGTACGATCGTCTTGAATGGAGAGGGCGTGGCTACAAAGTCCACAAGGGAATCCATGCCTCAGCCCGAAGGATTCTATACGGCGGGGATGGACGGGTTCTCGTCACACTTCAAGAGGCTCTGCGTGAGTTCCCAGATTATGGACTGGTCCTCTGTGGCCACTCCCTGGGTGGTTCAGTCACCTCGCTCCTTGGGATCATGATGGCGGAGCCCAATCCAGATGGACCCGGGTTTGTCACAACTTCAGAAACACAAAGCAGCGCGCAATCTGGAGGATGGCCAGAGCGGAGTACCAATCTCCAGGGCGCGAGTTTACCACCCGGGCGGCCAATTCATGTTTTCGCATACGGCCCCCCCGGTGCCATGTCAGTTGCGCTCAGCAAGAACAGCCGCGGCCTGATCACAACCGTGGTGCATGGGAACGACATAGTCCCCTACCTCTCGCTGGGCACGCTCCACGACTTCCAAGCTCTGGCCCTCTCGTTCAAGAAGGACGAGAATCACGTCAAGGCCGAGATTCGCCAGCGGATGTGGGCCGCATTCCAGTATAACGTCGCTGGTAAGCTGCACGTCCCCACGGCGCCGCCTCTCGCGATCGGCGAGGAGCCCTGGATGCTGCCCACCCTCGAGTCCATGCGGGCCAACATGGACTGCGAGAAGCTGATCCCGCCGGGCGAGGTGTTTTGCATCGAGTCGCAGCGGGTTCTGCGGCGGGATGCGTTTTTGGTGTCGGATGAGGAGCGCATTGGCCGACCTGCTCAGCGGGTTGTCCTCAAGTATATAAAAGACGTGCCGGCGAGGTTCCGCGAGATGAGGTTTGGGACGAGCATGTTGATGGACCACTCTCCTGCCAAGTATGAAGAAGCTCTACAGAAACTTCGGTTGGGCGTCGCGCTTTGAAGATATATATGACTCACGTCTTTACAAGCTCTCTAGATTTCGTTTTGTATATAGAAAATAATGTAAGTCCAAAATATTCCATAGTATATATTAACATTGTGAATCAGACTGTCCAGGACGAGCCCCCCACCTAGTCCCAGTGTCATTTATACATTTTCTTCATTTCTCAATCAGAAGTAGTCGTGATAATATCACCCTTGTCATCGTAGAAAATCTCCTTGACCTTGACAGAACGCAGATGGTCCACGCCCTTGCTCAGCTCGCAGTCATGGTAGAAGAGGTACGTCCTCCCCTCCACCTCCGCGATCGAGTGGTGCGTCGTCCACCCCAGCACGGGCTCCAGGATCCTGCCGCCGTAGGTGAAGGGGCCCAGGGGGCTCTTGCCCCTAGCGAAGCAGAGGAAGTGCGTGTCGCCGGTCGAGTACGAGAAGTAGTACTCGCCGCCGCGCTTGTGCAGCCACGCGGCCTCGAAGAACCTGCGAGCGTGGTCGTCGGCCGGGATGGGCTCGCCCGTCTCCGGGGCGAGGATGGTGATCTCCTTGACCTCCCCGTCGAACTGGTGCATGTCGTCCGTGAGCTTCGCTACGCGCGGACCCTGTGCTGCCTCGCTGGGGCCGGAACGCTCGCCGCGCTTCTGCCAGGAGGCGTCGTACGAGGCTGCCTGAGCTCCCTGGTAGCACTGGAGCTGGCCGCCCCAGATGCCGCCGAAGTAGAGGTAGGCCTGGCCGTCGTCGTCGACGAAGGCGGCCGGGTCGATGCTGTAGGAACCCTTGATGGGCTCCGGGTCCGGGGTGAAGGGCCCCTCGGGGCTGGCGCCCTCTGCGACGCCGATGCGGAAGACGCCGTCCTTGTCACGGGCGGGGAAGTAGAGGTAGTACTTGCCGTTCTTGGAGGCGGCATCGGGGGCCCAGAGCTGCTTGGAGACCCAGGGGATGTCCTCGGCGCGGAGGACGACGCCGTGGTCTGTCACGGGGCCGGGGGAGGGGTGGAGGGAGGGGACGGAGAAGACGTGGTAGTCGGCCATGTCGTACTGGTCCCCATTGTCATTGTTCTCAGTGCCGGTGTCACGGTCGTGGGATGGGTAGATGTAGACACGGCCGTTGAAGACGTGGGCCGAGGGGTCGGCCGTGAAGGTGCTGGTGATGAGAGGAGGCATGGTGATGATTTGATGATGGGATTATCGCCTGGCCGGTTGAGGGAATGTAGGATTGACCTCCAGCTCGTCAAGGAGCGTGAGGCATTCAAGAGAACTATATAAACTCCATCTTTATCCGCAACCGCCATTCATCCGCACCCCTCTCATGATTGTGAAGGCGGGCGGGCCGTGATCGCGATAGAGCCCACTTCGTGCTCTGTTGAGGAGACAGAGGATGGAGACTTCAGCCGTTTATCCATGCCACAGCCCACGGCATTTTAACCGGTTTTACCCTGCCTGCCAGACCACTCATAGGCATCTCTGGTATTGCCGTATTGGGCACTGAGCAATTGATGAGAATGGATATTTCGATGAGGCATCCCGAATCATTATGATGATGCCAATTGAAGAGCTTGGCGCTTGAGGCATCCCTCCACTTCATTTCGCTTGGGGCCTAATGAGGGAGCAGCATCTCATCTCCGCCACGAGGCCTCCTTGAACACCCACGACGATAATCTTCAGGACATCCCGGTGGTTTGTTGAGTTGTCCGACATTTGATACTGGACCATTGGCTGAGAGCTCCTGGTCGGTCGACTCGTTGGGATTTAGGCATGCTACGGTAACAACGGCGCTCTGATTCCCCTGCAGCTGAGTGAGACGAACACCTGGAGTGATGTTGTAAACTGAGGAATCGGAGATCCTCTTGCAGCTCGGGTCGTATGTCCAGTGTCAGCAATGACGATTTTGCAGGACCGTCAGCGTCAGTTAGTGTGGCTTGGCCTGCAGTCGTAATAGAGAGGAACCTAATCAAAGCAACCAGGGACCTGACAAGGAGCTTAAAAAACAAGCTTCTCCACCGCTGAATCTCCTCTGCGATAGCATGATACCAGCTCTGCTCGCTTTACTCTTGAGTTTGTTACCAAGTAGACAATGGAGGGAGCCCGGCCTGTGCTGTCGTGCGCTTCGTGCCGCCAGCGAAAGTGAGACTTCTGTCTGCCAGTTGAGCCACACATTGAATTGACATTCTAATGCTGACCGGCGCAATCTGCAGACTGAAATGCGATCGGAACCAGCCATGCGGTAACTGTGTGGCGCGGAGTACCGACTGTGTCTACTCATCCGCCTCCCGAAACCGCCCTGTTGCGGCACAGAGGCGTGATGGAAATGCCAACCTGGAGAACCGCCTCCGTCGCCTGGAGGAGCTTCTCAACACAATGGCGCCTCAAGGGTCGCACCGGGGAGGCAATGGTAGCGCTGCTCCCTCCTCTCGCGAGCAGAACGACCGCGAGAAAGGCGCTTCCCCTGAGGATGACTCGAGCCTCCAATCGGATCCATCGAACCTTTCAGAGGCGAAGCCTGGCCGCATGATGTCAAGTGACAGCCAGGTAGCCTATGTGTCCAGCACCCACTGGGCAGCTCTCTGCAATGAGGTAAGGGGGGAGTCTGATTCTATTTTCCTGGACTTGAGCTAATCTTTGGCTCTTTTCTCCTTCCTCTCTCTAGGTGGCAGAACTCCGTGAAGGTCTTGAGCAAACCAATTTGGTGGAACACACTGACAATGCTGAAATTTCATATGGCTCTGGACCTATGCTATTGGATGGCCTTCAAAGACCGCCCGAGCTGAAAGCCATTCTATCAGGCGTCCCGCCCCGCGAGGTTACCAATAGGCTGGTATCCCGTTACTTTACCTCCAATGTCATGTCACTTGGTATGAACTTGTTATCCTCTGTTATAACTCGGAGAATTGTCTAACTTGGCCGCTTACTCCAGTCATTCTTCATGCGCCGACTTTCGAGAAAGAGGTAGGCTGGGCCAGAACCACTCGTTGATGATTGCATTGGTCGCTGACATGATTAGTATAACCGCTTTTGGAATGACCAAGAACAGGTTTTACCTGCCTGGCTGGCCGTCCTCTATGGGGTATTGGCAATGGGATCCTTTCTATTTTTAAGATCTCAAGAAGACCTCCCAGGAGACCTGGGAAATACTTTGATTGCCATTGAAGGATTCCAACGCCGCTCTACAGAATGCCTCATGCTGTCCAACTACTCTTGTTCACCAGGACCCTACACTATGGAGGCTCTTGCAATGAACACCCAAATCGAGTTCGTGAGGAGACGTGATGCCAGTGTCGGAGTTTGGGTCCTGATGGGTGTTGCTATACGTCTAGCCCTACGCATGGGATACCACCGGGACCCTTCGCACTATCCCCAACTATCAGCTTTCCAAGGCGAGATGAGACGTCGCGTGTGGGCTCTTACGTTGCAACTTGACGCGCTCACATCGTGCCAGATCGGTCTCCCTCCCATGATCAATCAGGCGCAATGTGACACACAACAGCCGCGGAATCTGCTCGACGAGGATTTCGGACCTGACTTTGCTCGGCTCCCACCTTCGCGGCCCGAGACCGAGCTCACCCCTGTGCTGTACACCATCACCAAGACTCGTATATCAAACGTCTTCCGGACCATTTTCAACCATGCTGGCCTTGGACGAGTAGATTCTTACAATCAAATCATGGAGCTGGACCAACGTCTCAACACCACAATGCAGTCCATCTCGCCTCGTCTTAAACTAACAAGCTTCGAGGACTCTGTCTCCGTCCCGCCCTGGCTCCTGATCCATCGATATAGCCTGGAAATTTTGAGCTTAAAGGCCCGTTGTATTCTGCATCGATATTACATGACGCAAGCCTACTCCGATCCTGGATACAACTATTCCAGGGTTTCGTGCGTCGAGGCTGCAATGTCGATTCTGAAATACTACGGCCAGATCTTGGCTGAGACCCAAGACGGCGGCCTCCTATGCCAACACAAATGGTACCTATCCACACTGGAACTCCACGACTTCCTACTCTCCGCCATGGTTGTGTGCCTCGAGCTCAGTTTCCGCGCACGCGCCAAGTCAGGAGCCGGAGGCGGCCAGAGTCCCGTCAAGTTCAGCAGAGAAGAGCTGGTCGGCTCACTCCAACGCTCCCAGGTTATCCTGGACACGCTCAAGGTCCACTCCAGCGATGCTAGAAAAGCGTCAGGTGCTCTTGCTGTCATGGTGAAGAACTTCACGCAACCCCAGATGCCCCAGGAGGAATCTGTCTCGGGATCCGAGCCGAGGGCTCAGTATGCCAACAGCGGCAGTTTGCCTCTTTATCCTAGCGAAGGTAATGTCGATGGGATTTTGTCCTGTGTTATGGTATCATGTGGCTAATTGTAGTCAAATTGTAGCGGAATCTATTTTGGGATCCATGTCCTTTGATGAACCATACCTGTCATCTGAAGCTATTCAAACATCCCACCCGGCATTTAGCTCGTCCCTTGAAGGGGTTGGGACCTTTTTCAATACCTCGGAGATTATCGATTGGGTAAATTCTAATCTACGTCCTTGCGAGAACCCTTACTAACGTGGATGTCTTTCTAGGATCAATGGGAGGCGTTTGTGCAAGGATCTCGCAGCACTACAGACTCATTCTAGGCCACGATCAACCTGAACTATTTAGATAGATTTATGAAGAATACCAATAAATATAGATGTGAAATTCGAGTAGTTATTCTGGTTACTATGCATAATACGAAATGATACCTAACACACCTTCCATAGTTCTAATCCTGAGTTAAAATGCTGTATGAGTGATATGATCATGCACAGACGAAAGCAAGACACAAAAAAAAGACATCTATCTCGGAAAAAGCAAAGTTAATTATATCTATACAACAAGTCGCCACCAGCCTTTCTTCGAAGCTCGCCTACGGGATTTGTGCCAAGATGCCCGAACAGTGCTCCCACAATCGAGCGTTTGTCTCCCGGTCATTGAGCCAATCCTCGGCCTTTGGGTTCACCTTCGTAACCGGAATGAAGAATTTACCCTGTCCCCGCTCAGGGGCCAGGGGGCTCGTGGCCAAGAACAGCGAGTTGATGGCGCCTTCCAGCGGCGTCATGCTGGCTGTGTATTTCATAACGGTTCGCATCGTCTTTCCCACAATGGTCGGATCGTGGCTTTGGAGATTCGACTTGACAATTCCGGGGTGGCAGGAGTAGGCGGTCACACCTGTTTGGACTGTCAGTGAGAACGGTCTACTAGCAACCAGAGTATCCTTGTTCTCACCTTGATGGCTATAACGGTCATTCAGTTCCTTGGCATGTCGGATTGCTGCCTGTTTTGAGTGTCCATATCTCTGCCTATGATATTAAAGCGTTTAGTCCCTGGATGCCTATAGATTAAGCCGGAAGGCACCTACATGAGCTCCATCATTCCCTTGGTATTCGTCATGTTCAAATCGTCGAATTGAATCGTTTTCGGGCCCATGAACGCGAGGTCACTGCACACATTGATAACACGTACTCTGTTGGGAGTGCTATATTGAGACGCGGTGGACAGCAGCAGTGGGAGGAGTGTCGTGGTGAAGACAAATAGAGCGAGGAAGTTGACCTGTATTTGTGTCTCGTAGCCGTCTTTGGTCAACTTGAAAGGGACGGTCATGACCTATGTGGGCGGTCAGTATCGATCTCAAATCTGAAATATTGGACCGCTCCTCGATTCGGACATACACCAGCGTTGTTGATCAGAATATCCAGGTGTGACTCCTGGTGTGCGAACAGAGTGGCAGCGAGTTTTACAGACTGCAGATCCTGCAGGTCCATTTGAAGGAAGTGAAGGTCGAGCGCCCGTCCGACAGCTGTGTTCATCTGAGAAATGGCTTCGTCTACCCGCTGCTGGGATCGGCTGGCGATGTATACGCGGGCATTGCGCATGGCAAGCTGTTTCGTCGTTTCAAACCCAATGCCGGAGTTTCCTAAAAATAAGATAGACGGCATGAGAATACATCTGAAAGCAGTCTGAAGGGTGATCGATGACCAAATGGAACTCACCACCAGTGACGATGGCAACATATCCGGTCAAGTCCGGAATGTCACTTGGGGTAAACTCGGGAAGGGGGGCGGGCTTGTTGCAGCTCATGTTGATGGAATGGAGAACGATGAAAAATGGAGAAAATAGATAACCAGAGTTTATTTGAAAAGAGTTGGATATGTGAACGGTGACAATGTTCCATTTCGGAAATGAGCAGAACGATGGATTGGTATTTATGCAGGATAGATTTACCATCACGGCGGACACGGAGATCGGCAGTCGGACGTCCGCGGATATGGTGGAACCCGGACAGGGGAGAGCCACGCTTGGCTGATCGACGGGAGGCTAGGGCTGAGCCTATAGATAGCTTCCAGCCATTGATTAATTCGTGAATGGATTGATCATCTAATGAAAGTAGAAACGGAGTAACAGCGAAGGAGAATGCTTTAACGCCGGAGCCGAAGTACCGGCTCTGCGGCGATTTGGTAGGATACGGAATTCCAACACGCATATTGCAAATTGATGGGGTGTTTGTGATGTAAACATAACATCGTTGGCAGGGTCTTGTATGATAGAGGGAAATGGTCTGGTATTTGCCTCTCCAATGCTTGAATATTGAACTACGGACGTGATTCAGGGAGAATCTTGCCGGAGTATTGCCTTGTTCTTGGCGTATTCTCGATCTATTAGGATGAAGCTGGAATGGTTAGAATTCACTTCTTCCTCTTCTGCTTTGCCTCAATTTTATCTAGCAAATTTTATTTTAGAAAAAGAGAAGAAAAAGATACTCAAATGCTAGGGAACCTTTCAGATGGTTATAGAAAATCTAAGAAGAGAGAAGATGTTGTATTCGAGCTAATCGCTGGTGGAACTACCAGACCTCATAACTATCTGCCGTCAGAACAACCGTCGGTCTCCTAAAACTCATTCTTTAAGTGATGGAATCTTAAGGAGCTCTGATTGTAGGAAATATGGAAGAATGTGGAATTTATGGATTATCTGACCGGGATATCTCACCCATTTGGCTGCTTCGGAGCTCAAAACCTAATGCCGCCTCTATCATTCCGACTTGCCACTTCTTTTTGTCACGAGACGAAACCTCGTCATCCTTGCGACTAGGATGACGTGGATACCTCCTCTACATATTCTGCCTTGGGCTGTGTAGGTCTTGCATAGCGAATAGTAATCGAGTGACATTGTAGATAGGTGAGGGTAAGCAAGAACCTCGGTGAAAAGCGGAAATCCCGGAGCTTAGGGTAACACAAGACGTACTAGAAGGGATTTTTGATTGGTCCAATATTTCCCATTCGGCCCAATAATTGAGCTTGATTGTCCGTCTCATGCTGACAAGCTCATGTCAGCAGGACCGAGACTCAAAAGAGTACCGAGAGGCGATGATTTGTATGACCCTTGGCTTCCAAAAGAACATTCTATCTGATGGGATTTCCTTTTTTGGGTAATTAGTGGGCATGATTTCCTCCAAGGCGACTCTTATGGAGCGAGTGAGGCGTAAGCCTTGTCATATTGGTTCACGAATCAAGTCGCCTGGAAGCCTATCGCCAACGCTGCCACAATCATCATCACATCTGGATCATTACCGAAAGCTGGTACCAAATGGCGTATATAAAGCATTCAGGATGCTTGGAATTTCTATAAATTGAAGCCAATGTCTCTCTTTCCACCTGTATTTTGATTGCTCCATTATCAAGTCACCCTCGGATAGCCTCCACAAGCCCCAATTTACTTCCTGAGAAGACTCTCACTGAAATCATCTTTTCTACAAGGCTTACTACTACTTATTACTTTGCAAAAATGAGCGGAAATGAAACAGTCAAGGTTCCAAGCCCTCCTCCCACCCCGGCTGAAGAAGCTGTGTTGAAAAACAAGAAGTGAGGCCCAGAATTCCATCACAGAGACAATGATGGCGTTTCTCCTCACTACGATATCTTTTCAATACCTCGGTCCTTTAAGAGAAAAACAAGCACTCCTTTCCGGATCTGAGTTCCGAGTTTCATGACTTTTGCAACTTTTCTTTTTCAACATACAAAACCCAATATGCCGTTTTCGTTATACTGGATGATATCTCACGACAACCAATGCCAAAAAGAACCAAAAGAATTCGACATTGAGTGAAAATTCGATCGCGGGAATTGAAGTATCAGAGGGAACAGAATCCTTGCATGAGACGGTGAAATTAGAGCTTTGACTTTGTGAGAGAGCTGCGGCCTGCTAGAGAATACGAGAGTGACAGGAGAATTACATTGAACGAGACAGTCAAACGTAAACATAGTGTAGTACTAGAACTTGATACATGATAAAATACACAGTTTACAATTAAGATGCATTTTGTTATGTATGTTCCTCTCGAGATCGCCACCCGTTTAGACTCATTATGAAACTAGGGTAAAATTGTGCCGCATGATGGAATGAAGAACTAATTGAGAATTTGTATAACTTGCTAGGAAGATTCTTATCTGGCAGCTTGTGTTGAGTAGAACGGGAGATCGACATATTAGAGCTAGAGGTAGGACTAAGCCCCCTCATAGTTACGGATACACGGCTAATCCCCATGCATGAAGTCTCATCCACGTTGCCGTCACATATTTGCTGTTCCACAGAGGAGAGAATGCTCCTGATAATTAGCAGACCCCCTGCAACCTCGCGGAAGGCTCCGGGAAGGCCTGCCGTATCCGATGCCGTGTTGTATACTTGTTTGTTCTGTCGAGGATTGCAATGGCCGATGCCACGACACCCTTAACAGCTATGGCCTTGATGCTAGACATGGCCTCGGTATGATATTGCAAACCAAGATATCGATTTCTTTGAGCGAGAAGCCACACCCTTACACATAGGCACACAGAGAATAAAGAGGGGTTCGAAAGCGGAAGCCAATGATAGCCGTAAGTCTATAACCGGTGAGGTTTATGTTGGTGAGCCCTCCTGTGCTGAAATCCCCACCGCTCCCTTCGCCCAGTGTGCTCCAGGGCGAAGGTCGCAGCCATAATTGGTACCTCACCACAAATCAAGGTTTTCATCCCGCCGCTTTTGACTTTTCTCCCCCATTTCTCTTCCTTGATGTAGTATATCCTCTGCTTCAATTTATCTTCCACTTTATTTTATCCGCACCAGAGATATCATTCCGTCCGAAATGGCAAAGGTAGAAGCTGAAGGTATACAGTCCAAGTCACGATCATCTGCCAACAAGAAGCGGAGGCATTCAGTTGGTGACGACTTGGCATCGAGTGCCCGAGAGGCTCTTCTCAATGGCCCAAGCAGCAGCTCTCATGCTGCGAGGAGATCAAGTCTGACCAAGCCTGGCCGTGACAAGCTCGATGAGCCTGAAGGCAAGCGCCCAAAGCGCCACCGCAAAAAGCAGGACGACCGGGACAGCCGGGCGACGAGCCCTGTGATTGATTTTGACGGGCTGAGCCGACCCAGCGTGGGCACGCGTGCACGATTGGAGGAGAGCACTGAGGAGAAAGCTGATCGACTGGAGCGCATGAAGGGAGCTGTGCGGACACTGCTAGAATGCGTTGGAGAGAATCCCGACCGGGAAGGGCTCCTCGCCACCCCTCATCGGTATGCGAATGCCCTCTTGGACTTTACAGTGGGCTACCAGCAGAACGTGATGGATATCGTCAACTCGGCCATATTCGAGGAAGGCCACAACGAGATGGTCATCGTCAAGGACATTGAGGTCTTCTCCGTCTGCGAGCACCACCTGGTGCCTTTTACGGGCAAGATGCACATCGGCTACATCCCCAAGAACGCCGTGATCGGGATATCCAAGCTACCTCGGATTGCCGACATGTTTTCCCGGCGACTCCAAATCCAGGAGCGGTTGACCAAGGAGGTTGCCAATGCCATCTTTGAGGTCCTACAGCCCCAAGGTGTGGCGGTGGTCATGGAGTCTAGTCATTTGTGCATGGTGATGCGAGGCGTGCAGAAAGCCAGCAGCACAACTGTGACGAGCTGTGTCCTGGGCTGCTTTGAGCGCAAGGAAAAGACGAGAAATGAATTTCTGAGCCTCATAGGCGTGAACCGGGGATAGGAGCCCCGTTGATCGGCAAGGATTGGAGCCAAAGGCCGCGGATCCTGGAGTAAACAGAGGATCGGGTGGGTTCTAGTTTTGATTCACGCCCGTGTGAATCGATTGTTTGGAAGAGTGCCCTTGTCGATAGGAGGGGCATCAAAATTCAAAATGTACCCATGATTTTTTACCCTAAATCTATCTGAACCTCATGATTTATGGAATCCTATCATAAGTAGGGTTGCTTTTCTATTCTATCGAATCATATAAGTTGGTGATTGTTGCTCAAATTTCCAACAGGTTGCGCTTGGGCCCGCAGCTTCACGCATCTATCTTCTTGTCCAAGCTAACAGGATCGTCCGCCGCCTGCACCATTAGTCACATATACACACTCAGCGTGTTGCCTGATCTTGGGGTATACCCTTGTTTACGGCGAAAACCAAAAAATCGTAACACACACTGAGCGCTATGGCGACCCGTTCAGCCCGCACCTATGAATTCCCCGACGAAATATGCGCCGCTCTTGACTCCAGATCAACAGTCCGATTTGTTGTCAGAAGAAAGGCTGAGCTCGAATCTCGCCTTTCCGCGCCCGTCATCCAAGCTGCATCTAACAGGGCTGTCACGATAAGCAGGGCTCTTCTCAAGCAGATGGGACGGGAGGATGCCAAGTTCGACACGAAGATAGTCATGATCGAGCTGTTGGATGCTAAAACAACCGTCTATTTCTGTTTTGATATTTTCCTAGAGGAGTGCGACGAAGCAACTCGGCTCGAGATCTCTAACAGTACTCAGGAACCTGTCTACTACCTATACGTCACTGGGCAACGTTGTGTTGCCCGAAAGGATAGTAGACCGCAGCGGATAGTCGGGCAGCTGTTGGAAGATTGTCTCCGAAAAGATAAAGGGCCGCGCCCTTTTTTCCACGATGCTCTAACCCCATCGGTCTATGTTGGTGGTGTCCGCCTAGAATATGGGACTGAGGTTGTGGCGGTATCAACGACACAGGAACAGGTTAAAAACTCGGCAATCCAGCAGAAAACATTAGTCAAGGACAGTCGATCGGCAGGAGAGATCAAGATGGGGAGATTATGGAAGAGACAAGTTGTATATCTGGTGTCCTTTCTCTTCGCACACTTTTCGTTAACAGAATGGTAGAATATACATGCAAGTTTTATTTGGGTGTTATCTCAAGTCATTCTCTTATATTGAATTTTTCTCCCGTGTATCTTCAATCGATCAAGTGACTATAATTTCGAATATTAATTATATGAAGACTTATAAAGCCCTAGACGGTCCAGCCGGTAGGCAAGTGACAAGTGGCTGAAATGAACATAGCGTACTAAGCCTCTATCCAGCTTTGAATTTGGACACAACATCAAAACAATCAATCTAGTGATAAACATAATATACCTATACTAAATGTTCTAAAATATATATTATTGTTGTATTTAGTAGTATTAATGACAGCACGAAGACTTTAGCTTGCCCGAATGGAGTTCTGGTGTGCCATTTTACTATCCCAGTCGCTTGAGTTGAATGCATGGTGCTAGGGTGTTGTATAAAATGTCTGCCAATAATAATAATCGGGTAGACTCGCACGATAATCCCCTATCTGCTACCTTAGGCCAGTTGATGCTACCCGAATTAGATAGGAGCCATTTGCGCAATTACCTCCCTGTTACCTTCTGTACTGGACGATTCCTTATGTGGAACAGTGGCAAGCTGGAGGTTGCAATTGCCGACGGCTAGCTTTGGGCGAGGGTTACATCGTGGATATTCTGCCGAGAAATCAATCTTGGCTGGGCCAATTGTTGCTGCCGGCGCGCTCAGTGCATGGATGGCCCAGCCCACGCTCGGACCTAGAGAATCGTGGTGCCCAAGAATGCCAGGAAGCGATTCAGTGCCCACCCTTAAGGCGCGCTTAGCGGACAAGGGGTAGGAATCGTGCGGAGTGTGAGGCAGATGCGGCTAGGAACAAACGATTGCATGAATCGATGTGAGCCGTGTCGTGAGTCGTGTCGTGACAGCCGGCGGGGGACTGAGGTAGCACTGGACTTGGACTGACACGGGCAGTTAGGGGGGATCAGGCATTGGAAGCCAGGCCCCAGTGCCTCACCCTCGCTTCCACGCTCCTGCTTCCATTCCATCCGCCGCTATTGGATCTAACCACCGCCAACCGCTACCTTAGTCCATGCCATGGAAGGCACTACCTCCTAATTTCAATTTGATCGATGTTGCTACCCAAAGCTTCCAGGTCTGTGCCTGCTTTAGCCTCTCTGGGATGCAAGGCTCATGTGTTCTGCTGCGAAATAACTGTCTTCATGCATCCGCAGGAACTGCCCCGTGCTCAGGCACTCATGTAACCACTTATTTTTACCTACCATCACACCCATGTCTACCCATCGCGATCATGCTGGGTGGGAATGAGCGTGGAGAAACAGGCGTGTGGAACGGACAGAGCGCAAGCAAGGTTGGCCCCTTGTCACCAAACCACCAACGCCTGGCCTTTGTGAGTCAAGTACCCGAGTTTACCCTCCATCTCCTATAACTGCATGCCCGATGCCTTATCTATCCCGGCCTTCCTCACATTTGCGAAAATAAGGCCTGTGTTTTCTTCCCGACAAAGCCTGGCTGTCGCTATTCACTATACTACACTCCAGGGGCGGATTGGTCTGCCATGGCCTCGTCCCATTCCACGCCCTGTTGTGACATGATTAATTAATTGGATCGAGTAGGCCTGATATCTTGGCCGCCAATATTGATACCACCGGCTGCTGACCCCATCACACAACCAACCGTCCCAACGACATCAGCAGGCCATGGCACCTGATCTGGTCGCTCGGGTTCGGAGGAAGCTGTCAATGAGACGACACTCGTTTGCTTCATCCTTCTCGTTTGTTTCTTCAAAGAGTGCCGCCTCGTCGCTCCACGACGACCAAAACGAGACGCGCCCCGGACAGTTGTCGCCAGCCAGTTCCACCCTGCACAGCGCCGCTGGGCGCCCCGGTTCAAGGATCAACAAACGTCGGTCACAACAAATGCGCGACCCGTCTCCAGATGCATCTTGCAGCATGCCGCCGGAGTCGGCATCTGACAAACAGCAGGACCCAGAGGGTGAACGGAAGCAAGACGATCACGATGCTGAGCTCCTCTCGGCAGAGCAGCCGAGCCTAATTGCTGCTAAGCTGCAGGGCACCGATGGCGCTGAGCAGGCTAAAGCCGCCGATCAGCTGGGGGATTCAGCCACTGCTGGAGATGCAGCCAGCAGCCACAGCAGGAGCAGGAGTGCTAGTCCTACCAGGTCCGCCCACATTCCGCAGCAGCGCCAGCAGCAGCCACAGCCTGAAGCTGAGGCTGCTGGCGAACATTCTTCCCCTCCGCTAGAACCACCCAACAATCAACACCCATCTCTGCCATCCCAACTATCGCCGCTGCCCACCCAGCTACACAGCATTGACGAGGCACCAAGCCCTCCGTCACCCCGTTCACCGCCAGAACGCTCGGCCAGCCATTCTCCTGTCCAGCATTCCGTCGCCGACGGCGCTTGCGACACCTGGGCCAGCTCCTCTGCCTCGCCCGCCAATGACAGCGGAAGAGTTGCCCGCCGCCGAGACAAGACACCCGACACGTTGTCTCTGAATCTCCACGATAATAATAAATCCCTTCTGGCAGCTGAACCACCCAACGTCGACACACCTGCCTCCCCCAACATCCGGACCCAGCTACCTATACGGCGCCAGAGCCTGCTGAGCAATCGTCAGTCGAATTTGATCCATTCTCTTCTGGGTGCATATGATACCGAAGACAACGGCAGCGGTCTGCCTCCTCTCGACATAGTTGCCAAGATGGCACAGCGCAAGATCTGGGTAAAGCGACCTAACGCTTCGCCTACTCTGGTCATCGTTAACGAGGACGACCTGGTCGACGACGTCCGCGGAGCGATTTTGCACAAGTATGGCAATTCGCTTGGCCGAAGCTTCGACGCCCCCGACTTAACACTCCGAATCTGCCCCCGCGAGCAACCACAGCGTGAGCGTATTCTCGGCCCAGAAGAGCCCATCTGCCGCACCTTGGACACCTGCTTCCCTGATGGTCAGCGTGTAGACGAGGCTCTCATCATCGACATTCCTGCTCGCCGAACGCCGAGACCGTCCCCGCGAATCCAAGCTGGATATTACATCAATGACGAAGGCCGGCCATCAGAGGCTGCCGAGGGCTATTTCCCACCTGTTGGTGGCATACCTTCACCCCATCATACCGTCACCGTCCAGCCACCAACTAATGGAACAGTCCCTCACTCAATCGCCGTTATTGGCACCGGTCACATCCCTCCGATCCCGTCGCCTGGTGGCACGCGGCCGCGAGTCGTCAGAGAACGCACCAATCGACCCAGGATCACAAGAACACAGACATCCTCGCCGTCATATGTAGCGGCCCACCCCCAAGGCGCCTCAAACTCCGTCGACAATACCAACTACGGCCACGGTACGCAGCACTACACCTCACGACCTTCTCATTCGCGGGCCCATTCGAATTCCTCGGAGTATCAAAAGGGCTTGCCACCGCCAACAAACCCTATAACCTCCTCCCCAGGACCTATCATCTCGCATGCGCGCTCCTCGACTCCCCCTCCCCGAATCTCCTCCCCTCGCCCGAACGCAAACCGTAAGAAGTCTAGGAGAACAGCCGAATACCCCTCCGCACAACCCGCCATCAATGTCGGTGTTCCACCCATTAATGTCCTTATCGTAGAGGATAACCCCATCAACCTGAAGCTGTTGGAGGCCTTTGTCAAGCGGCTCAAGGTTCGGTGGCAGACGGCAATGCACGGCCAGGAAGCGGTAGATAAATGGAGAACGGGCGGCTTCCATCTGGTTTTGATGGATATTCAGCTCCCGGTTATGGATGGCTTGGACGCAACACGTGAGATCAGACGACTTGAGCGCGCCAACAATATCGGCGTGTTCTCATCTTCGGACGGCCTGCCGGAAGAATCCGATGGCGACCTCAAGGAGCAAGACCGACTGCAAAATAAAGAGCTGTTCAAGAGCCCAGTCATTATCGTGGCCCTGACAGCGAGCTCGCTCCAGAGTGACAGGCATCAGGCGTTGGCCGCTGGTTGCAATGATTTCTTGACAAAGGTAAGTACTTCATCTCCCCAAACAGGTACCGACCAATACACGATGGGCAATAGACTGACAACAGATTAGCCTGTCAACTTTGTGTGGCTTGAGCGGAAAGTTATGGAGTGGGGCTGCATGCAGGCGTTGATCGATTTTGACGGCTGGAGAAAGTGGAAAGACTTCTCCCAATTAAACCAAGAAAGTGAGGCATCCAAGAAAGCAGCCGCTGCTGCTAAGGCCAAGGCGACGAAGAAGAAGAACCGTTCGTCACTTTCGACATACACTTAAATACCTGGACCCGGTCTGGTGCAGCTCATTGCTCATTACCTGCCTGACAACATAATACACGAATTACCGAGCGAATGCCAGTTTGGGCAAACCGGTATCTGATTTCGACTGGCACCGTCGTTTGTTTGTTTCTTAGAACAGCATATGTAGCTGTTGGGATACCCATAGACCGAGAATGGAGAGGCGTTATGAAGGCTCCCCTGAATACGATATTCTTAAAGGTTACCACGGTGCGAGGTTTTCTCAACATTGCTCTGGCTGATGAACATGAGATCTATGATATTTAGTATTACCCCGGTGCCGGAGCGTATGGTCTCTATCAACATGCTGTCTTCCTTTTTGTCTGATTTTGTTTTGTTGTGGGCTGTGATTGGCAAGGATTATACTGAAGGAGATACGTAGTAATATTAATAACCTACGCCTCTTCAACTGAAGCGGCTGGAGAGGTTTGATACAATCCCTCAATCAAAATGTTCCCCAGATGACTAGTACTACTATTAAATGTTTGGCATAGCATGTTGCGATACTAAGGTACGATAATACTGATTTTTGGGTGGAGCATGAGTGGCAGGAGGGAAGTGGCGGGAGCGGATAATCTAATTTGCCGTAGGCGATGAATTTTGCGCTTGCTCAACGACAAGAGCAGCTTCACCTCTCCATAATTGTCACACCCACGACAGACATCCCAATTTTGCGATTCAGTCGAAGGGGCATGCGGTGCAATTGAGTTCCACTCGTGTGAACTCCAATTGACCATGGCTCCCAGAATATGCGGCACGTCAACGACGCTGGCGTCGCTCGATGCATGCCTCCAGACCTCCAGCCGCCTCGCTGCCCACGCGACGAGATCCTTTTCCTTAACATGCCGAAACGAAAAGATTACCAAAGGCCGCTATGAGATGGTCAAATGGATCAAGGAGAAGGCCACGAATAATTTCGACAAGAATCATCCCACGTATCTTGGCCCCCATGTTGACCAACCTTTCCCGTCAAACCCTCTATTCCGCAGTCAAAGTGTGTTGTCGGAATCGATGAAGAACAGGATCTATACGCAGGTAATGGACCACGGTGTGGCAATGAAGGCCGTGTCCGAAGAGATGCAGGTCGATGTGAGGAGAGTGGCCGCCGTCGTACGATTGAAAGAGCTCGAGAACCACTGGAAACTTGAGGTGAGTTTGCCCTCGTCGTCTCAACCGGACGCTCTCTTTTCCCACCCTTATCTCCCAATTGTGTGCAATGATGAGACCATTATAAAATTTTCGATTAGTCTTGAAGACACCCACATGGTTAAACAATTTTTTTTTCCTGATCTGCCACGCCTTTTATCATCTGTTATTACATTAATTTCACCTCGACGACATTGTTGCTAACATGCGACGCTACCAAACAGGGCAAGAAATTCGCAACCCCATATGCCAAAGCCGTCATGAAGATGCTCCCCCAATCCAAGTGGGCTCAAGGCGATATGAACATCCCCCACGAACCCATCAACGACATCCCAGTCCACAAGCTCTCGATGCAGCAGCTCTTCGTACCAGTCTCCGAATCGCGCCACTTCACCCGTGAAGATGCCGCCAAGGCTTTCCACGAGGGTCTCCTGTCGGCCGACAAGCGATCGCCCCAGCGCGAGCTGATTGAGATCGAGCGCCAGGCCGCCGAGGAGGGCGGTGATCGGGCTACGAGCATCGAGGAGTTCAGGAAGGAAGCACAGGAGGCCGAGGAGGAATACGCGGCCGAGCTGGCCCGGAAGAGCGAACTAGAGGCTGCGAGAATCAAGAAGCAGCACAAGGGGCGATTCGAGTTCAGGATCAAGAGGTACAATTCCGAGACCGTGGGCAAGTACGGCAGGGCGCGCGATGCCACCGGCTGGCGGTACGGTCAGGCTCTCCAGGACCGCAAGCGGGGGATGGTCAAGATCCCCACGTCTGTTCCTTGACGGAGATGGTTGCTGCATTTGGGAGAGCGATCGTGTATGATCATATGACTTACAAAGGTGGACCGAGCTGTGTCGACGATTTGTCCAGCCGAGTAATGGGTTAAAACGGCCACCGGATATGACAGCTGTATACTACTACAAAAGGGGTTCATGTATACTATATAAATCTAGCGTCGTGGTTTACCACTTGAGGGCTCCGCGCTCGTTGAATGATGATGATGTTGTTCCGATATGTCACGTTGGATGCTATGCTGATAGCATAATTGATTGTATCAACGTACCATTATATGTTTGCCTTTGCTAACAGTGCAACAGACTATAATTAGTTTATAATTAATTAGAATATGAAAAAAAGGGTTCGCAAGTAATCGACGATCAACACCGCCACAACAGAGTAAGCCGTGGTGAGTCACAACACTATCCACCATGTACATAAAACCATCAGCGCGCCCGCCCCGGGGAGAACTCAGGATTACCAAAGAGAATAATTCAATTCGAGGGCATAATGGACTGCCACAGACCTTCTACATCAATCTGATTCGTTAAACCTCCACGATGTGTGGCCAAGATCTAGAAGCCGAGGCGCCCCGCGTCTTCGGCGACGACTTCCCATGGCACCTCGGCGTGTTTGACGTCCACAACCACATTGGCGAACTCGCTCCATTGGCCGACAGGATACCCAGAATGCGATCCCGCGGAGTCGCCATCATGGCCACCCGCACGCAGGACCAGCCGCTGGTCGCCAAGATGGCAGAATCGTACGGCCTGAAAGAGGCGGGTCAGCTCTCGGCCGCGGATGCCACGACTGTTGTCCCCGGGTTCGGCAGACACCCCTGGTTCTCGCACGAGCTGTACGAAGATACCGTCGAGGCGCCAACCTTCTCACCGCCGGAGACTGATGCGGGATTGGAGGAGGCCAAGATGGCGCACTACCGCGCCGTCCTCACGCCGCCGCCAGACGACCCGGCCTTTGTGGCGGACCTGCCGACCCCGGAGCCTTTGTCCGAGTTCATCTCGGCGACCAGGGACAGGCTGAGGAGCCACCCACTGGCTATTGTGGGCGAGATAGGGCTGGACAAGCCCTTCCGCCTCGCGCGGCAGTGGGAACCCGGCGCGAAGGCTGCGCGGGCTCTGGCTCATCCGGATCGCACACCGGGGGGTAGGGGCCGCCGCCCCCTGAGCCGCCATAACGTCAGCATGGCGCACCAGAAGGTCGTGCTGCTGGCTCAGTTGAGGCTGGCGGGGGAGATGGGCCGCGCGGTGAGCGTCCACGGCGTGCAGGTGCACGGGGTGCTGTTTGATCTGCTGGTGGGCTGCTGGAAGGGCCACGAGCGGAAGGGCAAGACGTCGCGGCGAAAGAAGCAGCAGCTAGAGCCGGATGGTCCCTCTTCTGAGACTGAGAGGGCCTCCTCGGCTGATGGAAGGGAGGAGGCACTGCCGTACCCGCCGCGGATATGCCTCCATTCGTTCAGCGGGAAGGCGGAGGCGGTGCGGCAGTACCTTAACCCCAGGTTCCCGGCGACGATATTCTTCTCGTTCTCCAAGTCGAACAACATGCGGGATGAGGCGGGGCGGGCGAAGATGCGGGACGCGCTGGGCACGGTGCCGGACGACAGGGTGCTTGTCGAGAGCGACATACACGAGGCCGGGGACAGGATGGACGGCGACCTGGAGGACACGTACCGGGCTGTTTGCGCGTTCAAGGGGTGGACGCTCGAGGAGGGGGTGGGGAGGATTGCGCGGAACTACAGACATTTCATCTTTGGGGAGGACGAGGAGGCTTCATAAGGTTGCCATCTCCGGTTGAGAGTTTGTTTTGGTGTACCTAAGGTGTATATAGCAACAAGATCGATACCTATAGAAGAGCCGTATGTCATATGAAGCAAGGTATGTCAGTGAGGCATAGGGGAGTGGTCTAAAAAGCAACCCTTTGGCTATGCGGAGCTCTTTTCATGCGATTTACCTTTGAAGCAGGAAACTTTTGAGTGATGGGCTTCCCCATCGTCGCATGTAGAGTTGGGTGACGCAAGGCCATCGAGCCTTCGTCATATCCTCGACGGCCTGTGGCCGTCTAAAGTCTTGTTGACCTTGTTCAAGTAGCTCGTTCCCTTGGGCGAATTCTAAAATCTTTCTTGTACACGTGGAGGGAGAATTAGGTGTCAAAAAGTGTGATCAAAAGTCCTGAATGCCTGTCTCACGAGCGCTTGCACCGCTGTGAGGGGCCTTGGCCTCGTCGACGTCGTCATCGTCATCCACCCAGCTGGGTTCTTCCTTGTCGAACCAACGGTCCTCGGCATCTTGGATCTCCATGGCGTCGTACCCCTCATCGTCGTCGACAAGGCTGTAGTCGAATTCATCATCTCGTCCATGCACGAAGCGGTCTTCGAGAAACGCTCGCCACAGCTCGATGCCTTCCTGCTTGTCGCACGCATCATCATCCCAGGCATCTAGTCCGCTCGGCATCGAAGCCGGGCCATTCTTAACCGTACGGTCTTGTGCGCTGTCAGAGGCGGAGGCGCCGTTGCCCTGCTCCTCGGCGCGCAGGTTCGCCAGCGTTGTCTCACCTCGGACGAGAGACGCCTCGAGGGTGCGGCCATAGCCCTTTGCCTTGACATCCTTGCTGCGTTCCTCGGCAGATTGGAACCTCTTTACCAGGCGCTCATAGATGACGGGATCTTCGCTGATATATTAGATGCTCTATCTTTGCACTGGCACTCGGGGGTGGCTTGAGTCCTACCTGCGAGCTCATGTTCTATGTTGTCATAGTATGAGGGATGCTGCTGCAGGTATTCGCGGCGTCGGTTCTGCGCCCTTATTCGGGCGACAGAGGCTGGGGATCTGGTTGTAGCTCTTTCTAATGGAGCCATGACGGCAAGCAGGGTGGTTTGGATTGATGAAGTGTTTGAGGAGAAATCAACCAGTCATTACAGCTGGTTCTGCGGATGCGAAACGGAGGTCAAGGCGAAATGGGAAAAGTGGAGTGGAGGGTACAAATTACCAGCTCTTCACTCAGCATTCATCATCAACTCAATTGAAAAAATGACTGACACACTCGATTGATTTCGCCTACTCATAGCTTCCACTGCCTCGGGCCTGCGGCATTTGTTTGTTGGAGTAAACAGCTGGCTGAGATTGATGATCCCAAGATGGGTTCGATCGTTTTTTGAATGAGAAGTATCAATCCGGGGAGACACTAGGGTATTTGCACGGGCGTTCACCTCGTATTTTTTTTATTGCATTGGAATTTTAAAATTGAAAAGACCCCATTAATATCTTTTATCACTTGAATACTGCATAGGTTGGGAGCGAGAAAATATTTAGTGACATGGTTTTCTTACGATATATGTAGATACTATGGGGAGCACAGGTCAAGTATCCTCTCACTGAGGAACATTCAATAGTAATATGGAACTTTTAGTCAATTTTCCGGAATAAAATGTCGTCTAGCTATTTTGATACCAGATTCTACGCCAACGAGCACAATAAACAGGGAGTAGGAGGATGCCAGGCTTGTAGCTTTCGTATTACACTTGCTCGACTCACTGTATCTAAGGACAAGAGCCTTCACTAATCCTACTAAACTCGCATACAAGATCTTCAGACTCCCAATGAAGCATTGCATGCGACTGTCATCGGCCTATTTTCGTATACAGGCTGCTACTCAACATCGTAGTTGAACAAAGGCCGTATATAAGACAATCAAGCGTACAAGTAGCTCCATACCTCGGTATATTGTCTAAAATCTACTACAATTTCAAATAGATATCACGACATTACCCTACTGCGTTATCATGTGTTCTCAGTGAATTGATTGAATAGTTCGGGAAAATCCTCATCGAGAAGAGTTGTGGCACAGATTCTTCTCGTACCTAGTGACCAGAGTACATGTATATATAAGCAGAGCCAGAACCAAGTTTCGTGCGCCAGATGGGCTATGAGAACAAATGATAGTCTTGGATTCCAAGCAAGTTTATTGTTGGTTTTTACGATCCGAAATTCATATTGTATATCTATTGAGCTGCCATTTAATGGATTGCAGGCTGAATTTGGTGGTGTTCAGTGAGATTTCCCACTATATTCGACATACCCTATACCGCATCACCACCCACGAAATTAATGCAAGCTAATTATCAAGGGTAATTGCCTAGGTTATCAAGTATCCGCGGATGTATTGGTGATCAATGTCAATTTGGTCTATGCTGTTGACGTGGGAGGGATGGTCAGATGGAAGTCGTGCTCGATGTCTCTGAAAGGTTACCAGAATTTGCGTAGTCAGCAGTCGAGGTCCCCCCATGAATTACGAGCTACCCGGCGCCCGTCTGAAACTGCCCAACATGGACGCGACTGCATGCTGACATCGGGTACATGCACGCTGGGCATTGGTGGCAAGGACTTTTGTGGACTTTGCCCCCCTCAGAACAACTTGGCAGTTTGGCAATATGCTTATCAATGGGGACTTCTCGAGCATCTTTGAATTTGCCTGCGGCCCCTGGTTTGTTCCATTTGGCGCTGGTTGGTCTGGGCAGTCGCCGCCTCCGGGATCAGCGTGTACTAGCAGACCGCTAACAACCGCTAACGACGAGGTTTGCAGCGGCTGTGGAAATACGCTGTGGGGGGTTAATTGGTGGTTGCGAGGAGGTGTGCTGTACCCTCAAAGTGGCGGCCATCGCTGTTTCGAAGCAGAGCGAGGCGTCAGCTAGGGTTTATTGTCTGGGTGGCTGCCACCGTGCTGGATTTTCCATGGCTTCACATCTGTACTTGATCGCAGTGGGTCCATTGCCAAGCGTGCCCCCGCCTTTCCTTCGCGTATAGATCAAGTGTGCAGACGAGCTGGACCAGCTGGGAGATGAGCCAACACTCGTATGCGCTCGCACCAGCCAATTGTCCCACCAGCTGAGCTTGGCACAGAGCCAGTGCCATCCAGCTGACAGGCCCGACATGTGTGGCTGGCCCACATGGACTGGCGGTGGTCCAGACCTCCCACGAGCGGTTTAGCTGGCAGAGCTGAACAATGGTGTCAACCGTAGTCCTCTCACTGTCCTCTCACTCTCTCTCACTGCCCACGGGCGCAAATTCCCTGTGTGTGCCTCCCCTGCTTTCAAGGTTGAGGCGGGTGCTACGGATGCCCGGCCCCCCGCCAAGAGCGTTTCAGTGGGATTGGGCCTTGGTGCTGTGCACTGCCGCCCTCGTCAATGTCATGGGGTCGTCCAGTCCGCCTCATATCCTCATCTATTGACGATGTGAGCCTTGGGCGGTCTTACTAGTGCTCGCCTGTGCGAGGAGTCCAGCCTGTGCGCCGGCCAATCGCCATCATCCGCCCAAGATGCTAGCAGGCAAACTCAGGCTCTTGCACGACTCGGATGGAGGGCTAGCACCCAGATCTGAAGCCTCTAGCTGTCAGCCCTACCCACTCTATTCAATTTCAGGCACGGGTGTTGACCATCCAGGTCGGCCGTCATCCCAGCTCGCCAGCCCCAGTGGCAGCCATGCGCCCCTGAGATGGGTCAATGCCCGGGGGTGGGTTGCCAACGAGGGGCCGTAGTGTAGTGTACTTAATCTCGACTACCCAGCTGTTGTTTTGTCCTGGTCCGATCTTGTTGTGGTCCCAGATTGATCGTTGATTGATTGTTCGTTCGATCGGTTGGCTGGTTGATCCGTTGGTCGACTACACTCACTCACCCACAGCACAATGCTCTCAACAACGTTATGGGCGGCGGCCCTCGCAGCCTTTCAATTAACCATCCCAGTTGTTGCCCAGTCGCAGAATGATCCCTGCCGGATTGTCGCGAGGAGTCAGCTGGAGGCGGCGAGCAAGATCAAGATCCAGAAGACAGGAGACATTCTTCTTGCGCCATTCGATGCTGAGACCGCCTTCAAGTGCGCGACTTCAGTGCCCCTAGATAACGATGAAGCTGCTACGACCATACAGATTCTCAAGCTGTACTATGGACTCCAGACCACCATTCCCTACCTAAAGAACCCCCCCAAGTCATACCAGCAGCCGGCAGTGGATGTCATGGGTCGCTTCGACGACATCGCAGACAAGATCAAGAAGAAGACGTACAAGAATCAGTATGAACTAGACATCGACATTAACTCTATCATCATCGACACACACGAGGGCCACTTCCAGTTCGCGGCCGGCGTGATCCAGATCTTCCAATGGATTCTGCCTGACAGCCTTGTCACCATCTCTTCCGACGGCAAGGCCATTCCCCAGGTTTACACTTACTCTGATGTCTACAACAAGGTCCCGAATGCTTCGCCCGTGGTCGAGATTGAGGGCGAGACCGTATTCAACTACCTTCGCAACTACACCTCGCGCACCAATGCCCTGGGCTTGGTTGATCCCCATGCCGATTACAACGCCATGAATCTCAACCCGGCCTACCAGTTTGGTATCTCAGGCGCTAGCACTGGCCTGTCTTACTATTTCAACTCCTTCCAGAGCACCTATGTGTACAACGGAAAATCCCTCAAGGGCCGTTTCGCCAATGGAACGAACTTTGAGTGGGAGTATGTTGCGGGATCCAGTGCCAACCTGACGGCCAGCGGCTGGCTCAGCGGCGACAGTATTTACAGCAGGAAGATCGTGAACAGACAGGCCCTGTCTGGCAGAACTGACATTGACGATGAGGATGTGGTGCCCGTGCCTGAGGAGGAATTGCCGAGCCTGCAGAACTTGGTGCACGGACGAGGTGTGACCATCAACACCCGAGCTACCACTTCCCTCACCAAGGTCCCCTTCGACAGCTACCCCAGCAGTCCCGACACCAAGCAGGACTCCTTTGGTTTTGGCGGAACCGTGTCCGGATACATCCTCAAGGATGCCTCCATCGGAGTGCTGAGTCTTCCAAGCTTCGCTAATGGCAAAGACGCACCTGGGCCTACTTTCAGCGACGCCGTTGCCGACTTCATTAGCAAAGCCAAGAGTGCAAACGTGAAGAAGATCGTCATCGACCTCTCGGGCAATGGCGGAGGCTCTGTCTTCCAGGGTTATGATACCTTCAGGCAGTTCTTCCCTACCGTCGAGCCAACACTCGCTTTCCGCACCCGCAGCAGCGACCTCTCCAACACATACGGATCTTTCCTTACCTCCGTCTCTACAGACAGCGGCAGGGTCTTCAGCCAGAACTACATCCTGGCCATTGCCAAGACCTTCGGTAATGTCGCCTCACTGAACTCTGCCTTCACCACCAAGACGGATGGCAGCAGGTGGTCTTCCTGGAAGGACTTCTACGGCCCCAACGACGTCTACGGCGACAAGTACTCCAACCTCGGGTACTACAACCTGTCCAGCACCCTCATCGCTAGCGATCTGGGCCAGTACGTCACCGGATACGGCTCCAGCTCCACCCCCAAGCAGCCCTTCGACGCCAAGGACATCATCCTGCTCCACGACGGCCACTGCGCCAGCACCTGCACCATCTTCTCCGAGCTCATGAAGGTCGACGGCGGCGTCAAGAGCGTCGCCGTGGGCGGCATCCCCCAGAACGGCCCCATGCAGGGCGTCAGCGGCACCCGCGGCAGCAACCTCCAGAAGCTGGACCTCTACAGCGCCATCACCGAGAACATCGTCGAGGCCGCCGCCAGCTTCTCCAACAGGGACACCTTCCTCAAGACCACCGGCCTGAGCACGAGCGCCATCCAGTCCCTGCCCAAGACGCTGGCCGAGGCGCCCTGGACAATGACGGGCGGCGTCAACGCCCTCGACGAGGTCCGCCTCTCGAGCCCCAACGACCCGCGCCAGTTCGTCTACGAGGCGTCCAACTGCCGCATCTTCTACACGGGCGACATGGTCCGCGACGTCACCCAGCTGTGGATCGCCGCCGGCAAGTACGCCAACGGCGACACGTCCGTCTGCGTGCCCGGGTCCCAGGACGCCCCCGGCTCCGGCCGCAACAAGACCGTCACCGACTACCCGGGCTTCTCCCACGACGAGGTCTGGGACAAGGCCAACTCGACGGCCGTGCCCAGCGTCTCCGGCGGGGGCGACCAGGAGGACTCATCCTCCTCGGCCGGGTCGGCGGTGCGCGTTGGGCTGGCGGGTGTGCTGGGCCTGGCGGTCGCCGCGGCCGTCTTGTTATGAAAATAGTGTATATGATTTTAAGATAGAAGTACATTTTCTAGAAGTGGACTTGCGAAAGAAACGGGCATTTTATGATACATAGCGAGCATATTAATTGGATGGCCATTTTTTTGGTTGCTCTTTGAAGCAGTCTACCATTTTTGATGACCGAAGCGGTCCGTTGAGATCTTTTGCGTGCATCTTTGAGTTATGTTCCAATATTTTCCGCCATCTCGTGAAGTTTATCTGTGCTTAAACTGGTGAACTTGGCACCCCACACACATTTGATCTCCTCTTACTGCTTGTTCGTTGAGGGATCACTAGGGGAAGGATGCTTGGTGGTATGCGCGGGTCCATGAGTTGAACCAGACATTGCGAATGGTCTCGATGAACCCAGAGATATGCGCTGCTACTGAAACTTCTGCTGAAATCGAATCAGGGGATGAAGGGAAATCTTTCTCTTCAGGTTGTTTCACGCATCCTTGAGTTCTGTTCCAAACTTTCCTCAATTTGGTGAAGTTAATCTGTACTTGAACTGGATTCCAGTCTATTTTTCTAGCTGTTGTACGATTCTGCCATGACCGGATTTATCCACCACGTAAAGCCTACCGTTGCCGTTCTTTATGTCATCAAAATCCCGAAATTTCTCTAAAAATACTGTCTTGCTCTCTAGTCGGCCTCCCTTCGCTCCTTCTTGCTGTCTCGAAACATGAGAGGCAGCTCGGGGTCGTAATCATGGAACCAGTGGCGCCCTGACCATACTTCCTCCACAGGGAGTTCCTTGTTTGCCTGCACGGATTTGGCATGCTGCTCAACTTTGGACCAGACACGCAAGATATTATCCCCAGCCAGACCACGGATCTGGCTATCTGTGGCACCGCGTTTCATCAATAGTTGAATAAGGTTAGGGTATTTCGAAGTATCCTAATGAAGAGCATCAGTGAGAATTAGATAGGGTGAGTAAATGAAACAAGAAACGCTTGGGTGGGCTATACCTCCATTCCTCTGGGCACGTCGATTGTTCCATCAAAATCGGAACCGAGACCAACGTGCTGCCAGCCAATGAGATTCGCAATGTGGAAGATGTGGTCGGCAATATCGTGAATCGTCGTCTGGTCAGGATGATCTTTGTTCAGGAAATCATTGACGAAGCAAACCATGATGACTCCGTCATTCAGTTTCAAACTCTGGAGCACGTCGTCGGGGGCGTTTCTTAGATGCCGGGAGATGGAGAAGGCTCCGGAGTGCGAGAACATGACGGGCGCCTTTGCAACCTTGAGCACATCGCGCATGGTTTGCGGCGAGACGTGGGACAAGTCAACGAGCATGCCCAGTCTGTTCATCTCCTGCACCAGATTGTGGCCAAGAGAGGACAGCCCGCGGTCGATCTCACCGGCCGCCACGGAAGTTGCCGACGTAGCAAAGGGGGTATCGCAGTTGTGAGTCAATGTGAGGTAGCGGGCTCCAAGGCTGTACATTTGTCGAAGGGTGGCGATGGAGTTTCCGATCTGGTGGCTTCCCTGGGTGTTTGGAAGAGAGACTGTCAACGCACAAGAGAAATAAGGGGATGTATCGTGCAGAAATGAATCGTAAGCCTACCTCGATTCCAATCATGCTGGCAATCTTGCCGGATGCAAATGCGGATCGAACACAGGCTGCATCGCCGCAAAACTGCAAGTCGTTCGGGTGTTTTGCGATTAGACGCCCAACGACATCTATCTGTTCGAGCGTGTCACGCACCACCCACTAAGATTATTTAGTATCAAAGAGAGAAGGACTAAATTCGGATTTTGGGATTTCAACGAAAGCGAAAACTTACAGTTGGATCGTCTAGTTGTGGCACACCGTCGCTTTTGCATTCAACGAAGACGCTCCAAAACTGCCCGCCCATCTGACCAGAACGCATCTTGCCAAGGTCTGTATGGCTCAGCAGATGACCCGTAAAGTCAAATCGTGGGCTGTAGATTTTGTTCTTCAGCTCCTGACGAATGACGTATGGGAGGTCATTGTGACCATCGATCAACGGCGTTGTCGATAGGACTTGTCGTGTCCTCCCCATATAGTCATCAGCTCGGAGTTGTGGTGCGAATGGGAGCACTCGGCTAAACAAGGAGATGGAAACAGCGAAAAGACCCAGCACGCCGGAATAGAAATACTTGCTGAACCCGTTCTGTCCCCTGTTCCGGACAACTAACGCCCGCGATTCTGATGTAGCAGCGTCATTCTGGGCGCTAGAGTCTGCGGATCGCTCCTCTGGGGGCAGCTCTACATGCGTGCTAGTATCTGACATGATTGGCACTTTTCGAATGAATGAAGCGTTTGAATTGTGTATTTTTGTTGTTTTCTTTTGCGTTTTTGAGTTGGTGAACTATTTTCTATAAGCCTCCACTCTTTTTCACCTTCCTTTTCCGTCTCGCCGAGTCACCTAAAATCCGTCGACCGGCCGTGGCAGCGATGATCGTTTTTATTTCCGAATTCTCTTTTGAAAATAAGGAGGATTGATTGATGTGGAATATTTTGAGCAGGAAAAGAGATTCTTGGGTTTTGAAACCCCATACTGTCTTTCGACTCTTTCGAGATGGCCTAGTTCAGAGAACTGCTATATGATTTCATACCACGATGTCACATTCTTAAGTCTGTTGAGAAATATCGCCTATCAAATCTCGGATAAACTAATATGAGAGCAAGACATAATTGGTATTTTGTGAATATGCGTGAGTAAGTTAGGCTAATGTCTAGTATATCGAGGTCCGAGATGTATAGCAAGGCAGTCTACCAACCAACTTTTTGTTCGAAGCATCCGAATATTTGGCAGCCAATATCGCCCGGTATTCGAGGAGAAATCAGATGATAGGCAATACATCTAGCTCTTAGGTTGTCATATGCTAGTTCATAGGCCACTACGTACCTTGACTGGGAAAAGGCAACCGAGGGATGAGACACTTCACACTAAGGGGCCACTTATGTCGGCATGTGTGCGGATACAGTGGCAATCATATTGAATTTGTACAATTGAGTGAAGCATGGTATATGGCTATCGCTAAGGCAGAAAACTACTCGAAGCACTTACAATCTATGCATTCTCTACATTCACTGCGCTCCCCTTTCCAAGATCCGCCTCGACCGCAAACTGGGCCTGCAGAATCTCCCTCTCCTCCTGTGCGGAGCTGTCGTTGAAGACATCGTCCATCTGCTCCAGAGTCTTGCCCTTGGTCTCGGGAACCAAGAAGTAAGCCCAGGCCACGGCAATGTAGCACCACGCACCAAAGAAGATGTAGGTTCCGTATCCGATCTGCTCGAGCATGGGGGGCGTGGCGATCCCGACGATGAAGTTGCAGATCCAGACCGTCGCGGTGGCAAGGGCGACACCCTTGGACCGGCTGGCGTTGGGGTAGACTTCGGCGGGGAGGGCCCATCCGAGGCAAGAGTAGGAGACGCCGTAGATAAGGACGAAGAGGAAGGCCATGGCTGCGGCGGCCCAGCCGGCGGCAGGGTTGGCAGACCAGTCGCGAGAGTACAAGCCTGAAAGGATGGCCATGACGGTCCACGCGATGCCACCACCGAGGGCACCCCAAATAGCGAGAGGTCGACGGCCGACCTTGTCAATGATAGTGAAGCAAGCTATGACGGCTACAAGTTGGAGAACGTTGAAGACACCGGACATGATGAGCGACATTTCTTCGCTCTGGCCCAGGGATTGAAACAGGGTCGGTGCGTAGTAGATGAAACCGTTGATACCTGAGAACTGCTGGAAGAATGCGACTCCGACTGCAACATAGGTGCGGCGCAGGGTTGGGCCGCGGAAGAGGTCGAGCCAGCCGAGAAGTTCGAGCTGGAGCCAGCTCTTTCCGGGATGATTCTTCGCCTGGACGGCACGCTGGACTCTCACTTCGGTCATGATACCGACATGTTCAGCCTGGATGCGTGAGTCGGTGGGAGGGAGACGGCGGAGGCGCTCGAGAGACTTTAGAGCATCATCGGATCGGTCGACGAGGGCGAGCCATCGGGGAGAGTAGGGGAAGAAGAGAATACCGATGCCGAGGAGGGTGGATCCAACCATCTGGAGGCCGAAAGGAAGACGGAAGGCAATTTCACCCTCCATATGGCGAGTGCCGTAGGTAATGAAGAAGGATATTACTACGCCAGAGACGATCGAGATGGATTCGAGGACAAGAAGGGTACCTCGCAAATTGGGAGGCGCGACTTCAGAAATGTAGATCGGTGCACCCTATATTGATTTGGAGGTGGTCAGATAACGTTGCTAAGTCACGAAGGAAAGCATCTCTGGTTTTGATATTCATGTAGGGTGCACTAAGGACGTACCATGGCAAGAGTTCCAACTCCAATACCGCCGATCGTTCTACCAGCAACCAACACTTCGTAGTTGGGTGCGGCGGTTTGCATAATAGCACCAATATTGAAGATGACGACGACGAAGACGAGAGCTTTTTTCCGAGAGATTTTGTCGGCAAGAGCAGGCATGAAGATACAACCGATGAAGGCGCCAAGCTCCAGCATAGCCGTCATCAGACTTTTACCAAAAGCTGTTTCAGCGCGAGGGAAAACAGCATGGAACTGAGACATGACATTGATGATGGAGATAACACCCTGGTCATAGCCAAAGGAGAAGCCTCCGAGGGAGGCGAGAAGAGCGGCTCCGCAAACATATGGCGAGTCGAGGACACCCATGATGCCGTTACGGCCGTAAGAGACATCTTCGGATGGGTTGAATGAGATGATTGGGGCCTGTTGATTGGGGTTTTCGACATTCTCCACGGAGGGCCGCTCCGCGTTGGTGGCCTTTTTGGACAAGCCGCCAGCCATGGTGACTAGTTGTGACTGTTGACCAAAACAAAGAGAGTGATCTGAAACTTGAATGAAAAGGGCCAAGTGCGTTTACCTCTAATCGACTTGGTCGATGTGGTTTGAAACTAAGAGACGGACTGTGAGGGGGTGGGAGGAGGCTGCCTACTTATAGTCAAAATTTTTCGTAGTCGAGCAAGATGTGGTGCGTAAATTATCGAGACTACATCGCGGATGGCTTGGCTTAGCTTGAGAACGGGCCTCCTCCACCCGGTGACATGAATCGCTCAAAACCCTCGCCCGCACAGACTGGCTGTCTGGATGGACAGAGGATGACGCGAACGGCATGGTATTGGACAACCCCCGGCTGGGCCCCGTTTCGTCAGATGGCAGAGCGAATAACTGGTGAGACAGATGAATGAGGTCGATCAGGACCTGGGATCCAAATCTCCACAGTGGTGCCTCTCCTCCAGTCAGTCGCGCAAAGTGACTCCATTACCTCTTCTCCACTCACCCCCGTGGGGGCAATGCACAACCGTGCGGGGAGTACGTCATGTACATACGGTTACTCCCCATTTCGGGAATCAAGCACGCTTTCCCGGTCTTGAATCATCCCTGTATCTAGCCTGATCGGAAGATTCCCATGGTGAGAAAAGAGAGGGAAAGCCGTTTTTGGGGTAACTCGTGAGGGGTAGTGCTCTTTCGTAGTTGGAGAACCCTCAACTAACGGCTGGACGCAGGCTTGCAGAACATCATATGCCTCTATAGTCGTGCGTATTTAGCGTGTCGCTTGGATGCATCAGGATGTGAGGAATGAAGCAAGGATTCCCGGGTAGAGCCTAAAATCCATTTCTGGAAGCCCAAGGAAACCAAGGCAACAGGTGATGCGACTGTAATATCGCTCGATGCATTGGCCAGAGCGAGTGAGGCGGTTCTTCGGAATTCTTTTCCCGATCAGTAAATTATTTTGGAGGCCGCAATTGTCGGGGCTGGATTGGGAATAGTGCGCCCTCAGCTGTCGGCCATACTTACCACAATCGGAAATATGCTAAAAGGCGGCGCCCTGGCTTGGATGGCACGAAATGCCCTCTAGCTCGGTTGATGATGTCGATTTTCGCGCTGGGAATGTTTCTGACTCTGAAATTACCACTTAATTGCGGGTGTACGTAATGTTGCGCTCTTGAGTCCTTTTCCCGATCATCACATCTTCTGCTGCTCCCCGAATAGCTACACCGCAAGCAGAGAATTGCGGCTGGAATTGCCGAAAAAGCCAGCATTGGATTGCGGCCATACCTACCGTAATGGGAAGAAATTCTCTAGTGGGGCATCAGCGTTACTCCCAGGCTTCTACCACAGTGGAAGTGGTCCATGCGGGGAAGCTGGTGGCTGGCCGACTCCCCCGACTCCTCCCCCGTACTGGCTCTGCTCCTCAACGGAATTGTGAGCAATATCGTTGGTGATTTGTGTGTTCCACCTGCAGGCCTTGGAACACCCGCTACCCGCTTCTCCGTTTCTCCAGACTCCCCAGACGCAGTATGACGTAGTGCCACGGTCTCTGTGGTATGTTAGTCTCGGCCCTCGACCTAAGCCAGCGTCTGCTTATCCCCATCTGGGCTATGCTTTGATTGTCCACTCACTGTGGCCGGCTTCATATTTATTCTCCATCTCCTCCCGTTCTCGCAAAGTCGCTAGATGTAGAGGACGCTAGAACCTGCCTTTATGCCAATTTGCCATCCTGATTACCACTCCACCTCCATTACCAACATCAATGTCAACATCCACAAATTCTTGTCATGGAAAGCTGGCCTACGCTTGAGATCCCATTTCCCATCTTGCCCACTACGCCCCATTATCGGCACTCTTGCCATTAATTTTTCTAAAACTTTGCCCGTTTCGTTGATCGTAGCATGTTGTGTGGCTTGAAATTCGTTTGGGCCAGCACGAGGAACAGGGTTATTGACCCCCTTTTCTGGTCGTGTTCTGGCTTGCGGCATTATGGCCTTTTTGTGATCTTCGTGGCCTCGAATGACTTAACGGAGCATCTGAGAATGTTATGAGCTGACTCACTGTCCCTGAGCTTCACCGGTCCCACCAACCGTTTCATCTACAACATACGGCGGGTTGCCGGTCTGGCCGTCGATGGGGCCGTCGGGGGTAAGATAGGATTCTAGGCAATGTTAATTAATGGCGCTTTGAACGTTCGGGATGAGACATATTTTTCTTAGGCTCGATCCCAATGCCCGACTTGCCAGGGTGTTTTTACTACAACCCACTCTTTACCTACTCACTTTTTGAGACCGGTGCACACCTTAACATGGGCTCATACACACCGTCAATGGCGCTTCTTTGTCGAAACCCGCTAATGGCGGTTTATTAAAGCGTGTGTTGACCCTCGATGCCAAGGATTAGAATAGGAAACACCAGGACACAAAAGGGCGAGCCAAATGCCCCCATAATTTGACTCAACGACAGAGACAAAGGACGCATCATACCATGAGTCCCCATACCTGGTAAGGTTTAAAGGATTTGAATCAAAGTCAGCAGCGGGCTTTCCGGTATTTCCCGGCAAATAGCAGTTCTTGTGTAACCTGATTCACGCCAGGGACTTGGACGTGACAAAATCTCGGAATGAGTTGCCTGATGACCTCCGAAGTAGAAATCCGTTCCTACTCCAAGACTCGGCATTTGAATCTCCATATTATGATCTACAGGACTGGATTTGAGAAAGACCCCCAACTAAAAAATAGCGAAGACATCCATGGTTGGTCCCACATCGGGCATCAGGATCTCTAACACAGAGCGGGCTGCTTTGTCCGTAGAATTCTCCCGGGACCAGTGCTGACGGGTCTCTTGCGCCTCAATCTAGCCTGACATGGAAATAATGTGGAAGCGAAATGCCATTCATTTGTAAGACCGACAGATCCGGTTCCAGACGATATGGTGTTCCGCTGATGTGAAGGAGCCAAGTATAGACTCATCCTCCACACCTCACCCTAGTGCCCGAGCCACGAATGCCGCATGAATGAGTTAGCTTTCCGCCTGCGGTAATCTCCCCGAAGATAAATCACCAATTTCTGCCCAAGATCTGTCACCCATGTGCTCCAACTAATGATATGGAGAAGCTATGACGGGAGAGGCGGCGGCGGTAACGTCCCAGACTGGACGCCGTGTTCAAATCAGGCTTTATTTCCAAGGAGTCCAAAGACTGCGTATGAGATAAAAGTCTTACTACTATAGCTAAAGAGTTGAGGAGTGCCGAGGCTTCGACGCATCCTCTGGTTAAACTTCTTACTTGGTGGCCTCCCTTCCTGGTTTCAAACCGTCATTCACGACTCAAGACTATGGTTCCTCCCAAAAGATATTAAAGCGAATATCCCTCCGTCGCCACAGACTCAAGACAGAAGATTCTCAATGTAGTTTGAGAAAGTGTGGATTTTCTTCCGTATGACCCTAACTTGGCACATCACTTTGGCGGATTTATTTTCCGTACAGCTAGGCCTGCATACTCCGACGCAAACCATGCTCGCAAAAGCATGGCCCTAACATGTTTTCCGATATTCCGAATACATCTGTCCTAATGTCCCTGAAACACCACTTCAGTAACTTACCGAAATCGCAAAGATAAGCTGCATATATTGTTTATGAATGGCCTTTGTTGTGGCAATGATCCAACCCCGTTTGGCAACCAACGGTCTGGCATATGGGTTTCCACCAAGAAATTCCTCCCATCTAACAGCAACCTCAAAAGTCCTGACACATTAAGGGATCAGCGGGAGTGGATTTTATCTAAATAAAAGCGCAAAAAGACGATTATGCTTCGATATCCGCTCATTTACTTCTCTCTGCAGCGCGTGCTATCATTGGGTCTGCTCTCGTAGGTGCCACAGGTAAACATGAGATGCAGCTGTCCCTTTTGAAGCAACCTGGCCAGAGTTATCTATTGACTAGAAAATGTCAAAGAGAGGCCGAAAGCTTACTCAGTGAATATTTAGTTCCTTGGGATATTCAACCGATTTTTTTCTACCGATTCAGTGCTCAGACTTACACGGACCTCGATTCAAACAATCGGAACCCTTTCGATCTCTTTTTCTGAAGCAACTCACCGAACCCTGCACAATAATTCGGTTCTTGAGTTGTGAAATTCGTCGGTGATAAATCAATTGCTTTTCGCCCAGCCAAATACTCAAAATAAAACGCCATAGCCGAAAAAAGTGCGACCGAACACGAGAAGAACACAGGTTGGCAGAGCCATTCCCCGGGCAGCATTCGTATTGCCTGGGTTCAAAAGTTTCTCTATATTGAATTGATTTATGAAAGAAAGAAAAACAAACAAAGCTAGAATAACCCAACTGGCTAGTCTATACTTTCCATAATGTCCGGAAGGCTAGCTTGTTTTAGGGTCTAGTGTTGAGGTTATGAGAATACGATTGTCAGTTCGGATCTCATTCGTCCTGCAATATAGCGATGACTAAAGGAGAGGACAGCCGTAGTATTTCCTCAGAATATCATTCCTTTAGAGTTTGATTAAACTTGGGTCTCTGATTTTGCTGATCTTACCTTACCGATTGGGGCTTTTGGTGATGGTGGTGAACAGACTCTCGAGGTCCTGTATTGTGCGATGTAATGGTAACTTTTCGCTTTACAAAAGTGACAGCAGCGGCACTGTTAGTGACGGAAAGCTTAAAGTCCCCGGCTAATTTGGTATCGATAGTGATGTCTGATGATGATTCACTTTTTTTCGCCGCAGGGCTCTGATTGCGGGTAGGCGATTTGTGAGGATATCGCCTAACCCTTGTTGACCAACTCACGTGTAAAGGGAAAATAGCTTGAGACAAGGAAACCGTTTCGCTCTGGGGATTTTTTTTATTCAAGAATAAGTTAAACCAGATCTTAAAAAAAAGCGAAAAGACGGAATACCTGGCCGCCGTGACTGATTTCTATTTTACCCGCTCTCCATAAAGCGCAGGACTTATCGCACACGAGAGACAATTGCCTTTACTAATAAATGGTAGCTCGGTCTACCTTGACTACCACAATGATGTGATTTTAGAAGAGCTACAACCGTATAATATATTATAAATAAGATATGGGCATTGTTGATGGGTTACAGATTACTTGGCAAATGATCATTTGCACGGAAGGGTCAACAAGGCAACTCAGAATTACCAGGGAAACATGATCCAATAGTTCACCGTAGCAGCATTTATTCATTCATCTGCCTGGATATAACATTTTCTGAAGAGGGCATTGAATTGTAGAGAGTATCCAAAGCAAACGAGGCGGCTCAAAAGCAATACGGATTCAAAAGGCGAAGAAGAAACCCCCAACTCTAGGATTCATTTGTAGCTTTAAATTTGTTGCTGACGTAAATGAGAAAGATGCATGCAGAGACAACGATTAGCGTATGGATCTAAATAAGCGGGCTTCAAGGCTTGTGTGATCCAGGTAGGCAGTCCGTTGAAGCGGCGGCCAATATGCTGTCAAGCGTTTCTACATAAGTAGGGATGCAGCACTCTTCTCTTATATTACCTGCGGAATCCATATCATCAAATAACTACCGACATCTCCGCCGATTAATAAACTCCGCATCACCTAAGCGAGCTAGTGTCTCATTTTGATGTAGAAAATAGTGTATTCAATGAATAAATCGCCTCTCCAAAGATAGCAACCCCCCCTAAGCTAATTTATAGTCCTTGTTCGTTCTCCTACATGTTGCGAAACTCTACAGATCACGAACAACTAGCTCTACATTGGCATGATTACTATGTCAAAATATTTGACTCTATACATATGTCCTGCAAATCTCCATGAAGTGTGTTTCCAAGATCATGAAGATTGATGATAGTCGGAAAATCTTCTAAATGCCCCCCGAACCCACATTTGGCAGCGAAGACACTGGCAAAGGCATAGCGGGTGATAATTGCGTGAACTTGCGTCGTTGGGAGACCCAGGCAATATCGTCCTTTGCTAAGACAAGGGCATTGGGGAGACTTGGTGGTTAATTTTGGTCGCTATCGCTGTTAAGAAGCGTAGCTACCCTATGATGTCTCTTTTTGATTGTATGCTTCCTTCCCACCCTTGTTTTTTTTAATTTCTCTTCTCAGCCTCGAAAATTACCAGGAAACATGACTAATTATTTGTCAATCCTCATTCTCTCAATAAATTCCTACTTTTACCGCTGCTTTAAGACCTGTTGCCATACCAGGGGACTGGTACATTGTTCTCGCTTAAAGTGAAGGGTAATTGCTTAGATGACCAGTATGGGTTACAATTGCGACAATATGCATTGATCGGTTAGGGGCGACGAGGTATTTGCTGACACCCTCCCGCAAGCGAAGCATTCCAAGAACTGGGGTATCTTGGTCATGCAGGGACGCTTATTGCTGCGGTTGGAGGAGTAACCACAACCACATGAAGGCTCGAGACCAACCGGGTGCTCAGTACCCCTGCTCACGAAGAGACTGCTCTCCCGTTCTTTTGGGTCGCCAAGGCGGGATGCGAATGCCGTTGCGGGTAGAGAACGGCCGAGGACTGGGGCCGTCATGCTTGTGGGAACCGTACCCTGTGATATCGGAGAAGGTTCTTTGCAAAGTGTGTCTGCCTAGAGCTATTGGGGTAGGATTTCCCCGCGCTTGGATGCTGGAGATTGGCGTCAGCTACGACAGCAGCTATGCTTACATCTAGAGTTGAATTGGCGTGTTTTCCAGGATGGACTCCGGTCTGTCTCTGAGCACTGCGATCGAACACCGTCCACCGATTGTCACATCCGCGTGTTCTAGCGGTCCCCGGATCGGATCCCTGGCCGACCCTGGTCGATGATGCACATTTGACGTGCTGGGAGGGAGCTATCAATCAGGGTATGAGCAATGAGATTCTGCCCGCGTCGTCGGTGCACATGTTGCCATGACGAGGATGTCTTGATTCCCACTGGCCATGGGAGATGGTGAGACCAGACGGAATTCTGCAGACTTTGCACGCCACCAGAAGGATCACCCGGTAGCGGCTCGGCCTTGGACGCTTCAGTGCTGTTGGCCGGCTTTCTTCAGTGGGCTCGTGCCTGTAGTCGCCTGGCTTTAGCGGCCTCGCCACTAACAAAAGTTCCAGCGGATCAGCCGGCCTTACAAAGAGTCCTGTCACTAATAAAATACAGTTGAGGAGGATCTGACATGGAGCCTGAGCCATCAAATGTCCCTGGTGATGATCGCAATGCCCGCACACTCTCCATAATACTGACGATGCAGCAGCTCGCAATCCGCTCAATAGATCCTGCCATCGGCCTCTGGAGCGAGGCCTGGTTCTGTTCGTCTTCCACTTCGGCGGGAAAGTTCCAATAAAAAGAAAACACCGGCCGATAACGCCGCAGAATCAAGCCACCACAGTCGCAGCTCTACAAAAGGACCGAGCGGAGGTTGCAGGGGAACGATGATATCACCGCCATATCAGGAAGGTTGGGTGAAACTCTGCAATTTCATCCAGCGAGGACCCCGCCGCTGGGTGACGACTGTTCCCCTCACTTGCGGGAGCACAAACAAGATTGGTGCCATCAATTGCTGACATTGCACAATCCCGATCCCTATACGGTTTACGGCCTACATGCATCTCTATACTGACTGTTGAATCGTGCATGGATGCAACCTGGTAACCATGGTCTCGGTGTGACATGAGGCAACTGGAATGAGCCCGAGCACTCCTTCTCCACCGCCGTCATGTAGGTATATAAGATGTTGCACGGTGTGTTATGGTCCCGCCTTCCCGTACGCAGCCTTCTCTTGCATCTGCTGAGCGAGATTTATCCTTGTTGCTTCTAGAGCCACACAAAGCAGTATCTCGTTGCACGAAATCATGAAGTGGCCTACTGCTTCCTGGGCGTTGGCAGCTCTCGCAGCCTTGCCCAGTGTCCTTGCCATTGACCCCAAGGGCCTGCTGGCTGCCAATCGCTACTCTGGCGCCCTTCCGAATCCTACAGGAGTATGTACATGTCATCTCGAAAAGAATCAAGTCAGTTGAAAGTTGGAAAAGTCTAACCTGGTGCCGCGATAGGAGTTTGCTCTGTTTACGTCGACAAATTATTCCTGGGACGCAGGCAAGTCCAAGAGCGTTTGGAACGTCTTGAACTTGACTACTGGGGACATCAGTGTCTGGGGGCCTGCTTCTGAGATCTCTGAGATTGTGTTTGTTGGCTCCAAGCCCACTAGCATTCTCTACCTCAATGGTTCCAACGCGAATGGCGATGGCGTTAGTCTTTACACATCCGATATCGCCAGCCCCGACAACGCTACGCTCGTAGCTTCTTTATCCGGTGACTTTTCTGGTCTCAAGGCTGCTCAGACCAAGTCCGGGGATATCAATTTCTTGGTGTACTCGAAGGCTTATCCCAACGGAACTGCCTACAGCGAGGCGACTGCTGTCGCTCCTCGAAGCACAGCCAGAATCTATGAGGCTATCTATGCCCGTCACTGGGTAAGAAAAGAATTGGACCATCTTGGAGAACTTACCGCTAATTTTACGTGTAGGATTATTGGCTGTCAGAGGTCAAGCAAGCCGTCTTCGGTGGTGCTCTCACCAAGAACGGCGACGGATACTCCTACGGTGGCAACTTGACAAACTACGTGACAGGAATCCACAACGTCACATATGCTGAGAGCCCTCTGGATCTCAACGGAGCTGATGACTACGATCTCTCGCCAGACGGAACCAAGATCGCCTTCCTGACCAAGGATGTCAACTTGCCGTTGGCCAACTTCACAAGCAGCCAGATCTACTTGGTGCCCTTTGACGGCACTGCCAAGGATGCTGTTCCCATCAACGCCAGAGGCTCTACCAAGTACCCCGATGCGCAGGGTGCTTCTGCCAACCCCAGATTCTCTCCTGATAGCACCAAGGTTGCCTGGACCCAGCAGAACGGCATCTACTACGAGTCCGACCGCTCTATTCTCTACACCGCCAAGGTTGACGGCGACTCCTTTGACGTGACCCGCCTTGCTGGAGATTGGGACAGATCGCCTGGCCTTCCCTTATGGTCCCAAGATGGCGAGACTATCTTTGTCGACGCACCGGATCTGGGCCGTGATCGTGTCTTCTCTGTTCCTGTCACTGCCGGTGACGACTTCAAGCCCAAGAATATCACGGATGAGGGCGTGGTGGCTGCCTTTCACAACCTCCCAGAGGGAAAGCTCCTCATCTCTGATTCCAAGATCTGGACCAGCCGTGACATCTACACAGTCTCTACCGATGGCACGGATGTAAAGTATCTTCTCCAGGCCAACAAGGTTGACGATGCTCTTGCAGGACTTGGACCTGAGGATGTTTCTGAGTTTTACTACTCCACCAACACTTCAGAGATCCAGCAGCAGGCTTGGGTCATCTACCCCGAGGGTTTTGACAAGACCAAGAAGTACCCTCTGGCATACATCATCCACGGTGGACCTCAGGGTGCTCACTACAACTCCTGGTCGACACGCTGGAACTTCAAGGTTTGGGCCGATCAGGGCTATGTAAGCGCAATTCCTTCCTCGTAATCTTAGCAATAATGTCAAAGCGCAACACTAACGAATCATACAGGTTGTCATTGCACCCAACCCTACTGCTTCATCTGGCTGGGGTCAAAATCTCACCGATGCCATTCAAGGACGCTGGGGAAGCTACCCCTTGTGGGACATTGTCCATGCCTACGAGCACGCCAAGGCCAACTTCGACTTCATTGATTTCGACCGAGCTATTCAGGCGGGTGCCAGCTTTGGTGGATACCTAACTAACTGGTAAGTCTCAACAACACGCTCAAATAGCTCACCGTTTTGGAGAATTCCCAGATCTCTAACTTGTATCAAAATAGGGTCCAAGGTCATGACTTCGGACGTAACTTCAAGGCCCTGGTTACCCATGACGGTTCCACCTCCACTCTGAACCAGTACGCCAGTGAGGAGCTGTGGTTTATGAACCACGACTTCAACGGCCCATTCAACTCGAGTGGCCTGAAGCCAGGCTCCCCTTACTACGACTGGAACCCCATCAACTACGTCGACAACTGGGCCACCCCTCACTTCGTGGTCCACAACGACTTGGATTTCCGTCTGCCCGTGTCCGAGGGAATTCTGCTCTTCAACTTGCTGCAGGTCAAGGGTGTCCCCAGCAAGTTCCTCAACTTCCCCGACGAGAACCACTGGGTGCTGAACCGCGAGAACAGCTTGGTGTGGCACACTGAGATCTTCAAGTGGATCAACTACTACAGCGGTATCGGCAACGCCACTAGCCCGTACTAAGATAGCTTTCTGCTCTTAGAGACAGAAATGATTATGAAGAGAATAATGAATAATAGAATGTCAATTCAGTACAATTAGCTGAGCCAAATTTCGAGTTGAGTGATGTTTAAGAGTGACGTTTTTTCTGTACAGTTGTTGTTTTTAATTGGGCGAACTGGTTTTCGGATAGTTTCGAAACTGGGTAGCAAGTTTCCTGAGATATTCTCCGAATTCACGTTGGGTGCTATTAAAGTTAGGCTTGATGTGAGTTAAGGTGGGCTCGGCAGATGTTTCGGGCAGGAGTCTGAGACTATATATGATGCTGCTGGACATGACAAAGAGAAAGCATACTCTTTCTCACTGAAAGAACAGGCCAGAAACGTCTTGGTCACTAGTGGGTACATGACTAGCCACTGGAGGCTTGGAAATTCAGTCGACAGAAACTAGATTAGACTTGGAAACTACACAGAGGTCTTTGTTGAACTGGGAGATAAAGACTAACAATGTTCAACCTGCGCTATGCCGGGCTTATTTCATTCGCGGTCTCAATACACCATAATGACTGAAGTTTCCAGAACTGTAATGCTTACATTCTGCCGTTCAATATGTACTGATTAGTGCATTTAATTGGACACCTGAGGTGTCTGATACTCTACTTTAGAAACGTACGTATTGGCACATTCGGACAGTCAGTTTCATGAGATAGCATTCAAACAGGTACAAAGGGTTCATGGCTAACAATAGTCACCTTAAGAGTATTAGAAGTTGTTTATAAATAAGATGATTGTTGGGTCAGCACAATGTCATGCTGTTCGACTCTATCTATTAAAATCCGCTCGAATCTCAGCCAAGCCGATCTTCAATGGTAAAACTAGGTCTGATATAATACACCGGAATTCCCTCCTAGCTTGATAATTTGTCCGCCCTATAGCCTCTAGCAAATTAAGACTACGGAGGTCCATCATCAGACGTGAGTGGTTCTACGCAAGACTCAACACTGTCAATTGCTTACTGAACAGGCAAACAAGAGCCTCACTATCGAAGCACCATGTGTTATTCATTTTATGTACATTGGGGCTGCGGATGTAGTGCCATGTACCGTATCATGACCGAAAACTGCGATGGAACTTGCAATGAAACGCCCCATGATCCCGCGCGGGATATATATTCGACCGCTCGCTGCTCAACATGTGAGCCTAGGGCGCCTCCTACGCTTCCCTCCCCTGAGACCTCAGACGAAACCGAAACTGAGTCCGAATCATCACAATCAGCAGAACCCGGTTCTTCTGAGGCGGCGTAATAAACTATACCGCAAGGGAGATCCATGGGATGCCTGAGATTTTCGACTAAGTGTCAACTTTGGAAGCCATGAGGTATAGAAGTGGCAAGGAATACGGGTTATCAGACTTGAGTGTACAAATTTACTTGCATGTTGTGATTTTTCAAGTACTGAACACACTGGCATGGCAGAGCAGGCGGTGTTAGACTCTGAAGGGGATGCAAGGAGGATGAGTCTTTTTTCGGCTTATGGTTAGAGATAAGAACTAGAAATGAATGAGGCCACTCCATTATTGTGACCACCCTGATACGACGCTCAGTGCCGTTTTTGGCAAGCTGAGGACGCTTCCCCGCCCCAATGTTACATAGAGCTGCGTTATCAATCGAGCATGTAGCCATGTGATACTCTTTATCAATCGGCCGATCCCCGCGTGCTTTTTGTTCTGTTTTCGTCTGGAATTATCAAAATCTTAGTTTCTTCATTTGGAGATTTGTTACTTAGTGATAGGCAGAGAATCAAGTATTATGGCGTCTATTCTTCGATTTATTCGTGTCAAAGGCGATGACAGGCACGGATACGAAACGACGAAATGGATCAACCCCGACATTGCGCCTTTACCGCCGCATCGTCGGACGTGGGGCTATCTGGCTTTCTTGGGATTTGGTTCCATCGCCAAGTAAGATCGCTTCCGCTCAATGTTAACATCGTAATGAGGTTTTGCTGCTTGTCGCTAGGGGAGACCAGCTGACCTGAGCGGCACTCTACACAGTCTCTGCATCACAGCCTGGACAGGCGGCTCCTCCCTGCTATCTCTTGGCCTCACTGTCCGACACACTATAGGAGTCATGTTCGTGTCCAAAGTTCTCATGACGTTTCTGGTCATAGGGAATGGCTGGATGGGGGCTGAATGGCACATTGGATTTACTGTGTCCCAAAGGTTTGTAACGGCATCTAAGCTTGAAGGCTTCTTTTTCCGATATTCATCTTGCTAAATTCTGGGACAGAATGGTTCTAGGGATGAATGGCGCTTACATAGGCCAGTTGATTCGTATCATACTCTCTATAGTATGGTACGGCTCCCAAGCCTGGCTTGGAGGTCTTTGCGTATCTGCCATGTTAAGCAGCTGGAGCTACCGCTTTCTGACGATGCCTAATACCCTGCCAGAAAGCGCGAAAATGGTGACTAGAGAGCTTATTGGATTTCTTATTTTCCAGATTATTTCCATTCCCGCACTGGTGAGTCCTGTGTTCTTTGCGAACAAAACTGCAGCTAACGTCACTCCTATGTTGTATAGCTGGTACGAGTTGAGAGAGTCGCACTGCCTGTTACAATCGCAAACATTGTTACGTTCTTTGTGATGATGGGCATAACTATATGGGCTTGCACAACTGCTGGGGGCCCTGGTCCAATGTTTACAGAGGGCACCACCCAGCCTGCGACTCTGCCTCTGGGATGGGCTTGGGTTTATGGCATCGTGGCGTCGGTTGGAGGAATCTCGGCAGGAATCTTGAACCAGTCTGACTTCACACGCTTTGCCAAAAAGCAAGGCAGCCAAGTTCCAGGCCTGATCTTTGCGATATTTGTGCCTGGCACGATTGTCCCTATATTCGGCATCCTGACAGCTTCAGCGACTATGGCTATATACGGCGAAGCCTTCTGGAACCCATTGGTGCTCATTCACCAATGGATGATAGATAGCTATGACGCGAAATCACGAGCAGCAGCCTTCTTTCTTTCTCTGGGCTTTGTTATCAGTCAACTAGCCGAAAACACGCTTGGAAACGGGTATGCGGCAGGAATGGATCTCGCAGGTCTCTTTCCGAGTTGGATTACGATCAAAAGAGGAGGTATCATGTGCGCTCTTCTCTCCTGGGTCGTCCAGCCATGGCTCTTCTACAACACATCCTCAGTATTTGTAGTGGTGATGGCTTCGTTTTCGGTCTTCATGGGCCCGCTGACTGCCATTATGATCGTGGATTACTTTATCATTAGGAAGCAGCGCGTCCAGCTTAGCCAGCTCTACACGGGCTCACCAGAAGGATCATACTGGTTTACGGGAGGATTCAACTGGAGATCGCTGTTCGCATGGGTGGTGGGCTTCGTCCCAGGTATGCCTGGAATGATTGCATCAGCTAATCCAAACATTCATGTCAGCAAAGCTGCCCATGAATACTACCTCGGAAACTATCTTTTTGGTAAGTTCTGTTCATAAGTCAGGATCTTCTTTTAGGTTCAAAGGTGGCCGGCTAACCAGAATAGGGTTTTGCATCTCGGGCTGCCTTTACTATATCCTTTGTTTGATCTTCAAGGTTGAAGGGGCAGGGCTCCAAGATGAAACTGATATCTACGGCACGTTCTCTCCAGAAGTAGCGATAAGCAAAGGGATCTCCCCATTCGAACCTAATAAGGTACCAGAAGACGCAGGGTCGGGTGTTCATGTTAGACAAGCAGCTGATCTTGAAGCTGAGGCAGCGCCAAAACCTTGATTTCATTGGGAATGGAAAGACTGACACTTTTAGTTAACTTGTTTATTTTGATTGGATCTGTTTTTGTATCTGTCTACTCTAAGATGTTCATGCTGTGGTATATGAAGGCATATTTCATTCCACGGAATTCAGCAAATCGCTATATCGCTGTTCTAAGAGGCAATGAAATAATATCACGAACTAGCTTCCTGAGAATCGTGTGCCCACGCGCCGGTATCAGGCGCGAACCGGGCTACCACTAAAAGTAAGACGCCTCCTAAGATCTTGAAAAATGTAACTAAAATATACGTTAGCAATTTCTGACATTCAAAATTCTCAGGAATGTGCATCACTCACAAAATGTAAAGGACCAGCCAACTCCAATACTGTTCAGGAGCGGTACGACCGCACCCGTAGCCGAAGCTCCAAAGACGTACTGCAAGACATACTTGCTACTGACTACTTCGGCTCTTTGGTCGGGGAAAACTTCTATTTCTTGTTATTAATGAAAGTTCTCTTGGTCAAGGGATGGGAACAAAGAGAGTCACGTACCAGCAGTGTAAGTATTAAGCCCATTGAAAGCCCCCATGAGGCCAACTCCAATCCAAAAAGCCATGACAATAGGGAGCGCCAAACCACCAATATTCTTCTCCAGACTCCAACCAAATAGAAGCATGGAGATAGGCAAGACAATAAATAAGTGGACTAGGCTGCTGTTGAGGCGATCCTTGGGTAACCGGAGACCGTCGCGCTTGGCTATCCATTGCTTCACTGTGTGGTCGCTTATCCGGCCTCCTACCAGGCTTCCCACTATGAAACCTGCGCCTGGTGCGATGTAAAACAGTCCACTGACGAGTGGTGTCGTCAGATTAAACCTTGGATTGATAATGTGTCTGACTGAGGTGAGCAGGGCGTACTGCGTAATCGCCAGAAACCCGCAGGTTAGATCGGCGAGGAGGACCTGTGGGCGAAAATAAAGCTTGAAAATTCTGATAGGGTTGAAACTCTGCCAAACTCTAAGAGCGGAAATCTTGGTATCGCCACTTTTCTCATACAACTGCTGTGTCTCGCTTTGAATATGGGGAATGAATGCGAGCGAAAGGACGAAGCCAAGGCCGGCTTGGGCGACTTGTAGCCAGTAGATGCTTCTCCAGTTACTGTAGGTGAGAATAATACCTCCAATACAGGGACCTGTGGACAAAATTAGATGACTTTTCTTCCAAAATCTCGCGAAAAGACCATGAGATCCTTACCAATAGCTGTTCCAGCCACTGCCCCGACCATCTGGCAAGCAACAGCCCTGCCACGAACTGTGGGCTTAAAGATATCGGCGATGATGGTCTGGCCAGCTACCATAAAGAACGTTCCTTCGAGGCCGGAGAGCAAACGCATGGCGGTGAATGTACCCATGTCCTTAGCCAAGGCAGTGCCAATTGAAGCCCCAAGCAATACCAACATGGCAATGTTGTAGCTGATGCGTCTGCTTGTCAATTCCGCCAGGGGGGACCAAAATAGAGCGGAGCATCCCATGGCAATCAGCAGTCCAGCGTTGCCAGCATTAAGAATTTCGGGTGTCGTATTGAGGTCAGAGGCGATTTCCGGGGTTGCGATGAGCAGTGATGTGCTGGTCGAGGTGACCACCAGGCAGTTCCAGCTCACGATGAAAAGGATCACATTTCTCTGCCATGTTCTCAGCACGGTTCGTGATTGCTCAATGGACTGAGAGACGCCCATCTCCAGGCGGGAGAGATTTTTCGGGTCCTGGTTTGACGCCATGATGGATGCTGGTTCTCATTGAAGTTCCAAGAGCCGCATCACATCCCGTCTTTCTTATGACGGCAAATGGCAAATGAGAAAGTTTGATCCATTCATGGGTAGGTTGCCGATCGGCGAAGTTTTAATCGGCGGTTTACTCTGGGCGGAGTCGGGCAACGGCGCCGCTTCTCGGAGTTTTGAGCACGTACGTCGATGCAGGCCCTGATATAGGCCAATGGTATTGAAGAGAGAGCATCTTGCGATAAGATCTTGCTTGTTCAGGTCGATCTTTTGGTGATGTGATATGGATCTATTGAAAATTGAGGAAAATCCGGGTTATGGCCGGCGCCAGACCCGCCAACATCCAGCCAGAGGTTGAAATTGCGTTGAACTATTCAAGACCAGACCTCCGATTTCGGGGCTAGTAAATAGACAGAGAGCTCATCGGCTGGCCAGGTCATGTAAAGAACGTCGAATAGTAAGTCATGTGCGTATTCAAAGTCATGTCTATGGTTATCGTCAAGCGAGAGCCGGCTCTGGATGTGCACATTTCTTCTAGGCCTGCGGTTTCTTGAAGTACGAAACCCCACCCGAGCTAATAATTGGCCATGGCACGATGTCGAAATTGCGGTATGTCAGGGCCTTTTGACTCCCGTAGCATTCGGAAGATTGTGCCCGTGTTGGGGGTGATGAGCGAACTTTGCATCTGCTACCCGAGCCCCTTTCTCCTGCCTAAGGCACTCCTACTCTCTTCCAGCCAATGAGACAAATCCTAAACAGAAGTTTGTTTAGGCACGCGCTGATTCGGGGATGGCGGAGGGAAGCAGTCAGCCTGCAATTGCAACAAAATTGCACGCTGCGAGGAACTGCTTGGCGGCGCGTTCTGGATCAATGCCAAGTCAATGAAGGGAATTTCTATACGAGACCGAGCTGACTGTTGAGTTTATGAAACAATTCTTGGCAGGGGTACGGTAATTTGAAACCCTCGTCGCCCCTCACCATCAACCCACCGCTTATATTGTTTGGGACAGAAATTTGAGACGCTGGTGAGTCAGGGTTAGTAAGCGTCTCTCGGCGGCAACAAAATACCGAATACTGCTGGCTATTCTCTTGGCTTCGAAACCGTGGGTTGTGTATGTCAGGTGGCCGCCATTAGCGAGACGGTAAGCGATATGAGGCCGCACATGGGGGCCAGTCAACCAGCCCTGTCTGAGGAGCATCGTACGTCGCGTGGAGGAATCTCGTGGTAGTCCGCTGTCATGAACCATGCTCAGAAACGTTCTTGGCCCGATCTGGCCGTCGGCGTTGCTTCCGTTCTGGCTCTTTTCGTCCCCCTGAAACACCCTCGAGAGCATTAGCGAAGATGAGAAGAAGGCAGCGAAAAGGATAATAAATATACCATCATTGCCGGGGCCATTAGATTTCTGGCTTTTTCTTCTTCAGAGATTGTAGCAATTCGCCTTTCATTCCTTCGTTTGTTGTTGCAGCATATTCATTCATTCATTTGAACACATTTGACCCATCAGGATGCGGTCTGTTCTTTCATTTTTCGCCCTTTGCGGCTCTTTTGCTGTTGCACAGCTAAGCTCGACCAACCTCGAAAGCTACGTCGACGTTGCTTCTCTGTCTGGTTCCGTGAACCCTGTCGTTGAAACTTACTGGACTGGCTACCCTCACCATCGACGAACACCCTTCGCCCTCTCACCCGACGGCAAGTCAGCGTATCTAGCTTACCTCGATGCCTCAAGCGGGTCTGATGTCATCGTTCAACCTATCAACCCCTCGACTTTCGAGGCCACTGGCACAGCCGTCAAGGTTGCAGGAGCCAAGGAGGCTGGTGGCCTTGTAGCCCACGATGATGGATTCGCCCTCCTCACTACCGAGACCATGCCCACAGGAACAAGTGGTGCTCCCGCCGGTGAGACCCCTGTCGCTGTTCTCTACCGATACACTGGCGGAACCCAGACATGGAAGACCTGGCTGGGTGGCCCCGGTGTCGATGGCTCAGAGAGCCTGGCTACCCCCGAGCTCAACGGTGATCTCGTCTTCTCCGCCGAGGCTGGATACTACGCCGCCTATATTGTCGTCACTTCTTACTCCGGCAGCGCCTCTGGCCACTTTGGTGATGCCATTCGCTATATCAACACTTCAGGCAAGCTTGAGACCATCCAGGGTGCTTCCAGCTCTTGGGGCTGCAGTCACAACACTGGTATCGCTTTCGAGGCTGCCGACGAACCACCCTTTGCCTCCCTCTGCGCCGAGGATCAGGGTGCCATCTGGCTCAACACCAAGACTCAGGGTATGGGCAACAATGGTGTCAAGGTATCCAACGAGCATGTGATCAACGGCGGCAGTGGTGAGCCCATGGGTGGAACTGGCGGATCCTACAGCAGCATGGCTCGCTTCCAGAGCTCAAACGCATACATCTTCTCCTGGGTCTCCCGTGGTGCCATCGACCTGACCCTCAACGACTGGATGGGCGCTGGATACACCAAGTCTGTGAACCGTACCAGCAACCGCAATGTCGCCATCGCCCTGTTCTCTGACAAGAACACCCTCATCGGTGAGCAGGCCACATCAGAGGTCGGCGCCGCCGACGGTGACAAGCAGATCACCTGGGTCACATCCGGCAACCAGGACCGATCCAATGCCCACGCTGCCACCTTCGACAGCAAGCAGGCCCTGGTCACATGGGAGCAGATCGACAGCCCCATCTGCGACTTCGATGCTATGGGTTGCCGTGGTCAGTTCTCCGGAACTTACTACCAGCTGGTTGACAGCAGCGGTACCATTGTCGGCGAGCCTCTCAAGTCTACTGACACCTTCGTCGCTGGCGACATGGTCACAATGTCTGATGGCAGAATCTGCTGGCCCTACGTCAACATGGAGTGGCGCCTCGATGCCGCCGCGCTCTCGCTCCCCAAGTCCACCAGCAGCAAGATTTCATTCGCCTGCATCAACCTGAGCGGTTCTGGCAGCGGCGGATCAAGCAGCAGCAGTGCCGCTGCTTCTGCCACTGATGCCGCAAGCACTTCTCAGGCCAGCTCCGCTGCTGCTGCACCTACTACCAGCCAGGGTGTGGAATCCGGCGTCAACACTGATGTTCCCGCCTCCTCGGCTCCCGCTGCCACCTCAGCTGCTTCCTCCGCCGCCCCTGTTCCCACCTCTTCTGCGGCCTCAGCTCCCGTCCCCGCCTCATCCTCGGCCGCGTCGGCCCCTGCCTCATCCAGGACCTCTGCCGCCGTTGGCTCCTCTCAGGCTCCAGTTCAGCCTTCGAGCTCATCTCAAGCCGCTGTCACTGCCCCCTCATCCACCCCCACCAAGGGAAACTGTGCGATGAAGACCGTGTGGGAGACCGTGACTGTGACTGGTCCCGCTCCTCCGGGATATTAGGTACCTAGACGAACGGCGTCTATGTATACTTTGGATGGAAACTATTCTGGTTAAGCAAGACCTACGTCGGTGGATGGGAAAACTAGGGTTGGTTATGTGTACGAGTAACAAAGGATATTGCATGGATGCTAGACAGAAGCGATTCTCTTTTCAATCACACGCGTATGCACCATGGTCCACTCTGCTTTGATCACGATGGAAGTCGGGATTCCTTTCGTCCCCTTTTAGGGTCTGGTTTATGAAAAATTTTTGCATTCTTTATGTACACAATTTCACGGCGATTTAAGCATCAATCGGTATCAAAAGGCTTTCAACATCAAATATTATGAATATAGGCAATGAATGGCAAATTGAATTTGAACAAACTTTGTTCTGAGCTTTGATTTTTATAAAGTGACCTAAGACTGAGGATGAAGTGATTGAGCGATTTAGTGTAACATACCGACTGGCCGTGAATTGTGACAGGATGAGAACCTTAGTCCCAACGGCTCTCAAACCTCTGACCATAGGCTTTGGTAGTAGGCTGGTTGGCGATGGTCCTCAGCTTGCAATGCATATTGAGCATCAGCCGGGGGAGAAATTCGATTAACAAACAAACTCACCGACATGAGAAGTATGGCGCCATTCAACTGTGAAATCAACAGTTGTTCACGCGCGTTATGCCTTCTTTTACTTTACGACGTCGCTAACGAAGTGGTGAATACATGCCATTATTTGGCTGTCCTACATTTCTTGACATTTTGCTGAGCGACAGTATCAAGCAGCTGAATCAAGATGTATGATCAAGGTTGGTATCTCTAATTCACGTAACTTATCATGAATAAACTATGTCAGGACAAGTTGAATACTGTCAGATCACGTCTCAGCTTAGGGTAGTCACTTGATGTTGACTTTTGGATTGTACGGAGTCGGCCTGAATAGAATAAATGCTACCTTGAATCATTGACCTTGTCATGAAGCTCTACCTAATACATTCAAAGTGGCGATTGCAGAGATCTCTGCGCTCAATGAATTGCTTCGTACTCAGGAGTCAGAGCTCAGCGTCGAGGAATCACATACGATCATCAACTGACCATGCAAACTTGCCTATAATTCTAAGCCATTCACCATTAGCAGCAGAATATAAAAAGGTCTCCGTAGCATCTCGAAGACAGAACCCTCGCTTTTCACTTTGATTTCAAACCAAACTGCTTTGAAGAATACTGATTTTTCGCCTTGTCGCCAGCCTCCCTCTTGCTTTGGGACTACTCAATATTCTATTAAAGCCATAGCCCAGCTCTAAACAGTGATTTCACCCTGAAAGCCGCGTTCATCAAGAGTTCGTCACGCCTGTTGTAGAAACACTCAAGCTTGAGGATGGGCAAGGGAAAAGAGCCCAGCGCAGACAAAAGCTCTCGTGGGAATACGCATCGGGAGATTAAACTAAATTTTGGCCTCTCTGATGCCAACAAAAATAACAGAGCTTGGGCGGAGGGCCGCGAGGGACCGAAAGTAACAGTTGAAGCTGCTTCCAGTGACGGAGCTACAAGCTTTTTACTATCCCGCCGGCGCGACACTGGCTCTACATTGATATTTTGCAGCTTCATGAACCTTTCTCGCCCAGGTAGTTTAACAACATGCTTCAAGGCGATCTTGGACGGCGAAACGGTGCTCGAAGAGGCCGGCAAAACGGCCATAGCGAAAGAGTGGCGTCTTGCAATTTCAGAATTGTGGGAGAAGTACGAAACTTGTGCCAATGATCCATCAATCTTCGTCAAGCTCAGTGTAAAGGAGGGGAGGCTTGTGTCCGAGGCTGAACGTCGACCTGCGTTCTGGAGCGCTTACGTCTGTGACTTCCCGACACTCGTGGACGTGATAGGAAAGAAGCCCAAGTTTCCCGTTTCTGTTGTGGACTATGATGACGTTATCGTCTATGCGCACCATGAACAGCGTCACGTCAAGCTGGTTTACCTATTTTCCAGATCCGAAGTTGGTGAGCTGTATTTGTTTCATGGCTTTCATTTCATGGATTTTATGGGTGAAGTGGGCGGGTTTCCTTCTGCAAGGGGTTGGAAAAAGACTTTGAAGGCCCAGGCAGCTGAGCAAGTGACATTTGTGCTGGCGAAGGCACCAGATTTGAGAGGCCCTCGTGTTGTGTGCGCCTATCTTGAGCCTTGGGGCGAGAGTGTGGATGCCTACCGTGAACGGGTTGCCTTGGGTGGAAAGGTTTGGACAGATTACTTGGATTAGTATTGGCATACTGACATGCCCACGGCGGCTTGAACAGTTGGTCCATAAACTTCTCATGAGACCAGCTCTGGGACTCTTGATACCGGCGATCCAGTAGTTACCAGCATATTACTTTCTTGTCAACAGAAACAAGTTACAGCTAGAAGCGCTGCCTGGCCTACACTGTACATTTTCTAGAGAGCAACACTGGATGAGCGCAAACCATAGAGAGAGCCCTGTATGAATTGGCCCCCTTGTTTGCAACTAATGGACCGGTCCCAAAACGGTTCCGCCAGACCGCGCCCAACCGCCGAGGCTATCGAAATATGACGTAGGTACGTAAAGAAGCCCTGTAACGCTCACTCTTGATGCAGCGTGCATTTGACTTCATTCCACAAATCAGATGTGCCTCAGTGACATTCGATTGGGGTAGGTGAGCGGCTTCTTGGCGGCCTCTGGCCATAAATGTGAGCTGGATTCATCCGAATACGTATTTTCCAAGCTGGCGCTAATGCATCGAAGACGCGTAGAAAACCTAAGGTTCTTGTCGATCCCAGTGTAGAATCTCTCTTCGGCGTACATGAGGTGTTACAGGTCAGTTGAATCTACTATGTATCGAGTGGTTAACGACCTTGCGTTTTCACCATCACAGAAGCCACCTGTTGGCACCATGTCATTCCAAGCCAAAGAAACAGAGCAAACTTCATTTTAGGTTCAAGATTACAGTACATAGAACGGTGATATGCTCATCTCTAGGAGACGGGACAGACATGATTCATGAAAATGCCGAACATGTGATCGGTTACGACGCCGTACTCAGCTCACTTAGTCCAAAACATGGCCAAACTGCGCTATTAATTTGCTAGTGGAGATTTTTGATCTTCAGGGATGGGCGGAATCCAGTTTAGGTGGTTGGAAATTGCAAGTTTTGATAGAGGGTTTGATATGGTGCGTAGGGGAACTTCGGATTTCCCACTGCTTACAGCTGGCTTCAACCCATGCTACGGCCTCCTTGCATGATCCATCCCTCCATCCATCTGTCGACCTGAGTACCCACTATCAGCTGGGGATTACGTACATGAAACCTCTGTAGCTTGTCCTCTGGTGGGCTCCGCTGAGCTCAACCTTTAATTCTCCAGATCATGGGGAGATTCTGGGGGAATATGGAGGAGTCTGGAGTAATTACGTACAAGAATCCATCACTGTCACCAGCTGAATGGAATACGCCTCGGAAAGGCCGCATTCTGGCAAAGAATGTAATTCATGATTCAAGATGTGGATCTGAAGCTGATGAAACTCGGAAGAGAATCCGATTGCCACTCATATCATCGAGCTGGATCCCAGTTGAATTGGCACTATCTATTGGCTAGAACCCTGAGACACCCCTGTATTGCTACGCTTTCCCTCTGCCTCTGGCTTCCCTGCGTGTCATTGCAGAATTGCTCTTGGACGTTGTATTGTCTGATATAGACCCAGGGAAGATCTCGTCAGGGCACTGGCGGTAAATTGCTCACCGGATCATATGCCTATCTACAAAACACTTTTCAGGATCGAAAGAGAAAAGACTAGCCAACGATAAGGTAGGCAGATCATCGTCTTGAGGGTCTCGGCTTCTGTTCCGATATTTCCAACGACCCACAACGGTCGTGTCACCTCTTTTGCTACTATTCCCCAAGAAATGGCTCCATGTAACGAACTAACCTTGTCTAATGTCGCTGTGGAGCATGGGATGATAGGCAGCTCATTGTTGAGGCGGCGCAAACCTGTAGGGAGCACCGAACGTGGGGAAGGTCCTGGCGACGGGCAATGGTCTGACGCAGATGCTTGCTACTAGTGGACAGGTTCAAAGAGGTATATAAAGAGCGATGATCCTCTTGGCTTGTACTTACCTTCTTAACTCATATTGATTCTACTTGAATACGTGTGACATGAAACCGGTTGAACAATCCCCAGGTATATCAACACGGCAATCTTCAATAAACTGAACGGATCATCGACATGTCCGGTGGCAGCACCTCTTCTCAACACGAGAAGGAATCTCCTGGCGAGATGCATTCCGACTTGAAAAGGCCTGAAACTAAAGCCGAAAGTGTTATTAACGGCAATGTCGTTGCAACCAACGATCACCTCCAGCGACACATTGGTAACCGCCAGGTGCAATTGATTGCCATTGGCGGCAGTATTGGAACGGCAACATTCGTTTCAATTGGTACTGGTCTTGCTCGGGGTGGCCCTGTCAGCTTGGTTCTCGCCTACACTCTCTACTCATGTATGCTCGGCCTGGTCAACAACTCCATGGCTGAGATGTCCGTGTACATGCCAACTACTGGAGCTTTCATTCGTCTGGCCGGACACTGTAAGTTGAAAGATAAACGATATGTGGTATCTCTGATACTGAACTTTCTGGGATGCTAATAAATGATGATGTGGGTAGGGGTTGACGAGGCTTTTGGCTTCATGGCTGGATGGAACTTTTTCCTTTATGAGGCATTCTTGATTCCATTCGAAATCTCGGCCCTCAACCTCGTTCTGACTTACTGGAGAGATGACATACCCGTCGCTGCTGTCGTGGCAGCATGCATCGTGCTATATTTGTTTGTGCCTCATTTGACCCTCTCTGGCCCTTCCATGCATCGTGCCTTCGTGACTAATTTGGTTCGAACGACAACAGTGCTATTAACGTTCTCACTGTGAAATGGTTCGGTGAAAGCGAGTTTTGGCTGGCCTCTGGAAAGGTCTTACTCATCATCATATGTTTCAGTTTCACTTTCATCACCATGTGTGGTGGAAATCCTCAGCGTGATGCTTACGGCTTCCGGTACTGGAAAAACCCGGGTCCATTTGCAGAGTACCAATCAACCGGAGATCTAGGTAAGTTCGAGGGCTTCCTTGCTGCTCTCTGGAGTGCTGCTTTCACTGTCGTCGGCCCCGAATACGTTTCCATGGTTGCTGGTGAATGTGAGCTGCCTCGTGTTTACCTCAAAAAGGCCTTCAAAACGACCTATATCCGTTTCGGCATTTTCTTCATCGGAAGTGCCCTGACCGTGTCTGTTGTGATTCCATACAACGAGAAAACTCTTGTTGCGATTCAAAATGGCGGCTCCGGTGGCGGTACTGCTTCGGCCTCGCCTTATGTGATTGCGATGAACAATCTGGGTGTGTCGGTTCTTCCTCATGTTACCAACGCTCTACTAGTCACGTCCATCTTTTCTGCGGGTTAGTATCCTTGAATCCGCCGCTTTTCATGGGGCCTGTTCCGTTGAATATCATTGACTAACATGCCAAAGGCAACGCCTACACATACTATGGAAGCCGAAGTCTCTACAGCTTGGCCCTTGAAGGCCAGGCGCCGAAGTTCTTTCGCAAAACGACCAAGCATGGTGTTCCAATTTATTGCCTCCTCGCGATCATGCTCTTCCCTTGCCTCGCCTTCTTGAACGTCTCCAGCAGCTCTGCAAAGGTCTTGACCTGGTTCACAAACCTCATCACTGCCGCTCAAATTATCGACTATGTCATCATTTGCATCACGTACATTTTCTTCTACCGAGCGCTCAAGGCGCAGGGCATCGACCGCCGTACTCTCCCTTACTATGGATACTTCCAGCCTTATTGCGCTTGGATCGGTGGAATCTTCCTTTTCACAGTGGTATGCGTCTACGGTTATACTGTGTACAAGCCAGGAGCTTTTGCGATTGATGCATTCTTCACATACTACTTTATGCTTTTACTCGCACCAGTCACGTTTCTGGGATGGAAATTCGTCAAGAAGACGAAGCTGATCAAGCCCGAAGAGGCAGACCTCATTTGGGAGAAGCCTAACATCGACGCATACGAGGCAATGTACGAAGGCGAACCCACTGGATTTTTGAAGGATGTTGGGAATATGTTGAGGTTCCGACGAAATAAGAATCAGAGCAGCGCCTGAGGTGCTACTGATATGGGAATTCCCCAACGCATTTCGCTTGTTTGGAAGGGTCTTGTTTCTAGACGAATTGATCCTAGTTAAGAGACTTGGTTGGGCTTGTCGCCTCTGATGAGAATTCATACCCCTAGTAGAATATAGCGAGAGAAATCCCCTCTTCCGAGCAAATGGTATCGGCGATCCCTTCAATGTTTCTAGTATCTCTCGTCCTATGTATACTCAAGTGAAGCCCCGTCACTGTCTTTGTACTCAACAGTGAATTAGTGTTCATTATATGGGAAAGAGACTGAGGAGGCTGGCTTTTTCCTCAGCTCGACCAATCGCTTCGAACGCCCGAGATATGCCCCATGATTTCATTTATCAACAATCCTTCTAGCAGTAGAACTGAGACAGGGCAGCGCTTTGTATTCCGATAAAGCTATGTCAGGACGTAAAATAAATGGAGTATCCCATAGATCAAGACTACTGGTTTCCCTTGGAGTGGAAAAAGAAAACACCATGTCTACATGTAGGTAGCTTCACTTTTGTTCCAGTCATTGTCACTCGATATTGTTGTAGCTTGTTATGTTCATTGTGTTGAGATGTCGGGCCTGGCATCTTTCATCGCATTTTTCATTCTGTACTCGAACTCTCATCCGGTGTTGCTTGTTATACCTACATGTAAACACGAAGTGGGTGTCAGAGCTGTATTTACACATATCAGGTCCCCTGGTCTGCGGCGGTTTCCTTGATGAAACGCAGCCTAGCCCATGGAAACTTTGTTTCGATAGTACATCGCACAATTAAAGCATGTCCGTCAAATAGATCGGCATGTTCAAAGTGCCTCAGTTCTGCCTTGGCTGTCCTCCTTTGTCTCGATCTGCTCCACATATCTGCAGCACAAACCGACTCGGGCGGATCATTTGGTGCAAGCTGACATCAAGTCATCCTCATACGGCTAGCCCAAGGCTGAACGCAATTAATAGTAACTTTCAATCGACCGGCTTTGCCCAGAGGACGCCCGACTTTGCACTGTTTGACCACTAGCTTTGATCCCAGAGCGGCACAGTGATCGGCAGCTATTGATGGACTATCTCTATATTGGCGTAGAGCCCCTCTCTCCCATTACCTATCTATTCCTTTCCCTTGTGATGATGAGATGTGTGCGCCCAGCTGGGCTTGGCAGCGAGCAATACGGCCCAAATGTGCCCCGGCGCTATTGGCGGTGCCACAGCTAGACACTTGGCAGAACATATGTGCATTCATTGATGCTAATCCCCGAGAGGAGGTAAGGAGGCTATGCAGAAGCTTCGGTAAACCTGAGCCATACAGCTGTTGTAGCTTGCCCACTCACACACTCACTCCAGCCGAAGTTTCCTAGGCGCATAGGCACTGTTGTCTTGATCATAAGATCACCCCTCCCTCTCCACTGGCTCCCTCTCGCTTTCTTCAAGATGAGGGGCGTGTGCTCCTGAGCGAGGCAGATTGGTTGCCTATCTGCGTGCAAGTGTCCGCTGAACCACATAAAGCTGAATCACGCCAGTTGGTCTGGCCATCCCATCCACATGTATTGATTACCTGCTGTGCTCTCTATCGAAGTCCAGACAAGTTCTATTCTTCTCATCCTCTGTGAAGTATAGCATTCCAGCTCTACGTCTCGAACCCGCCTAAAATGAAGGACTCCAAATCGGACCCTCCGCCTCCGTATTCAGCGGAGGCATCTGTATCCCGCACTCGTACTTCCTTAGGCCAAATACGATCGATGGCCGACGCTCTTCTTCGTTCTAGAATCTCCGGTAGTAGTAGCGGCGCAGACACCAAGACATCATCATCAGCGGCTTCGTCAGTGCCCACCTACGATTCCCGGAGCGGCACCCAACCGCGCTGCACGATAGCCTCACGTCGCATAAGCGATGACTCTTCAACCCGCCTCTCCATGCTCCGATCGCCACCCATGACCCCATCAGCCACATCCTCAACCTCAAGCACACGTGAATGGGCTCGGCCCGTAACCGATAGAAAGCTTCGACTCGACGAGCTCAAGAAGGAAATCGAATCCGCCTCCCAGCCTGCTAAGCGTTCTAATGATGGCCTATTCAAGGCCGCGTACTCGACCGACATCCTATTCCTCATTGATACCACCAGCTCGATGGCGCCCTATATCGATGCGGCTAAAGAGCAGGTAAAGAACATAATGGATGACATACAGACCACGTTCTTGAAAGAAGCGGAAATCCGAATGGCCGTGGTAGGATACAAGGATCACCAGGATAACCCCAACATCCAGTTCCTTGACTTTACGACATCTGTTGATAAGGTCCACGCCTTCATTAACAAGCTTAAGGCCAAAGGCGGAGGTACTGACCATCCCGAGGATGTCATGGGAGGCCTGCAGCAGGTTGTCAACGCGAGTTGGAAGAACCAAACACGATGCGTTTTCCATATAGGAGATGCGCCGCCACATGGCCGCCTCTTCAACACTATCAACACCAGGGACAACTGGGACCAGCACGGCTCAGAACCTCATGGGCTGACGTACAAGCCGCTGCTGAAGAAGATGATCATGTTGAACCTCAACTACGCTCTGCTACGTATTACTTCATATACTGACCTCATGGCTTGGGAGTTCATGAAGGAGTATGCCGATGCAAATGCCATTTGCAAATTGCATAAGCTGAACGCAAACTTTTCCAAGGAGTACCTCTCTGCGTCCTCTCATTCCACCTCCCGTATGCGAGGGAGCTCCGCCAAGAGTGGGCTGTCATTCGAGGAGTCCGAGCTTGGTACATCGTATAGCTCGCTGCGGCATTTGGTCGTCCAGAGCGTGGCCAGCTCCGCCTCACGTACTGCCGTGCGGATGACTGACTCCATCTCCAAAACCGGGGGCAAGATGGACAGCACAGCACTGGCGTCTCACCCCACCATTGCAGAGGAGGATGAGGGCCCAAAGAAGGAAGTCGCATCTGAGGAACTCATCATGGAGGATGTACCACCACAGTGGGATACAGCCGGTTGGCTGGACGAAACACTCAATGTCGAGGGCTTCTCTCCCGATGTTGTGATGCATGGAGCCCGTACATTGAGTGACATGATGCTTCATGATGACCATATCGAGCTGAGCACCATGGAACTTGGCGTTCGAAGACGGTCTAAGCCATTCTCGCAGGGTGCACTCCGCGTTGCTGCTTACGCCCGCACCACGGCATCAACCAACCACTTTGTGGTCAAGTCTTTCAAGAAAGATGGCAGACATCTTGCTCACCTTGCTGAGGATATGCGGTGCCAGGCACTATGCAAAGCCTTTGCTCTGGAATTCAACAATCTAGTTGGCCCAGAACATTCTATTGACTTCATCATTACCACCTGTCTCCGGGGACAGTCGGACAACGGTGCTTTGCAATACATGTCTCTGGAACCGTATATCAAAGGCGACTATGTCAAGTATAACAATAATTCTGGGTACATCAATAATGATATCCCAAATGACGAGACCAACAAGGCAGCACAGGCATTTTCCCATTTCACATTTGAGCGTTCCTGGGGTCAAATTTTGGTCTGTGATCTTCAGGGGGTCAAGGGTGTTTTGACTGACCCAGCAATCCATACAGCCAATAAAGACCGGTTCAAGCTGGCGGATACCAACTTAAATAGGGAGGGTTTCAAATTCTTCTTCTCAACACATGTGTGCAATGAAATTTGCCAACAGCTTGAGCTCATTAGCAACGCAGAGATGGTGGTGTCAAACAGCTTCAAGTTCCGTGAGTTGTGGCCCGCAGTCGACAATACCGTTTACTGCTCGAACAAGCTCTGCGGGAAGATTGTTCCCACCGCAGGGGCCAGGAAGTCGGATGAATTCCCCCGCTGCCACTGGTGTGAGCAGTGTTGGCCGCAGCTTGAATCTTCCAAGGTTCGCTGGATGTGTCTGGCCCCAGGACCTGACCACGAGTTCAGCGTGTCTAGGTTCTATTACGAGTCGCAGGGTCTCGCGATGCCTCGCAAGTGCCCTGAACACAGAGAAGCGGAGGAGGCCGTTTCTAAGCCTGCAGCTGTCGGTGGAGCACTTTGGGCGAGGATGAATAACGCATCTGCGAAGCAGAAGAATATCTCTGGGAGACATTGGTAGAAGTTCGAGTTTTTTACGAGAATACGGTTTTAGTTTTGCTTTTTAGCTGAGAATGATTTTGAATTGATTTCGAAAGCGCTTACATCGATTAGCTATTCTTCACTCCAACACAGCCCGTGTGCTGAAGTCCATGTGCTACTCGTACTCATCTAGAGTTTGTTTCATATGGCTACAGACGCAAGAGGATGATAGGATATAGTAGTCTTCCCCAATACGAATTAGATATTCTCCAACTTAGATTTAGTTACTTTCTGAAATCGCGTTTAATGTTTTCTATTTTCTGAGTAGATAATCGAGTCAAGACCGTGGTGTTTTCAAAATAATAGGTACTTTCCAATTAAAAAAGACATCCAACAAAAAGCCGAACAGCTTTGTTCAAATTAGCCCGATATCACCTCATGTAAGAATTCTAAAACATTTATCTGTCGGCTGGTGTGACAGATTCATTCTTCAAGGCCCTTGCTGCCGTTTCTTTTGCCTCGATTCTCTTCACTAGCCTCGTATAGTTGGGGTAAGGGGACATATCGATGTCGTTCCTCCCAGCCCAGTGCCAGAAGGGGACAAGATAAAAGTCCGCCAGCGTGTCTGAATCGCCTACAAGGAACTCCCTATCGACCAGAGCCTTGTCAATTCGTGTATACGCCGCGTGGACTACTCCACGACCCTTTTCTCTGATCTTAGGGTTGTCATCTGGATTGACAGAAACTCGGTCCGGGCGCAGCATCATGCCATAGGCGAGTCCGTGCAACGTTCCAACCGTCCAAGACAGCCACTGGTAAACCTTGGCACGTTCGATGGCTGTCTTGCCCTCCCAGTGTTTCTCGGGCTTCAGCGACGCAATGAAGCCGAGAATGGCAATGCTTTCTGTAATTACCTCTCCATCAACGGCGAGAGCAGGGACTAGGCCGGCATGGTGGATTTTGCAATAGGCTTCATGGCTGATTGTGCCATCAACGGACTCAACGCCGCGGGGAGTCAGGTGCATTCGAACAGCCTTGTATGGAACTCCTGTCTCTTCGAGTAGAATATGGGATGCAAGAGAGCATGCCCCATTGGCGAAGTATAGAGTGATATCGGGCATAATGATCGTGTATGAAGACGAAAGATTTGTCAAGGTGGGTAAGGTAACTTAGAATGTAGATGGTGGGATGCCAGTTATCAACTCATTCAGCTGGATAGCTGGAGCCTCTCATTGGTATACGCCTGGTCAGAATGTCCTTCTCCACATCACAGACTTATACACAGGCAGAAGTCGGGCTACTGTCCACGCTTGTAGGGGCGTAGTGCCAAACCCGGTATATGCTTATGAGATCATGTAGGGCACGGGTCATGGTTTCTTAGCAAACCAATGCGTGCTGACAAATGAAGATGCCATATATTTATTAATGAAAATATGGAAATAGCTACATTCCTAAAAACGCCGGAGCAGAAACGTGTCCTTTTCCTGATACAAGGGTCAACGATGAACGCTACCACAACTTACATGCCTGCCGGTAACGTCACACGCTTCAGCTCCTCATCAAGCTCCCAAACTCGCGCTCCTCGTCCCAACACTGTCCGAAAACGCGCCAGCCAGACCTCAAGGGCACAATTACATATGGGGATACGATCTACCGTTATTGCTCCTCCGTTCTGTATCCAGAGCTGCCGGCGGCCCTTATCATCCAAATCAATGTCCACGGACGTGCCGAGAATTGCACACGTGCATGTCCTAGACTCGGATGTAGCCCATGCCCGAGCCACCAACGCTGCGTTAATCAGGCATATTTGCACTATAGGATCGAAGGTTTCGTCCGGTGACAGGTCTCTAGCGTACGTCTTTTCACAAGTCTTGAGCACACTGATGGCGTAGGTCATGGCATTTCTCCCAGATCCAGAATTTGCCCATTGAATTAGCAGGGCATTCACGTCCGCGTCTTGTGGAGGCAAGGTCGTGTTCCGAGCAATGGTTCGTACGTCTGCGTAAAGATGCAAGTTGATGCAGTAGTACAGCATCGACGTGTTGAAAAGATGATGCCCTATGCGCGCCAGAACAAGTCCTTGCCAGCCTTCGTGGTTTGGCTCCTCCTTTCCACAGTATGCTTGCAGCAGGAAGGAAGAAGCCATTGGATCCTGTTCTGGCGCGTTCCATATATGGAAAAGTCGGTCGAGCTCTGATGCCCAGCCATCTAGCTGCATCTCAAAATGGGCACGCTCAGCAAGAGCTTGTGGAGAGAGTGGCGTGTAGATATCTTGAGTCAGCTTCCAAGTCCAGATTCGTGATAAAGCACCCCAGAGTCCGAGCTGGACGTCTTCTATCAACGTTCCAGACAGGGGCAGTGATTGTGGGCTTTGGGCCACAGCGGATATCGCAGCACGTTGCCTGTCCTGTGGCTGCTTAGATTCGCGGCTAAAAAACACATCGAGCCCATGGGCATTGCATCTCGAAAATGGCGACGACAGCCTCAAACTGATCTCTTCTGGGCGGACGATTGGAGGTTGGTAGGTGGTTAACGCGAAATAAGCGTCAATTTTGAGCGCCAAAGTGGCAATCCTGGGACAGATTACATATTAGCAGCCTCGCTCATCATTACTTTATCCACCGTGGTTGCATAACCTACCAAGACCATACATCAAGGCCAATGACGAGCCATGGTATAAAGGTGCCGGGATAATGTTTTGATTGGTGGTGTTTGAGAGTTTTGTCATCAAAGGCGCCTTTTTCTCTCAAAGAAATCAGAACAAGACTGAAGAGTCTGGCGGCTGTCCGAATCAAAAGTGAGTTCTGATTGAATGCTGGTTAGAAACACGATATCAAAGTCGAGTATCATAGCTAAATGGTAGAAACTTACTCCACTCTCCAATGCGAAAGCAATGTTTATTATGCATGCCTGGTACGCTTGGAAAGGCCAAGGGGAGGGAGAAGCCTCCTCAGTGGGAACAACCTAGCATTGTTAGTTGTTGCCACAAACGAGATCCGCAGAGACACGACTTCTCAAAAGGAAAAAAAAAAACATACAAAGGATCGAAATAGGTGTGCCATCAACCGTTGATGAACTTGGATAGTGCTGCTTCTGATGGATAAATTATCTCGAAGTAGAGACCCCACCACGATGACAGAGCTAACGACGAAAATATCGTCATTTGTCGGGTCAAAAACAGGAGGATGAATAATATGCCAGCGTTCATGAAAACGGCCGAAGTAAGTCTCAATACAGTCCGAGATCCAAGTTTTATGGTGTGAAGATTGCGGCTGATTCGGGGGGTCCTGCCCAGCCGAAGCAGCAGATACCAACTGATGGATAAACCTCAACCCTGTCCTGGCGGCCTCGTTTCGTGCAGTGCCGTCTAAAGAGTCATCCACTAGCATGGCTTTGTCATTATTTATTTCGGAGATCCCTGGCCCTGGCAGATCCTTGGCACTTCCAGACGGGGCACCTGAATTGTTTGTTGTTCCATTTGGTTGATTACTCTGAGGAATAACGCCATCCGAGATCCCATTAGTCAAGTCAATTGCAGTTAAGTCACCGTCGTCAAAATTGGCCTTCCTTTTCGGTGGCTTTAATCTAGAATATGTGCATTGGATGGCTCGCTTTGTGCATAGCGAGCATTGCTCGCCGCCATCACATTTCGTCTTGCTCTCGTGGCAGGCATCACAGGCCTGGGAGGTTCTCGCGGTGGGTGCCGGCTCGGAGGAATGAACCAGAAGATGTCGCTTCAAAAGATCACTGAGCGGCTCACAACATTTGGCGTGAGAAACCGAAACTTCTTGAGGTACGGAGGGAGCCATTGGGACAGGGCGGGAGAGCGTTTTGGAAACCTACTTTCGAGTGAAGGATCGTTCACAAATGTGACAGATGTGCGAGCGTTCGCCGTGTGTAGCCTGGTGTCTGCGCAAATGCTCCTTTCTGATAAAACTCTTGCCGCAATGGCAGGCGTGGCGGGGACCGTCTTCCATGGCGACCGCGGGCATAGGACGGCTGTGGGATAGCTGCGGGATGAACAGTGGGATGATGCAGGAGAGCGTGGAGGTGGGATCCGGAGAGTGGGATAATGGGCGGACGGGGTCTTGAACGCCCAACTCACTATATTCTCACTCGACGGACGTAATTTCCACCCAGTCAGCCACTAGATTCGTAACCCAGCCCCTCATTTGTTCTCAATAACACCACTGCCGGCTGTCCGGGACAAGGTGTTCGATGGGATGCTTATACATCATTGTGGTAGTCTAAGGCTAGAATTTGCAGGCCTATCCCACTTCCGGCCGATCCCACTTCCGGCCGACGATCATCTTCCGGCTCTCGGGCCCGGAGTTAGCTGTCCGCCTACCCTACACCAAGGTATCTCCCACGACTGAGCAAGTCGCTCTTCCACCACCCATCCATAATGGTGATATTGATCCCCGTTCCTATTCGTGGGCTCCCTGAAGACCCCACATGTAATATTTTGGTACTTATCTCCGGGGCAATCCAAATGCAAACCCGTTGTGGGCATGTATGTGCGATGAAAACTGCGACCCCTGACACCACGTCGTGATTTTTGACAGCAGTTCATCCCGCTCAGTGCCGAAGCCCTCAGTCATCACCATCAAGTTATCTAATATTCATGGCAAGAGCATAGAGCTGGTAGGCTCTATAGATCAGGAAGTCGAGAAACACGAAAAAATATATAAACAGCCGTTTATCGTCAGTATTGATTGCTTTTCGGTCACAACTTAATTGAACATTTATACTCTACAAACCGTCACAGACGACTCCAAACATATTGATATCTTATTCTTTCAAACATGTCCGCGATCAAGAACGTTGCAATTGTTGGTGCCTCTGGCAGCCTTGGATCAGTCGTTTTCGAGAAGCTCGTGGCCTCTGGTAAATTCAACATCAAGGTTCTCCGACGACATGGATCTAAGTCTACCTTCGCACCCGGCATCAACGTTGTCAATGTCGACTTCCAGTCTCTAGAGTCACTCACAGAAGCTCTCAAGGGCCAAGATGCCGTGGTATCCACCGCCGGCACAGAGCTGCTTGCCGGGCAGAAGCTCATCATTGACGCCGCCATCGCTGCTGGTGTCAAGAGGTTCATCCCCTCCGAGTTTGGATCTAACCTGGACGTTCCGAGCACCCGCAAGCTCCCTGTTTACACCTACAAGGTGCAAGTACAGGACCATCTTATTGAGAAATCAAAGACTACGGACCTCACTTATACTTTTATTTACAACGCTGCTTTCTTGGATTGGGGTCTGGATCATGACTTCACTCTCCGAGTGTCCAACTACAAGCCCATGATCATCGATGGCGGCGACATCACTTTCTCCTCCACTACGCTCTCTACGGTAGCAGATGCCGTAATTGGTGTCTTGGAGCATCCTGAAGAGACCAAGAATCGCCCCGTGTACATTGAGGACACCAAGATTACTCAGAACAAGCTCCTGTCCATTGTTAAGCAGGTGGCCCCAGAAAAGCCATGGGAGCCCGAGCATGTCAAGCTGGTAGACCTAGCTGCCAAGGGCGACGCCAAGCTGGCGCAGGGAATCTTCGACAACGATGTTGTTCTGGGAAACCTTTACCAGTCCATCTTCAATCCCTCCATGGGGGGAAACTTTGAGAAGACAGACAACAAGCTGCTAGGTTTGAAGGGTCTGACCGATGAGGAGGTTGCTGAAGTTGTCAAGAATCATCTCAAGTAACTCACACAATGCCTTATAGAAACTGGACGTACAAATTCCGTGGATGGAACACTTATAGATTATGGTTGTAGAATTTTCAGATATAGATGCTTATAAATTGAAAGTTTTACCTACAACCGGGCAGGATCCTGCTGAATAACACGCATTCTTGATTGTGATATGCGTAAAACACTCAGTTGATATCTGTTCATATAAATTATGTTTATGCATAAAGGGCTAACAAATGATATTACTGGAGAGCGTCTGGAATAGAAAATACTCTATGTACCATGTGCTCCGCATACGACATGAACGTCAATTATCATCACGGCTTTACTGCCGCTACCCTATCGGGCGTATCTGCAGTTGTATCTGTGGTTATGTCATTTGGTCTCGCGCCTTCACCGATATTGGCTGATTTGGAGTTGTTGCTTGCCCCGGAATCCGCCAAGAATGGGCTACCCGCGGCTCCAGTCTCTGTTTCAGGGATTGGTGCCAGGCCATACCAGGCGACGACCAGTGTACCGACAATACCAGCAACACAGCTGAATACAAGAGCAACAATCCCGCGAGGCTTGAATCTGGACGGGGCGACCATGGTTAGTCAAACTCGCTATGAAATCAGAACCGACAGCCAAAAGAAGACACTTACCCGGAAGGCAGTTGTGGCGGAGGCTCATTTTCCCCAGTGAGATCGAGGAAATTCACAGCATTGGCAGCGGCATTTCCTTTCGTGGCAATGTTCTGTTTCTGGCATATATCCAGATGATCTTCAGGAATTGTAATGGTTTTCTGCAAGTCAAGCGGACTCTCGACGAACGTGGCGATGAGACCAGAGACAACATGCCATTCGATATGACAGTGGAAGAGCCACACACCTAGGGTTGGTCTAAAGTCAGGGAGGAGTTCTTTTGAACTTATTGTACGTTACTGACCTGGGTTGTCTGCCTTGAAGCGCAAAACAACGTTGCCGCTGGGATAAATAACCAGAGTGTCTCGTCGCATGGGAGTCTTTGGAAGGTCTGTTTCTGCAACAGGGCTGTCTTCCCATAAGCCTCCATCCTCATCTGAGCGATGGATGGACTGGAAGGCATGGCCGTGAAGGTGGAATGGGTGCCGGCCAGTATCAAGATTATTCACCACAAGTTGGACAATCTCACCCTTCTCGAGAACGAATGAATTCGTCCAAGTTCCATAGACTGCCGGATTTGTAGCGTCTTCGCCAGCAGAGAGTGCGGTGTATAGGGAAGGGACTTTAGGTGCCTTGTAGGTGATGTTGTTGAACCAAGCGTAGTTCATACCGTCCCGCAGATTGTTCATATCCACATCAAGCTGGACTACGCGATCGGGTTCCGGCAATAGTTCCATCTTGTCATATGGCACTAATGTCATGTCATCAAAGGGGTCAAGAGATTCGACTGTTGCTGCGGCTGGGAAGTCCTTCTTGTCGTCATAAACGAGCCAACCTGTCGAATTGTAGTTGAGGTCATCTGGAAGGACATCGAACAATGTCTACCGGGCATATGTTAATACTGTTTTGGGCACCATTCTCACAAGCGGGATAATCTTACGGTGTCCATGCTGGCAGCAATAGGAAAGTTACCAGAAGTATCGTTCTTTGTCGTGAGCAAGAAGCTGACCCGCTGGGCGGCTGAGAGATATATCATTTCCGCCTCGGCCTCTTCCGTGTATATGCCATCAACTTCCACAATACGCATCGTGTGGCCCTCGAACCAGAAATATTGACCCGCAAATGCGCCCATGTTGATCACACGGAACAGATACGTGGTGCTGGGTTTTACCGGGAATTTGAAACCGACAGTCTCATTCATGAGTGCATTCTTCGGCACGGGTTCTGCTCCTGACGGGTTGTTCTTGGTCATGAAGAGCTTGGGGACCATCTCTTGCATTTCGTCATGGTACCAATCTGAGAGTGTGAGGACGTGCTCTTCGTCGAACTTGTCCTTGTATGGAAAATCCTTGTCATGGATGATGAGAGGACCACGGAGTCCGTCCTATGGATAAATATCAGTGTTGGTTCGTTTTCATAATAATGCACCGTGGGACAGGCTCACCGGGTATTGAGCGTGCGAATGAGAGTGGTACCAATATGTTCCTGGCTGAGAAAGCTATGCACGAGCATTAGCATTTTTTCCGCTTGAAAGCGAGATGAGCTTTGTCCACAAACAGTGAAATTGTAGGTCATGGAAGATCCAGGGGGGATGTCGCATTGCGTCACACCACCAGGACCATCCATGTGCGTCGTGCCATTCATATAAAGGCCGTGAAAATGCAGCGAGGTGGTTTGATTGCCCAGGCTGTTGTGGGCATTGACAATGATCTGGTCTCCAACGCTCCCGAAAATGGTGGGAATGGGCCACTGGCCATTGATGCCGATAACTGGGCGCTCGAACTCGCCATCTGGGTTGGCTCTCACCCAACCGATGTCGAAGTCATACTGAATTGTTGCTGCTGATGCCAGGTGAGACAGGGCGAACGCGGGCAGTGCCACGTTCTGGATGAAGGCCCAAGCCATGGCGCAGTGGGAGGAACAGCAAGAGGCAATAGAAGTCAGATTGGATGGGGGACGAGAAGAGAAGGCTTCAAAAGTCGCATCTAAATGGACGGACAGGCAGGATGGGCGCCCGGATCTGATAAGATGGCAACGATTTCCAGACTTGGGATCCAGAACACGAAGTTGTACCCACGATCCTCAGCTCAGCTCGGCCACCGTGACAATCTCCGAGGAAGCACCAAATGTAGCGCATCCAATGTGGCAAAGATGAGCTGATATATCGGCTGGTTTCAGGCCAAGCTCTACCATTCCACAGCCCTTTCCGACATTTAACGATGGCAGGTATTGTGTACAACAAGCAGCCTAGGCAGGTCAATTGCATCCGTTAGCTGGAGAGCCAAGACTCTTCCGAGCAGGGGACTGCCCGTGGTGTCACTCGCATGGTTTCTCTGTATGCAAATCTGTAGCAAGGTGGGACAAGGTGCCGTAATTCCGAGACGATCTTCTTGATTTAGTTAGCATGGCTCTTCCAGAATGTGAATGGATAGTTGCTTGGTTGGGGGGAGCCGAGGAGACGGTGACTTCAGGTCATGAATTTTCTGTTCACTTGACCAACGCCACCATCTTATCAATCGATCCTGCCCAATGGGATAGACTGAAAGAGGCCCCTGCGATTGATTAGGATTGATTAGATGGATTGAGGGTTTTTTCTTCTTTGGGCATTACGAGACAGCCCTCCATAGCGTCTCGTGATTCAGCAATTCTGAGGCGTATGCACGAACCGACAGTCAAACAAGCAGGGATATTCTATTACACAGTGACAGACGGTCTTCAGTAGAGAATCTATTCATACCTGCTACATAAAGTTGTTGAACAAATAAGCTTGAGTAACACTCCAACGCCGTCTCACCATGAAGGGCATATGGCTCTGGCGCGACACCCGACAGACCCTCAATTCCCTGAAAGGAAACGAGAGAATAAGACACTCTAATCTCCACATAAGAAAAAAGGGAAAAGAAAAGCTTCAATCTACCCCTTAAGCAAGCGGGGGCTGGACGACTGAGCCGAGACCATCCCCAGAATACCGACGCTAGTTCGGAGTAGACTTGGGATTCCTTGCAAGACCCTGGTCCAAATGGTAATTTAGAGTAGGTAACCCACACGAACCTGCACTTCACCTTACTTTTTTTAACTTGTCTGGGCTATGATTATCTGGAGCGCGACACAAGAGCTCGGCGACCGAGCAGTTGCGCCCACCCTGGCAGCAACATTGTAACATCAACTTGCACAGAAACCCTCCTGGCTTCATGACCCCCGTGGCACCTGAATTAACGCCTCTCACGAGGCGGGAATAGTGGTGCCATTTCTCTTCTCCTCTGCCACATTGGGCGTTTGATAGTTTGGTGGGGACTTCAGCTGAAAAACCGTCCTGCAGCCACGTGTGCCGATTCATCCGGGTCTACATTCTAGACCGAAGCTTTGAATTTTCCAATAATGCGTGTGTGATTGGTCTTGGAAGCCGCTGGCAAGCTGCTTTCCCGATTGATGCCCCTTGTCATGGGATTTGGGCAGATGTACCAGGTACGAGACACAAAGGGTGACACCCCAACACGGCCAATGGCACCTTACAAGTACGATTATCTGATCCGAGGAATTAGGTTCTTTATCTCTTCGCATTTAGATCATCAGTGCATTAGACTTGAATCGGGCCATTCCGTCCTAGGCTCCCTCTACTTACTTACACCTTCTGCTTCCCTCCCTTCACGCCATCCTTCCCTCTTCCCTCGTAGGCACTCGTCGGTTGGTCTTGGATTAGCCCGTTCATTTAGACTCCATCCCTCGGCCTTGTATTTACCAGAGCTGCATTTTATCTGCAGCTACCTACAAGCCCTAATTCTCCTCCCGCCGCCATGGCTGTAGACGTCTTCGCCGTTCCAGTCTTCCTCGTCATCTTTCGAGAGTCGCTCGAGGCCGTCATTATCCTCTCCGTCTTACTGGCTTTCCTCAAGCAAACCCTTGGAGGTCCTGATGGCGACGCCGTTATTTACAAGCGGCTAAGACGCCAGGTATAGTTGCAATGGAATCTGCCTATTCAATTCGTGGAACTAACTAGGTGCCAGGTCTGGCTTGGAGCTGGAATAGGCTTCTTTTTCTGCATGGTTATCGCGGGGGCCATAATCGGTGTTTTCTATACCAAGGGTAAGGACGCCTGGGGAAAAAATGAACTCTACTACGAAGGAGCTTTCTGCATCTTTGCATCACTCATCATCTCGGTTATGGGGGCTGCTCTTCTCCGCATTGGAAAGATGCAGGCAAAATGGCGCGTAAAGCTTGCAAAGTCGCTCGAGGAATCACCCAAAGCAGGTTCTAAGAACTGGTGGAAGATTTCCTTCGAGCGTTATGCCATGTTCGTACTGCCCTTCATTACTGTCCTGCGTGAGGGCATTGAGGCCGTGGTATTCGTCGCCGGAGTCTCGTTTTCTTCCACAGCGACGGCCATTCCCTTACCCACTGTTGTCGGTCTTATCGCTGGTGGTTTGGTGGGATATGTTCTTTACAAGTGAGTGATTTTCATATCAAATAGGTCAGCTCGAGAAGGCCTTCCTAACATTCAACAGGGGCGGTTCCACTGCCCGACTCCAACTTTTCCTCGTCATCTCAACTTGTCTGCTCTATCTCGTCGCAGCCGGTTTGTTTTCTCGGGGTGTATGGAGCTTCGAGAACCAGAAATGGAACGAGAAGATTGGCGGAGAGGCTGCAGAGTTTGGTTCTGGTGCAGGATCATATGATATTGACCAGAGTGTCTGGCATGTGAACGTGAGTTCTTCCATTCTCCGACCACTACTTATTTTTGGTAACAAACATAGTGTTGTTCTCCCAAAATCCAAAACAATGGGGGCTGGAACATTTTCACCGCTATTTTTGGTTGGACCAACTCGGCAACTTACGGTTCCGTCATCTCTTACAATTTATATTGGTTATGTATTATTGTGGCTTTCCTCCTTATGCGATACAAGGAGGTAAAGGGTCGCTACCCTTTCATGAAGGCTTCATCCAACTTCGGCACTTCTGACAGCAGCGAGGTACAGACCGAAGTGACCTCAGACAAGCAAGCGGCTGGAAGAGTCACAGCGGTCTAAGCCGGATAGCGTTCGCAAAGCGAGGGGGGAACCTCTATCAATAGAGACGTGAAGATTAGCATACATCAATCAAGCAAGGGATTTGTTTAACAATCTGGTTATTTTTTATTAACCTGGAATGGCACTCAAATAAACATGGGAATTGTTTCTGTCCCTCAATAGATTACTTCAACTAACCCTTGTAAGATAAAGCAAAAAGCCTGAACTGCACTGTGTTTATCATGCCATTGTCCATTTGACTCCCTGAAATTTCTTTTTTAACGTCCGTTCGACTCCCTATGATTTGGTTTGTTGACATTTGGCACGCAATTGTCTCTGTTGCATCGCTCCTTAGCAAGTAGATAGCGGCCCCTTCCTTGGTTTGATCAGGTGTCGTAAATGCCCAAATCACGACTGAAACTTCCACACAGCCATCATTTCATATGACCATATTCCAACATCATCTCCTTCATACACATCAAGTGTGTGGCTAGTATCACTGCGTGTGAAGCAGGACTCATATTCAGCCCAATCAGCGACAGGTCCCAGCCATATCACAACTCTCGTCGCCAATTTCATTTCGAGTATTGTTGTCATGTAGAGGGATAGTAGAGACGGCTGGCGAGGATATACAAACATGATGGCGAATACCTCTGGGTCTCTTAGGCGGGACGAGATCTCTCTTGAGCTTCGCACATTGTTGATGAATGGTTCAGACAAGTATTTATTGGCCAATTCTGCGGAGTCCGCCTGCCAGACCTCTATACCTTCAACGCTCAGGCATGCTGATTGGGGATAGATCGACTGGTTTGAGGCAAAATAGGATATCATGAGGCTCTCAAGAAGTCCTGTCCCACTACCGACAGAGAGGATAACTCGATTTTCAGGTGGTGAGCTATCGGTTGTAGTGGGAAGGGCAGTGGGGCTCAAGAGTTCGAATAGTGTGTGGAAAAGTTTGTTGGAAAGGCTGAGGCACGAGTGGGCGTGTCGAACAGGAGCACCACCCAACATCAATGATGGCAACTCCATTGCGCGTGGCAGAGAATATTGATGTGTTTCAAGAACAGAATGTAAAAAATCTATGAAAGAATTGTTAGCTTGCCTTCGGCCATTGTGTGTTCAGTTCCATTATTGTGCGGCTTATTAGTCAGCCAACTCAAGAGGTTCCTCAGATGGTGCCAATGTCAGTATTTCAAGGGCAAGAAGAAACTGGTGCTGTCAACATAATGAGTTGTACAATCATATCTAAAATAGGATGGAGGGCAATCTGTGAAATAGTATGAGATTATTCTGGTCTGTTACGGTATTTCAATTGAAGTTAGGCACTCAATACCTGCTCACTCCCCCGTCCTCTAAAAACTTCAACGTAAATGACTCCGTACATAAGGCATTCTGCTATAAATGCTAGATCTGGCCAATTTCAGATGCTGCGTTAGTCACAATGTACAGGTATCCATAATTTGCGATTAAAACCCAATCACCCGGACACATGAAACGAACCGGGCTTACCTTGTCCGCCAAGTCGGGCACGTCTTTGTTCGTGATCTGAGAAGCTGAGCGATAGCATTATTGTCTGATGAGTCTGGTAAGCGTCGGTGGAATTATGTAACAGTTGATGGGGATCTTCATGGCAATGTTAAGCCCCAGTGTGGAAACGAACTAATTTTGTTGGTGAGGTAAGAGAGAGTGGGGGACAGTTGTAAAACTCGATCTTCAATCTTGAGAGGTCTTTAAGTTAGGCAAGTTTGTGTGGTGGCTAGCAAATGCCGAGGGCAACTCAATTGCATTAGAATATAAATCAATCAGTCCGTGGTGCAATGTCATATTTACCTAAAAGTAAAGCTTCAGAAGCCCCAATAGTATTTTCTGAACAATTGGGAGATTAGAAACGCGGTTAGGTTGGCCCAGTTCTTTGTCTCATATGAGACAAAGACGATGAGGTTGTAGCTTCAGTGCCATGTTCAAACTCAAATACATCACTGAGTCGTATTTTCGGTATACACCCAATTAGACCATATTCAGCAAGCTAGATGTAATGCCGTTCTATCCTAGAATCTCGTCCCTGTTTGTTTTCGTTAGTTCGATGATGATCAGGCCGCTTTTGTGACCAGTTTGCCACTTACGTATATGAATCTTCTGGCATCCTGATGCCGTCATGAATGGAAAGCCCCATTAATCTCCCACCGTCGACAGTCAACAAAGCATAATTCATGTAACCGCCACCAGGACTCGAAAGCATTAGAACAGGCCCGACCATTTCTTCCGGACGCCCAGCACGCCCTGCCGTGCAGCGCATCGCTGCTTTTGTTGCTTGATTGTTAATGTTGTATTCGTGTTTTCCTGCAGTGCTGCCAGTCATCTCTGATGGGAAAATTCCAGGACAAATCGTATTGACTCGAATTTTCATCCTTCAATTTTATAACCATTAGCCTTAGGCTTGTAGAGTATCTCTGGGGTGGGGGGCTTATCGTACGGGTGTAATCTGCCTGCGAGAAGCTTGGCAAGATGGACAGCTACAAACTGATCAGCCTGTTGTCCTCGTGTCCCATTTTAGATGATATATCCTTACTCGCTGCTTTGGATACACCATACGTGATCGACCCCATGGATCTTCAAAGATCGGATTAGCCTCAATATGCTTGAACAATTGTAACGTGCTGTTCTTACCTTTGGTTTCCAAGCGCAGCCAGAGATGCGATGACGCACACGTTTGGGTCTGCAGACTTCCTCAAGAGTGGAATAAAGTTCACAGTTAAGAAATAAACTCCCATGACGTTTACTATGAATTAAATTAGTTGGTTGCCGTAGAGCCACAGCAACATCCTGAAGTCTTGAATGTTCACTCACTTTGATTGCTTCGGTCAAAGTCCTCCCTATAGTTGTATCAGTATTTGAAATTGAACTGTACCAATTTTAATGATCATTCTTATCTTACTCTTCAACTCCGTTTATGAGCAGATTTTCAACCTCGTCCGCTAGGAGCAAATATCAGCCGCTTGATCGGCCCAGCGGTCTTGTTCCACTTCACGGCCGTAACATACCATTGTTATGATCATTGGCCTTGACTCTCCAGGGACTGTTCACCCCAGCGCAGTTTATGAGTGTATCAACCTATCAACGTCGGTTAGTTTAATGGCCGCAGAGAATAAAACCTAGTTTGGTGTCCAAATGATTTCATACATGAGATTCACGGGCCTTGACAGCTTCAACAATGGCCTGGCAACCTGTTTTGGTCTGTACATCGCCTTGAATTCTTCATCGCTCCATATAGATTAGCAAAATAGAAGGCTTAGAGGAAAATGGGAATCAAGGTGGTAGAAGTCACTCACGTGTGAATATCCCCTCCGATCTGTTGAGCCGCCGTGTCTAGGGCTTCTTGCCTCCGGCCACAAATGTATACCCTTGCACCATTGATAGCGAACCCCTCAGCAATGGCCTTACCCAAGCCCGAGCCCCCTCCAGTGACAACTACGATCTTTCCCTTAATAGAAAAAAGATCTTCAAGTTTAAACGATACGTGCTGTTCCGCCATATTGAGTAGAGTTGGTGATAGCGAATTTAGGTATAGTCCTTTGGATGAAACAGTTATCTGAAGGGTTTCTTCACTCGGTAGAGGATAGATGTTTAACAATCAATCCGAGCAGTTGGGAGCTTCGGCGGATTTCCGACCCTGCTGGAAATGGGGAAATGGGGCCTCCGCATCTCGGGCTTGGCTTAGGAACGAGCGTCGCCCAACTTCGACTGACTAAGTCTCTGTGGGGAGGCCACAAGCGATGGATTCCAGCCAGAGATTCGGTTTTAGCTAGCGTAGCCGAGGAGCCATGGGAATATGGTCATGCTTTCATGCTTGTTTCCAGGCTCACCAATCGCTCGCCTTGTTAGAGATGGCCGACGCGGGGTTCGATGGGGCAGGTGATGGCATGGCCCCCATGGGGTAATGCGAGACGACGGCCTGAGGAGCCCGACTACGACATCGGCCCTTGGGTTGAGACGTCAATTAATGCGATGGCGATGTCCCCTCGGCCGTTTCTCATCGTAAGATTCTAAAAAGGGAGAAAGGATTGTCATTGATAAGATCGCATCATATCCTACCGTGATACGCAATCTTTACACATCAGAAAGGCCTATCATTGACTGCCTCCTTGATTATCCTTACCAGTACTCAGCCTCACTTTCAATCATCGCGACTCAGACACGCCATGGCTGTTAGCAAGCAGGACGGGCCTCAGGTCATCTCTTTGACCAACGAGGAGCGCGACAGTGGTGTGATGGGGGACAAGAAACTCTACGATGCTATCGAGGCCTTCTTCACAGACGGCCTCGTCGTGATCGAGAATGCAATTGATGTGGAAATCATTGATCAGTTGAATAAAAGAATGCTTCAAGACACCGAGAAGTTGCTGAAGGGTCAAGGTCAAGTCCACTTCAAGTGAGTATTACTCCCCTCCAATAACCGAACCAACGTTCTTCACTCAAACTAGAATGATTATATCGTTTTCAGCGTAAAAAAGAACAACATTAATATTCATGTCTATAGCCATCTAAATGAGAATGTATCTTCCAAAGGAGCCGCTGCCGGTGGTAATCTCTCACAAGTGCCTCCACTGCAAAAGGGTTCGTAACCTCTCACTTTTCCGCCGGCTGTACAAAGCAAGAGGCGAATTGGAAAGTCTTCTCAGAATGTCTAACATTTGATAGAATGGCTATTCCCAGAGATATACGCAAACAGGCACGCCACTCGTGTTGTATCAAACATTCTCGGACCACGACCCGAAGTTCACTTCATCCGCACAAACACACTAATTGCCACGGAAGAGCGCCAGATGGTTCATGCGGATCTGCGCTTTGAGCACCCACAACATCCTTTCGCGATCGCTTACAACACTTGTCTCGTCGATGTTGGTCCTGAGAATGGCACAACCGAATTGTGGCTGGGGACTCAAAATACCACCATCGATGACCACCGCGAGCTTGGAGAACCTATGATTGCAGAGAGCAAGCTAGAGGAGCGCAGAAGGGTTCGGGGGCCTTGCTATCCCCGGCTCAAGAAGGGATCTATCGTCCTCCGTGACCTGAGACTATGGTATGTGATGACCCTCCCCATAGCAACTTCCCCAATAGCTGAAAGATTCGTTCTTACCAAATGAGCTAGGCACGCGGGCATGCCAAACCCTACCCCAGACACGAGAATTATGCTGGCCATTGTGTTCTACGCTGCGTGAGTGACGATCCCTCTCCCATAGATTCATATGTTCGAATCAGTCATACTAATCAATATGTAAATTAGTTGGTATAAAAACGGTGTGGTCACTCAGATGCCTGAGTCTCTGAAGCCTACAGTGGCAGAATTGGAGGAATACGGTCAACATAAGATTGCTGTCGAATGGGTGCCTGACGAAGGGTACAACTATCTCGACATCAAGTTCAGCAACAATTTTAGCTCTACCCTCACACCATGGGTTTGGGAAAGAATCCAGCACATCAAGACAGTCAAGGGCTATTAGGGAATAGTCTAAGTAGGGACTCTTCCTCACAATATTTCCCTCTACTCAAAAATATACCAATCTTTATTTGTTCTTTTCTTATTCAAGATATCGGATCAAACATTCTTCTGAATTCTGATTAATTATATTTTTCATTGCTTTTTCCCGAAATTTGAAAGTTGTGCGAGTTAGGTAGAAATACTTTTTACTAGCATCCGATTTTCCTTTATGAAGAAAGTTCAAGTCACCGGAGCTATTCCAAATAATACAGGAAGCAGTAACATGGACAACACATATAGAGAAGGTACGGATTCTATAGGTAATCATTCATCTCATTTTCTCGGCTAATACTAATTTTTAATTTTAGGGTCCCATCACTTCAATAAGTGCTTGTTCACAGGAGTCAACGCATCCTGTCCAGAGAGTACAGCAAGGACGTTCTGCATTGACAAAGCCTCAAAACCGCTCGTTGTATCAAAGGCACCACCAGCATTGTGGCATGTGAGTGTAGCATTTCGGTTCTTGATCAGGCGAGGATTTACAACCGGTTCGTTCTCATGAACATCAAGCCCAACGGAATATATATGCCCGCTTTCCAATGCATCCGCAAGCGCTTCCTCATCAATGAGGCTACCGCGTGCGATATTCACAAGCCGCGAGCCTTTCTTCATCTTGGCAATGCGAGGCGCATCTAGTAGTTTCTTTCCGCCTGCTCCTGGCGTAGCGATGACAACACAGTCGACTGTTGCCAGGAGGTCATCCAGTTCTGGGATTCTCTGGGCGCCTCCTATAGCCTCTTCCTGTTCCTTGCTCTTTGGAAACAAGTCATTGTAGACAATCTTCATTCCAAAGCACCGATATGCCTTGGTTGCAATGCGGTATCCGATATTGCCCAAACCGATCACACCAAGGACTTTTCCGGCGGGATTAAAGGCGTTGATAGGCTGATGATGGTGTGCATCGAGGAACTCGTCAACATTGCCGGTGCGAGCCGCCATGTTACTCCACTGGAGGTTGCGGAAAACAGAGATGATGTGGTAGATGGCCATGTCAGCAACGGCCTCGGAGCTAGCCGCCGCACCATTGCAATACAAGATCCCGGCCTCAGCCAGGAGATCGACATCGGCCCAGTCGTATCCGGCGCCAGCAGAGGTAAAGACCTTGAGTGACTTGGGGAGGAGGGGGATCATCTCTGCATCCCAGCGTCCCATCTCGAGGCCGCTGTTCCAAAATGGGCGGAAGACGGCCTGGAAATCTCCCCATTTCCGATCTCGCAGGGCTTGGAGCCAGGCATCACGCTGCCTCTCCTCCAGGGACGGCTGAATAATGGTAAAAGAGTCTTGTAGTTTTTTGTAGATGTCCGGGTTGAATTCTATGTCATCTCCGAGATGGAGAATAACAGGCTTAGAAGCATCGGCAGTCATGATGCGATGTTGGATGTCAGAATGGATGTGAATAGCGTAGGATGGTGCCACTGGCTCGGTAAAAGGATCAATAGAGCTACCCAAGAGCGATGTAATCCCAGTAAATATGAGAACAACCACGAGTGTAAAGGCCTCTCGGATCACCGTATTGGGAATTCGAAGCCCAAGAGCGCATATCGGCCCTGCTGCCTGTCTGTGCCCCCGCGCTGTCAAGGCCTTACCCCCACAAGCATCCCTGAGACCTGGTCAGGTGCGCCCAGACTCGCAACACAGGCGGCGTCCATTGTGCAGGACTATGCCATCGCTAACGCTATGCCGTGACTGGCAAGAAATAGGCGACGGCACCCCCGTCCCTGAATCATGGGGTGAGAGATGAGGGATGAGGAATGGGGAATCTGGGGGTGGGGAAATGGAGAAATGGAGCCGAGTCACACGCTTCAGGCGTTACTCCTAATAATGCCCAATGCCCATTCCGAATAATGCAAGCCCGGTACACTTTATGATTGGATAACACCCGGATTAGCCGTCGGGTGCAAGCAAGCGCATCGCTTGGGCTTTACCGCTTGTAGAGACTTTGTTCCTTGCCAGCTCCGTATCCGGGGACGTGTCGCTGGGTTAGATAGCTGACTCGGTTTTAATCTCTTGGCTAGTGTTCATATGATTCAAGATGCGCAAAGGCGTTTGTTTTCAGGCGAAATAAGCTTGTGTCCGATTGGCATTCGCCCATATCACAACCAGCTGACCATCCCGTCACCTCGGCTGCTTCGTGAGAAACCTCCTCAATCGGTAAAATATTGTTACCTTCTCTCATCTGAATTGACAATTCAATTTTCCTGGGAATAAACTCAAAGAATTTCGCTCGACAGCATGGCTCCTACTCAGGGCAAACCTTTCCCCCACGGGATCCACGTTCCCAGCTTGACGTGGTTTAAAGCTACGGCTGAGCAAGAAATCGATTGGGATGTGCAAAGAAAACACTTGGAATTTCTTGTCAAGTCTGGTCTACATGGAAGTAAGTGCCTATATCCGATTCGAGCTCAGGTGATCTATTCTAAATGACTGAATCACCAGTTGTCCTCGCCGGCACCAACGGGGAAGCCGTCACCCTTACGCGTGAGGAGAAGGCCCAACTAGTCCAGCTCACTCGAAAGATTGCCGTTGAATCCGGCCGTGGAGATCTTCCAATCACTCTTGGTTGTGGAGGGCAGTGCACACGCGATGTCATTGCAGAGACGCGTCTCGCCGCTGAAGCTGGTGCCGACTTTGCCTTGGTACTCGCTCCAAGCTACTTCCACTTTGCCATGAATCAGGATGCTATTGTTGCCTTTTTCCAAGAGGTACATTTCTCGTTTCTACTAACTAATTCCAATGATTCATCAACTGACCGGTTCGCAGCTCGCTGATGCTAGTCCCGTGCCCATCGTCATATATAATTTCCCAGGTGTCGCCGCCGGATTGGATGTAAACTCTGAGTCGCTGGAAGCCCTTGGTCACCATCCCAACATTGTCGGAGTCAAATTGACCTGTGGAGGAATCGCCAAAGTGGCGAGAATACGCGCAACATTTGAGCCAGCACAATTCTCGGCCTTGGCTGGGCAAAGCGACTGGCTGACCCCGGCGCTCTCCGTAGGAGGCACTGGTGTGATAACTGGCATTGCAAATCTTTTCCCCAAAGTGAGTGCAGTATCTGCAGCTGATTTAAACATGGAATCTGTAAATTCTAACCTCTTGCAGTGCTGTATCGAAATCTTCGACCTCTTCGTAGCCGGGAAGACAAAGGAGGCGGAAGCTGCGCAGCTGAAACTTGCACGCATGGAATGGGGATTCGCCAAAGGAGGGATCAACGGAACGAAATGGATTGTAGCTAAGCTTCTCGACTACCCACAGGAAAGCCACCATTGCAGACGGCCTTATCCTCAGTATGCTGACCCCAAGCAACAAGAGTGGATGACCGCCACCTGCAGCATTTTGGTAGACGACGAAAAGAGGTTTAATTCTGCGAGTACATAGAGATTAATCTAGGATAGACAGTCATAGACCCATGGCATCAATATCGTGATTCACCTCGCCATACACCTCCCTATGACCCAGCTTACAACTCTCAAGGGATAAAGACGTCACTGCGACTATAGTCATAGATAGCTGTAAAAAGTACCAGTATTCGCCTCTCTTGCCTTAATCAGTGCTGGCACCAGAACCGCGTTGCATCCAAGACACTGGGATTTACTCCAATTTCCCGGGGTCGGGTCTTCTACAAGGCCCAAGCTGAAGTCCAATCAGTCAGATCATCTTGGCGACCCCTCACCGCATCAAAGGCACTTGGACTTGACGATGAGGAGGTAAACGTGCGGTTTCCCTTGGTCAATACTCACTCAATAGCGTTGGCCCAATATCATGATCACCCCACAATCATAGTCTGGGGCTCGTCGCTTCCTCTCGCTGTCCTATCGCCTTGCCTTTTCTCCGACACACTCATGATCCTTGCGAGTTCAACTCGTTCAGGCTAGCGCATCCGATGAGAAGCCAAGCCCTTCCTTCGTACTTGGTCTGCGGTATTTCCCCGAGTCATGTCTGACGATGCGGAGTCTTGTCTTGGCTGCGGGGAAATAGGCCGGGCAGTCAGTTGAGTTCTGCACGCAGAGTCAGGTTGTGTCCTGATATGCTTGCGTGTCTACTCATGCTCTCAGCCATCCATGTTGCTTTATGCAGCTCTGGCAGGCCAGTATGACGTGCATTGGTGCAGTACACAGCTCACATAACTTGGGACTTCCCTGGGACCGGATTTAAGACCACGTATGACGCCCCAGATTACCAGGAGCCCCCGGATTTTTCTCCCCATTCATGACATCGCCTCGAGGAAAAGCAGATCCACATGGGCGACTTGTAGTCCACCGCCCCGCTCCCCCAGACTAGGAGGTCGGTCTGGGGTTCGATAAGCTCGGATATTGGGGGGAGAAGCCACACTCCCTCCCATGAGTCTTGTCCTCTTGGCCCTTGCCACTATGGTCCAGACGCTCTAACTCGATCCTGTGTTGATATCCGACCAGTTGGACTACTATAACTTCTTCCATAAAAGGTCCTTGATCAACACACAGATCCTCCCCAACTCTCCTTGCAACCACAGCCAATCTCGCCTACTTACCAATTCATCCATCTCGTTGCATTGGCAATCATTGGCAAACCCCTCAAAAATGGGAAGCTCTGACAAAGACGAGGCCCTTGGCGTCGCCGTCCATGTCGGCGATGAGGAGAACATCAAGACTGAGCATGACGAGCATACATTGCCCAAGCCTGACAGCATCGCGACCTTGAACGACGAAGAGCTCAATTTACTCAAGAAACGAATGGTTCGCAAGATGGACCTTGTCATCATGTGCGTGTCCCCCATCTGCGAACATAGATGGATCAGTTCAAACTAACTTTGATACTCGCTATGAAGGCCTATTATGGGTATTCTGTACATTCTCAACTACGTTGATAGATCGGCCCTCGCAGCTACAAAGGTTTACGGAATCATGGAGGATCTTGGCATGGACACTGCTCAGTTCGCCACTGCCATTTCAATTCTTTTCGGTTCGTGCAATGAAGCGCTGTAGATGGCTTGAGAGGCGCACAACGAACTAACACGTGCCTATAGTCGGTTATATTCCTTTCCAAATCCCCTCCAACCTGATCATGACCAAGATTACACGTCCTGGATTCTGTTAGTATTCATACATCTAACTGTTGACCTATGAGCGAGTGCTAACCCATTATTTCCCCCGTGTTCCAGATATTTGCTCTGCTGCTGTTATCTGGGGAGCAGTGAGTTCCTGTACGGCAGCTGTCAAAACATACCAGCAATTGCTCGTTGTTCGCGTGTTCTTGGGTGTGACGGAGGCCGTCTTCTTCCCGGGAGTCATTTATTTCCTCAGCGCATGGTACACCAAGCACGAGCTGGGTAAGCGACTGGCAGCCCTCTTCATGTTCCAGATGGTCGGAAGTGCCTTCGGAGGCTTTGTCGCTGCCGGCTGTCTCACCTTGGACGGCCGTTATGGCATTGCCGGCTGGCGTTGGCTGTTCATCGTGTTAGTTCTTCCCTTTCCCTACTCCCCACGAGCGATACTAATACCCTGCCTTATAGTGAAGGCGTCGTCACAATTGGCTGCGGTCTCATCTTTGCTTGCTTTATGCCAGAATACCCCCACAATGCTCGCCTACTAAAACCTGAGGAGCGCGATTTCGCCGTCTGGAGACTCGAATGTGAAGCCGGAGCAGGAGAGGCCCATGAAGAGACTACTGCCATGGGTGGCTTCAAGCTCGCTCTCCTGGATCCCAAGGTTTGGGCTCTTGTCTGGTGTATGCACATGTCCCAGGCTATGGGTTCGACTGTCAACTTCTTCCCTTCCATTGTCCAGACCTTGGGCTATGACAAGACCAACACGATGCTCCTCACTGCGCCTCCCTTCATCCTGGCTGCTATCGTCTTCTATATCATTTCATACATTAGTGATGTACGTTTCGGCTTCCTTGTATTGAATTCTTGGGATCTTCATACTGACTGTTTCCTTGTAGCGCAAAGATGCGATGTATGTCATCATCATCTCGTGTCTTGGAGTTGGCTGCGTGGCCTATATTATCCCCTTGGCAACTGTCCAGACTGCTGCTCGATACGTGTCCATGATGCTTATGCCAGCCGCAGCAGGTACGTCTTCAGCCGCCAATTTATAAGTCGTCATTTTACTAACTGATGTCGCTTTTAGCTGGCCCCCAAATCATGCTATACAAGACCCTGAATCTCCATATGGCACGTCCATTCAGTAAAAGATCCGTTGGTACCGCCATGATCAACTCCATCGGAGGTCTTTCCAACATCTGGGCCAGCTATCTCTACTTTGGTCCTCCCCAGTATACTGCGGCTTTCGCTTGCGGTGAGTATTCAGCTTTCTCTCTCCATGTCAGCTGGTTAGAATATGGAATTGACTCTTATTGCTTGTTTAGTTCTCGGCTGTGCCGTCTCCTTCTTCCTTACCATCACCACCTACAGATGGCATGTGAGGAAGCTTAACCGCCTTCTTGGAGGTACTGAGGAGGAGCAACGCCGCGTCATGAAGAAGGGCGTGACCCAGCAGCAAGTCGATCTTGGATGGCGATACATTGGCTACTAAACTGGACGGATGGAAAGATCATACACAGTATATACTCTATCTAAACCCTAGAAGTATCATATTCTTCGGTGATTTATCAATTATATGCTTTTCCCTCTCAAATTGGGAGGAACAGAAACAGATACCTATTTTTTTTACTGATTCAATCGGCCGTGGTGACTATCCGAGGATTATGAAAGGTAAAAATGATCAGGAAACAAGAAGCGTGGAAGAGATAGACGACATAGTGCGTATACGTCAAACGATTTCCCCCCCTGCACTCAATTGCCCTCACCCCCCTGTGATAGTCTTCAAATGGAAGGAAGCAATACCAGAATCAAGGGTCCACTAGAGTCCACCTTTTCAATTGAGTGAAGCAAATGCCGCAATGAGTCACGCATCCGGCATCCTCTCGCAATCAATCCTGCGCCGTTGACATCTTCCCCCATCACTGCCTCATAAGATGCCGCTTCAACTCCGCACAGCCACCAAGGACGATGTCCCCGCCTTGGGCAGGGTCGCCTACAAGGCATTCGATCCTTCAATAGACCCTATCGCCAGCCGACTCTTCCCGCCACACCTCCGGTCACCAGAACAGCAGGATATTGACGGGATACTCGCATTCCGCAAGGCGCGCAAAGCAATTGTCGTGGACGACACAGAAAACTTGGCGGTCAAGGTCATTGTGGATGACGAGCTTGATGGACAGATTGTCGGGGTCGCTGTTTGGGAGCTTCCCAGAGACGAGGCGCCAGGCTCTGCAGAGGTCGGGAAAAGCAAAGCACAGGCGGCGGCGCCGGCACCCCCTCCAGAAATGGATCAAGATGCCCTCGGCGTGGTGAAGTCGACCCTTGCTAACGATGCTGTTGAGGCATTTGGGAAAGATGGAGTCGCCCATGTGTACCGTACGTGTGCCTAGATGAACATTCGTGCAGGTTTCCTCCACAACATTTTCTAATCTGATCACAGACCTACAACTCATTGCCGTCGACCCGGCGCAGCAGAAACGAGGGATCGGGAGAATATTGGTGAACTGGGGCGTTCAGCAGGCCGATAAAAGGGCCAAAAAGTGCTACTTGTTTGCATCAGAGGCAGGGCGACGCCTGTACCAGTCGGTGGGCTTTGAAGTCGTGAGAGAGGTCTCCGTCTTTGGGTTTCCACACTACTCCATGATTCGACAGCCCGCAGAGACTTCTTCTTGAGTAAGAAGAAAGAAAGAGATCGAGTGCTGAGAAGCCATCAGGAACACTTCGTCCTTGAGGGTTCAAGGACCTTTTTAGTAATGCGGATCTTCACGTCAGGCCGTGTTGTCCATATTCCCTGATACTGTGCCAAGTATATCCATGTATCGACTGAAGACAATAAGGTCAGCGGCGGACTGAGAGTCATGCGTAAGTCAATCAATACGGATGAGAGCGTTCGAGTATAAAGTTAAAAATAGCAATAAAAGATGCCAGACCCGACATCTCAACACAATGAATATCTTTTCCTCTCTCTCATATTGGGTATTATTCATTCGGATGACAGTGAGTCAATCAATTTGCAAGAGACCTGGTTAGCCTTAGAAATATCAACAAGCTGGCGACTGAAAAGAACCGTAAAGCATAATTGATATGGCGGCCTTTCGTCAACATTCATTAGCATCAACAGTGGCTGCATTCCGGCTGCTTCTGATTTTTTAATACCAAAAAAGGAATTACCAGATAGCAAAGTGAGCCGGGGGTGAGTGGGTGAGGGCGGGCCAAGCTCGTTTCTGTCCAGAGTGAATGTGTTGTTCCAGTGACTGAGCACAAGCCAGGCCGGGGAGAAGGCCGAAACCCTCGCATTCATTTGTAAGCTGTATTAACAACTACCCAGGGATTCAAGGCATAGGCAAGCATTTGCATTGTACCGTGAGCAGCCACTTAAGTAAACTTAGATCGTAGCCGGCACAGCTAAGATAGCAAGTAATATCATACAATGAGATGGCACATGAGAGAATAAATCCCTTCCGACTCTTATCAGAGAAAACATATTGTGTGGGGCAGGGCAAGTTTCTTCCCCCCCTTTCCCCCAAAATCGAGCTGAGGCGGCCTCGGCCAAAATTATGTGTGGATCCCCTCGGCCTTCTTCCTGTTTGAGAAACGGGGTATTCTCTGGGACTCAGCCAGTCAGCTTTTAATCTGCGTTCACGAAGCCCACCGGATAGCTCTCCGCGGCAAAGTCACCGCCGTTGAGAGCAGGCATCACGAAACGAGGAACCCGGAGCAGGTGTGTTGGAGAGAATATACCAGCATGCCCTGCCATACCCAGAATTACCCCACGCTGTATGCCCCAATGTTGCTTTACCCTTGGGGCACACGTCAACCAAATTTGCAGGTTTCTCTTCCTCAGTGAAAGATGGAGGGCAAAAAGTTTCATTAACCATACCATCTGGAAAATTAGTTGCCGCAAGATACTAGAGACTGTGGCAATAACCACAATGCTAGCGGCCTACCCAGGCCAGCGGAGGATTGTCCGGTCGAGGTCAATCCAGTGTGAACGTTAATGAACCTTGATCATAAAACTGAGTCAGTCTCTCTGCAGAGAAGCCCATGGCAGTGCCACCCATGATACATGCATCACACGATGGCGCATCAGCCGGCGAAACCTCCGGGCCCACCACCAGAAACCGGCCTTTCCTGCGAGCCCCGGTTACAAGCCCCAACTTTCTCTGTTTCTTGCTGAAGATTGGCCGCTACGCGCGGGGAAACGAGCACTTCCCCATGGTTTCATGTGGGGAAGCCAGCTGTTGTTCTAGCCCCAAAGTCGCCAGAATGACACACCGAGACGGGATATTGCCGCTAAGATCGGCATGAACTTGGAAAGTCTGCGTGCTCAGAGACTTTTCTACGATAACATTGACCAATTGCCTGCTTCTTCCCTCGAACCGACTATATAACCCCAGTCCTTCCTTTCCCATCCTCGTGAACCGACCTTTCTGTCTCTCAGCCAGCCTCTACATCTCATCCGAGGTTCTCCCTTCTCTTAAGACAATCCATTTGAGGCCCAAAACGACCACACCACCTCTTTTTGGAATCCTGAAACGATTCAGATCGTTACCATGGATATCAAGAAGACGAGCGTCGAGCTCCAAGAGGATGTGCAAGAAGCTACCTCTCATCCAAATGCAACAAACCCTTGGAACGACCGTTTCAACGGCGAGACCGAAGAATGGCGGGCGGCGATGAACAAGAAAGTCCTGCGAAAAGTCGACACGCGCCTCATGCCAACCCTCGTCATCATGTATCTGCTCAACTTCCTCGATCGCTCCAACCTAGCCCAGGCGCGTCAAGGGTCCCTCGAGAAGGACCTAGGCATGACAGGCACCGATTTCAACCTTGCCACCTCCATCTTCTTCGTCGGATATCTCCTCATGCAGCTTCCCTCCAACGTCCTGTTGACCCGTCTGCCCCCTTCCATCTATCTCGCCACATCGTGCTGCCTTTGGGGTGTCGTCTCGACCTGCAACGCTGCGGCTCACAGCTTCACCCACCTGATTGTCATCCGCTTCTTCCTCGGTTTCGTCGAGGCTCCCTTCTTCCCAGGAGCCGTGTTCCTCATGAGCTCTTGGTACACCCGTGCTGAGTTGACACAGCGTGTTTCTTGGCTGTATGCTGGTAACGCGCTGGCCAACATGTTTGGTGGTGTCATCGGAGCCGCCATCCTGGGTAACCTCGACGGTGTTCAGGGGCTTGCTTCATGGAGATGGCTCTTTATTATTGTAAGTGGAACAAAGATCGTTGCTACAAATCGCGTTTTCGGGCTCTAGTCGTTCATGCTAATGGGGCGTCATTTAATAGGAAGGCGTTGTCGCGATTGCTTTCGCCATGTGTGCTGGGTTTATCCTCCCGAACTATCCCCATTCCACCAAATGGCTATCTGAAGAAGAGAGGGCCTTCGCCTGCTATAGATTAGTCCAAGACGTCAACGAGGAAGACACATACGGCGGAGAGCAGACAATCTGGGATGGTATCAAGTTGGCTGTTCGGGACTACCGTCTCTACGTCTTCGTCCTTCTCCAGCATATCAGCTTAGTCTCGCAAACTTTCCAATATTTCTTCCCTACAATCGTTGGCACATTGGGCTACGACAAGATTACGACCCTATGGCTCACAGCCCCAGTCTGGGTAAGTCCATTTTGCTGAATGCTCCTTTGTTCCGATTACCATGCTAACCATACTGCCACTTCTGTAGTTCGCCACCTTCCTTGTCTCTATTGTTGTTACATGGACATCCTCGAAAACAAACGATCGATCTTTGCACATTATTGGATTGATGATCGTGTCCGCCATTGGAAATGCTATCGCTACAGGCACTACTGTTCTGGGAGCTCGGTACTTTGCCATGTTTTTGATGCCAATGGGCGCAATCTCGGCCTGTGAGTATAGTGGACAATATCCCTCAATCCCAGAATATCTGCTGACTGGGTTTTATCAGATCAAATTATCGTCTCATGGGTCGCCAACTCTTTCCCTCGACCAGTAGTCAAGAGGTATGTAGCATCCTAAGAGGGCCAAAGTCTCTAACTAACGCAACTGGATAGATCTGCTTGTATCGCCGTCGCCAACATGATTGGAAACACAGCTTCTATTTATGGAAGCTACATGTATCCCAGCAGCTCTGGTCCTCGGGTAAGTCGATGCTTGTCCATTAATTAGCAAGATAAAGACTAACCAATAGTAGTATATTCCTGGAGGAAGCGCAAACGCTTGCATGTGCATCTTAACTGCCGTTCTAGCACTCGTCCTGCGATTCGTTCACATTCGCGAGAACAAGAAGCTCGAAAGCGCTGAGCAAGAAGTCGAGGGGGGCAAGGTGGCTGCTGATGCGACTCAAGAGAGGAGGGCTGCTGGATTCAGATACATCTATTAGAACCTTGTAGACTCCTAATGGTGTGGGCTTAGGGATTTTCCTCTCTGAATATCAGGATATTATGAACATTTACAAAGTATCAATGATATAATCCATGTTGTAAAGTCCACGGCCCGTGTCTATGATTGACATTTCAGAATAGAATACTGCTATTAACACAGTGAATTGGTTTACCAATGCGATGGGGTTTTAAGTCTGTTGGGGAAAACAATCCGAAAGTTGAAGATCATAGAGCTACTGGTTACGAGACGAGTTTGTCAAGTCGGCTACGACTGTGTTGCCAGCCATGAAGGGCTAAATAAACTCAGTAAGTTTAAGCCTAGAAATGCTTTTAGGATTCTTAATTCAATTACTTTTTAGATGTGATAATCTATGTTTGGGACGAGTTATCCAGATTGTGTCGCGCATCTACCAAGAGCAGGAGGCTTTTCTGGATCAAGGGTTCCTGGTAGGTCTTGGTTCTGAAAACCTCCTCCACCATGTCCAGCAACATGTCTATATTACCCAGAATCCTCAGATACGGCTCCAGGGATGGTCGCGTTCGCGCCTGCAACAGGATCAAATACGATGCAAACAAGAGCTGGTACTCAGGCCAGTACTGCAGCGTGTCGTAGGGATTTGCCGCGCCTCGTCGTTGACAAATCTGGATAATCAAGACAGCGCTTTCGATGCAATCGCGACAAGACTCCCACACCCATGGACTATGATCAGATGCTGCGCCGTCAACAGGGGGTGGCTGGATGGCATCTTCCATGTCTTTATGAAGAAAGAAGTACAGAACTGGTCTGTGCAGGAAGAAAACGCAGGCAAAGTATCGGAGGGCTAGATCTCTATGAGCCTACAGGACTGTCAGTAAGTTTGGGAGAATCTGAAATACGTAAGAAGCCAAACTACGAACATTGTCCAATTGGAAGGAAGCACTATGAAGAGTGAAAGTCATTATGTCACGAGGGAACTGCCTCTCCATTGGTAGGGACTGATACCACAGCCGGAGACCTTCACCAAGGCCAAAGACCAAGTCCTTTAGCTGGTGAGGTCGTGCGTAGGCTTGAACGGGGGTGTAGAGGGAGAGAATTTTGTTCATGTGGCTTCGCAACCATAAAACACCGTCGGAATTGCTTTCAATTTCGGTGTTCACAGTCGCTTGTGATGGTGAGGTTGCTAGGGGCCGCGTGATTCCCAGAGGATTCGATGAGAGTATCGACACCAGGTTGGATGAGCGGTCAGACAGGATGGTATCTGATGAAAACTCATCGACCTCGGTAAGAATATCGCTTAGCGAGCAAAAATAGTCAGAATTCACGTCTTAGGGTGATATATTCAAGACATGCCATACCTTTGAAGAATATAGTAGACTCTTGCAAGAGCGGCCAGTTGCCTGTCAATGTGAGTGATGGGCTACTCGCTGGAAGAGTCCGATAAAAGCCTACCGGTCATTCTTGGCTCTCACAGCCATTCGTTCTAGTGAAGGTATCGCTGACTGTAAGGCACCAAGCGCATGGAGAGGTCGGGCCCAAGTATTGACCAAACAGTACGCGATTGCTGCAGATATTTCAATACGTTCGTGGACAGTATTCCACAGCATCCACTGTCGATCAAGGACCGACTTGAAATAAATTGACGCCGTAGTCTGCTGATTGGGTAAATCTTGAAGTGGCAAACATGAGACAGCTAGATGGATTAAAATTGCATGTTGGACGGAAATATTAGTTGGGTCTATGATTGACGAGTGACTCATATGGCGGAGGGAAAGATTAGTTGGATTTATAGTCGATGAGTCGAGAAGCTGCAGAAGACTTCCTTGGCCAAACCCATTGCAGGCATCCAGAAGGAGGCGAAGTGTTGAAGGGAGACTATCGCGGATAGCATCAAAAGAATCTAGAACTTGGATGACTTGCCAATTTTTAAGTAGGTGCGACGATAACGAGGGCTTCGGTGTCCCAGGATTGGCCTCTTGAGCAAGTTCACCAAACAGAGGCTCCCGACGATCGGCATCGGCGAGAAACTTCAACGGATTGCCGTGGGGCAAGAGACATAAACGTAACCGAGGCCACGAGTGAACCATCTGATGGGCAGATGCTGTGTGAAAGGAAGGTGCCAATGATATATCAGATTCGACAGGCTCAGCCGCGAGGATGCGGCCATGCTGGCACTGGGCCTCAAGAGCCTGGATACGAGCTTCAGCATCTGCAAGGCGAGATAACGTGGATTTATCACTTCAGGATAGTCAGCTACGAGCGTGAAGATACGACGATACGGCGGTGGGGGACTTAAGTTTCAAGATGAGGTGTCGGGCGATATTGACAGATGACACCAGCATTCGCACAGTGGGTGCATTGGGGTCGGATTCCGTCACACCGGGATTTTCGCTGGCGGCATCGGTCGCATGCAAGAGCGGTCTTGGCTTGAGTCTTCTTAGTAGAATCCATGAGTACGCATGACGTTGCTAAGGTTGCTGTGTCCAGGTCGTTGTTGTTGGCATTGGCTTTGTGGTTATTGGACGTTAGAAGGTATTAATGGTTGGGGCCTCCTGCCGTAAAATAATCACGAATGCGAATCCACGGGCAACCATTCCATTTTAGAGCTAGCTCAATACCAGTTACATTCCTTACCTACTCGTCCAAGTAGGTGCCAGAATAACAGACTGGATACTACAAAAGTGTTTTAACTTAACTTTTTAATATAGGCCACGATATTGATAGATGATAGTTAATGATAATAATTATAATAAAGTATTGGGCAGTATTTAGCAAATTTATAGACTCAGTATTTACAATAGGAACCATTATTGCATGGCTGACTGCCTAATAAGTCCAGTCTGTGAGGTGACTTTGCAGTCCCTGTTTTTGACAGCCACATGTCACCTTTAGATCACTATTGAATCCATTGCGAAGGAATTGGCATGGCTTTGTATTGTTTTAGAAATTGAGCCTTCAGGCCTCAGAATTTACATTTTATCCCGTTAAATTTGTAAGATCATCCAACGGGATATCTATTAGGGTCAAAACTTAGCCGCACGATCTCGATCAGCTTGGGCAGTATAATATAAAGATACAAGGTAATCGTTCTCCCACTCCTCATTTGTGAAGCTACCAGTATCGATACATACAAGACTTCTCTATACATGTACCTCAAAGGCTCCAACCTACTGCCACCTAGGTACTGAGGGTTTCACCAAACTTCCTAAGCAATTCTAGCCACGGTTGAATCAGGCTCTTTCAGTCTCCACTACATCTACCTCATGAGACATCGCCTGATGGGACAACTTCTCCTTCGATTCAATTTGGATTTCACCAACCGCCACGTCCTCGAATGTGTGTTTCTTCCATTCTCTAGCGGGAACTCTATCGGTGAACAACCTATCGAGTTCAAGCAGTGACCGCCCCGTAGTGTCCCCCACGCACCGCCAGGAGTAGAGAATGGTAATACACGCGAGGCCAGCATAGACAAAACCAACCATGGGGCCCAGCTTAGCGTCATAGTAAAGGTACGGGCTGGTGAAAGCAATGACCCAAACGGTGAAAAAGAAGGAGCCGATAGCGCAGGACATGATCTTGTTGCGATTCCTACCCACAGCACACTCGGACGCAATTGTAAAGGCCAGTGGGCCCATCGAGAAGTTGAAGCAGACAATGACGATGTAGGAGAAGACGACAATCGCTGAGCTGACACCTGTTGTAAAGGCACCGTCGCGTCGCGTGGTACCCAGTCCACCAACGACTACAAGGGCTGCAAACAGACCGCAACTGCACACGATCATGTTGATGCGTCGGGAGATCTTGTTGGCGACGAGGACGGAGACGGCTACGGCGATGACTTGTAGCAGGTTCGTGATCAGGGAAATAGTAAAGGCTTCTTTGATACCAATTGACTGGGCAAAGATCACACCGTATGAGTAGAAGAATTGGATGCCGTTGATTTGCTGGGCGATCATGGAACCAGAGGAGTAGATCAGTTTGCGGCGCTCAATGGGGTCCGTGAACAGCTCAGACCAGCTAGAGCTCGACTCATCTTCCTGTTGACGCTTGCAAGCATCTTGGAGGAGAGCAAGGTCTTCATTTGGGCTATAATCCTTCTTGCTCCTATTGATCTTGCACAGGGCAACCTCTGCATCGGCAAACCGACCCCTGGAGGCGAACCACATGGGACTTTCCGGAGTGAACGGCAGGAGAAGAATCATTATGCCCGGAAGAGCAATCAGAAGACCCATCGGTATCAAATATGAGTTTTTTCCATCGATCGTAGCTGTGCCCTGTGTGATACCGGATCCAACAAGTTGCGAGCAAGACTGCATAAACTGGAACATCATCAACGCGGGACCGCGGACCGCTTGAGGTGCTACTTCGCCAATGTAAAGAAGACAGGTCACGGTAAACTGGCCAATGCCAAGTCCGATGAGGATACGGCCTAGTACAATGACGCCTTCCTGTCCGGACGCGAGGAGCTGAGCAATCGCACCGGCAATGATGCAGACTGACGCGCAGTAAAAGACGGCTTTACGGCCATATCGTTGGTTGATAGGTGCAGCGCCGAGAGCGCCAATGAGTTCTCCGACATAGATGATGGATGAAGTTAAGGACGTGAAGGAAGTGGGGAGCGCCTTGATGCCGTCTGCGTTGGCAGAGCCGTATCGGTCAATAAAGGGGTCCATGCCCAACAGGCCGGTGTAGTAAATCTGATCATAACCGTAGCAGAGAGCACCGAAAGATGACACTCCACAGTAGAAGAGAGACCACGCATGAGAGCGGAAGTCAATGTTGAAGAGTCCCATGGCTCTTGATTTGAGTTGCAGCTGAGAATGATCTAAAAAGTATGTAGAGGAAGCTGATGTGTGGATTCATTCAACTTGAGACATGATTGAAAGGGGACCTGAGAATTTATAGACAGAAACCAGGATTGAGAATTTGTGCAAACCTGGTGGCTGTCAGTCACTTGGTCCATAATCAAGTCTGGGGAAGCCAGCCAGTCTTTCTCACGTGAGTCAGTATACATTATCCGGGGTCTAGATCGTTGAGAGCTGGAGAAGCTGAGGTCATGGGCTGGCACATGGCCCTAGAGCCCTCATTGGCCAAGTTGTCCATGTATTCCACCCTCGTTCCTGGGAAGAGTGAACTTCGTTCTCGTAAAGCGGACCTAAAGGATGGGGTTGATCGGGGCATGCTCCGACGGAGGCTCCCCGAAAACTACTTGGGCCCCATGCTTATTGATGTGGAGAGCACCATCCCCAACTTCACGGACTGACTAGTTGCTGGTACACGAGACAATTCAATGTTACTTTTTTCTCCTAGTTCCTTTCCTTGACTTCCTGAAACAAATGCAAAAATCATACGACCATTTGGAAACCTACCGGAGCCATTGATCCCCTCACATTGAGTGTTCTGGTCTAAAATGTCTTCACGTCTTGACGAACTTCGTGCCACCGGCACCGTTGTTATCGCTGATACTGCTGATTTTCAGAGTGAGCCTTTTGCATCTTCCTAATATGCGCATCTTGTTAATGTTTGACCAAAGAAATCGCCTCATTCAGGCCTTCTGAAGGCACTACCAACCCTTCTCTGATCTTCGCCGCTGCCCAAAATGCGTCCTACGAGCCTCTCCTAGCCAAGACGATATCTTATGTACGATCCCTCCCTGGGAAAACAAGCCGCAACGAACAACTTTCCCGTGCCGTCGAGATGCTATCTGTCCAGTTTGGAAAAGAAATTTACAAACTCACAGGGCGCATCAGCACCGAAGTCGATGTTAGCTTATCATTTGACACTGCCGGAACGGTCGCTGCAGCGCTGCGTATCCTCGAACTATATGCGGCCGAGGGTATCCCCAAAGACAAGGTACGCATCAAGATCAGCGCTACATGGGAAGGTATTCAGGCAACGAGGATACTCCAAAAAGAGCATGGCGCAAGCTGCCTTGTAACCATTGTATTTGGATCTGTTCAAGCCATTGCAGCTGCGGAGGCTGGGGCTGATGCAATTGCGCCATACGTCGGTAGAATCGCCGACTATGGAAAGCAGCACGGCCATCAGGGTGATTTGGGTATTGAGACAGTCTCAGCCATTCAGAACTACCTTCGTAAATACAACCTCTCAACGCAAGTCATGGCAGCAAGCTTCCGAAACGTGGAGCAAATACGGGCTCTTGCGGGCATTGATCTACTCACTGCAGCACCCTCGATTCTCGAACTCGTCGAAGCCGATAGCAGGCCTGTGGTACCTGTCTTAACGGTAGAAGGTGGTACGTTGTTTTGCTTGACAATACGTTTTATTTCAAGCTAATCTTTTTCTCCCTCCCACAGCACAAGCTGCCGAGCTACAACACGTTTCATACATTCATGATGAGTCGAAATTTCGATGGGCATTTAACGCAGATGCCTTGGCTGTAGAGAAATCAGCCGAGGCAATGCGGAAGTTTGGAGACGACACAGAAAAACTCAAATCCTTATTTTCAAAACTATTAGATGTTTAGGCAAAGCTCCTACAATGCTCTAATGAATAGCATCTTTGCTGAAGTTAGACTAAAGGAACAAGAAGAAAAAGTATGCTTTCTTCATAATTGCCGCTCATTTTCAAGACAGAAGAGTAGATCTAACACGGCACTGCTAAGGCCAAGTACAACAAATGCCCAAAGAGAAGCTGTAGGAGGTACATTAGCACCCTTGAGTCCCCTTTCCAATAATGAAGCTGGTAGTGAAACCAAGTGGTACGGCACAGAAATATAAATAGATATGCGAACTCTGTCAATTTAGAAACCAACGATTTTAGGCAACCTGCGTACCTATGGGTCTCTACGCGACAAAATTGCAGTATGATGGCGAACTACATTACTCCTCATAGAATCATCATTCGACATCGGATTCATAGTTACGAGATACTCCATAGAATGTCTAGGTAGCCGGTAGAATTCCTAGTGAACGGTACATCTCAATTTTAGACTCTCCAATGGTGTCTCATGAGGTCCCGAAATTTTCAAATATTTGTCATTTCAGGTTGAATTTTTCGTTAGTCAGTACGCTAAGAAATGAAATCGTTATAGATCAGGTTTATTGTAGAAAGGTAAAGTGGTGTGTTCTCTTACGTGCTTAGCCCTTCCGTCGGAGCATCCCCCGATGACACCCCAGTTTTTATCAACCCAACTTACCACCTCTCGGTTTAGCCTGAGTCTGCGGAGCGGTTGTGTGGGGAAGATGCAGGGACTTGGCCGTTGGCTTGCGATACTCCAGTTGGTTTGAGTCAGGTTGGATATATAAGCACTCCGAGGGAGGTAATGGAAGCCATCTCTTGAACACATTATTTTTCACGCTTCAACTTTGAACCCTATATTCATCTATAGTCGCGCCATGACTTCCTATATTGTCGGCCTGAACAGCGGCTCGTCGTTTGACGGGGTTGATGCTGTGTTGTGCCAGATTTCTATGGCCGAAGATGGACATCCATCGCGTCCAGTCTATGTCGATGGTCTAACTGTTGACTGGCCGGCTGAACTGGAGCCACTTGTCCTTAGAGCCTTCAACAATGAGCTGTCTCTCTTTGAGATGACTCGGCTCAATTACGCCGCAGGTGCGCTCTACGCAGAGGCAGCGAACGCTCTGCTAGTAAAGGCCGGGCTTGACGCAGCCAGTGTCGATGTCATCGGTTATGATGGTCAAACCGTCTACCAAGAACCACCTAATCGCGAAAAGGAGAAGGCCTATGTGCTGAGTGGCAACAGGAGCCTGGTTGGGAAGTGGCTTGAGGGTGGTTACCCTTGTGGTTTCTTCATCGCTGAGTCTGGTGTTGTGGCAGCGCTCACCAACATCGATACAGTCACACAATTCCGTCCCATCGATCATGCGCTGGGTGGTTCGGCTGCTCCGTTGATGCAGTACCTTGACTTTGTGGCATTCCGCAACGACGGGCCAACGGTGACGCTCAACATTGGTGGTATTGCCAACCTACAGCTCGCCAATAAAGACCGAAGCAAGATGATGGCATTTGACACTGGCCCGGGCAACGTGATCATCGACCACGTCGCCCGCGTTCGAACTGGCCGACGCTATGATAAAGACGGCGAACTTGCAGCCAAGGGCACCATCATCCAGAAGCTACTGGACGAGTTATTCCAACATGACTTTTATGGCCGTCAGCCTCCTCGATCAGCCTGGCGCCTTGATTTCGGTGCCGCCTACGCTGATGACATTCTCCAGCGTTATGCTGACCGGTCGACCGAGGACCTGCTCGCAACTCTGACGCGCTTCACCGCCCAATCGATTGTCCGAAGTCTTGTCGACTTCGTGCTTGTTCGTGGCCCCCTGACACAGGTGATTGCTTCAGGCGGTGGCACGCGCAACGCCACACTTATGGCAAACCTGAGCGAAGAGCTATCTAAGCACAATCTGAAAGTCACGGTTAGTGATGAGGTGGGCATCCCCGCAGCCTACAAGGAAGCTATCAAGTTCGCGACGTTGGCCTATGCGAACAAGCGCCAGCTGGCTAACAATATTCCTGCTGCTGGGGGTGCGGTGAAGTATGCGGTACTGGGTAAACTGAGCTGGGCACCACAGAAGGCCCAAATGGCCGAAGAAGTTCTGGATAGAGACGAGAAGGTACTGGGGATTACTCGCCACTAATATGGTATCTCTTGTTAAAAGATGTTTTCAAATTTCAAAATAGACAAAGAAAAGAAAATACTCGCTATAGTTTTATTACGGGAAATGTTACGTATACCACCTGTGCTTTAAAGCTCCTGTATGACTGTCTTTGCGGGTAAATAAGATATCAACTTAAGTATTCCACTTGGTCGACTGGATACACTGCAATTTCGTAATGACAACATGCTGTGCTTTGGTGAGCTCCCTCAGGCGCTGCAGGAGCCTGTGATCGCCAACTTCAAGTCTCCGTGTATGATCACTCGGGAGTCTATTACCAGTGGCCCAAATGGGACAACATCACATCCAATATTTTCATCTCGTGGGCCGCGATTGTGGTGTCCCCAATAGAAGGGAAGATATCACAAAGGGTGTGTCGGATTACTGCACAATTTTTAAGTGTTTTTATTCTCACTAAATTCCTGTTAATTGGTTTTTAAGATCAAAATGGAATCCCTGCTTCTCTTGTATTACATTTCTCCTCATATAAAGGTTTCTTTACAGAGATATCAAGGGCATGGTGATGAGTCGGAGGAAACGGAGATAAGCCGTATGCCGGCCGTGAATGTAAGCTAACCAGCAACTCTACACATGACGCCTGTCTGTGTAGATCTCGTTTATTTTTAGTTTATAATCCCAGAGAATGTTTGGCGCTAACCTTCGCTCGTATTTGAACGGCTTTCATTGCTGGCTGAGATGGGGCCATCAAACGTGCAGTATCAAAACTCCGTACATCATGTTTGTTACGTCCAGAGCAGCATATCTCAGAACGGAGTTAAAGACTCAATTCCATATGAATTAAGGGAATCTTGCATATGAAGAAGATTGATTGAGAAAATTATATAAAGGAGCGTTGTGATGGCTCGAAGAAGGGGCGAACCAGACAACTGAGTGTTGAATAAAAGGCAAATCTTCATCATTTAAAGATTCTCTTCATATTTCGAAGCTTTCGCACATCTGAAACTCATAGCATCACCATGACAACTACTCAGGCTCCCGAAACCATGAAGGCTATCGTCAACCGTGGCTATGGGAAGGGCGCGGTGGAATCATTCCCGTATCCAAGCCCAGGGCCCGGCAGCGTCACCATCCGCGTTTTGCACTCTTTGGTTCATAACAATGCCATAAAACTCTATCGCGGATCAGGCCCCATGCTTCGAAAGGAACCTGAATGGCCCTGTATCCCTGGAGGTTACGGTGTTGGGCGCATCGCTTCCCTTGGGCCCGACACCACGGCCTTCGAGCCAGGGCAGCTGGTCATGTTCGAACCCTTTGTACATGCCCGCGACGACCCTGACGTGGCCATTCTGTGGGGCTCCAACGGTGGTTTTGACGAGAAGACGACTAAGTTTTCCAAGGACAACTGGCATAACGGCTGCTGGGCCGAGTACACGCGCTCGCCGCTTGAGAATACGTGGGCGATTGACGAGGACAAGATCACCAAGTTGGGTCTTAGAACCCAGGACCTCGCTCACCTGGGCCCGCTTGCCGTCGTGTACGGAGGGCTCCGCAAGATCAATGTTCAAGCGGGCGAGACTGTGCTCATTGCGCCCGCCACGGGGATTTTCAGTGGCGGTGCCGTCCACGTCGCCCGCGCCATGGGAGCCAATGTGATTGCTGCCAGCCGCAATGCCGACGGGCTCAAGGAGCTCGAGAGGAAGTACGCGGGGATCAAGACCGTCCAGATCAAGGGCGGCGAGGAAGACGCGGCTGCCATTGCCGCGCATGGACCTATCGACGCCTTTGTTGATGTGTCCCCGACGGAGGCCACTGGGTCGTCTCACTTGGGAGTCGGAATGACGGCTGTGAAGACCGGAGGCAGGATCTGTCTGATGGGAGGCCGTGGTGACCAGTCACTCCCACATCCATACCTATTCATGGTCGTCAAAGACATTACAATCCGCGGTTCATGGATGTATGAGAGGCATCATGTCAAATCATTGATCAAGATGGTGGAAGCTGGTGTCCTTAGATTGGATAAGGAGGCCGGCATGGAGGTAGTGGGTGACTTTCCTCTGGAGAAATTCGAGGAGGCAATGGAGGAAGCCACAAAATCTTCGTCTGGGAGGATCATGGTCTTGTCTTCTTAAGTCTGTACGTATCACTAAAGAGAAAGGAGGAAGTTGTGCCATGGCCTAAGGTGGGTAAGGTATGGCGATGATACTGGCCAAACACTTCGAAATGGTCGACAAATTCATTCAATATATGGGCAATTAAGACTATATACAGTATCATGCTTAGAAAACACACATTAACTGTGGATTTTGAGAAATAATTATGTTCTTCGCCCTCAATTCGCCATCAAATTGAACTCACTTCAGCAAGAACGCATCCTCACCAAACACTCAGCTACAATAACCTAAAATTGAACACCCGAGTTCAATCATTTGCAGCCCTATCAGGGCTTAGGCCACATCGAGCTAATGCAGCATTTTTTAGGGACCCTTCACGGTAAGGGCTGCCTTTTCTGAGCCACACCACCGACCAAAGGGGACGGGCGGACCCTGGGGACACTCGCCAGTAGCCTGCCAAATAGCGTGGCTTACCCGCTCCCTGTTGATGATCATGCCGAGACGGAGGAGGATCTTAAGCCCATCTTTTTGTCTTCTGTCAATACATACCCCCCTTGTGAGGGGGTGCGCTTCATCCGCTCGTCGTTGACATGCGGTTGGGTGGTGAATCACGGTAGTCCATCCCAGACCCTTGCCCATGGACGGCTGTCTTTGGCTTTCACATTTCAGTTTCAGCTGCTTGAAAATGGGATAAACTCATATAGAAGTAGTTTTTATAGTCTTTTTTTATCATTTGTTATTAGATCTAGCTATTTTGATGTAGTAGAATAGTCCATGATACAAAGGAAAGTGTCATTTCTAAAATCACCAGCTTTCATGAGCCACCAGTCAACGATCCCAGATGCCTGCGTGACTATTTTCTCCATTTTTTATTCATTTTAATCGCTGGTAAAGCACTCTATTTCTGGGTAGGCATGACAACGCTGGCCTTTGCGGCCTGGTCATCCTCAGCCTTCCACAATGAGGTGACTGTCTTGGTCTGGGTATAGAAGTTGATACCGGGCTTGCCGTAAAATGTGCTGACACCACCTCCTGCAATAGACTTCTTATTGCCAGTGAAGCTGAACATGGGCAGAGGGACCGGGATAGGAACATTCACACCCATTTGTCCAGCCTCAATGTTCTTTCGGAAGTACTCGGCAGATGATCCATTTTCAGTGAAGATCGCAACTCCGTTACCATACTCGTTCTTGTTGATCAACTCAACAGCCTCGTTGAGAGTATCAACCTTGAGGCAAACAAGAACGGGTCCAAAGATCTCCTCTTTATAGCAGGTCATGTCGGTGGTCACATCGGTGATGATGGTAGGTCCAACCCAGTTGCCATTGGGGTACTTGGCCGGCTTGTAGCCACGTCCATCGAGAACGATCTTGGCACCCTCCTTCTCGGCAGAGGCAATCAAGCTCTCAATGCGAGCCTTGCTCTCTGGGGAGATGACGGGGCCCAGGTCGGCGCCGTCCTCGAAACCAGCATCGACCTTCAGGGCCTTGGCACGCTCAACGAGATCAGGCAGCCACTTGTGGGTCTCATCACCGATGAAAACGAGGGTGCTGAGAGCCATGCATCGCTGTCCGGCGGCTCCAAAAGCAGCTCCGGCAACTGCATTGAGGAAGTGGTTCTTATTGCAGTCTGGGAGAACAGCAGCGTGATTCTTAGCACCGAGGTTAGCCTGAACGCGCTTTCCGTTGGCTGATCCGCGCGTGAAAATATATTCGCCGGCCTTGTTACCACCAACGAAGCTGATAGCCTTGATGGCAGGCTCATCGATGATGAAGTTGACAGCGTCGTGGCTGCCGTGAATAATATTGACCACACCCTCAGGGAAACCGGCCTTCTTAACAAGCTCCGCAAGGATGATGGCAGCTCCAGGGTCACGCTCCGAGGGCTTGAGGATCAGAGTGTTGCCAGTAACGGTGGCAATAGGGATGCACCAAAGAGGGATCATAGCGGGGAAGTCTGGGAAAGTGTTAGCAACTATGGTCGAGCAGATAGGTTGAGGAATTGGTACATACTGAAGGGGCAGATAGCTGCAGTAACACCTAAAGGCTCACGGTAAGAGCGAGTCTCCATGTCCTTGGCGACCTCAAGCAAGTCACCCTTGAGAAGTTCAGGCGCAGCACATGCAGCCTCAGCAACCTGAAGGCCACGAAGAACATCGCCCTTGGCGTCGGCGAAGGTCTTTCCCTGCTCCAGGGTGATGCTTGCAGCTAGGCGATCATGGTTCTCCTTGATCAGCTGGACAAATTTGAACATAATTTGCTGGCGGTGCAGGACGCTCGTCTTCTTCCATGACTCGAAGGCCTTCTCAGCACTCTCAACGGCCTTCTTCATCTCCTCACTAGTCATCTGAGGGACTCGGGTGACGAGATTATTTGTGGCAGGATCATGCAGATCAATGAACTTGGATGTGGAGGACTGGACAAACTTGTTGTCCAGGAAGTAAGGGGTGTTCTGGACATCTTGAATCTTCTCATGGCTGGTGATGTATGTTCTGAACTGGAAGGCCAGGGCTCCGGCCTGCTTTGGTAGAGCAGACTGGCGAACAGCAAAGGAGGATGCTGAGCTCAGGCCGTTCCCACGGGAAACAGCCTTGGAGGCCTTGGCACAAACACCTCGTGAAGCGAAGCGACGCATCGTGACTACCAAAGTGCAGAGCAATAAAGGTTGATTGACCCCAACTTTCAATGGTAAAGAAAAAAAAAAAGGCGAAAAGAAGTGAGAAAAAGTAAACTGGCTTTCTCAGGACGAACAAGTGTTGAGGCAAGCTCTCTTTTATCTGTTCCCCGCGTTGAGCCTGCTGTAACCGGCTCCCTTCCCGTTGCCTCTGGGCATGCCACCGTACCTCCGCTAACGAAAATGCACCTCAGACCAGGGGCATGAGAGCAAAATCCATCTGGTGCCAAGGCCCCATCGCTTTGGGGCCACAATGGAGCGTTGTGTCGTCTCGAGAACTGAAATGGCTAGGCCTATCCAGCAGCAAGTAGCGCAGTGCAGTGTGCTAACCTGGCAAGTGCCTCTGTATTCCCTCTCCGACTTCGGCATCGCCTCCGTGGCAGGGCAGGTTTCACCGCAACACACACCCCTCAGTGGGCTCCCCTCCACTGTATCTCGCGTTATCGCACGCAAGAACCTCGCTGCGCTCACCCCTCTACAGGTACATGCCTCCACTACCGCTTAGGGGCGCGGGGCCCGCTAAGCTGCCGCCCTGGACGCTGAACGGCCCCGTGATACAGTCGATAACGAATCTAGTGCATCATCCAAAATGATAAGCCTTCTAACCAAGTTCCAAACCGAGCTTCCTTCACACACGTTGCCACAAGATAACGCAGTGAAGCACCCTCCGGCACCCATTTCCATTAGCAATTGGTCCGTTTTCTTGACACATTACTCTCACAATCCATGTCTTGTCCAATGTACACCGTACACACCGGGCCGGCCTGCCAGGTCCTCGTTGCTCCAGAACGTAGTTCCCCAAACTCAGACGCTTGTATTAAATAGGATCTATGAAGGGACTCTACCCACTGTGTTTCGCTTCTTCATAGTCTCTCACTGCCGTCCTTCACTCTTCCGTTCTTCCCCCTCACTCTCACACTCCCACAAGAAAGGAAGACTTCACAGCATCTATCATGTCTCTCGCACGGGCTCGAGTCCTTGGCCGCCCAGCCCTGGCAGTCTCCAGGGCGCGCTGCTTTGCTACCAGCAGCGTCAGGGCCTCTGCTGGTCCCTTTTACGCTGGTGAACCTTCTGGGCCTCAGGTGAAGACAACTATCCCAGGCCCGAAAAGCCAGAAGCTCCTCCAGGAACTCGACACAGTGTTTGACACCAGGAGCTTGAACATGATTTGCGACTTCACAAAGAGCCACGGAAATTACCTCTCTGATCCCGATGGCAATGTTCTTCTCGATGTGTAAGTTCTCGGCCGCGCGCTAAGTTGGCTCAAAATAAGGAACCAGAGCTAACTCATAATGACCAGTTTCGCCCAGATTGCATCCATTCCCTTGGGGTACAACAACCCAGAGCTTCTCAAGATCGCGTCCTCGCCTGAAATGGCCAGCGGGATCGTGAACCGCCCTGCTCTGGGCAGCTTTCCCTCGCATGACTGGGCGGATCTTCTCAAGACTGGTCTGCTCCGTGCCGCCCCCAAAGGTCTTGATCAGGTTTTCACAGCCATGGCTGGTTCAGACGCCAACGAAACTGCCTTCAAGGCCGCTTTCATGTACCGCCGTCAGGTTGAGCGAGGTGGGCCAGAGGTTGACTTCACTGCTGAGGAACTTGCATCAGTCATGGACAACAAGGCTCCTGGCGCCGCCCAACTCTCCATTCTGTCTTTCAAGACTGGCTTCCACGGCCGTCTCCTGGGCAGTCTTTCCACAACTCGCTCAAAGGCAATTCACAAGGTTGATATCCCAGCCTTTGACTGGCCCCAGGCTACATTCCCCCAGCTCAAGTATCCCTTAGAGGAGAATGTAGCGGAGAACGCCCGCATCGAGCAGGCTAGCTTGGACGAAGTCGAGCATCTGATCACATCATGGCATCTGCCTCCCGCCGCCGTCGTTGTTGAGCCTATCCAGAGTGAGGGAGGCGACAACCACGCCAGCCCCGAGTTCTTCCAGAAGCTGCGAGCCCTCACCAAGAAGCATAACGTGCTCCTCATTGTAGATGAGGTGCAAACTGGTGTTGGAGCCACAGGAAAGTTCTGGGCCCACGACCACTGGAACCTCCAGGACCCTCCTGATCTGGTCACCTTCTCCAAGAAGGCGCAGGCAGCAGGCTTCTACTTTGGCAACCCAGGTCTGCGACCAAACAAGCCCTACCGCCAGTTCAACACTTGGATGGGAGACCCCGTCCGAGCTCTGCTCTTCCGCGGTATTATCAACGAGATTGAGAAGCACGATCTCGTCAACCACACCGCCAAGGTCGGTAACTACCTCTTCGAGAGCCTCGAGGGTCTTGCTCGCAAGTATCCCGAGCACTTCCAGAACCTCCGCGGCAAGGACCGTGGCACATTCATCGCCTTCGACAGCCCTAAGCGGGACGAGATCTTGAAGAAGGCCAAGGAGTTTGGTGTGAACATGGGAGGCAGCGGAGCTAATGCTGTGAGGCTACGGCCTATGCTTGTCTTCCAGAAGCATCACGCAGACATTCTGCTTGAAACTCTGGAGAAGGTCGTAAAGTCAATTTAAATAAAGCGTTTAATTAGGTGTTAAAAATTAATTGAGTTCTTGATTCCAACTACTTGCTCTTCCCAATCATGTGCGGCCGTGGCTTCAAGGCTAAGAGCTGTTAGATGTATCTTCTGATGCTCTCCATTCTCCGATAACCGACACCTATTAGGCTCAATGGCAGGTGCTGAGTTGCCGCTCTACAGCAAAGAGACCTTTTCAAGGCTTCACTGTAGGGACTGTGCCTTATTGGTCGGACCCGGAACGATGAACATAGCCAGGCTTGGACCCAGACTCTGCACCATTGTCGGTGAATGGCGAGCCCAAGCTAAGGTGAGAAGATAGGATCCCGCGCACAAGCGAAAGAAGACGACCGATATCGGGTTTCCCCCACACTTGAGACAACTGACATCTCGTCTGGGGCAGGCTACCAAATCAAGAACGGTGAATTGGCAAGCTGCTGGGAAGCTGCTCTCCTTTGGCCTGACCCTTTCGGACTAGCATTACTCAGAAGCATCTCTCTCAATTGGCTTGGCACATCTAGAAAGGCTGGCCTCGCGATGGGTTGCCAGGGAGGAGGACACCTTGGAGGGGGCGTGTACATTAGATCGGTACCTGCTCTCAATCGGCCTGACTCTTCAGGGATAGCTCCAAATGCGCCCCGTGTCAAAGGTTGCCCTTCTGCGACATCAGATATCATACCAGCCCCTCGTTCTCCTTTGGCCTCCCCCATTAAGATTAGTTCGATCACAGATAGCAGATCTCCGGACCGGCAGCTTTCAAGGGACGTTGTTTTCCATGGCCGGGGCGAACTCGATTCCAGCACGTGGAGGCGGCTCTGGGTCGCGACTCCAATCTGCTCTCGTCTTGCAAGCTCCAGTTTCGCGGGGTAATTCCGAGATAAGCCGATATCTTTGCTGCTGACTCATGGCCTCGTCGTGATACGCGCATCCAGCTGCATCTCTGCATCTCCCGTCACCCATCGCTCTCCCACCTCGAACCCGCCGACGTCGTTCTACTTCCCCTATGGTTGTCGCATGAAGCCCACACTCGACGCAATCATGAATGAAACCCCACAAACCGACTCCTGGAACAACGATATCATCTGGTCCCTAATTTAACAACCCTGCAACCTCGTCCAACTCCCCGCCAAACACAGGGCACCCCAACGACGCTCCCTCTCTCCCTCCCTCCTCTCAAGGCCCTCGACAATTACAAGACCGACATATGCCGCCACAGAAGCGCCCATACATCCCGAAAACGAAAGGTACGTGCTGTTTGTGATTCGCAATCGCGCGTGGAAGAGGGCACCAGCTTAGACGTCGACAGGCTGCTACCAATGCTCACGACGACGGGTCAATTGCGACCGAGCCGAGCCCCAATGCCAGAAATGTCTCTCCCGCGGTCTGGAGTGCAGCGGTTTAGGCGTGCGACATCGATTCGAGAATGGAGTTGCCTCGCGGGGCAATTGGGCCGGCAAGGCTGATATGCAAGCCATCTATGAAGAGTACAGCCCCTCCGTCCCCCACCACTCGTATAATACGCTTGGACTGACAGCTATCACTCTTTAGTGAAAAAGATGGCGTGCTGATTCGAAGAGCCCGAAAGCGAAACCTTGCTCGTCAAGAGAATACGGCCAAACGAGAGGCCAAGGCCGCAAACAGACAATCCAACGAAAGCGAGACAACACGAAATGATGATGAGGAAACCCAAATAACTGCCCCGGCAGTGGCCAGTATTGTTTTGGAAGAATATGCCATCGACCCCATACCAGAACCGCTGAACCTTGAGGAAAGTTTAGAGGAAATCATATCAGCGAATGCTCTTGAACTGTACTCGGCATCATCGTCGGCTCAAATGGTTGGTGAGCTTTGCTCGTCAAGTGGTTACGATATTCCATGGCCAATTCCAAGCAATATCCCCTCATGGAAGACGCAATTGTTCCAACTCTGTGAGTACTCTATGCCTGATGCTATCCCGCCAATTGCTAACAAATAGCCTCAAAGTTTCCCAGCATATCAGCTATGAGATGGTCGCTGTGGATGGCCTCCACAATGGCTGGCGGCATCTCATTCTCCCTTTCGCTCAGCACGACGAATTGGTCATGAACGCCGTCTTGACTGTCTCCGCGTTCCATTTCCGCTTGAACGTGCTGGGGTCAGAGCAGTATCAATTTGGTAGCTCGCCCCAGTGCATCCCCGATCCGAACGAGCTGTACAAAAATGTCATCTGCGGCTTGAAGCAGCAACACCAATTGGATACATGCAACATCGAAAAGAAGCATTCCGTTCTTATGACAATCCTAGTCTTGATTGTGGGAACAATGGTGACCGGGCGTTCTGACTTCCCGTTCCTATTCCGGATGCTAGAATCAGCACTGCAAGCAGTCGGCGGCGACGATGTCCTGGGCAGCAGCGATGCCGCTGCTTTTATCCTTTCACAGGTCAACAAGTGCGTTCCCAATCACTTCGATGCGTTATCCATTACCAGCTATTGAGAAGAAACTAATAAGTCAAATTAGGTTGCGAGTCTACTCTGCTCCCCTTCTGAACGAAGAGACTGCACTGCAGGTCATATCCTCTCCAATGAGCGCTGCGCAGCTCCTGAATAGTCTCAGCCATAAGCTATCGTTCAATCCAGAGAGCGCCGTGGTGCTCTCATTTGTGAACGACCTGGTTCAGCAAGCCCTCGACATCTACCTTCACCAGTTCTTCTTCATTGGCTCGACGCCTACCGAGACGGACGTGGCAGATTCCATTGCCCGTGTTCAACACTTCAAAGAAACCCTGGAGGCCTACCCAGCCGGTGCGCCTGGCGAACAGGTGCTGATCTGGGCATCTTTTGTTGCGGCGTCCGGGAGCCAGACAGAGGAGCACATGGAGTTCTTCGAGAACGTCTTCCTCAGGCACTATGCACGCAACGGGTTTGGCAATATTCGACGCGCCCTGGAGTATCTACGCAAGGTTTGGGCTCGAGAGCCCGGTATGAGGTGGACCTCCCTCTTGGCCGATGCAAAATTTCTCGTCATGTGAGAGTCTTTTCTCGTTCCAATGGATGATGAGAGTACCAGCCCAGGTAATTTATGTCTATCGAACCGATGGAGGATGTTAAGGGCTCTGGTTGGAACAGCCACTCGGGACTTTCTGCACCTTCTCATACTCTAGGCTTCCAATAATCGCAGCCATATCCGGGCAGGCGGTAAATGCCGGCCAAAGCGAGACATGAGACTTGGTCAGAGGCGAGGACAAAGGCGCTGCCGACGGCTTGGTATGCAGACAGGTTCCGTCTTTCAGGTTGAGCCTTCCCTCGAGACCAGGTCCCATCGGTATCCCCGAAGTCGACCAACTCACAAAGTCGCCCGCCGCTTCAATGCCTACTATATCCATGCCGCAAGGTCCAGAAACTGAAGGAATGTTGTCGCAGGGGGGGGATACAAAGAGAGAGAAGAAAGGGGCAGCAGCATCAGAGTTTGAATACTTCTTTCAGTGCCGCTAGACACGTTGTCCCTTCTTTCCAAAAGGCTGTTTCGACACCATCAAAGAGATGCAGCTTATACGAAGGCTACTTGCAGTTAATTTTTGTAAGTGTCAATATCGGCCTATGTCTCAGTGGCCATACTCCAGTTAGTGCAATCCGTGCTCAGGAAGGAATGATACATGTATCAGTGAATATTTCTCCATACATTTTTTAAAAACTTCTAAGATAATTGTGCTACTAAGGTACATTACAAGTCAGCTACCAACACTTCCATCTTGAAGAACTGGGAGGAAGTAAAAGCCGCGATACGCCAGCAAGCAAGCACGACCACTATGTAGCGCTGACTCTCACGGCTGTTACTGCTTACACATCTTCAACTGCTGTGAAAGCTTAGGCATCGACGGGAACAGGCAACCTGCATGCTGTGCAGGTGGAGCAGCAGCACAGCCCAGGCCTGAGAAACAGAAGCCATGCGCACCGCCACCACAGTACTTACTGGGCGTAATGGTTGGATGTTTGATGTCTTGTTTGGAAAAAAAAAAAGCCCCATTGTCATACCATCGTGACTGCATCCCTGGGGGCATGCTCCGGCTAGGCAAGAAACTTTGGCTAAGTGCGCCTACCTCAGAGTAAACGCCCACACATTGTCCAGCAATATAAACTGAACAACCCCAGGTCTTTTAAAAAAGGGAAAATTTCTTCAAAACCAACCCAACACGGCTGCGCTTACTCAACCGAAATTGCGTCCCTCAAATTCTTGTGCTCGGTCAATATCCGGCCGCACGCACAGCACTCACTCACGATGCGTCTCCGCCTCTCATCGTCAAAGAAGCAAGAGAGTGTCCAGGAAAATCCGGGCCTCCAAGCTGAGAAATCTAGCCAAATGTCTTCCGCCAGCTCCAAGGATGGCAAAGCAGGCCTATTTTCCCGAAAACGAGAAAGGCGAGCGTGCAATGAATCATTTCGCATCCTCGGCTTCTACACATCGTCCGGGTCACCTCTCCCTCCAATCCCAGCTCACTGGTATTCTAAGCCCACCGTATTGGAGCCTCCACCCCTCTGGCCTAGAGGATGGTCGAGGAAATCCTCTGTGAGAGACAAGATGGTTCCTGGGAGCTCAAAAGTCTTGTTTCCTGGGTCCAAGATCTTGCCCCAGGTCATTGTTACGGCGGCAGATTGAGGGTCGAAAGGTTCAGGATAGACATTGACAAGATGGATTTCAAATATGGGATACACCGGTGGCCAAAAGCGGCCCTTCACCTGCAAACCGGCTCGAGCCATTCACCGATTTCCGCTTGAAACAAGCAGCGGCTGACTGATATGGTGGCTGGCTCGATCCCTGAGACACGAAAGCACTTTACGCGGCCCCTCCGTCGCTGACCGCAGTCGCGTAATCGTCAGACGACCCGAGAGCCCGATGGCTGCGACAGCCCGCCAAGTTACAGATTTTGATACTTGTTCCAAGTTTGAGATTTACTCGCCTGAGAGTTTCATCTAGAGAGCAGCCGACAGCTCAACGACAAACATATGATACCTGGATAAAAATCACTGAGAAGGAGCAAGCGCCACAAAGCGGCGCAGGATACCTTGGAGTTCGGTGTATTTTATTAATAGCTGTTCGACATATGTTTATGTAGCCTTGCTCTAATAAACCTCTAACCTACCGACCTAATAGTCCAGAAGAGATAATTCGCTGTAGGACTGAGTTACCCCCCCACGTACGTATGAATGACTGCTGCTCCGGATTGCAGTGAGATGCCCTTCACCAATAAATTCCCAAGCGAGCAACCTACATGCTTGGCAAAACCATCCAAACAAATGTAATAATTAAATACAAGGACAGACGAGAAGTTAGGCAATCGCTCCTACGGCAAGTTGATCGTTCCCGAGCGTCTCCTTACCCAGGCGTTCTTGCTATTTCTGTCTGTATGGCAGCCTGATCCCTGCTAGCAGCTGCACGCTATTATGTGGTGAAGAACGGCAAGGGTGTATCTCGAAGATCTGTGAAGCCTCCAAGTATACCCTATCCTCCGGCTTGGTAGAGCACATCACACATATTGAGGTAAATTGCAGAAAACCCCGCCGCTGGAGATGGATAATATCTGACAAGACTTAATTTTTCGATGATCTGATCGATACTCCCAAAAACGAAAACATCCAGAGAGTCGCACAGAAGTTGTATGTGGCCCACATGGGATGTGGTGCGAGTCCCAGCGGGAGTCAGCGACGTCACATCATCTGAGGTCGGTGGATCCCTGCGCTAAAGTCCCCAATCTTAACCCCTAAGAGCAGATCCTAGGTAGCGTCGTCAGTGGGCAGCATCCACAACTACTGCTGCCGTTGCTAAAGATCACCGCCCTCCCAGCTCCCCTACGTCACTGACAGCAATTGAAGTTCTCGCACCTAGTCCCTGAGAGAAAGAAGAACACGTCGCTATTCGGAAAAAGCAGTGTATATGAGAATCAGGTGATAGGTACAAGACGATCAACGGCAGGCCCATGCAATGTTGTACGTACCTCCGTCTGCTCCTCCCTGTCAAGGCTGGTAAAGATGGGGCAAATCCATGTCAGCATCAGAAACAGAATCTGGCACCCGTCTGCTCACGGCATACACTCACATAGCAAGTCAGGAAACCGAAAGCATTAGGAGACTCGGACACGCGCGTCTTACAACGGCGTGGTTAATTTTTAGATTTTTCCTTTTAATATCTACCGGCCCAGTCCACCTGGAGCCACCGACGACTTCTGTCTTGTTATTCTTCTCTCCACGCTTTCTCATTTCCTTTCTTCAATCAATAGCTGGTCTATTTCTTCGTTATTAGCTATTTTAATCGATCAATAGCTGGTCTATTACTTCCCTTCTCTTTTTTTAAACCAGTAGCTGGGCTATTTTTTATTTTTCAGTCAATAGCTGTGCTATTGCAATAGAGAAGCATACATCATGGCTTGCGCTCCAATTAGCAAGAGCTACATTTTCTTTACCATCTTCCATGGTATCGCCTTTGTTTTTGCCCTAGCAGTATGCGGTATCTACGGCAGCGACATCCAACATTCTGCGAGAAATGAAGAGGATATCGACCCCAGGATGGTGAGTGGACCAGTCTCCCAAAGCGCAGAATCAATCGGCGAGGAAGGCATGCATCATGAGAGTTACAGTTGAACTAACAAACCTGTTTAGGTCTTCGCCGTGGTTCTAGGTTCCATGTCTACCATGACGTGTCTATTATACCTGATCCCCGGATTTCTGTATAACGCAAACCTCCTCATGACCTTCTGGGACCTGTTCCTGTTCGTGCTATGGATCACAGTGTTCGGACTTTTCGGCAAGGTTTGTTCCCCTGGCTTGTCTCAACTGCTTTTGTACTCATTACTAACTGGCCCTGTAGCTTTACATCAACAAGGACGCCGAGGGCGACCGAGACATTCAGCGCATGAAGGACGCCGTCTGGGTAGACTTGGTCAACGCGCTGACCTGGCTCTTCCTGGTCATCGCCACTGCCTGCTACTGGCGCAAGAACCGCAACCGCGAGGACAAGGACAGAAATGCCCAGCCCTCAAATGTCTAGAGGGAAGGCGGCCAAGCTGGTACAACAGTTGGGGTAGGGCGCTTGGTCAGGACCGTGGACGGCCGACCATGATGATGTGCGCTGGAGAATCCCCTTGAGCATGATTCATTATATTTATTCACTGGCCTTTTGGAGGCTATTATCACTTATTCGGGACGGTTCATTTTCTTTTTTCTTTTTCCTTTTCTTATATTCTTCTACATTTATCCCCATTGAAAGAGGGAGTTTTGATAGCGTTGGCTCTTCATACGTATACGCTACGTATCAAATAACGATTTTTTTTCAATCTCAATCTTCTGATGTCATGTGCATTGTGAGGTACTAAGCATTCTGCATGGGCCATAGAGCATGTACTTGGTAAACACGGGATGGAATTGCAACAAAGTTCACTCGCGCATCAATGCGTAACAAACTCACATTCGGTACCACGTCTCGCATGAATTCTGCTGATCCGTGTTTATTCCGGACACACATGCATTTGGTGGTTCGAGGATTTACATACTAAAGCAGCGGCGAGTGCCCTCCATCGCTAATGAGTGTGTGGGTTTCGCCTGTCTCAGTCAGACACATTGCCCGCACGACACGTAGGTATTTTGGTATGGCTCCGACGATCCATGGTGGCGAAAGGGTCGGTCTATCAGAGTAGATCGGCTTGATTAGTGTGGAAATGGAATTGACAACTGGCTTTCTCTTTTCTCGATGAAAAAAGGGATGGGCAAATGGGATATCGGTCATCTGGATAAGATCTTCACAAAGAGGGCGAGTTATTCCAGTAGCGGTCATCCATTTGGAATATCCATCCCGGTCGATAATCGTTTGCGATACCTTGGGTACTTTGCTTCAACTGACACATGCGGAGAGGTCCGTCCAAGCCCTCAACGAAATTTAATTTGGGCTAGCTACACTTGCGTGCCATGGGTAAGCTACTTATTCCGCATCAATCTTGTGATGCAAGGCGCGTGCCTCTCATCACAGCCTTGGCACACCTGCACGCGCGGACGCTTGTTGAGTCAGCCCGCGTATGGCCTGCCGTGCCCGGGAGGGGAGGGCTCCAACAAGGCGTCCGTCGCCTTGTGGTCACATTCACAAAGTCGCTGCCCATCTACAAGAAGCCCAAACCCACCTCGGAGCAGATTGGCCGACGAAGAAACTGCGTCTCATTAAAGAACAGGATTTGGCCCTGTTTGAACCAGAAAAAGCAGGGATCATGGGTGTTGGAAACCCGTCCATACTCCCGCTACCCTAGAGGAGTATCCTTCAAGACGCCGCACTAGCAGGTAAAGCTCAAAGACAGATGCCGTCTGTTGACAATCTTATTGGTTGGTGTCCGCCAAAGAAATACGCACATTCTGTGAATTATCGACACCGTGTTCTGGTGTGTGCGTATTTCAAATTAGTTGTGATCTGTTGGGCATGGGTCATCATCACGCGTATTGAAATTTGTTGTCAGCGTTCATGTATGGCAAAGCTCAAGAACTACCCCTTGGCCCTTGAGCTAGATTGTATTTTACAGATTTGGATTTTCGTATTGTAGCTATTACCTGTGACTTTGTCGTTAGGTTAGCACCCTTATCAGTGAGGTGTGCCAGATACGAGAGTTATCTCACACAATGTGCGGCCCAGCCTCGCAAAGTGCGTAGGACAGTGAGAAAGTGGAGATGAATTCTCCATAAGAATATATATACGAGCATGTTATGGTAATCGATGCCCACCAAGTAGATAAGCGTAGCTTCACTGCTCACCTCATTGTTTACTTTGTTTCTTCTCATTCTCATTTCTCCTATGTCTCTTAGTGTGATTGATGAGGTGGCTGCAGGCGCCACAACTCTAGTGACGTCCGTCAGTGGATACCAGCCTGGTCTGCCCTGTGTGTATGTATTACTTAGTGGTGGATGCTCGCTGAAATAGCTCCCGAGGCGGCCGTGTCCATGCCAGCCAACCAAAAATAACTTCCGCGGAAGTGGCGGCGCCAGCTCTATTAATCAAGGGGACAGCAGGACAGAGTTTGGACCTGCTTTGGCGCTGGGGACTTTATCTCATCAGGGGAGAATTTGAGCCAGTACATGGGCCAGGTCTCCATGTGGTATCATACCGCTTGTCGACCATATCTCAGCTTGCTTGGCTGTGCATCTTGCTAGAAGAAGTGTACCCGATTTGATCGATACCTGAAGGTGGGTACCCTTCCGCATGATAAGAGGCAGACGCTATGAGAACGCCTGGAAGGTGCGCGGCAGTCAGCTCTGACCGCACACGCTAGACACCACATGACCTCACAAAGCACTGCCCTGGTAGTTTCGTACCAGAAGGTGCTTGTATAAGAATTCTCCGGCGCGTTACGCATCTACGTGGGCTGTGACGGCGCTTTGTGGGCGCTGGATGCCAACTGTTGCAGCAGCCCACTGTTGATATCCAGGACTGAGGAAGACAGACAGCGCATCATCGACACGGTGCTGCCTCCCCACTCCGCCGCACCATGCACCATGCACTTGCCCCGCCCGCTCCCATTTGTCTCCCTTCAGCTTGAGGAATCGCAGATGGGTGTTGCTGCGTGCATATGTAGGTACTCGCATTGCGTCGTGCCCTTGATTGCACTGCTCGCCTTACACCGCTGTGGTTAGCACGAGAAACGTAATCCCGCAGGCTATGTCAGGCCATGGCCTCCCAGGCAACAGGCCAGAGGCAGCCTTCCGTGCATGCCTGGCATACAAATACGTTACACATTGTTGGAAAGCAATCTATCAGGACAAGGATCCGCACGCAACAGGGCATCGAAACCGATGGGTGCAGTCTTGTTTTTTTGTGCCTTCGTCGGGACAACACCACCCATTGAATAAGATAACGGGCATCGGGCCTAGCATCTCTCGTACGAGTCCATGTCCGAAGCGCTTGCACAGTTTGCCTTATTACCACACAGCCAGGTCCTGTCCCTGGCAAGGGTCCTACTTCACGCTTGTTTCCGCTCCTTGTCCTTCCCCAACAACGAACCCGATCACACCCAGCTTATTCTTCTTCCCAAGCGCCTTTCTCTTTCTTTCCCTTCCTTCACGTCCGCTCACTCACGCTGCACTATTACCAAACCTTCTCCTTGCCCCATTTCCCTGTCCCCGCTGCTCTTCTACCTCTTCCCTCGAGATCTCCTACATCTCGGTCTCATTCTGGCAGCGGACTACAATACATGGGGATCAGAAGGAGGACAGCCTTTCTTTACAAGGAGCGTCCAGTCTCACCCACCCTCTTCTGCCTCCCACCATCCATCCCGGATACATTACACAGCTTTTAAGCGGCTGATGGATTCCTACTCACGAGAAGAGATTCACCTCGCCTCATAATTGCATTCATTACCGTATTCGTTTCCTACGCCCGGCTAGCTGCACACAGGCAGACCCTGATATGCTGTGGGTAGGACGTTAAGTGGCCCGTCTCGGATTGCCCCATTTGTGACAGCCAGGTGCATCACATTGACCATCTATACCATTCAAGCCGCCAAAGGGTATCGTCAGTCGATCAAGGATCCCAGTGTTTGCGGAGCAGCCCTCACAGAGGCTGCAGTCTCCCGGACACGGTTGCCGCCTCACCCCTACCTATCCAAGCAGCATCGCTTCAACGGCCGGCTATGTGCAAGTCGGGGAGAAATCACCACAGCTAAACGGGCAAATTTTGATCATCATCCGCCCCAGCAAGGCCAGTCCTCTGGGCACAATCAATTCAAACACGATTTCGAAGAGAAGCGCCGGAATATATTTTAAGATCCTGTGTCTCCTAACTTATAGCTGCCCAATTGACGCTCCTTCACATTACTGTCATTTACAACAAGACCTTGGGAGAGCATTTTCTCCTACCTTTGACAGCGACAATGTCGGGCTTCTCACGTTCTTTCAAGCCTCATTCTTACCTCTCTTCATACCGGCGTCCTACCATGCCCGGTCGCACTTTATCTGCATCATCCGAGAAGTCTGATGACGGTGGCGAGCACGCAACAATATCCGGCCAGACTACTCCAACATGGCTTCCAAATCAACCTTATCGCCGTTATGGTACTCCTCCGATTTCTCACACGGTGGGTAGCGCCCCGGGTACCATGTCGACTAGACTGGCTCCGACAGCCGACTCAAGTACCAGCGAGCAGGTGTTAACTCGTTGTAAGTAGCCCGATGTTTCCTCTCGTTCTCCCCTCCCCCATTCATCATAGCCTCTCGTTTCAGTTTTTGCTTTCCCATGCAATACCTCACTCTGCTACAAACGGTACGTGGACATCCTTGATGGAAGAGCCAGCCGCGCAATCCGCGAGGAGGGTTCTCTTCCCCCACCCTTAGAAACGGGCCAGGGATGGCACACTACTTATGTGTGTATCTCCTGCTACCCGTTGCGTTGCAACGCAAGCGGGAAGGGAGGAGGGATTTGGAGGGGCTAGGCCAAGCCAACCGACGGCATTACGCCACTTGCCTCGCTGTCCCCGCAATTCCTGACACGATCATCGTGGGGTAACCCTCTTCTTCTGGCTGGCCACCACATGTCATATCACCTAGGGTGATGATCGTGTTTCTCGGCCTATTAGATGCTGACATCCCCCCTCCGTCTGCATGATTTCATTACACTAGCCCTTTGCTTCGTCTTGGCCCATCTGCTGGCTAAGATATAAGAACACCTATCCCTAGGCGTTATCAATCCTCATTCTCTGATTTGCACTGACACTTATTTTTTTGCGGTCCAAAGCTACCGACACAGGAAGTGGGCCTATTGCTATCGACATACCTCGTATCAAACGGATTACTTCGACGTCGGTTTACACCCCACCTGAGCCACTTTCTGCACGAGGTGATTTGCCTGGGTAGGTTCTTATCTCTGGCGAATTTCGCCATATTTGTCTTGGGCTCATTTGGCATTTTCTCACACTTAATCAACAGAGGATACTTCCCTATGCATGAGGATCCCAAGACGAGAGTCCATCATCCTCATCCATTCCACAGCCAAGATCGCCAGGGCGTACGAGATCTGACCCTTGCCGACTTCTCAGCCCGCCCCGAAGGGAGTAGTGCCACCAAAAAAATGTCTTCCAGCATGTCAACGCGCAACAGTATCCCGGTTGCATCCTATTTACCCACGGGATGTCATGACACACCACTTCCCATGGGGAAGTATTACCCGTCAAACTACGAAAACCAACAGAAGGCCCACGTGAGCAGGACCAGGTCTGCCACAGTTTCGTCCACCTCTTCCAAATCCAGAGACCAACTCGAACCTTTTATCAACAGTTCGCCGACATCGAACTCGGCCCACGACCCTGATGTTCGTCGCAAACTTCAGCTCCAACAATATCAGCGCGATATGATTGCTCAGGCTTCTTTGGCTGCGAATGAGCTTCTATCCTCAAGCGGGCACGGCAGATCTGGGCCTCCCAAACTGGGAAATCTACCAGGAAAGGCCCTCAGTTTCGGCCCTCCATTTCACAACCCCTCCGCCCCGAAGTTGCACCCGTTAGGCAGTCCCGGCCCAGTGACACCCATGGATCTCGAATCTTCACGAGGCGGTAATGGCTATTTCGAGATGAGCCAAGGGGATAACCGTACGCAGAAATAATGAACAAATCGGCCACCTGAGTATTTCTTTCAGGTACTGGATATTCTACTCTTGCATTAAGGTGCGGACGGTTGGAGGGCAGAGTTGATACATTATGCTCTTCCCTCAAGTGTTGGGGGCAATCCTTTTGTGGGCTTTCGCATTTTATTTGTTTGGAGGCAATCTATCTGATTTATTTGAGCATGGCTTTAGCCTGGAGTTAGAGAGCAGGGGAGCATGGCCAGGGCGTTTGGTAGCATCTTATATTTGGACCAACATTTGGCACTGGGCAAGATTTGTACTTGCATGGCCTGATCAGCAACACATACAAATGGCCTACTAGACGAATCAAACATGGTATTCCACGAGAAATAAATAGAAGGTGTGTAGATATTTATGCCTCAAAATTGTCTCCATCAATCATGATTACTCGCACGAGGAAGGCGCATGTGAGCCGCCCATCCTCGGCCGTTCGACAAACGTGGAAGTTGCATTCCATGGAGAAGATATTACATCATACGTGGTGTGATGACGGACCCTCTAGCGGTGTCATCAAAGTCACGTGATTTGGCGTAGCAGCATCCAGGCACGTCGCGTGTAGGGCGCGTTGGCTCCAGTGTCTCTTTTGCCATCCCACTATCCCACTATCGACTTACTCAGACTCAAATCCCGATTATCGATCGGAGTCCAAGCGAATCCGCGGCTCGGGGCCTAAGCATACCATATGTCGCCATGGCGTCGAGCCTCCAGACCCGGGTCGTCAAAAGACCGCCTGCTCGCCAAGCTACAACGACTGCGCCCGTCCACGAATTTATCTGCCTCTTCACTCACGACTTGAAGCGAAAGAACCAGAAAAGATGGCAAGATGGGAAGCTAAAATTCCACACCTACAACAAGCGGATAGTTGTGCACGATAACAAGGGAAACCATATTGGCGACAGCCATTGGCCAGGAAATCAGGAAGACATGGTTGATGGCGAAGAGTTCACACTGGACCGAGGATCTGCTCTCGTGCAAGTATGTGAGCAAGTCGGGACGACTGAGCATGACTTGGGCGAACTGGTGGACAAGAGGGTCAAGGAAGTCGAGGCCCGGAGAATGAGAATAGCAGCCCAGCCTTCGAACGCGAGCCACCCGCACCAAACGCCCCGACCGACCGACAACGTGCAGTTTCAGCGCCCGCTAAGTGCGATCATGACCCCAAGCCGAATCGGGAGGTCTGTCATGCCACGCCAATCGCCCTACGAGGTTCGTCGATCCGAGCAGCAGGAACAAGAGCAAGATGCGACCGAAAGACCTGCGAAGAGACGAAAGCGAAGCGTGTCGCCCCCGGTGAAGAGTGGTCATGCGCGGGGATTGTTTGGTACGCAACTTTGTTTTTCGAATCCGTCGGCTAGTACGTCGGTAGCACGGATCCGGGCCCTGCGAGATCAAGCGGCAATCAGGCGGGAGCAACAGAAGGAGCGATTGGTCTCATCAGTCGAGGAGGAACCCTCATCCGAGAATATTATACTAGAAAAGCCTCGGGAAGATGAAGAGGAGCTTGGTCAGGTTTCCGCGGACACGTCAGATGCTCATGCGAGGAAGGTTGGTGGTCCAGAGCCTGAACGGGCTACCGCCACCAAACAAGCCCGCTTACGGTTGAAGTCGCTCAATATTCAAGCCAAACGAAAGGTTCAAAATACGGACGCGACATGGGGGGTTCCTAATGTGGCCACCAATGTTAATCCTTGGGACCCAGAGCCATGTCAAGAAGATATACCTCCACGAAAGAAGCCTCGCCCAATTGAAGCGACTGGGCCATCAGAAACCGAAGAAACGGAGCCTCCCAATACCTCAGTTCTACAAAATCGTGCTCCAAATAGATTGGCCCCGACCAAGCTTTCCAGGGCCACTCCTTCGCTTCATTCGATTACGAAAAGAGTTGAAGAACAAGAGGACGAAGTGGTTTGCCTTGAGGCAAGACCGAAAGCTACAAGGCCAACCAAATCGGCGACTAAACCGACCAAGAAAACACAGCCAACTGTCAAATCCGGCGATGAAGCACCCAAAACTGACCAACTCAAGACCACAAAACGCTTGCCTACAGTCCAAAGCCAGGATTTTCCGATCGCTGTGGATGACGAGTCCGAACCCACACCCGACAAACCTCAACCACGCACCGCGCTACGAATCAAAGCGAGAAGGAAAAGGGGTTTGATGATGTTGGCAGAAAAGAAGGCAGCTCCCAAGCCGGTCGAGCGCTCTCCAAGCCCACCGCCGCCTAAGGACAAAGATGATCTACCAGCCGGGGAAGAGAGCTTTGAGCAGTGGCTTGGCGAAGAACTTCCCATGGATGACAGTGAAAGTAATCTTGCCACGGAATATTCCAACGAGTGCACTGAAGTCGAGAAGGCCCCAGAAGAGAAAGAGACGGACGGTACCCGGAAGCCCTCCCAAGTTGACACGGCGGCCAGTTCAGAGCAGGAGGAAAAACAATCTACGCCGGAGCCTGACCGTACCGAGGAAATCGCAAAGATTTCAACAGAAGATGAGATCTGGCCTACAGAAGATGAAATCCAGCCTCCGGAAGTAGATGACCAAGATTTGGAAGACGCAATCGCACACGCGGAGAAGGAGGAACCAAAACCCCAATTAGACACAACAAGCGATCCTGACCCGGACATAGCCAGCCATGCTGTCCAACTTGAGCACAGGGAAGCTCAAGATTCCGCCTTCTGTTCTTTGGACGAGAGCGACGCGTCACAACCACAACGGACGAGAAGAGAGAAGCAACCACGAGCTAAAAGGGCGCCAAAAGAAGGCCCGCCAAAAGAAATGCCACAGAGTAGCCCAGAGTGGAACAATGTCGATTCAGAAGAGAGCGACGAGCCACAACCACGACGAACGAGAAAAGAGAGACAACCACGAGCTGAGAGCCCGCCAAAAGAAATGCCGCAGAGTAGCCCAGAGTGGAATAAGGACGATTCAGAAAACAGCGACGATTGGCAGGGGCCAGCTCCAACAACCAAGCAACAGGTTCGCACCAGGGCGGCTCCGGCGAGAAGTAAGAAGCAAAACCAGGCAAAGTCCACAGGTCCTCAAATCACGAGAATGTCGCGTAAGAGCATCAAAAGCAAGGAGATAATTGGGTTCAAACTACCAAGTGAGAACAATTCAATTCCAAACGCATATGTCTCTGCCGTTGGCCGTATCGGTTTTCAGGAAGATGTTCCCTCAGCCACCTTGCATCGGGCATTGTCCTTAGAGGGTGAATCCCCACCCGTTGAGCAGCAGACCATCAAAAGACATGAACCGCCAAGGCTAGTGCGCCAGCAGAGCGATCCGCAACCCAAAGGCCGGCTGGTTAATCCGGCCACCCGAGGGAAGAAGGCAGCCAGCAAAGCGGACGCTGCAGGCCAGATACTTCAAACACTGGTGCCATTCGATCCCGTCACTCGTCCCATAGGCGCCCCTGTGTTGGTGAAAGAGAGAAAGAAAGTAGCAGCTCCTGAAGCTGCTCCATCTCGTGACAGCAAAGGGCCCGCGCGGACACTCCCAGGGTTCAGCAAGGCGAATGGGGGTGCTTGGAGCAGACATGCGGAAGACCTTCTTGGAATGACACGGCCAAACACCAGCGGCCCATCACGGATTTAATGTATGTAATGACACGATGAATGATACCCCCCTTAACATAAAATGATATGAAGTACAATCACGTAGATGCACAGGTATCAAGTGAACCTTTGGCAAGAATTGATCTCATCTCTCCACGTCATACAAAGCAGATCTCAAGTGCCTAGGCACAATCACCCCATTCAATCAATGGGCAGCGTTCCAATGCAATTGCCCTCTCTCCAAGTCTGGTAAATATTGGGTAGATATAACATAACAATGCGTGGTGATTGCGTCGATTGGCACATAGACAAGAGGTAAAAATTTATTTGCCGGGAGACTCTACCTTATATTGCTTGGTTGAAGCTGGGCATATGCGACAAAGCTCATCAATTGACAATCAATGCGAAGCAATGACCGGACGCCTTTAGGCCAGCTTCCGAGAGTTTCCTCGCAATTCAGATTGACCTGCTTCTGGAAGGGATGAGGTAAGAAAAAACAAATCTTGAGGGTCATCCCGAAAGCTTAATAAAAGGTTCGCGCCTAGATTTCTGCATCTACAGTCACAAACTCACTTGATGGCCGTGACTCATTCACCTGGAACTCTATCTAAAACATTGAGAGCTTCAGATGCCAGCGATGTAGATCGATAAAAATCATCAATTAATCTAGCTTCATTTATTTTCCATCTCACGCCCAAATGATAGAACCATCGGCAATGGTGGCTTTGCTGCTAGCGATGAATTGGAGTCAGGCTTTTTGGGATACTGACTTATCTGTGCCTGGTGGGCCTCGGAGAAATCACTAATGCTCCAGCTAGCGTTACCATTGCCAGCAACCGTTGAAGCTCAGCGGCTGCCAACCAGGTTGAGTTAGTTGGTAATCTTACAGTTGGCTAGTAGTGGTGGCTGAGGTGTGGTGCAGCGCGCAGGTGTGGCGGTGCTAGGTGAGGCATTCTCCCACAATTGCGCCAACACCAACGCCAACTGAGAGAGATATTGGTGTTTAGTTTGCGCCTATAGTTTCTTTGCAGGCGGTACATGGCCATATGGGAATATTGCCGGCCTATCTTGTGGTCGCAAGTTGTTAATCATATTGCACTCTTCCTACAAGTGGCATGTGATTTGTAGAACATGTCAAAAGGCACCAAACTAACGTGTCAGAGGCTCAATATTTCCTCGGACCTTACTCGAAAATTAATGTACACTACAAGGCAAGCAGAAACACAAAGAACTTAAGAACTACCGAGGTACCATAATGAAGCCATTTGACCTCTGGATATTCGTCCAACACCTCTGTGCTGACTGCCAGACTACCTAACTTTGGTAAAGTTTAGGGTAGCATGTCGGATTGAGTAAGCAGGGAATACGACGAGTTGACCGTTCTGCAACAATAAGCCGCGCACCACATTTGGAAAAGAGTGCGATTCGAAGAATACAACAGTAACTGTAGGCAGCCAACATCTACCCACCCTCATCGAATTGCCTGGGTCAGCGTGGTTGGCTTCAGGCATCAGTATGCACATGACAGCAATCGACATGAAGGGCGCTAGGAAGTGGCCCTCTGTGCGACGGAGTATAAAGAGGACAGGTCCCCCTCTCACTTCCTGGAGGAACCTGCACCTCAGAGCGCCGGAATCCGGTTCATTTCCTCGTAGATCCGCCTTGATTTAAAAAGTCCCGTAGTTTGACTGGCCTAGGCTGGAGGCAAAAGGACCCGCCTGCCTTACCGAGAGTCGCGCCGTCGAGTCCTCAGTGCTGGATTCTGGGGATGGTGGTGTCTGATGTTCCATCAGCGTGAGGATGATTGAGTCACAGATGCAGGATGGCCCGTGCTGAAGCCCTAATTTGGCCAATGATGGGCCTTCTGCCTCGCCGAAGCTCCAAGGGGCCTCTGCATGAGGTGGGGCAATCGCAGCCAGTGAGGAGCCGGCGATGGCCAGATCAGCCGAGAATGCCGGCCGCTGGTTGGCCAGAGCGCACTACCCCTGTCATTCGCGCTAGACCTGTTTGAGCACGCCGAAAGACTCTGTGGGAGTCCCCTTTGGCACTCCACTCGGCCTGCTGCGCCATGCGCGAGGCTCTTGCTGACGCCTTGGTGGTAATAATACTGAAATACCGGCCATGACTCCCTCCCGACATCAGCCTGAGGTTTCCTCTCTACTCTTCGATTTCTTGGTCTCACCATTTTCCACCATATCGCGAGTCGATTTGACCCTCGTTTCTCTTTAGAGACCTGCCCCATACTCTCCCCAGCTCACCTGGCTGTGTTGTAGAAGCCCCAGTCCAGCTTGCCCAATCCCACCCCAATTGGCGCAAACGACTGGCTGTCTTCTGCTCTCGAGTCCATACCCCGATCCCAATCTCAATTGCAATCCCCACTATTCCCCAGCATCCGTTCTTCGAGCTGGATCACCTTTGCAGCTTCACGCGCACCCCAACGTCCGCGACACCGGACGTCCCAGACAGTTCGCCCCCGTAGTCAGACCCTTCTTGAATCCGCATCCCGGGTTCAATTGTTCTTGACGTAAGTCAACTAAGTGCGGCCCGCATGGGCAATACCTGGACTCGCCTCGTCTTACATTGAACCAGATAACCAGTCGGGCACTCCCTCACCATTTTCTCTCAACGCCCTTCTCGGTGTCCCGTTCACGAAAGCGTAATGGCCAATTTCCAGTCCACCGCCTCTGTTCCCCAGGGATTCTCCGTTTACCAGCCTATGCTCGGTGCCCCTCTGCAGTTCTTCCCTGCTCTCGGAACCAAGCATCTCGATGATTTGATGGACGCTTACTTCCCTGGCCCCGCCTCTATCAAGGAGAAGCGCGCTACCATCTCTCTCGACTTCCTCGACCACATCCAGAGGACCGGCGAGACCTTCAAGTTCTACGCCGTCGCTGGTCTTGTTGCCTCTCCCGAGTCTCCTGCTAGTGTCTCCACCTCCTCTCTCAATGTCAGCCCGGTCACCTCAAATTGGGACTGGAGTTCCATCAATGGTTCGTCCACCCCTCAGACCTCTCGCAAGGCTAGCACCGCTTCCTCGCGTCAACAGCAGCCCGCTGGTGACTTCTCCCACATGCCTGGGATGAAGATCATGACTAAGGAAGGTGTTGATGTGACCAACTCTGCTTCCCGCGGTTCCAAGACCAAGGAGCAGCGCGATCATGCTCATCTGATGCGCATTATCAAGGCCTGCGACAGCTGCCGAAAGAAGAAGGTCAGATGCGACCCCAGTCATAAGAAGCGTGGTGGTGCCTCGCCGGTGGCTGCTCCATCCACCGCCAAGGTGGTGAAGAAGACCAAGGTGACGCGACAGGAGCCAACTGTGGCCAAGGCCCTCCCAATGGCCATGGAATCAGTGCCACCACCTGCACCTTCAATAGACTTCGACTTCTCTCTTACATCTGACCTTGACACATTCATGCCCCTCGACTTTGCCCAGCAACAGCCTTGGGAAGACCTAATCCAATACCCTGTTGAGGAGCTCGACGAGAACTACGACTTCTTCTTCGACCCAGAGGGATACATCTCATCCGGGTCCGCCAGTTTCTCTACCCCCGAATCGCAACCAATCCGCCACTCTATTTCGCCAAACTCGATCCACGAGGACGTCGTTTCTGGCCTTCAGGAAGCATCTGCTGGCACCGATTACTTCGGTGTTAATCAACATGCAGTGAATGCTATCCCGGCGGGCGACTTCAACATTCCTGTCGACGCCGACTACACCGATTTCAACCTATTCTCACCTCAGTCTACCTTCTCAGAGGATGATCGCATGCTCTCAGTTGCATCAACGACACCCTCTAGTTCATCAGGTGAAAACACCGAAGGCGATCTTGGACGTTACAGAGCTCCTACGCAATCACCATTAATATATGGTGGCGATGGCTTCGATGATGTACATGGCACGATTCACCTGCCAAGTGAGGCAGAACAATTGGTAGTCGGCGATGGCCAGGATCACAATAGGCTACTATGTCCCTCAATCGATCAAGGAGCGCTGTATTATAGGACGTCAGATCATCTGAATGCATCTGCGATCCATTCTGCGTCTGCCGATTTGACGGTACGCGATGGCCACACGGTATGGAGCTCCCTTGCGGCTTGGTCTGGACAACGGCTAACTTCGGAGAAGATATCATCTAGCCGATCTGAGCAAGAAGCATATGCGACAAGCCTCCACAGTGTAAGTGCTATCGGGGAGATGTTGTTTGGATTGAGGCTAACGTCTTGGAAGGTATCATTTGCCGACAGCATTCACTCGACTGGATCCGAGATTCTCTCTACACCCGAGCTGAGCGACAGCGTAAGTCCATCTGCCCGAGCTGAAGAATTCGTTTTATTAATTTTTAAAAAGGAATCACCTCTTTGTAGCAGCCGTGGCTCTCAATCACCCTCAGTGGCTGGCCTTGACGTACGTGCCCTCCTCGGACGAACCTACCACAAGCTGGCTAACATGTATAAAGGAATCTGCATTCACTGGCGTTGACTCCGTTGTTGAGTCACGAGAAATAACGAACCTAGAAGCCGTACGTACAGCCGCTCAGCGAGTGAAGACAAATCTAACAATCCCTAGGTGTCGAGGCGTAGGAACATTCTACAAGAAGCAGCATATGCTGGCGATCAACATATTGTTGGCGATGATCAACATGCGACAATGGTATGGCAACTGTTCACCCAGAAGACTGGCGCACAATTGGGACTAACAGGACTGAAGGATGCGGTCTTCGCAATTCGGGAACAATCGCGCACGGCAACGCCGCACGACAATTCTCACTCCTCCGTTGATCTGCTGCATAGGCAACAGCTACAGCACTTAATCGCAGTAGAAGCAAATGCGAACGGTCTCAAATCCGCCGCCGCCACCGCTCAAGCTGGCCGTGCCGACCGATCCACCGGCCAGTCGTCTGTTCCTCTGCCATCAGTTTTACTTCACCAGCGCCACGGCCTTGTTCGAAGTAAGCTGCCGAGTCCCCCACTGTCTTCAGATCCACGGGCCACGATAGCATTCTACGGCCTAGCGCTGCTTGTGGTCCAGGCTGCTTCAGCGTGGAACTTGATGATTGCGATGGCAATCGCCTGCGTGGTAGCAGCTTCGGGTCTCGGCCAAAGATGGTCGTCGACCAACTTGACGAAACACAAAGCTCTGAAGGCATCTCAAAGCCTTCTGTCGACCGTCACTCGCGAGGTGAATGCCTCACGATTAACGAATACGTACATGCACAAGCGTGTACCGCTACTTGGACGCCAATTGGTCCAGGCTTTCTAATGTATCAAGATGTTCAAGAAGCATCGCGGCAGACTGCCAACGATTGAACGTCCCGATGGGAAGAAAAGTTGTTTGAATGGGTCTATCCGGTATTGACTTCTGGCTACGTGACCGAGGGTTACGTCGGCCTTGGATTATCTGGTTAGAGGTTTTGGTTGGTTTTATGTCTTTTATACCCAAGCAGCAATAGCAAGCGCGCTGCCTTTGTTTTAGACGGTCTCTCTGAAGAAGGACCCATGTTAGATACTAGCTTATTTTCCTATTGAAATGAATCTCGACCTGAAGTTAAGTCACTACGACGATGACTCGCTTCGGTCTTGTAATTTTTTGCAAAGAAAGATCTGGCGCAAACACTGACGAAGTCCGCAAGAAGTGAATGGGATAAAAAGAGAAGTGCCCGGAGCAAGTTAGTCTGGCCTCGCGCTTTCGTCAATTGTTTCAGTCAGTCGGACAAGTGGTGTTGGCTTGTGCAAGGGGCGGCAGTGTAGTTAACGGCCAATCAATCATGTGATTGGCCAAGCTTCCGCCTTCAGTGGACACAAGACCGCATTTCATGGCCCTAATAGGGAGCTGTTGTAAATTTACAGTGGGAACTTAGTTGGTAAGGCAAACTGGGAAGGATTGGCGGCGCATGAGCCAAGGCGCAAAAAAAAAAAACCACCTAAAAAAAAACTCTACGGGCGTAGCGGGTGGGCGACGTCAATGCGCCAACACAAGCTGGAGGACACACACAGCCCGTGCCGTCCCAATTGATCGGGTCAGTGAGCAGCACAGTAGAGTGATACTGGGAATAAATTGGATTGGACCGGTAGACAACGTGGTGGCTGCCCAGTGGAGTCAGCGACTTGTGCTACCCACGGAAGGGCGACACCGGGGAGGACGCGGAGCGAATCTTTGACGTTTCGGTGCGAGGCAGGACGGACCAAAGGGCAACGTTTGCCTCGAATTGAGCGGTGTAAAAGGAAAGCCAGTGGGCGTGGAGGTTTGGGGGTCTCCTGGATCTCGCCTCTTGGCCGGCAGCGCGGCCTTGCTTTATTTGCCAGCTCCCCGCGCCCCGTTGTCCTGTTTTCGCGGGCACTGTTTTCCTGCCTCCTTGTTTTTATTTCCTTCTGTCTGTGCGAGGCGGCCATATCGACCCGGAGTTTTCGCGACGGGGCGCTGCTTGTCCGTGGTTGAGCCATTCACCGTGGAGGACGCCCTTGCTGCTGCGACGAGGCTGCTGGCGGAGAGGTCGAGCGACCACGGGTGAAGGAATAGCGGACTTGACTGGTCGCGAGAAGACACCAGAAGCACGATCCGAGGTTCAGGGCCGAGGACGTAGGACTGGTGGAAACGAGCTCATCAGGCAGCCACAGAGACAGACAAAACAGACAGAGGAGTGACTTGCGGGTTAGCCGGACGAGAGAGACCATCCAGGTTGGGCGCGTTCATCTTTCATCTTTTGCCTTCGAAAAGGGCCATCTTGAGAGCAGCGTCCTGGCTGAGCAGAACGCGTTTGGGAGCACGCAAGCTCGGCAGGCAGGGCAATTGCACCTTACAGCAGGTGCAAACCGAGGGGCCAACAGCGTGCAGAGCAGGTACCTGGCCGCCCATTTGCCAGCACCGTACCTCGGACGAAGGTATTGTGAGGAGAGTGGAGCGACTAGCAACCAGAAAGAAAGAGTGCCAGCGAGAGCGAGAGCGCGAGTGAGAGTGCGAGAGAGAGTTTGGAGTGGGAGTGAGAGCGAGGTGAGAGTGAGGGCGACGTGAGGCGAGTCCGTGGGTCCTTCCTTCCATCAATAGCCGCCATGGCCAGATTCAAGTCACTTCTCAGACTGGACAAGGCCGGCCCTAGGATTCGCAAGTTGTTCACGCGCGACCACGGCCAGTCTGCAACTGTTGCCAATGCTGGTACCCTTGACGCAAACCTCGAGGCTAATGCAAACACCGTCAACGATAGCCACACGGACGCCGCTGCCAACAAACCAGCTGATATCCCGGGTACCCAGAATACCCATACCGTTCTCCCTGGCACTCCTGACCACCCAGTTGCTGTCCCAGTTCCACCCAAGGTGACTGAATCCGGAGAACTTGAGAATACATTGACCCAAGCGACGGACCTGCAACCTGCCCTCGAGGCTGGCACGCACGACACTATGCGAGTCTCTGTGCCCTCCCCAAACAAAAAGTACGCCCCGCCGGGCACAAGTGCGCATGCGAACAAGGAGAACCTGCCTATTGGCACAGCCCCCGAGAGGCAGAGATATCCGAACCATGCGCCAGTTCATAACGTCGTGGACGCCCTCGCTTCGTCCCTCGACGGCCTTGACCTCGAGAACACGCCTAAAATCAACATTCTCCAAGAAACAACACCAGTAGTTACGCCCGCGGTCCCTGAGAAAGATGAGCTAATAGCCCCGGAGCTCAGTCCAGAAGAACTCAAGGCACTCCAGGCCGAGCAGGATCGACATAGCTACTTCACCGAGGAAGCGCTTGAAATGGTAAGTTATCTGTCTTGGCTGCTCACAACCCAGCTTGTGTCCCCTCTCCCACCCGTCGTCTTTCCACCAATGGCCTATGCCTGGTTGCTCCCCAGGACGTTCGTTGTTCTCATGAAATTCAACTTGCTGACTCCATACGATGAGTAGGCTCGATTGGCCCTCCGGACAAACGAAACACCTGTAGGGTGTGTTTTCGTACACAAGGACAAGATCATCGCCCGAGGCATGAACGCTACGAATGTGACCCGAAATGGTACCCGTCATGCTGAATTTATGGCTCTGGCCGCGCTCCTTTCGGTCCCTAGTGCGAATCTACCCCGGACAACTTCCCTCAAGCCTAAGGTGGAGATGAAGCCGGAAAACATGTCGGAAGACAGCGCTTCCGCCTGCTCAGCTCCCCCCGACGAGGGCAATGAGGATGGCAGCAAGGGACACCTGTTTCCATATGGACAGAAAGAGCACCCTGATGCCAAGGTTGACCGATCTATTATCCGCGAATGCGTGCTCTACGTGACCGTAGAGCCCTGCGTCATGTGCGCTTCACTCCTTCGACAGCTTGGTATTAAGAAGGTCTACTTTGGCGCAGTTAATGACAAGTTTGGTGGCACCGGTGGCGTCTTCAGCATCCACGCCAATTCCCTCCCCGTTAGTAGCGAGGGGCCGTCGATGAGCGCACACCCACAGCCACCACCCATCCGACTCCCCGGCCGTGGGCAGATTCTTGGAACCTCTTTTCCTCCTAGTGGTGGAGATGGAGGCAACGTTGAGCCTGGCTATGAGATCGAAGGAGGCTGGGGCCGCGATGATGCCGTGGGGCTTTTGCGAAAGTTTTACGTCCAGGAGAATGGACGAGGTAGGCTTAGGCCACGCCAGTTGTAAATTTGGGCTTCATGACTAACTGCTATCTCTCAGCACCCGTGCCACGCAAAAAGGAGGGCCGCGCAGCCCGCCTTGCTGCGCTCGAGAACAATGAAAACGACGACGAGAACGACGATGCGTCCGAGGGCATAGAACGTATAGACACTGGGTTTCAGCCGAGGGACGACCCCGAAATGATCTTGAACAATGGCGTTGACGAGCCAGACCAAGCTGAGGAGGGGCCTTTGGCTGCAGAGTCCGAGACAAGGCTGCTGGACATCTAGAGCCGTTACCCTTGTAGAGGAGTGTTTGCATGCATGAAACACCGGCTTGGTGTTTATTAATTGTAATAGTTGCTTGAGGGTGCTCGGCACGGGGCTCTTTGGTGGTACTTTGGCAACGGGGATGACGCCGTGTTCACTATATATAGCCAAGGAGGAGAAGAGGCGATGACGGTAGCTAGAAGAACCATTGTGGGAGCATGTATGTCCATCGAAAGAAGAAGTCGATATCACCTGGTTTGGTCTTGTGAGGTTTCTCAATCCTCACACCGAATATCTGAAGAGGGTGATCCACCCGACTAAGTTACATTATGCGTGTATTCTGTGATTAATGATAGTCCTAGAATTTGAAGTCGCCATGACAGACATTTGGAAAATTAGACAAGGCGGCTGCCATACATCCTGACGGTCAACTTTACGAATAGCTACAAAGCCTCAACAAATGCTTTGAGCACAGGCACACTTGTTAGGTATCTTGACGTCAAATTTACTTTGCGATACGCTTCCAAAATCAACAGGCAGGCGACGTCGCCGATCATGATCGCTGTCGTGGCAATACAACCTCATTCTATGGCCTCGTCCATGCATTCAGCGCCATTTCCAAGCAGCTCTTCGCGACTCCGAGAGTCGGCGTTTGCGGCCGCCCACATCAGTGCGGTGATATTATATCATGTCCACAAAGCGAAAGGCCCACGGTGCGGCGGCTGGCTCTGTCAAGGCCGGTAGAGTCTCTGCTGACTCGACACCAGGGGCTACGCACAATTTGACCCCTCGACAGCCCCGACCGACCATCAGACGCCGACGATGATCTTTACGGGGACACCGCGGAAATCTAGAAACGAGGAAATGAGCTCGAGGGAGAAGCCGATGGCCTTGTAGGGTTCTGGGTTCTGCTGGGCTCCCATATCAATAAGGAAACTCAGAAGCCCTCACACGGTTACCGAGAATATTCCAACTACAGCTTGGTCATTAGAACCGCATTCTACGGATCGATGCAGACCGAGGATATGCATGTAATATTGAAGAGATACAGCCCACTCTCAAAACAGGCGACGGATATCTTGGGCACGATCGCAGAGCCGACATCTTGAGCTTCTCATTTCCACGAGTGAACATTGACAGCCTATAGTCTCTATGCTGCTGTGTCTGTAGGACTTCCCAAATGATATTACCAAGTTTTTGAAGGCATCCGAGAGTTTATATTATCTTGCACGCCGAGCTTCGGAAAGGCCAGCTTGGTATTAAATATCAACAAATATTTCGTTTGGACTATGCACCCAGAGACTCTCCTTCAGCTCGTAGTAGATGCAGTCATCGGCAGATTGCGATTGCACGGCTCGAGGGAGATTACAACAACAATGAAGCCTACGGTCCGGGGACTCGTAAGTCCTGGAACTAGAGGCGCCATCTGCTCTTCTACCAGGTATATCGGAAGTCCTTGTCCTGTTTGTCCGTAACATCGGCATCGCCTGAGCCTTGCTCCTCAGCCGTTCGATGGTCATTCTTGTCCCGTCGTTTGTTCTCCCATCCGACTGAGAGACCAAACAACGCTAAAACGGCAATGCACGCTCCAATGGCAACAATGTCAGTAATGGCGCCTTCAATATACCTTGGCGCATTCGTCCATAGCTGTGGCCCGGCAATGGCTGCGGCAGCGTAAAGTATGAAGTAGCTGTTACTGGCCACGGACTTTTTCGTGTTGCCTTTGAAGTTTGAGGCGATCAGGCTCAGGAAGACAACCATCGTTGGTGAGAAAACAGTGGCCATCTAGGTGCAACCAACGATGCCCCATTTCGCATCCATGGGCAGCACAAGAAGACAGATATTGCCAACCAGGGGGGGGATACTGGCAATAATACCCCAGCAAGATCTTGGGATCTTGGTGACCCGGATACCAACAACGACGATTCAGATCATGATGATCTGCAGCACGCCTGCAGGAAGACTGACGAGCATTGTGTTAAGCTTCGACCAGCCGAATCCATTAATAACCAATGTTCCAAACTGCGAGTAGGTAGTCATTAGCATTTAGATCATGACTGATTGTGATATACGAGATGAATTAAAACACGGACCTTGATGACGGGAGAGGCGAGCGTATTGCAGAAAGCACCAATGACCAAGAGCCACAAGCGATGATCCAGCAAGGCCTCTTTGATCTGAGACACTTTGAACGTTGTCTGCTCCTTGGAAATTCGCTCCTCGGCCAACCTTTGGGTGGCAATGCTCCGCTCGCGCGCATTGAGGAACCAGGCCGTCCCAGGGCCTAGTGCCATGAACATAAGGAAAAGGATACCAGAGAGTACAGTCCAACCTCCACAGACGAGGAACATAACTCGCCAGTTGGAGATGGCAGTGTTGCCGGCAAGGCCAATGCCATACATGATCAGAGCACCGAATATCTGGGCAAGACCATTGCAAGTCACCCATCCGGCGACTCGGAAAGGCTGCTCTGATTTCTTGTACCAGGAACCAGTGATGATAACAAAGGCGGGCGATACACCACCTTCAGTAAAACCGAGCAGGAATCGAACGGCCGTGAAGCCACTGAAGTTGCCGGGTGCGGCCAAGCAGCCGGCAACGATACCCCAGGTTATAGGAAAGCAGAATAAATAGGAAAATCGCCCGAGTAAGAAAGAAAAAAGAACCATGTTATAGCTCATCTTTAGCGATTTTCAGTCATCGCAGGAGTATGCGCATGGCGGACGGTCTTGGTCTTCCCAGGCTGGCGGTTTTACGAAATATCGAGAAGGTTGTTGGCAGACGTCGTCACTTCTTCCTCCATGACTAGTGTCCAAGCCTGCGTGCTACATGGTGGTTACTTGGTCGGGACGAGCGCCCACGATGTTGCGTATAATATGCACGGACTTGCAGTGCGGATGGCAATCAATATGGGAATGCACAGATCGGTCAGCTCCGACATGTTGCATCCTCTCGTTCTAGAATTACGGAACCGTCTGTGGTGGAGCGTTTATACCCGTGACCGGCTTTTCACATTCCAAATGGGTAGACCCTTGACAATCGAGGATGATGAGATTGATACGCCTTATCCGACTCATGTTGCCGAGCTGGTAGTTGATCGGTTCGGAAGCCCAGTAGACAATCAGGTCGCATTGATTGACCTTTGCAAACTGCTTGGCAAGGTGAACAAGACCATATACTCCAGCTTTGGCTCAACCCCCTCCAACTCCCGAGTCATCAACACCAGCCAGTTTCTGGCGCTCAACCGAACAAATTGGAGTTTCTGACGACTGCAGCCAAGTGCTGTGTAGCTGCTGCCATCACCACAATCAAAATACTCAAATTCCTGAGGGAGAGCAAGCTCATGTGTCGATACGCGTGCCAGGATTCACTATATTGCAGTGCCGCGCTCCATGTATTACTTCTGGGTGCTAGGCTCGGTCCTCCCACTGATGGCTTCAAGGCCATTATCGCCGATGGAATCTACATGCTACGAGAGCTAGCAGAGGGAAATGAAACCGCCGCTTCTGCAATAGAGGGTATAACTACCGGCTTTAACCGTTTATTCAAGACCCAAATGTTACAACCAAGTCCGGCTTCCACGAATCCTAGGGACCCTGCCGACTATAGAACCATGGGTAGCCGTGCTTGGGAGAAGTGGATGGCTGAAAGCTCGGCCACAGCAACGTCCAGCGACAGAGTATATACTGGTAGGCCACTAGATAGAGATGCTTCCGACACATCTCCCAGTACCGGGAATGCGTTCAGTACATATCTAGTAAGTGGGAAAAAACCTCTTTCTCAATCCCTTTCGTCATAGGGATCCAATCAAGCTAAATGTCGAGGGCAACAGGCAAATGCAATCCAACCTGATTCTTCCTCTCAAGGGCTGGTGACTGACACAAATCACCCCCAAAACGACATAATTTCTCCAAGCAACTTCAATTTATCAGCTTCGCAATTTTCCATGGCTGCTTTTGGAGATTATCCAATCACCAATCAGCCGTTGTGGTTTCCAGAATTGGACAAAGGCTTCAGCCTTCCTGACGGAGGCCTGGGTGAAGGCCCAATGACTGAGGGGTTTAATATCTGGGATTCGGTGGCCCCGGAAACTTTCGAGACGGAATTTCTGTGATATAAAACTCTTGAATACCTTCTGTACCATCTAGACGTCTCCCTCGAGACGTCTAGATCTCTTCACTATTGTCGACGGCCCAGCAAGGGGACAAAATATGCAGCTAGCAGCGAGAATCAGCTCAAAGGAGCAATAACGCAAGGAAGAGGACAGTAAAAGCCAACTGGGCAAGCGGCCGAGGGTGACCAAAACGGCTAGAAAAGCTCGCAGGTCTCGATGAACATGGCGCAGCCCTTGAAGAGAACCAAAGTGAACCAAGACTGATCATGGGAGGATCCGACGCAAGCTTCCGGCTTAGGTATCTCGTTCTTTCTGTATTAATTCTTTCACCGTATATTTACTTCTTCAAGCAGGCGTATGCCCATATAGATAGGAGGGTGCTGCGACAAAGAACCAATTGACAATGCTTTGCCTTAGTTACCATTCCATTTTTTATTGTTTTATTAAATTTCCACTCTTGTTCAGCCTCTGAGAGTTTGACTAGGGAAACGCACGTTGTTGCATCTCTTTGTTATTCTGTGATGTGGTGTAGTGTTCGAGTGGGTAGGGTAGGGTATATAGCCCTGACGACGCCTTCACCTGCCACATACGACCATACCCAGAAGAGAACTCGGGATCCCGTCCGCTCTCCCATAGATAAGCTTCTGAGGGGTGGATTAGTAGTTGGGTCGGTGACGACCAGCGAATACCCGCTGTTGTATGTTTTTTTGCTCTTTGTTTACCCTTTGTTTGGTGCTCTGGTGGTAGGGTATATAGCCTTCATGATAGCCTCAACTGTCACATACGACCATACCCAACGGAAAATACGGGATCCCGTCCGCTCTCCCATAGTCAAGCCGTTGAGGGGCGGATTAGTAGTTGGGTCGGTGACGACCAGCGAATACCTGCTGTTGTATGTTTCTTTTTGAGTTTTTTTTTTTGGTGCTCTGGAAGCTGGGTTGTGGTAGGGACCGAATCACATTCCTGATACTATTCTAGGGCAAGTCGCAGGGTGGTCTGCCAAAGAACAGACGGAATAAAGCATAACGAGTGTCTATAGGTTTGCTAAAGTGTCACATAACTTGCTCTGTTTTGCAAGCATCATTGTGTATGGTTTCCTTATCTGGTTGGGGTGGCCCAGATCTGTGACGGGCGCTTGGAGATGCTACACCGCTAGTTATATACTGTTGTCACTCTAAATATCCATCAAAGGAGCCTCCATCGAATGACCTTAGTTCACAAATTGCCTTAGTGTCAATAACCGAACTGGAAGGCAGTGGCGGCTCAGTGTTCATCATGTGCCCCAGGTAAGGTTCTCACTTAACAGAATTGAGCTTCATGGAACATAGGCAAGTGGAAGCTCAACTAGAGCTGCAGCTAGAGGAAGTGATGAAGCAATTTTTTACTGTTGAAATGATCTTACAGAAGATTTAGCCCTAGCAGCGGTGCTGCAAGCATTTCCATCCAACGATCTTAAGTCTCCTCACCCGGTGACGTTGAGTCTGTATCAAGCGATGCCATTGATCGCATAAGCTAAGCTACATAATTCTCTAGCTCCAAAACAGTATCTCATCTTCTTGTTGTGCCATGAGTTTTGTATGCTTCCTATCAAACGATCTGGTAGATTTGGATTCGGTGGAGACAAGGTTGGGAAGACCAAGACCGTCCGCCATGCGCATACTCCTGCGATGACTGAAAATCGCTAAAGATGAGCTACAACATGGTTCTTTTTTCTTTCTTACTCCGCGATTTTCTTATTTATTCTGCCTTCCTTAATTTACAGCGGGTTATGTGCGGTATAAGTTGGGCTGGAACGGCATGTAACAAGTGCCCTGTGCTGACATTATTAGGACGACATTCCTCCAGTCGATGAGCATAGCAGACATCAATGAGATCGAAGACCTCTCCGCCCTTGCCCACCTCGGGCTATCTTGAAAAGAGAAGCAATGAATCTGGCGTAGAGGTGTATGTACGTCTATTTCTGGGTATGTATATGTGTGGTAATATATGTATGTTTAAGCCTGGGTATCGACGGGCATGAGCGCGTAAGACCTCACGGCGAGCAGTTCCTCAGGGAATCCTCGCTGAAGTTCAGTTCGGACAACGCGTAAATTCGCCTGCTTGAACAAGCTCAGGTACGACTTGTCCGTTCTAATGGTGTAGTCTGTTAGTAATTCTGGAGTCCACTCGCTGCCAGTCGGGAAGAAGCCTACCTTGTGACGGCGCTGTCCACCTCGTCAAAGTCGTCGGTATCGCGATGGCTCATGTTCTCCTTGAACACGATGATGCCGCTCTCGGGTTGGAGAGCTGACTTGCACTGTTCCAAAAAGGCAACCAGCTGCTCGTCATTGAGATGGCCAACACACCATTGCACCCAGATAAGATCGTACTTGTCGCCATTTTCCGGCCGCCAGTCTTGCAAGCCGACATTGAAGATGCTGCGCACGCCGGGCGTCTTCTCCAAACCTGCGGTGAATCTCGAATTTGGCTCAATCACGTCGACCTCCTTTGCCACGTCGAGAAGCAAACCCTGTGTGACCCGGCCAATCCTGTTCGCAGTCACCTAAAGAGTCAGCTTTGGACTGGGGACCTCATCTCATGGCGACAAAAGTCTTCCGTCAAATGTCATGGTCAGCGCTCACCCTGCACCGCCCTCGAGGGCCAATCCCACTACCGACCGGCCACGCCCAGTTCCGATACCCAGCTTTGCGAGGAAGGCCCGCGAGCTCCGGAGATCGAGGTTGGATATGAAACCAAAGCCTTTCTCAGGCAGGCCGCCCAACATGCCGTTGACATCTGCCTTGACACCGTCCCAGTACTTTATGCCATCCTCTTTGCTGACGAGGGCGTCTGGCTTGGGGCCAGGGCCAGCCATTTGGGAACACCTGGATGGTACCAGTCTCACGTGATCGCGTAATTATGTGTGTACGGAGGTAGCTGAAGCGAAGTCAGCCTTGGTTAATTGGAAAGTAGGTAAGGTAAAATCAACGTTGATTCAGTCACAGTTGGTTGCCATATGGAACTGAGCGGCGCTAGAAGTACTGGGGTAATGCCACTATTACGCGATATTCCCGGGCTCTGTAGTGGAGGCTGGGGCTACCCTGGATGAAACTTCACGTGACGCGGAAGACGGCATGGTTTCGTTTGTGGCCCCCACGACAGAGCTCACACGAAACATTACATGCTTGACAATACGAAATCATCACGAATAGGGGCTGATAGTGCGAACCAATCTGTTTATTCCTTCCAGCGTCTTGTTTTGGAGATTAATCCACCTGTCTAAGCTATGTTACAGTGAATATCCGACCGGCCAGCACCAGGCCAAGCCAAGCCAGGCCAGCTCCCTTTCATACGATTCATGCGCGTTGGAGTACCCGATTCAAAGGCTTCACAGAAGCCCATGGTACATTCGCTGCCATGCCACTACCAAGACTGGATGCCGCTTAAGCCCAGACGTTGGGTCCGGGGATGTCGTACGAGGTGAAGGACTCGTAGAGGTTGAACAGGATACCGGGGTCGGTAGCCTTGTAGAAGCTGGTGAAGGCAGCACCGCCGGATGGAGAGGACGAACCGCTGCCGGTGACTTCGATGTTGATGCACTGGGGGTAGGCCTGGGCGCCGTTGGACTGGCCGGCGGAGTGGAGAGCAATGATCTCGTGGCGCAGGACGTACTTGCCAGGGGCGAGCTTGGAGGGGATAGTGACGGTCCAGGTGTTGCCGTTGGCGATGAGCTCGTCAGAGGCCCAGGTGCCCGGGTTGGAGCCAGAGACGAGACCCTTCTCGGAGATCTTCACCCACTGAAGGGAGGCCTTCTGGACGGAGGCAAAGTCGCCAGAGACGGGGGCGATGTAGTCGATGACGGGGCCGTGGTGGCTCTCTGGCCAGGTGTTCCAGACCAGTGAAATGCTTGAGCCAGCGGCAACGGTAGCATAGCCGGAGACGGGGGTGGCAGACTTGTGGCAGATGATGTCGGCGCTGGAGAAGGCGTCGGGGGCAACAAAGCCGTTGTCCTGGTTGGAAGCGGCCCAGCCGACAGCATCAGCAGGAGCGCTCCAGGGGAGACCACCGGTGTATTCCTTGCCGCCGGCGACGACAGTAGCGACGTGGCCGTGGGCGTTGACGGCAGCGGCCAGGCCAAGAACGGAGAGAGCAACGGGGAGCATGGTGATGAATGGGGGGTTGTGTTCTTCCTGTCAAAGGAGAGTCTGAAGGTTGCGAAGAAGGGGTTGGGAAGTGAATGGAATAGAGCTGGAAGGCTTGGATGGCTTGAAGGTCAGAGGAAAGTTGGATCGAGGGCGGTTCGTCGTCTGCTCTTTATAGAACGGCTCCCGTCAATGCGATCACATCCCCTTTGAAGTCATTGCAGGAGTATGTGCATGGCAGTCTCAGTCTTCCCAACCTTGTCTCCACCGAATCCAATCAAGACGAGGTGAATCGCGTGTCTCCTAGTTGCGTAATCCATGGAAGCGCCTTTGTTGAGCTCTGGATTGGATGCAAGAAACGGGGTATTTCCCGTAAACCCGGGAGCTAACAGGGTTCAAGATGCAACCCTACATGTTTATATGGATTTAAGTCTGATTTACCTTGCCCACGGAGTTTTTGAGTGTCTGTTCCTGTTTCAAAGCTGCAAGGATCCCCTAAATATTCCTTGACTCAGCATTTCATGCGAAATGCGCTGCTCTGAGCTGTTGAAAGAGACCAGCTTCTCAACGTGACAAAAATTGTAATGCGTTGTATTTCCAGCTTAAAGTGATGATTGTGATGGTGGTTGTGCTAAGAAGTCCCTCGATGACACGAATCAGGTGATGTGATTTCTTGGACGAGACGCAGGTGTCAGGCGGCTGAGCAAACGCAACAACGTGCAACCTTGTTTTCCTACAGCCAGACCACTTTGGTGGTGGGTTGCACGTAGATCTCATCTAGATTTGGGTCCTCGAGAAGCTCCGGCGAGTGTAGATTGGCTCAAGCTGTGCGGGAACGAACCAGGGTTCTGGAACAAGGGGCTGGCATTAATGGAACAAGGGCGAAACGTAGGGCGGAAGCACCAGCTCCGTGCTTCCATATTCACGGATGTCGTCGCAACGTGGACCAATTCATTCCGAAGATTTTGTTTCTGATGCCCAAGAAACACTCGCCGCCGCGTGGATCTGTAACCAGATTGCTTGAGAATCGACATGCTTTAATCGCTCAGCACCGGGATGCACCATGGAGGCTTGTTGTCTCCTGGCTCCAACCTTGGCACCACGAGCGTATAGCTATTGGAGACTCCTGAACTGTCGATGTTCCCTCCAACGGCGCCAATATCGCCGATCTATTGGCATATATGTCAGCTTGATTAGTTAAGGAAGACTTGATGGGTCTTTGGCCATCGCTAGTCATGGGCACGCCATCAATATGGCACAATAATCCTTACGCTTTCACGGGCCGTAGTTGGTCTTGGCTCTTGGGAGGCCGTCTGCATTGCTTGTTGAATTGCTCAGATCTGGAAGAAGGAATCCCCCGATGACGAAGGTAATCTACCCAGTAGGCTCTTTTTGGCATGGAAACGTGCATGGAAGCAAGGAAGGGTGTCAGACTAGGTTTTGTGTCATTACTATGGTCATGAGTTCGTCTCAGGTGCCGCATCTACCACGATTCGTGGACTCCTGCTGGGTTCTGCGGCTGGCCCCCTCGCACCTCTGTCGTGACCTCGACCTGATTTGAAATGATTATACCGGACTTGGGCTGGCCATCCGAGTCCGAAATAGGCCCTGTGGTAACATTGAAGTTCTGCATCTTCACGTCATCAATAATCTGTTCCTCGCTACCGCTGAATGTCATGTTGGCGGTGATGTGGGTTTCGCTCGCTGGCCCACTACGATTGTTCCTGTTGAATGATTTGCTGCCGCCGGGACCGCCGCCTCCTATTGTCTGGAATCCGTTTGGGGTTCTGTAGTTGTATGCTTTCTCCGAGGAGCGAAGGGCGCTCTCGAACCAAGGACGGAGCCATGTCTTGAAGAGTGGGAAGATCATGGGCAAGTTTGTTGTCATAACGGCCGTGAACGCTTCTCTGATACCCCATGAACCTGCAAGCTGAGGTCCGTTGACGGGGTCCTTGAATCCCTGACGTTAACAGACAGACAGGCCAATGGTTGTTGACACGATATCCGACTTACCACTAAGACGAAGACACTCTTCAGGGTGGCGCATACGAGAACGAATATTCCCGCGCCCAGGACAATTGTCGAAGCAATTTTCTTGACCATTCGCAAAGTAGAGCTCCAGAGCATCGGGAGAGGAATGCAGATGAGGTAGATGTCAGTGACAACATTGGCAGCAAAACCTGACCAGACGATCGGCCGAGAGACGGCAGCTTGGCAGACGTCTTGAGACAGCCAGTTAGCACTCACGATTCATATATAAGACGCTATACTGTATGATCTATGTGCATGACCAAGGGAAAACTTACTTCCAGGGTCAGGATGAATCTGCCAATATTTATTGAAGGGTCGACACCCGGCGAAAATGGATATTATGACGGCGAGATAGCTGCTAATAACGATGGCGAAGCCAACCCAAATTCGAATCTGATACGATCGTCCAAGTCCTTCCTGCATCATGTTAGCATAAAACCGTAGCACCTTGTGGCTATCATGTATATTTTACCATGAGTCGAATATAAAAAGCCAGCATGGAAAGCTTGAGCACAGTGATCAGGGTCGAATAGATTGTCCAGCCGGCAACCTGAATCTTTGACCCTAGAACTCTGACGTTGATGTTAGCCAAAGGGCAAGGCCAAGCGAGTTAAACTTTCCTGGGCACATACCTAAGTTGAAATTCGGGATCTGAGGAGCTCAGTGCCATGCGTTCTGCATCTGTCATGCTGTTGTTCGCGAGGCCATTTGCGGCGTGACCAATGCTGTATCCTAGGGACGACTGTACTGTGTAGAAAAGCTGCAAAGTCAAGCCCGGTCAGCGATCGCCCAATAATATGACAAGCAACTTCCAACGATAATCATCGTAGTGCCGCCTAAGAGAAAAGGGGCCGACGAACAATGGCGAGCCACATCAGGTAGTCGTCAGCTCGAAGGTTTCGAACCCCGACAGCCCGAATGCGAGCGTACGTCCTCAATATCGTGGACATCACTCCAACCGCATAGAGGGTCCATATCTCGATTGTTAGCTGGCGAAAAGCCTCGATGGCCGCAGCTGCTGCCGCATCTGACGCCGCATCACGGGGGTTCATGGCGATATCTCAACGAGTGAGTGATGCACGGCAAGATGGTGTGGAGCCACACCAGTATACGACCTCTTAAAGGGGATGCACAGAACTTAATTCAAGAAAGAATAAAAAAGCAACTAAGAACAGCGTTGGAGGAGGGCGAAGTAAGGAGAGCCAAGGAAAGATGTGACAGGAAGTTCTTCGTGTGTAAAGGGACTAACTCCCTTTGCCTCCGTCACGGTCAACGCGATCCAAGTCAGACATCAGACACCGAGCCATGGCGCCGAACGGTGGTTAAAAAACCTCACCTATGCACATTCAGGCCCTTGCCCTGATCTGAAGAATGCTTGGACTCTGCTCGTAGGTGCAGAAAAGATGTGGATGGCAAGTGAGCACCGAGGTCTAGCGCAGCAGGCATCTCCACTACTCCATAAGCACATACGCGTTGATCAGCTGTCCATGGATCGATACACTATCTTGGAAACAGTAAGTCTCCTGGAGAACGCAGTGGGTGTGGTCCACATGGTTGAGATCTTTTGACTCTACCTTCTCGCGAGATTGGTGGTGGCGCCCGCAGCTCATCCATGAAGTGGCTGGTCGAAGTCCGTTGCAAGTTGAGAGCAAAAGACTGACATCGAGCGATCCTTGGTTAAATCTGAACAACCTTTACATACTGGCCGATGGAGTCGTTGCCACCTCGAGACCAAGTTATTTGCAGTCTTTGATGTCTTCCGTGCGTCCCATCGGCACTTGGCTCCGAGTTGTCGGCCAAGAACACACGGGCTCGATGAGTTCTCACATGCCAACGACACTCATCTTTACGGATGGCCGGAAAGGTCGAGTGCCTGTGCGGCACTTCAAAAGCCATGATGAAAGCTGGATATCCATTCGCGGGCTGTCAAACTCATTCTGGCTAGAGCCTTGGGCTAGGCCATCATACGGATGAGTCCGGGACCGCTTTTAGGGCCAGGCACACATGCGGCCCTTTCCAATAGTTCCCAGGCTAACTTCTTCCATCGATGACAGATGCGTTAGGTAGATGTCCGTGAATTAGACCGACGGTGAAGCACTGGCGTCGTCGTATCTGCCAGATCCTCCTAGGTAGAATTTGGTTGGTGTGTTATACAAGTCAGGAAGGAGTGAAAGAGAGGCTTCCTTTAACGGATTTTCACTTTTTCTACGTGTACTTGATCGCATATTCTTGGATCTAAGGATGTGTTTACCACTATAAACGGTTACTCTTTATATAATAATAAAATCACTATGACTAAATCACCACTTTGTTGTAGGTTTATTACTTAATGGCTTCAGCCTTAGCGTTTTTTACTCTCTAAGGAACAATCGGAATCACCGAAGCCAAGACTTGGCTCCCTCCCTCGCATCTCTGCGTGCTTACTTGTGCTCGTTGTAAACAACGGGGGCGTAGAAGCTGAACTTGCCTTCTGGATCGTACTTCTTTTTCAGGGTCTTGAGACGACACTGCCTCCAATTTTCGTTTCCGTAAATCTCCTGTTGTGTCTCATCGCCAAACGAGTAGTTGATATAAGTGCGCAGGAGATCTCTGCCGGTAGCTTGGTGAAGGATATTGCGAAGCTTGTTTCCAAACTTGGTAGCCTGCTCATCCAGTGCTGAGCCATTGGGCGTGTAGGAGAGGAGGGGGGCAGCGAGAATGCTCTCGGAGCGGAAGGCAAAAGCGCTGGAGGCAGCACTGATGTCCTGGACGCCCTGGACAGCGTAGCTCTCGAACATGAAGAGAGATCCGTTGAAGGCAGAGGAGCCGCTGGTAACCTCGGCGAATGCCTCGTAGACCTTCTTCTGGGCAGCAACGTTGTAAGAATCGAGGTAGATGGGGAAGCGGGGGTTGTTGGTGCCAAGGTCAAGGCAGGGCTGCGAATCCATGGCGATATTGGTCCATTTCGCCAGGTCGCGGTATGTTCCAGTCTGGGGAGTGGCGACGATGGGCCCGATGTCGTAGAATGCTTGCGAGTAGGCAGAGTCGACGGCATTGACACCTTCCTGTATCAGGTAGAAAATGATAACAGGCTGCAGAAGGCACGAAGTTGATCAGTAAATACGAAGCGGAATCAAACAGGAACCAGATGAGCGTTTACTTACGTTGACAGGGTCAAGATCTGAGCTGCGAAGCCAGTACGACCAGTTGTGGACGTCGGTAGCCTGCTTTCCATTCTTGGGCAGGAACTTGTTGGCGGCCTCGTAAACAGCCTCGACCTTGTCGCCGCTGAAAATGAAGGTGACAATGGACCAGTTGGTGTGCTGGATGTCGTAGATCTTGGAGGTGAGCGAAGTGACAATACCAAAGTTGTGGCCGGCACCCTTCATCCCCCACCAGAGATCTGAGTTTTCGTCAATGGTCTTGATGCTACCGTCGGCGAGCACGACGTTCATTGAAAGGAACTGGTCAGCGAGGAGGCCGTGGTGGCCCTGAAGCCAGCCGTGGCCGCCACCCAGAGCAGGGCCAAGGTAACTGACACATTCGCAGGTGCCAGTGACGGTTTGCTTGCCAGCGGCCCAGAGAGTGTCGGTAACCACCTTGGAGTTGATTCCTCCTCCGACAGTGACCGACTTACCGTCGGTGGCAATCTGTATGCTGTTGAGCTGCTTCAGGAAGATCTCGATGCCATAGCTCATGCTTCCCAGAGTGGTGGTGGCACCGTGATGGCCATTGTACGCGAGGAAGGGGATGTTTTGCTTGTTGGCGAACTTGATCTAACCAATTGAGCATGCACGTTAGTACTGGAGGGTGGTAAAGGGGCAGTGACTGTGAGAGTCTGGGATCCTACCGTCTCGGAAACATCCTGCTCTGTACCAGGCACAACAACCACATTCACAGTGGGAGCGTGCAAGTTGGACCAGCGGACGGAAGCCTCGACAAACTCGGTCGAGCCGGGGAAGTAGATCTTAGCTGTGGGAGAGAGCTTGTCCTGCAGCTGCTGCATCTCTTCCATCGATCGAGGGCAGATCTGACTGGCGACATCGCGGATGGCAGGGATGGACAGTGCTGCAGCACTCCAAGCCCAGACCGACACAGCGGCAATGACCTCCTTGGTAGATACTCGCATCCTCACTCTACTAGATAACGAGGAGAGCTAAACAAATGTGCCCGGTCAGAATGCCAACAGTTGCATTCCAGTGATGCAATGGGTAAATGAGAGGAGTAAACAGAGGGAGGAAACAACAACAAGGCTAGCTACAGCTCTCAGTAGCACCGTTATGGCTAGTATAATGTCCAACCTTCTCGTAGCTCAGTGGAATACATGGTACATGATGTGTGTCCAGGTCCAGGAGGGAGGAAGCCCAAACATCTCCTAGTCCCGTCGTCTCCGAGGATGAGACATTAGAACCGGGCTGATTATGGGACGCTGCGCATGAAAAATCACCACTAGCTTACTTGGCCTAATCTCAAGCGTAGGCTTTCGCATAATCAAGTTCGTAGAGCAGGAGAAGCAAGCTTGTGAGCACTGTCGTGTCCTCGACACTTTTGCTCAGCTGAAGTGGAGGAGGCTAAAATAGCACTGCGGCGAGGGATGTTGGCTAACAAGGAGGGTCTCACCAGTCTCCGCCTGGCTAAGACGGCGTACACGGGTGGACTTGCTCGTCCATGTGTGTAACTCGTCGAGCCTATCAGCTCGTGGTTGCTCTCGGCATTGGGCGAGGACTGGCGGATCCCCCGGGCTTCGAAACTGTGTGAAATGAGGGAGGGATTTCCTGATCCGATCGATCTTCAGAACGATTCAGCTCAATGCGTCCGAGCAGCTCCATGAAGTTAGAGGGATGCATGGGATCCGTCCATCCAAGAGCCCACCAATTCGTCGATTCGTGTGCGTCTCCAGGATTTCCTCCCCGTGCCCTTGCTTTCCACCTAAGTAGGTGACTAACATGTTCCCCGGCTTGAGACACTTTCCATGGGAATATAGCTGCTAATGTCATTGGCAAGCGTGAAGATTCAGGGATGAGTGAGTGCTGTCATCCACCTCAGCTAGGAGTTGTCCCGGAAGATCGTGATACGTGGTAGCGGGAAAGTGCCGGCAGGGTTCACTAGTTCGGCTTATGGCTACTGACGCACCTCTGGTTCTCGGGAGTTCAGGACCGGGCGGCTGTTTGTGAACTCAGTTCCTGATCGTCGTTCGTCTCCATCGTCGTCCCTTCAGGGTGGCGGCGGGAGATCATCACCAGCACTCACGAGGATCCCCATTCTCATCAATGCCCACAGGTTGTTTTATTCAAACAGAATCATGATTTTGAAGCTATTGTATTGGGTATGTTTGGTGCGATTTTAATTATACCATAGTCAAGCCTTCTCAGTATGAGTACCGGCACCCCTGACCTTACGAGTATTCAAGCACGCGAAGAGCAAACAATATAAATGCCTCCTGCCTCTCCGGGTCAAAAGAAGTGGCATAGAAGGCAGTCCCTTGCGTGTCACCCTTTGAGGCCCTTGGAGAAGGTGGAGTTACGAGGAGATGCCAGCCGCATCTGGCCGGTTCCTGGCGGCCTGAATCTGATTGATGTGGACCACGTCGATCCACATTCCACCAGAGTTTTCCACGGCTTGTGAAAGACCTTTTGAAATTTTCTATCCTTCCCATTCGCCTTTTCGGGGAAGTTCAAACCCGTGTTCGTTTGCATGTGCGAAGGCGAGATGTGGTAAGTGGGCAGAAGGCATCTTGCACCCACCCAAGTGGGTGACATGGGAATTGAGACACTCAAGCATTAAAGTTGTTTATTCTCGAGCCTGCGACCGGTATTGTTAGACTCCTAAGAGCTCATAATATACATTTCAGAGATAATATAGCGTATTTTGTTACTTCATCTTGATCTAAGCTACTAAATTCCTCGACTTAATTGTAGAAAGTGGTATATTTATAACCAGCTCTTCCATTAGGTGCCTCATTTCTCCTGTCACCCCCTTGCCACCATCGAAGCTGGAGTGGTGTGCCATATTTTATGCCAGTCGCCATGGGAAAACAAATTGATTCTAGCCTGGTGTAGAAATAGAGCACTAAACCGGGGACGCATGATCTGGCCCTCTCAAATCTGGGAATTTTGATATCCTCTCGGCAAAATTTCCATTGACAAGGTAAATGCAATCACGTCGGCTTCAGCCTTGGCTGGTATATCTCCTCCTTTCTCCGCATTGGAAAGCCCAAGAAACCTTATATAGAAAGAGATTTACGTCGCAAAAGTAAATAGAGTAAGATAAAGGCAGTTGGTAGACCTTTTGGGGAAGAGAAAGACGACTGAAGGACCATGTGCTACCTCTATTAGCATCATCTATTGCAGCTGCGACAGTGGGCATGCGATGACAGATAAGAAAAGAAGCGAAACGTTTGATGAAGCGAGGCTCCAGTCATATGTGGACCAGATATGTATGCAACTCAGAAAGATCGTCCAAGATCAGCCAGGACCCTTTGTCTTCAAAACTGCACAACTTTTCATGTTGTTTATGTTTCGATGAAGTAGGCCGCAGGCCAAAGCAGCCTTTTGCAAGCCACTGCATCTCCCTTTTCTCCGTTTATAAGTCTGATGCAAAGGCTGATTTGAAGATCTGATCTCATTCTCGATTCATCATTCCTTTGCATGTAAGCACCCTCGTCAGATTTTGATCTACCGCCGTCAAAACTCACAGGAATCACATGATGCCAGTGCATGTGAAAGGACCTCGATGCTTTTCTGATGATAGAACAAAGCTCGTGAGGTTCTCTGCGCCATCAATTTTGACATTGCCCTCTAAACATGAGAAGATCTCACCATTTGTCTAGAGACAACCATGCGACAACAGCTTGTCGCATGAGGTTCAATCCCAACCACCATTCACTTGCATGGAGACACCTTATTGACCAAGGCACCTGAAGATCTAGTCGCACATATAGATGCAGGCAATTGAAAGTTACTGATTAGGTCATTATGCTCATGTTTCTGTATTTTTTTGGTCTTTCTGATCTCTCTAGGAGCTATGTATGTCTACATATATAAATACGCGAGGAACCGACTAACTGTTCTATATTTTAAGGTAATTTCTGCAAGGCTTGGGACAATCAGATGACGTTCTTAAGAGCTTGGCCGGCCAAGAATCTTCTCAGGTTGTAGGTAATCAGAGCCTCGGCATCCTGGGGCCTGCCGCCAGCAGCATGAGGCGAGACGACAACGTTGGGGGCCTTCCAGAGGCGACTGCTCTCGGGCAGAGGCTCGGTCTGGAACACGTCGAGGGCAGCGCCGCCAATCTCGTTCTTCTCCAGAGCATCCACGAGAGCATCCTCGTCGATGGAGGTGCCGCGGCCGACGTTGACGACCCAGGCGTGGTTGGGGAGCAGCTTGAGACGCTCGGCGTTGAGGGCGTTCTTGGTGGAGTCGGAGCCGGGCAGGATCATGACGAGAGCGTCAGTCTCGGGCAGCAGCTTGGCGAGGTGGTCCTCGGAGTAGACCTCGACGCCGTCACGGACGCCGGTGGAGCGGGCAACGCCCTTGACCTGGGCGCCGAGGGTGGTAAGGCTGGGGACGAGGCACTTGGCAATGTTGCCGAAACCCCAGACGAGGACGCGGGCATCGCGCAGGGTGGTGAAGCGGTCCTTGGGGCGGTCGGGCTGGGGGCCGCCCAGGTGAGCGGGCCACTTGTTCTGGAGCTGGTAGTCACGCATCTCGTAGAAGCGGCGAGCGCCGTTGAGGAGCAGACCGAGGGCGTGCTCGGCGACGGTGCGGTCGTGGAGACCGGAGCCGGTGGTGACTGTGATCTTGGAGGTGTCGAAGCCGGCGTTGAGGACGTCATTGGGGCCGGCGGCCAGGGACTGGATCCAGCGCAGGTTCTTGAGGTTGGCCTGGAGGTAGCGCAGGTTGTCGGGGGTGTTGGTCCATGTGACGAGGATGGCGGCATCGTGGTGCTCAGCAGGAATCTCGGCGGCCTTGACGTCGTAGGGGACGAGCTGGACCGAGTAACCCTCGAGGGAGGCTACATCGAGGACGAGCGAGGTGGGATAGAGAAGCTTCGTCATGTTGGCGGCTGTGATAATTGATCGCTGTGTGGGTTTGGTGAGGATGGTGTGAAGGGGCAATTGGGGAGCGCTGGTTCCAATGCCGTTGGTTGTATTACGAAGACGATGGAAGGCACGAAGAGAAGAGTATGAAGGAGAAGCAGAGAAAGAAAGAGCAGGTCTACATGACGCAAAGCAGCGACGAGATGGGTTTATGAGGCGGGATGTCGACATTTGTGGGGGAGGGGGAGGGGCATCCGTCTCGGGGTTAAACGTTGCGATGCCGAGTTCGGGGCTGGAGGAGTGGACGATTTAATGTTAGCTCGCGAGGAGCAGTGGGTGGGCAGTTGGCATCGCCGAAAAACAAAACAGAGCACGACAGATGGCGGATCGAGAGTGGAGGAGTGGAGGCGAGGAGCGCACCAGGAGGTCTGGAGAGAGGCCAAAAAGGAAGCCAACGGGGGAGGTCCGAGTAGAGGAGCTCCTCTGGGCTGGAGGGTTGGCGGCCAGTGGGCTGCTTTAGGGGGCAACCGCCCAGTAAGATGCCTGAACGGAGCGCTGTGGTGGCCGTTGGCGTTGAAAAGGGAAATCCTCGGCGACGGAAGCCCTACTGAGCCATTCCCTAGGCCGCGAGCCTGTGTCTGCTTGCCATTGCCTGCAGCGGTCTTCCTACTCAATGGCTCTACATAAGTAATTAGAAGGTGACTAGTTGTAGGTGTTCGATTGAGCTGGATCGAACCTAGGTAATATGCCGTCCTGGCCAGCTTCGTTCTGGGCGCGTGCTGCGAGGTGCAGCCGTCAGACGCCGATAACAGCCTGCTCCTCCTCCGCAGCGGGGTTGCAGAGGGCAGGGCACAGTTATCCGGCACATTGGAGCGGTGCGGAATTGGTGGGAATTTCTCCGGGCCACGACCGGCTTAAAATGGCAAACTTCGGAGAATGGGTGGACAGGCAGGCCTGGGTAAGGTTCCTGATCTGCAAATCCGCCGGTGTCAACGAGTGCGATCTCGGGATGTCACTGTATCCTGGTCCGATCACGCAACGCGCCCGCCGAATCTCAACATCCAGACGCGGTGCATCGCGAATGAATGACTGGCTGCACCTAGACTGGGTCACATGATGTTTCATCCAACACAAGATATGTCTTCCCACCAACTTATCTAGCTCTCTTCTCGAAACTTTCTACCTCCATGACTCTTCAAATGCCGTTCACACGCCAAGCCATGGAGCCCAGTCTAGTATCCCTCCTCTGCGAAGAGATCGCCGCGTTCCTCGCATCCAGGTCAGTCCCATGACAGCGCAATACGAGAGTCTGGCCAGGTCAGCATTCCACGAGCATACGATGAGTTTCGATCCGATTGGGCCCTCCCGCAGCTTCATCATGGCCCTTTCTGCTCCTTTCACGCCACCAAGCGACTCAGCTCCTGCACGCATTTCACCCCGGCGGGGGAGGGGGGACCAGGGAGGGGCCGCTACGGTCTCGGCAGCCTCACCACCACATCCAACACGAGGGATCTGCAACACGGGCTCAACGTTTACTGGGCAGCCCTATCGCAAAGTTCTCAGATTCGGCACTTCGTATCTGGCCGTGCTTATAGTCTATTCCCCTTCTTGCTATTCTGTGACGAAATTGATCCTTTTGCATCTACCAGCTTGTAGACCGGTCAGCTGAGCTGATGACGAGAGGAATGCATGCTGAGAGGCGCTTGCAGCTTACTGCGTGATGTCCTTCATGCGGCATCGTGAATACCGTAGAGACGAGAGAGTGAAAAGTATATAAGTGAGGGTTTCTGGCGTGATTTGCTCCGAGGCAAACCGATATCCCAGGCTCGTACACCAGTCAAACCATCAATCACCAGCTCTTGGAACAGTAATATCTTACCCATCATTTCAAACAAAACTACCAGACTTATTCATCCCATAAGCCATCATGATGAAGTTCTCCCTCTTCTTCATTAGCCTCTCGCTTACCAGCGTCCTCGCTCGTCCCTCCCTCGAAACCCGTAGCGCACCAGTCCAGGTCGCCCACTTGACCTTCCACGCTGGCCCGGCATCCTATGACCTTGCCGTCCCTGCTGATGGCACCGAGGTCTTCACCAGTATGGGCCGCTCTTCTTCAGTTATCCCGTTGCATTTTCATTCTTCGTTGCGTTGATGTCACTGACTCGATACACTATAGACAGTGACCTCTCCGTGAGCATCATTGATGCCCCCGACTACAACGCCGGCACTCAGTGCTTCTTCAAGACCGACGGTGAGAAGACCATCGTGCACAGCATTGACACATCGGACGGGAGCCAGCATCTTATCATCGGCCCTCCCCAGCCCGTCCGAAGTGTAACGTGCCAGGGCATGTGCGTGCCAACATACGGTTAGTTTCCCTCCTCGCATCCGCAGGGCGCAGAGCCTGAAGAATCCGTGGAAACAAAGAGAAACTCTTGACATTAGAGCTTGAGCTGACCTGCTGTGATATAGGGGAATGTTATGGATCAGATGGACAGTATATCGGGCCATGCTGCAATGGCTTCTGCGCTGCTACGCGCTGCCGACCATGGAACATTGGAAACTAGGCGGTCGGTCTAAAGTCTTTCATCGGTATCACTAACTGACAAGTATCGCTCTGGTATCGATCACGGCAACTTTTCCCAAATAGTGCTCATATTAAATTCACAAGTTCAATCTAAGCTATTATCCTTAGCCTGCTATCCGTTATTCCACCCAGCGAGAGTGCTTGTTCGTGATGGTGCTTGTTCATAATCTCATAATACATTTAGGTTTTTAAAATATGTGCCTTTCAAGGCAACTCCAATCATGATTCACGATGAAACAGATACAAATGTCCCCCTTTACTCACATGTATGCTTCCGTAGCCAATAAATTTAGATGCTGAATGAAAAAGTCATAGCGGGTCATAGAATTGAGATGAGTTGCGAGTCTACCCACCGCATGCGTTTAATTTCAAAATCCTCAAGAATTCTCGTATTGTTGTTTTTGCAACTGAAGTGGCTTCATATATTAGTGCCTGCCACCATCCCCACCTTGTTTCTGAGCAATGATGCCATCAACCAAGGCGGCACTCAGAGCTGCTGTAGCAACCTTGGCACCTTTCGGCCCCATCCACGGGCCTTGCTCATCCTTGTTGCGGAGCGCAGCCTGTGCGCCGGCCGTGAAGGCATAACGAGCACCAGCTTGTAGCATTGGGTTCTGCCACCATGGGTTTCCCTTGTTCTTTGGGCTTGCTGGTACCGACTTTCGCCGGCTCGTGGGGGCTTCTTTGGAACGGGAAGAGCCGTGGTCATCCGGGCGGCCGCGCGAGGGCCTATCAAAGTCGTACTTGGGCCGCTCATGAGAACGAGCTCTCCGAGGAGGTGGTGCACCGTAGTGGTCATCGTAGTCTCTATAGTGACCGCCCTTTGACCTCGGCATAGGCGGCTCGTGTCGTCGTGGTCTGGGTTCGGGGGAAGGGGAGGGCCTTCGGTGATGTCTGGAGGACCGTGGCTCAGGCTCGGCCCGGTATTTCTTAGATCGGCGGTCGGACTTTCGATCTTGAGAATAGCCCGGAGCAGGGTAGGAATCGTATGGCTCTCTTGTTGGAGGTGGCATGGACCTTCTCTCATGCCGACGAGAATGGTGTTCCCGATCTCTATCTTCGTCACGGCGGCGGGAACGTTCGGTTTCCCGTGAATAGGAAGGGCTCGTCGGGTCATGTGCTGAGTGCTTCTTGCCATAGTAAGGGTCGTGCACTATCTCGGGGCGGTCCGGGCCAGGATCTCTTCGACTCCGACGCCGAGATGGTTTCTCGTAGGCATCATCGTAAGCATCCGCGGGAGCCCGGCGATGTTCAGACTTGTGGCGTCTCGAGGGGCGCCCCAAGTCATCACGGTGGCGATGAGAGCGCGGGGGAGAATCTGAGTCGTAGGCTTTTCTGTCACCGTAGTACTGGCTAGGGTCATAATAGCCGTCTGCAAGACCACCATTGGGAGGGTAGTCTCTCCCGGATCGATATGGTACAGACATTGGCTGGGATTGGTTGGTATTGTTTGCAAGGCGTAGTAGTATTGTGCGTCTTGGCGTAGAGGTGTGTGGTATTTATTGCTGGCCAAGGTTACCTGGATGGGTACAAGGTTGGAGGGCCAGTGGTAGTAGCTGGCGAAGATGGAGAGCAAAAAGCAAAAAGCAAAGAGGCGGGATGTGCGGTCCGTCCCTAGGCGTCGATTATATATGAATGGATTTATGGAAGAAGGAGGCAACCAAGCAAGGGTATGCTGGAAGGAGCAGTGCAATTGTGAGAAGGGACTGGGCTCAAGGGGGGGATCGGAGAGAGTGCATTAGGCTTTAAGCTGTTGGCGGGGGAAAGCAAGAGGGATGGAAGGTGTTGGCAGAAATAGAGACATGGCGTTGAATGAATGCATCATGATGGTAGCAGGGCCTGCAAGACATCACCGCCCAGGCCAGGCAAGTGCCGATGCAGGCGGGCTCAGGTGCTGCAGCTGCGCATTTCAGGGTCCAGCTTCCCCAAGCAAAAAGGCAGGAAAGTGGCTCGTGACGTCAACACGGGCCAATGGCGGGGGCCGGTCGCGTTCCAGACGCCACTTTTCGACGTACGTGGTGACCACTGAACCAGCGGTCCGGTGAGGACGAAGGAGCGACCTGGTTAGCTGACGTCAATGGAGGGGGGCTGTCCCACGTCCCAGCAGCCAGGCCATGCACGTCGAAGTCATTTTCCACATTCCCAGATGACCTCGGTGCTGCTGTGCTGTTTCATGCCGCCAGCTACAGGCTGCCAGTAGGCCACAGCAGACCGCCTACCTGAACCAGCCCCGGTTTCCTGCTTCCGCCTTTTGCGACCGCACACGCATCATCATCGGTGGGCTCTCAGCCATCCGTCATCGCAATCGAGGATTCTAGGAGCTGGCCGTTCCATTCCTGTCCATTGCCCTCTGCCACATAGGACCACCGAATCAGCAGCAAAAGATGTGTTACGGCGCCCAGTGCATCCGCCCGCTTCACATCGAGCAGTCCCTTTGTTCTAGATGGGTGGTATTGGTGTCGCATCAGCCTAATGACACTTACACGCCACAATGACCAGACCATGTGTATGACCTCGAGTTGCCTGTCTGACATGACCTCGGCGAGCTGACACAGCCATCAAGCATGAAATCGCCCTTTGGTCCTTGGGCGTTCTTTTGTCCCGTTCATGTGATATGTGATGAAGATTTGCAACCAGGGCTTATACGAAGTGAAGATGGCTGGAAAGACTTGCGCTCGCGCGTGCCCGTTCACGCAAAAGCCGAGTCCCGCCGACAGTGTAGGGGTAAAACCTCACCAAACATGCCGCTGCGACACGGCGCAAGATCTCTCCCTATTTCCTTCTCAGATAGACAAGCTCTGTGGTGAAAGATGTCATGCGGCAGCCCCAACAGCCAGTGCCAACCTACCACCTCTTTCAATAATGGGCCATGATGATGAAGGAGAAAGTGATGAACATATTGTATAAGAGCAGCAAATAAAATTCAGCGCATGGTGATGCAGAGACCCAGTATCAGCTAGAGGATTACGTCGTTCAAACTAGCTTCGCCGCGTGCACACGTAGCAGTGCTCGATTGGGTGATCTGCACGACTGGTTCCTTAATGAACATGCTCGAGGGGAGATGTAGGCCACGATAAGAGGTTACAACCCTATTGCATGATTGTCGGTCAACCAAAGGTGTAACCCCCGGTTTGGGGGACGGTCAAGATCTTGGAGATCAGGTTGCAGCCACCCACCAATGAAACACAGAACTCATCAGCACCTAAACGTGCCCCCGATCTAGAGCGATCTACCCCATGGATTATTTACTACGCCGTCTCCGAGCACCGACAAGAGAAGCTGGAGAGTGGGAGGCAAGTAGATGGGCCATGTTCTATTTGTGGATGCACAAGCATAAACCACAGGACCATCGCTGGATTAACATTCACTGCCCTGCATCATGACAAGAACGACGTCTAAGCATGCCCATAGCAGAGGCTTCATTAACGTACGTAGCCGGAGCTTTGAACAAAAATGGGTAGAGCAGAGAGGGTGCATCCGTCCTGTCTCTGCCATGCTGTGCCTGTGTCGTGCTGCGTTGTGCTCTGCTGCCAGCAGCTGAGACGATTTTTGGCAGCACCATCATGAGGGACGGACTGGAGGAGGACCGACATAGACTGCGATTAATACCGCGGACCCGTCGCATCGTCCCTAGATAGTGCAGCTAGGGCCGGCCATTAAAAGAAGATTAGATATTAAAAATAGGAATTACAACGAGTAATGATCGTGACTACGCGAGTCCGCGGGATGCACATAGCTGATGGATTATGGCGCGCGCCACAGACGGGGACAGGCGGCCCAGTGGCTCAAACCGCCATCCAGGAGCCGTGCCACTGCGATCCCCACGGCAAGCCGGGCGCGCATCCAGCCCTCCTCAGCAGCTGCTTGTCAAACAGACTGAGTGTGATTTCAGGATGGCCGAGATAGACGGCCAGCTCCTATCGTGGCCGGCATCGACGGAGACGGCCGACACAGTCTGCGGCTGCAGAAGCTGATCTAATGAAGGACGACGAGTGACAGCAGCAGGTCAATGGCACAGATAAGAGCTGGAGATTATTGCCCCAAAGTAAAAGGAACTGCCGGCTCACCCTCGAATCAGGCAAGATTCGAGAAGTAGCGGATCGGACCAGCAGGGACTAGCAGTGAAGCGGAATAGACGGCAGGAGCAACCACCAGAAACAGACGCGCTAGAGGAGCAGGAGCAGAACCAGCGAGTAAATGGGCTCGAAGATGGTCCTGACCTTATCTCAGGCTCCATCCCACCCATCCCCCTCATCCCCGTCCTCGTCGGTTGCACCCCTGCGCATGCCGTGCCTTACATATCATATCGTACAGTGTCCGGCCCAGCCTGAAGCCAGCCAGCTGGAGTCTAGGTCAACGCTGCCACCGCGCCAGCTGCAGCCAGACGGCCATGACCGCCGCCGCCTCTGCAGCCACGAGATGGCTTGTTTGAACTGCGAGCACCGCATCGGACGTCGCCCCAATCCGACCCAACGAGGTCCCCCCGCGTCCATCTCGTACAGTTATCAGCTCCGGCTCTAGGCACCGTGGGACTTCTGGGGTTGGTGAGATGGATTGGACAGGGCATCCCACCAGCTACTTATCTGGTCTCCGGAGCTGGAGTGGCCAAATGAACGGACCGGGGTCGTCCCCATGCCGTCAACCCAATGGGTTCATTTCCAGCATGCTTCTTGTGCGATATGGTATCCTTCTGGCCATGATACGGTACACGGGGACGCCCATAGAGGACTAGACGAGTTGCAAACCGCAACAGGTATAAGTAATTGCATCGATCCGCGGATGAGGAGGCTCGATGTGATGCACTGCGCTGCTGCATGTCCCGAGGCACACACTCACTAACACATTGCGTTTGCTCTTGGCCAGCCAGCGAGTCCTGTTCTCAAGTCATTCTCACCTGGCTCTCATCGTGCTCTCACCTCCAGCCCTGGCGTATCGACAAAAGTCTCCATACCTACACATACGAGTGCCTATATCTAGGCAGAACATCCCACTTTGCTTGGAATCATCAGAGCCCAAGGTCTTTTCTCTGCAACACCCTCATCGTGTGCTGTTATCATCGACCCATCGTGAGTATAGGACCCTCGAGACCTTCACTCTCATCGCTCGCCTTCTCTTTCTCTCATCTCCTTCTCTCACTCCCTCCCCTGCCGCTTCGAATTCGCCCCCTCCCAATCTCCATATCAGTCAACCCACACTCCTCCACCCACTATCTCTATCTACAAGTGGTATGTAATAGCATTACCCTCTATCCCCGTTCAGTACCCACCTCCGTCCCGGCAGCACGAGTCACTTTTTTTTTTTTTTGCCGAACTTCGATTCGCGCTTCAAAAGCCAACCGAAAAAACAGGGTCTCCCGCTCCACTAAAAAACTCCTCGAGTCGCCTCACGCGCGCGCATCGAAAGATCTCTCGCTATTCCTCCTTGTCGCATTCTATGCTGCTTGCTGGGTTGACCTGATCCATTGTCATCTGCAGGGTCCATTCTATCCCGGTTCTCTTATTACCCGGCTGCTTCCTCTCCCTCTTGCTCTCGGCTTCTCCTCACCTCTCTCTTACCCCCCCTCCCCCACCATCGAGATCACCAAAACCGTTCCCAGGATTCCTTCGGCTCGACGCTCATTCACCATGGGGTGGGTTGAAAATACCAATGCGGCCGTTGCCAGGAGCTTCGTGGGCAGATATTTCCAGCTCGATGGCTCAGGTCATGTAAGTCAACTCGAACCAAGCCAATGCAAGCCACTCCGGCCAGACCCGCCCGCCCGTTCACTTGCTCGCCTCCTCCCATCGCGGCTGTGAATGAGTTGAACTGGTTTGGTTTGGGTTGGGCGGCCGGATGGCAAACGCAAACACCTTGCCGAGACACAGACAGGACTGACCAGAGGCCTCCTCTCTTCCCTCGCTGCAGCGCCGTGAACGCAAGGGCTCCTACTTCTTCACCGAAATCCGCGCCGGCCTCGCTACCTTCTTTGCCATGGCTTACATCATTGCTGTCAACTCCTCCATCATCGCCGACTCTGGCGGTACCTGCGTCTGCGAGTCCACCGAGGCCGATCCCATTTGCGAAGCCAACACCGCCTACCTCCTCTGCAAACAGGGTATCCGTCGCGATGCCGTCACCGCTACCGCTGCTATTTGCGCCTTGGCTACCTTCTGCATGGGTCTCTTTGCCAACATGTGAGTATCATCATGGGAGGAATGAAGAGGGATGCGCAAATCCATGAGATCCTAGAATTCTGACTTTCCTCCCCCACAGGCCCGTTGGTGTTGCTCCCGGCATGGGTATGTGATTGCCATCCACTGAAGCAAGAGCCGTTGACGAGATTGTCTGTCTCGTCGAGTTCCTGCATTGGTTCTCCTCCCATTCAAACTGCGCCATTGACTTACACGGCTCCTCCAGGTCTCAATGCTTATTTCACTTACACTGTCGGTATGGGCACCCACTTAGATCTCACCTATGTCTCACCTTATTTCCTTCCCATTGAGACGTGGTCGCAATAGCGAGAAAGAAGAAAAAAGATTAACCCGTCTTCTAGTTGGCTATCACGGCACCGGTGCCGTCCCCTTCCGCGTCGCATTGACCGCCATCTTCATTGAAGGCTGGATTTTCTTCGGTCTTGCTCTCTTCGGTATGCGCCAATGGCTCGCCCGCGCCATCCCTGCCTCCATCAAGGTCGCTACCGGTGTTGGCATTGGTCTCTTCCTGACCCTCATCGGTCTAACCTACAGTGAGGGTATCGGGCTGGTTGTCGGCGCTACCTCTACCCCCATGGAGCTCGCTGGCTGCTCCCCCGCGAACAAGAACGACGACGGAACATGTCCTGGCTGGGACAAGATGCGATACCCCTCCATGTGGATCGGTATCTTCTGCGGCGGCATTCTCACCGTCATGCTGATGCTGTACCGTGTGAAGGGTGCCATTATTGCTGGTATCGTGCTCGTCAGCGTCATCTCCTGGCCTCGTGGCACCCCCGTCACCTACTTCCCCTACACCCCCCTTGGTGACGACAACTTCGACTTCTTCAAGAAGGTTGTGGACTTCCATCCCATCGAGAACATCCTGGCGGTTCAGGAATGGAACATCTCCGAATACGGCGGCCAGTTCGGCCTCGCCCTCATTACCTTCCTCTACGTCGATATCCTCGACTGCACTGGTACCCTTTATGGAATGGCCCGCTTCGCTGGACTCATCGACCCCGTCACCCAGGACTTCGAGGGCTCTTCCATCGCCTACATGGTCGACGCCATCTGCGTCTCCATCGGCGCCATCCTTGGTGTTCCCCCCGTCACTGCCTTCGTTGAGTCCGGCGCCGGCATCTCCGAAGGTGGCAAGACCGGTCTCACCGCAATGGTTGCCGGTCTCTGCTTCCTCATCTCCGTCTTCTTCGCTCCCATCTTCGCCTCCATCCCGCCCTGGGCCACCGGCTGCGTGCTGATCCTTGTCGGCTCCATGATGGTCTCCTCAGTCACCGAAGTCAACTGGAAGTACATCGGCGACGCCATCCCGTCTTTCCTTACCATCGTTCTGATGCCCTTCTGTTATTCCATCGCCGACGGCCTTATTGGGGGCGTCTGCTCTTACATCCTCATCAACACCCTCGTCTGGCTGATCCGCCTCGCCTCCGGCGGCAGGATCGTCCCCGCCAACATCGAGGACAAGGAGCCTTGGACCTGGCGCATCCCAGGTGGCTTCTTCCCTCCCTGGCTCGTGCGCCTCTCCAAGGGTAAGAAGGACTTTTGGAAACAGGAAGACACCGATACAGAGACCGTTGTGCAGACGGCCGAGGGCAAGGAGAAGGGCAGCGTGTCCGATCAGGGCGCTGCACCTGAGCCTAGCCTCGCGGATCAGAGCAGGTCCAAGGAGGTCCAGTAGTTGGGGCGGCAGGATACAGCTTTGCGCTGTTGGGGGCTATTATGAGTGGCCTGAATAGGCCACGGTTCACACACAAAGTATACTCCAGAATATGTGGCTATGCGAAACATACGACATGATGAATGACGCACAATGATACCCTTCATAGTGCTGTCAGATTTGGTTTTAGAGAAAAGGTTTCGCAGGCTACAGTTAGTGTTCATACACGTAATACAAATCAGTTGAACTTATCTTGACAATGGGGGAACTGTAAGAGGGCGTGAGGAAATGTTGCCAGCTGCCAATCCTTGTGACATTTGATACATGTGGTATAATGTATTACTGATGCATACGCTCCATATGATTCCCATACGCTGATTCTGTGGTTTCATGGCATCTCGACAAATGCAGAAATATCAGATCATGTCATTCATTGTGTATCATCTCCCCACCTCGCTTCGTGGAGCCGTAGTGCCACCTGAAATGCCATGTCTCACTCACGCCATCAACGCGATGTGCTTCAGCTCGCTCTGGACCTGGTATCCAACCTTGGTGGGGGGATACTCGGCCTCCGCGCCTTCATCGTTACCCAGGCCGAGCTGCTCTGCCCTGACCTGCTTGGCCTTCTCCGCCAGCGCGGGGATGGGCGCCAGGTCAAAGTCCGAGTTGAGGTGCCAGAAGAGGGTGCTGGAGATGCGCACGAGGGGCCGGTCGGGGAACTCGGCCTTGCGCTTCTCGATGGTCTCGATGGTCCTGTCGTTGACGACGACCTCGTGGAACCCGGCCTTGATGAGCCCCCCCGTGAGGTACTCGATCTGCTTGCCGGCCTGGACGAGGAGGTTGTTGCCGGGGGGGATCTTGACGGCGATGCGGCGGCCCGTGTTGCGCGCCCAGACGTTCAGCCCGGGGTATCTGGAGCGGCCGTGGATGGTGAGGAAGTTGAGGTCGGTGTGGAAGCCGGCGAGGATCGTGTCTTTGGCGCCGTATTTTACGAGGTCGGAGGCGGTGGGAGCTAGGAGATGGGGTCTGCGCTCAAGGTTAGTTGGGACTGTTTTATTCTGGATCAATGAAGCGCAACGAACCCGTATTTCCCAGCCTCGGAGAACGCCTCCGGGGCAAGACCTAATCCAACGGCGGCCATTTCGGCAAGTCTCGAGCATCTAGACGAAACGATGATTAGCAACACAGTTAAGGTGTGACAATGGTCCGGAGGGTGGTACGAACGAATCCTTCATGGCAGACCCCCATTTGTTCATGGAGGGTTCCCATCTCTCCTTAATGTGATCTGCCTGCGGGACGACATTTGGCGCATTCAGCCCGGGGAAGACGGTCTCGTACGGAGGAAGCTCGGCCATCCGCCAGAAGAAGCGGCACTTGGGGTCGGGCGAGTGGGCGCTGATGTCCAAAGGTCTCTGGTCCGGGTCCAACCTCTTGATCACGTCCAGGCAGGGCTCGTCGACGGCGCACTTTGGCTTCTCTGTGTTGTCGAGGGTGACGCCGACCTGGTAGCTCAGCTCGGGTCGCTCGTCCTTCTGCAGCAGCTCGGTTGGCTGGGCGAAGTAGTCTTCGAGGAGGTCGAGGAAGGAAGTGTTGTCGGTCTCGGAGACGCGGGAGTCGTGGAGGACCAGGGCGCCATAGGTGATGAGAGCATCGGCTGCTCGGCGGCATTCCTCTTGCACCGCGGCTGAGTCGAGGGGGTTGTTGAGGTAGACATCGAGGTCGATGACGGGAAGGTTCATGTCCGGCATGTTGACAGTTTCGGGGGCAACTGGGAGAGCTATAAGAGGATAAAAGTAAATAATTAGATGGTATAAGATCCGAGTTCACGATGGGAAAGCATCAAGTCGAATTTAGTAGCGGAGGAAAGTGAAGATGAAAATAAGAAAAATTGAAAATAATTTAACCCCGCCAAGAACTAACTATAGAATCAAAAAGGAAGGAACACAAAGAAAAAATTAGTGCTTGCTGCATAGAGTCAAGTGACAGAGCTCCCATATTGTTGTGCAACTGCAACGGTCAGAAGCCTTCATCTCTGATGAGGGGGCGGGGTACTTTTGCATACCAAATCAGAACTAATCCGCCGTCTTTCAGTGGCTACGCTAAATTTTTCGGCCCAGATGCCTGAGCTTGGACTTGGCATCGTCGGAACTGCCCGATGGCCCTTCGGAGACGCCCTATCAGAGAAGAGTTCTAAATCCCATCGTCTGAATTCTGCCTTTGAGTAACAGATCAATCTTGAATTGATCTAGATTTGAGGAGAGGGGGTTTCGAATCATCGCAAATAAGAGCCAACGAGGTGGGCGTCCCTCCTTCACCTGATGATCAGCTCTTCGAGCAATGGTCATGTGTGACAGTGGTGGTTGGATTAGCGCAACGGTATCTATGTAATTAGTATATCTACGATACCTTGAAGATTAATAGAATGATGCAAATTAATTGTGATCTTCCTTAGATTCAAGAATTAATCAGGGCTCAGGATCGAGTTAAGACTTCGCGTATGCTCCCGTCGTTGGTCAGGAAAATTCCGTTTATAAGATAGTAACCTCATTCTTCAAACTCTGTAAAGAGTTTTGTGGTGTTATGGTGAGCTCAAACATGTCGAAAGCCATCCCAGTATCATGGTCTTGGATTCAAAATCCCGAAGATGGAAAGCTCATAAATCTCAACAGCTGGTCAACTTACGCCAACCCATCAAGAACAGAATCTCGATTGGTTCAGGATTACTTGTCCCAAACCGGATGCGCTAGCATTGAACAACAAAAAAGATGGTCGGTATTCGATATATGTAGTTTGAAGATGCTTTTTGTTTTTTTCAGCGGACAACACGGAAAAGAACAGGACGCCCAGTCCCTCAAGGCTATACTCCCCGAAGATCCCCTCTCCCAATGCTGTACTATACATAGTTCGACAAGTCGGCCTCTCTATGCCTTGGCCTGGCGCTCCGCCTCCAGCTCCCGCTCCGCCTGCTGGTAGTACTTGGCGGTATCAACACCGTGCTGGTTGTGGTTGACGAAGTTGAACCACGGCACAACGCCCATGAAGAGCGCTGAGTATCTGCTCTGGCGGGCCGCAACGCCCTGCATGTGGGGAGTCAACTTGCTCTCGCCGTATAGCGTCTCTCCCTTCTTGACCCGGTCCACCATCTCGCGCATGTCCAGCTCGACCTCCCTGGCATTCTCAGTCGCACCGTAGAATCGCACTAGTTTAATCGTCTTCCGTTAGTCAAAATATTCCCTGCGGGAGGGGGGTCTGCCGGGATGATGGGAAAATCGTACGGGCTGAGCGCTGGTAGAAGTAGAGGAAACCACCGGCCAGACCGATGAATCCGGCGAGGCGCATGGCCTTGGGGAAACCGCCCTTTCCGGCGTGCGAGGGCGCAAACCTCTCGAGTGTAGCGAGTGCTACCGGAGCGAAAGCAGCGGCTGCACCTCCAGCAACATAATCGGAGGTTCTGGCATATCCGACCACACGCTTGAAATGCCTAGCCGAATAGTTAATACGATACAATCCATCTATAGCTTTCGGTCTATCGCGGCGATTCGGGGAACGGGGTATCGAGGCCGTGAGGGTTGTTCGGGGAGCACATACGGGTCATTATCAATGAGCTATATCCTATTCGTCAGTAGCTGAATCACCCATTGAAGCACCAGTTCCGCCTTGACGTACCGGATATTTGGTCTGGATGGCCTTGCTAGGCCCCGCAAACGTCTGTTTGGTCGTTGTGTCGGCCATTTTGCGATACCTCTGCCGAGAAGGAAGTCCGTCTATCAGATCTCTATATCGTGAAGTCGTAGCATGGACGAATTGACCTTCGGCTAAGGTTAGTCATGTGATGGAGCCGGTGCACGTGCTTTGTCACGTTTTCGCTTATGTAAGCGCCCATTAAACTGTCGACGCGTCTACCGCCAATGAGACGCGTCTGCATGTCTACATGTCGTGATGAGATACGAGATATGACCATTCAGTACAGGCGTTGACATTTCGTTGTTCTTTCCATTCAAATTCATCTCAATTGAAACTACAATCATGTCCAAGACCGCACCCGCACCACACGATGACCTCGACAACTACGACGTGGGAGACTTATCCGACGACCCATTCCGAACACCCACCCCTCCACCGTCTAAAAAGCGAAAGGAAGCCGACTCGGGCCTTGGAATTGACACAGAAGTCGCGGTTCAGAAACGGGCGCGGGTTCCAAATATCAAACTTGATGAGGACAGGTGCGTAGAGGCTTTCACTTCGAAGTTTATCCAACCAAGTTTATGCATCATTGTCCTAACAGACCTATGACAGATTGCTAGGCCCTGCTGGAATCCCGAAGCTACAAACGCGCGCACGGAAGCTGAAGATCAAAGGCAAAGGTCACGAGTTCTCCGACGCCGCCCGACTTTTATCATTCTATCAACTATGGCTGGACGACCTCTTTCCAAAGGCCAAATTCCTCGATGCGCTTGCGATGGTGGAGAAGGCGGGCCATAAGAAAAAGCTCGTGACGGCAAGAAGTGAATGGATCAACAGCGGGGCACCGAAACCGACAACTGCAGCTGATTTTCTGGATCTGGATGATGATGGCGACGCTGGTGTTTCGCAGGGATCGGCAGACAAAACTACCACAGGGGGGGCAAGCATGGAAAGACCGACAACACCTTCAGCGAGAAGGAACGAGGCTGATGACGATGATCTGTATGGGGCAACACCGAGGGCGGCCAGAATAAACGTACCAATCCTGGGTGGGCCCGACCAGCCAGATGATAATGAGCTGGAGGCACTCATGGCTGAAGCCGAAAATCACGACAAGGCGAGAAAGAATCCGGTCGCGGATGACTTGGACGACGAGGACTTGAATGCGTTGATGGCTGAAGCAGAAACCTTTGATGTTGGCCGAAAACCACCTCCATCAAAACCAGTGGCAAACATAGCGAGGGATCAAGAAGACGAGTTTGCTGATGACGAGGCAGCACTACGGGAGATGGAAGAGATGTGGTAATATGAATACGATTTTATGATTTGCTTGAATACATTTCAGACGATAAGGAGTCTAGGTACATCTTCGAGGATAAATTGGTTACCCACGAAAGGAGTCGGCGTTAGGGATTCATACAATCACAATGAACAAAAAGCGATGAAAATAATTCAATCAGAATTTGATTTGCAAGTTGTATTTGTTGATACAGGGGATTTCAATAACCCTTCTATGAAGCCATGTCTCATCCTGGAGACGAGTCCGTTTTACGCCAGTTTACCACCCTCCCGTAGTTCAACAAGTTAGCTCCAATAGAGACCTTCCAAAACGTTGGTCAAAGAAATCGTTTTTTCTCGTTATAATAATAATTTCAAGCCAGTCGGCGACGTTTCGTACTACCGCTGGGATCTTCAACTCCGTATCTCTTCCCCGTTAATGTAATAGTATAGTGTTTAGTTGGTTGGTATTTCCCGTCATTAGGGACGCAACTCTCAGGTCCAAAGACTGCTACCATGCCGTCGCCATCTTGCTGCCTCTTCTCCAACTTTCGGATTTCGACCTTTAAGGCCCATGACAAGGTCATGAGGACTTCCTTGGAAGGCAAAGCAATATTTCTCAAACATTGTGTCAGCTCGCGATCGACTTCGCGCGTCTCCTTCGACTCGTTGAGCAAATCTCGGACCTGAGTCTCGCGTCCTTCAGACACCAACCGCAATGCCTCCATCGTCGCATCCAAAAGAGGACGCGCCAGATTGGGGCTGCTGGATAGGATTTTCCGAAGAGATTTGAGTCTCAAAGTCGTAGATTTGCGGCTCGAGGCCGAAGAAGTCTGCTGCGGCATCGTGGCTCGCTGCCATAAGGTCTGATACTGTGTTGTTCGCTTCGTCGGAGAGGATCTCGTTGATGTCGAGTCCGAATGTAGATTGGTGGAAGAAGCCGGTGGCAGAGTCACCAGCCAGATGATCGTCGTCAAGATATGAGGATTCGGGAGAAGAGAGAAGCCCGCTTTCGAGGACATGGCGATCTGTGTTAATGGCCGCTGACAGGCCGAAAGAATCGTTGAAGCTGAAAGCAACATCATCCTGAGCTGAAGACTGAATGCCAAGAGAGCAGATGTCCAGGTCTGGGACGGGGTGAGAGACTGCGATGTCTCCATCGACAAATGACACGGCAGGTCGCACAACATCTCTGCAGGACGTTGTGTCATGTCGGTGGAGACGGTCTGCTCACCAGCGTTCAGAACTGGGATCTGGCTCTCGTTGGATTGCTTCAGGTCATCTTCTGAGGGCTCTTGCTTGACCTCATCAGACTCCGGTGGGGGAGAAAGTGAGGCTGGGTTGACGGTCTGTTCGGCGGGCTTGATGAGGTCATCAAGCATCTTCATGGTTGGCTCAAGGCCCTGACCGGCCTGAGCCCCAAAGAGTTCAGGCGACAAAGTCAGGTGGTTGTCCTTGAATGTGTCGGTGGAAGTTCGAGTGACGACCCCGGAGTCAGAACGGAAGCGCCTGAGCTCTTCGACGAGCATCAGGTTCGCCTTCTGCGCGTTTGCCAAGAGAGACTCAAGCTCCTTGTTCCGCTTCTCCAGGGCCTCAACCTCCTGTCGCTTGCGCTCTCGGGATGACTGAGCGGCACGACGATTTCTTAATACGCGCTCTACTCGGCGCTGCTCCTTCTCATCCTCGGTCTTGGCCCGTTTCCTAGGAGGCAGATTGGTCTTGGGTTCAGGGAGAACTTGGCCCCATGACTTGCGCTTCTTGGTGGGCTTCTTCTCAGTACCGGGGGATGCTGGAGGGGTTGTGTCTTCCTCCTCGCCCATAGGGTCGGGGCTGTGGTGGTCCTCGGCGGAAGACGTGGGCGTCATCATGGCCAGAGGGCTGATTGTAGATGTGGGTGTGGAAAACAAAGAGGAAAAATTCTCTGCCGGAGCGGAGATGAATGACTCCGCTGGTGAGTTGTCCATATTACTGTGACGATGTGTAACAGCTGAGACTGGTCAAAGTCGAGCTTGTGTATAAAATGTGGATTGGATGGGTGGATGGCTGCTTGCTGGATTTTGGGGAGGGAACTGTCAGGTCAAGGCCACTTTAATGGCAGCATGTCTATTGTTGCATGACAGGCAGCAGTCCATCCAACCTTGGGGTGTGAGTCAGCGCTGGGGCGACGAAGCGAGTGTGTGACTCAATGACGATGGGAAAAGAGACTAAGAAGTGTCTTCTTGATGAGAACAGCGTGTCCTGAGAGCCAGGTGCCTGAACCTAAGGAACGAGATCAGATGTGGGTGGAAGAGGACCTTTAAATGCCACCTGTCCAGATTGTGCCTCCAGCTGAGAAAGTCCAGGGGGCGACCGATCCTTACGTAAGGATGCGGGGCACTGCGTACTTGTGTCACCTGTTCCCACCACTCAGGAGCCCCCCGGCAGCCATGCAGGAAGGAACCTTTCAGGAGGCACCTTCCTTTAGGTTCCCAAAAAAGGGGGGGTGGGCACCGCCATGGCCTCATCCTCCACCCATTGCACCTCAGCGCCCCAGTGCCTCGCATTCCCAGCCCACCCACCAAGTGTCCCCAGCGAGGTTGCCTCTCGGTGGCACATCATCATCCCCCTTGGGACTTTGACTAGCCCGTGCTATTTCTGTAGTCAGAGCTAATAATCCGTCTCAGAGTTCAAGACCGGCGGCCAATCAAGCGGCCGCCAGGAACACCCTTTTTGCTGCTGGCTTACTCAACCCTATCATCAATTACTTCGCAACTATTCTCTTTAAAGAGGCCGTATCTGCGGACCAGAAATTACTTTTCCTGGCAGGAATGCGGCCTCTCACCGACCTCCTCAGCAGGCGTGGCATATACGCGACGAGGTGGATATTCAGGGCAAATGCCTACCAAGATATCGGGTAAATTACCACCAGGCAATAGTGTGTTGTTACCTACCTACCTGATTCTCATACCAGTTTAAGGCGATCCGGACCAAACAACAGAGACCTAAAGGGGGCATGTTCGGTAGTTACGGGGCGCGGGCCACTCGGAAGGGCTCGAGTCTTCCCCTCCCTTCCTTCCTTGTTAGACAAGCCTCCGATAACCTCTTTTCAAGGGATGTCCGATGCCCACTGACGGCTGCGCATCTCACTGGCCCCCAGCAGGGCCGTTGTTCCTACCGACCCGCCCTGATTGGGAGACGTTCCAGGTCGTTTGCCAACGTGTCTGAGGGAGGATACATTAGATAGTCTTCGAGGATGCACCTTCGTGCTACTGTCCATCGTAGTGGAGGGGCTTGAGCACCTCCTGACCGCCATCACAATCAGTACCTGCCTCACGGCTAATCTATGCTGCTACCTAATTACCGGCACCTTACACTTTCGGATGCAGGGGGGCCGCCATGACCGTGGGTTCTCGCGCAAAAGCTGAAGCCTAGAAACTTCCACTCGGAACTTGGCCAGCGTCCCCGCCCAAACACACCATAACAGCACACGCTTACGTACGCCGCAGCATGTTGTGCGAGCCACGGGCATGATAGGCCTGAGCGGCAGAGCTAGCGCCTGTAGTCAGCGCTGGCAACACACTGGCGCTGGGTCCTGATGAAAGGCGCAGCAAGATGCTGCCCAGGAGGTTATGGCGTGCCTCGGATCCAATCCGCGCACCAATACGGTATTTTAGCTCGTGAGTCGGTCGATGCTTGATAAGATACGATGGGACCGTCTGGTGCTGAGCCACCAACAGTTAAGCATTCTGACTGCATCAAGTGGGCATGTTTTATGCATGCATACATGGTATTCCTATTCATAGCACGAGGAGCATCATGATACGCACATCAATCGCTGATCTCAATCCTCCTGTTCCCAGTGTGCTGAGTTTCTGGCTCGTCTCGTTGACGTTCTGGTGCATTAGTTGCCAACTCAAGTCCCCTCCTTTGAAGCCTCTCTAGCAGGATTCGCCGAAGATCATGCAGTGGGGTTCGCGTCCCAGACATGCTACGTGGAGCCTGTAACAATTAATACGGGCTTCTCCATATTCAGGAGTGCCCAATCCTGGTTCATTAGAGCGATCCATCCCATCATCCATCGACCATGAGTCCAGAGCTTTCTACCGCCCCATAGCAGCCAGCCAACCAGCTCGTTGGTGGAGGGAGGAGCGCATTCCTCTAGGCCAGGGATGGATTTCAAGTTACATACAGATTAAGGTAACAACAATGCTAGCGGTAGGATTCAGTTCCAACCAACCTTAGACTACAAACTCTCAGAAGGATAGAATAGAAGGGGTAAAAATAACAATAACAATAAACAATGTATTAGGTGCGCAACACAAGATCTTCAGCACGCAAAGAAGCCCCTGTTTCAACTCCATGTATCACTATTTGGTGCTATTGTATCAATAATCGCCCTTGGGCTAGTAATAGTGAACACCAATCAACGGCCAAGGGCATTGATATCAATCGCGGAGTCCTGGCTCCTCGTCCAAGAATAATCATACCGGATCGAACACCCATTTGGCGGGTTAATAACGTGATGATAGTCTTGCATATACACGAACCTAAGCAATAACTATCGCCGTGGCCACCCACTGGCCCTGTTCGGCCCGGATGATTTGCCAAAGGGCGGCCCGCCCACCAAGCTCCCTTTTCAAGTGAGTCGGAGGACACACGAGTCTCCGATGGCCCCAAGATAGAAGGAAGGACCCCTCGAAGATCCCGCTCGGGCTATTCATTCCATCCACGCGCCGTCTCTCTGGTGCTTAAGTTTGCCAAACACGAGATGAATTAGCATTCCGCCGGCCCCGGGCAACAAAATGTTGATTCTCGTATCCTCGCAGAGTTTCACGGAGCATCCGGCCCGTTTGGTCGTCGTAATTCGCCGTCGTAATTTGATTGATCCATGGCATTCATCTCCGAAGCAACTCCACGTTGCGAGTACGGAGTAGTATGTATTGAATCCAGATTCAATCGGTGCTGCCTGTTCCAGTTTCGGGACCTTCGCTTTATGCCGAAAGGGTCCTCCGGGAACGTGCAATTCATCTTACCGTGGGACCCGAAGGATTTCCACCGTTCAATTTGTTTCATCATTATAACAGGGACTCCCTCACATTTGAAATTAGTTTTACAACAGACACAACCCTCATGGGATTCCTATCAATAATAAGGTAGCACACGAGCAAGATAGGAGTAGCTATAGCCTATTAGTACATATCAGCCGTCTTTCCAGCAATTCCGATATCCCCAAATACAAGCCCTTCACAAGGGATCCCAATTCCCGTTTCGGCCTTTGATGATTCCCTCAACTTCCGAGGTCACCCACCCTCCGTAGAAATCACCTGGCTGCGCCTTGACCTTTTCCCCATCCACAAAGCACTCCCATGGGCCCGCGTACAGTGACAAATAGCCCTTGATGGCCGCGAAGCCGTCCGTGGGACGTTCGTACGACCAGATGCGGTTCGACACAACGCTTCCGTTCAGCGGGGACTGGACGGTGTAATAAGTTGCCGCACCTTTCCACTCGCACCAAGTTTGCCTGTCCGTCGGGGTGAGAGGGATCTTGATGGAGGAAGGCGGGAGGTAGTAAGCTATTGAGCAGGTTATTACGAGTCTTCAATGTTTCGATTTCCCGCGCTACTGTCTTCCCCCATCCTCAGGTCCAAAAGACGGAATGGTCAGTCAGTGAGACGCACTTGGCGGGTGGTGCGTTTCCAGCACCCAGTAGGCATTCTCGGTATTTGCAATTTCCTGCCCTTCCCAAGTGACCCTGATATGTCTCGATACCTGCTCGAGGCGCGGCGGGCGAGGGAAACTCTGCACGTTCAGCTTCTTCGGCACATGCACCATTTTGATTTTTGCTTGGGTAATAATGGAAATACAAATGCCTGGGCCTCAGACTCATAGAGATTATCGAGCTCTCTATGACGAGGCCAAAGTTAGACGCTCTCCTCCTGACATCATGTCGCTACCTTCTGTGGCTTAGCCAGCCTAGAGGCAGAAGTGTGGCTATGCTGCAACCTCTTCAGCCACAGCCCGGAACCGGTGGCCTAGACCCTCCAGTTGCGTCACGCCCCTCCTCTTTATCAGGTTTGCCAGTCCACTCCACATCGCCATCCCTCTATATCGACTTCTCGCTCTGCAGAAAACCCATTCCCATCACCGTCAGACCCCCGTAACAAACCCTTCGCCGCCATCATGTCGAACCGCCAGCTCGCCCGCGACATGCAAGTCGAGTTCCAGGCCCGCTTCCAGGCCAAGCAGGCCCGTCGCGAGGCACAAAAGGCCGCTAAGCAGGATCCCATCCTCAAGAAGCAGATCCAGGAGCTGCTCAAGAAGGGAGAGACCCAGAAGGCCTACCAAAAGGCCAAGATTCTCCTCTCCAAGCAGGCCCTCGCCCAGCAGATGGATTCGGTCGCCGACATGGCCGAGCTCCAGTCGTCGCAGATCCAAGCCAACAATGCGATGAATCGCATGACGCACATGATGGGCCAGTCATCGCGGGTTATGAACGTCGCCCAGAAGAACTCGAACCCCGAGAAGGTATGCATTCCCACTATTTTCGCTTTGGCTTATTTGATCAGTCGGACTAACGCTTGAAACCAGACCCTCGTGACGCTCGAGCAATTCAAGCAGCAAAACGAGGAATACGCCATGTCCAACAGCATATACCAGGACGCCATGACGCAGTCAACGTCCGCACAGGTCCCTGAGGATGCCGTGCATGAGCTGCTCGGCAAGCTCGCCGACGATGCGGGTCTTGAGCTCAGCAAGGAACTCAACCAGGCTACTCCCTCCAACGCCGAGCCTGCCCAAGCCAACGAGCCATCGGCCGAGGAGGAGGACAGGCTCCAGCAGAGACTGCGTGCCCTGCGTGCGTAAGCCTGTACACCTACACTGTGTTTATCGATGGATTGGCGCTGGCATAACGATTACGGGATATGGTTGATTGCAAATGCTTGTTCGGGGTGGTGTTTTCTTTTACATGGGTCGGCGTTGAGCGTTTATTACTATGCAGGGTGGGTTTGGCTCATTCTCTCTTTTGCCTATAGCCGATACAATCTCTCTCTCTATTCCCTGATACATTTCTCAGGTATTACAAATAAAGACATGTCCAAGCTAGCCTACTAGCTACACTTGCAACCAGATAGAATGCAAGATGTTTTTTGAATTCATAACATTCGTCTACATGTATAAGCTTGCCACTGCAGTGATATCCCGTTTGATCATCTCCTGTGCAGTTTGCATCTTTTGATAAAGCTCAGGGTCTCCCACAATCCTGGCTGCATTCTTCACCTCTCTGCATACTTCGTCAAGTCGTGTAATAGTCCTCACAATAGTACCCTCCAGAACGTCAGTCAGGTTGGTGATGTTCTTGAAACTCATCCCCCTGGCCCACTCGTAGACAACCTCCATCAAGCCGAAGCGTGGGCGAGAGGTGAAATCATTGGAATCGTCGGCAGATTGGATAACTTGAAGTCGGGTTTGAACCTCGTTGACCTTCTCAGAAATAGCCACAATGGTCGCTTTACCATGCTCAAGATTGCCAGTCAAGACGGGTTCAACCGTCGTTTTCTCTTGGAATACAAAAGAGGAGAGCAAGGCGGCGATTTCGGGAGGCTCGAAGTCAGCGAGCACATTATCCAGGATCAATTCCGTCAGTACAAGCTCGTCGCCCGAGTGAATCTCGCAAGCCACTTTGCCCTTCAGCTGGATTCTCGTCGCCTCGTCGACGAAGCCCAGTTCCTTGAGCACCTGAACACGTTGTTCGTAGTCAGGCAGAAGCTGCAGATTTTGGTCTGACAATGACTGCTTCAATTGGGAAATGTGTTCTTTAATGAGCCACTCGTCGTGGCACATAGCAAACTGCAGTATGATATTAGCCTTGGTTTTTTAATGTAACAGAGTGGTAGAATTGAGGGGGTGGGGTGAACTCACATGCTTCAAGAAGCCTGGGCACTTCACCGAAGGTGAAGCATCAATAGCCTTGACCAGGTTGATACGCTTTTCCACCATCTCTTGCAGCTGCAGACTCTTGACCTTTCCAAAATCCATTTCATCCCATCTATCGTCCCAAGCAGTACAGATCTCCTGTAACTTCTTTTCGGCTTTCGCGGAGGCTTCACCTCCCTGGAATATTTCCGGGACGATCCCCTTGCTCACCCATCTAGTCAGACACTCGATATCACCCAAGGGGACGTGCAGAGTCTTGATCTTGATTCGTCTTTTCCCTTGAGGTAGCTTGTGTAGATACTTCTTGAATGGCGGAATAAACGGCAACTGATCAGAGGCATCTCGCTTCTCTCTAAGAGGTTTGATGGTGCAAATATGAACAGTTGGTTCGTCGGACGTCCCCTTCAAGCTCATCCCATCACCAAGGAGGATACCGGCGGTTCGGATACCCTCCAAGTTTAATACCACTATTCGGCTCTGGCAGAACATTCGGCGGCCAATGTGAATATTTAACAGACCCCTGTATAGATCGAATGTGAGCTGCTTGTAATCCTGTGCGGCCTGGTGGCAGTCATCCATATGCACGTCGCAGACGGGGCATGACTCTCGCTTGACCTTGGCAAGATCAGCCTGAGCCAGCTTCACATCCTTTTCATGTTCTGGAAGCAATTGTTGGGTTGCGTGCTCGGAGAAACTTCGTTTGATCATCTCCTCAATCTTGAGAGCCTCGACTCGGAGGAGATTAAGAATCATGTTATACGTCAGACGGAATTGTGACCGAAGCTTTGACGGTTCGCCTAATATCATGTTGCGCAGATCTGCCGCTGGGGGTGCTTCATCAGCTCCTGGCGGGACGATAATGACGGACCCAACAGTGTCCAGGCCTCTTCGTCCAGCACGTCCCGCCATTTGCGTATACTCTCCAGGGAGGAGGTTTCTGAATGAGTGTCCATCGTGCTTCCGGTAACCCGAAAAGACCACGGTTCGAGTAGGCAGGTTGAGACCCATAGCAAACGTTTCCGTGGCAAATAACACCTTGACCAGAGTCTCTGCAAAGAGAATTTCGACGATTTCCTTGACAATGGGCAGCAGACCGCCGTGATGAACAGCAATACCACGGCCAAGAAGTTCCCTGAGCCGAATGATCTGAGGTAACTGACGATCCTCTGGTTTGAGACGTGCAATCGATCGCTCGATAATCATGTGAATGTGGCTCTTCTCGGAGGCTGTGCAGAAGTCTTGGTTACTCAGAGCATCGGCATTCTCCTCACAACGCTTCTTGGAGAAGACGAAAATACAGGCTGGCAGCAGACTTTGCTTGCGAAGGAATTGAACAAGGTGGACCCAAAGGTTTTTGTCCTGTGCGGCTGACGAAAATCCTCCCGGACGGCCAGTACGTCCCATATGGCCAGGATTATGGCTTGCCCTTGGAGGCCCTCCTCGTCCTCTTTGTTGGCCTCCGCCCCTCTGCTGGCCTCCGCCGCGCCCACCACGCTGTTGCTGTCCTCCCCTCTGCTGCCCACCTCGCTGATTTCCGCGAGGGTTACCACCTCTCGTTGCGATTGTACTTTGCGCCGGGGCCTCCTTCTCCTTGCCTTGGTAGGCTGAGTGAGCATCCTTCCAACCCTTTTCAATAAATCTCTTCTCGTGATCCACGATTTTATGTATATTTTTCCCAGCCCAGAGGTAATGCTCCAGTGGAACTGGTCTCTTTGGTGTTGAAATCACGTATATGTCTTTCTGTTTCGTTCTACCCACCCAAGAGGCGAACTCGTAAGTGTTTGGCACCGTAGCGGACAATAAAATAAGAGATACATGCTCTGGCAACATGATGATGACTTCCTCCCATACAACACCACGTTCGAAATCGTTGACATAGTGTACCTCATCGAAGATGACAAACTCCACATCTCGAATGAGATCGGCTCCGCGGTAGAGCATGCTCCGCAAGATCTCGGTAGTCATGATTAGGCAACTAGCCTCCGGGTTGATCTGGACATCTCCAGTCAAGATACCGACCTCATCAAATGTCTGCCTGAAATCGCGGAATTTCTGGTTACTGAGAGCCTTGATAGGAGATGTATAGATGGCCTTGGTCATGTGCCTGGCTGCCAGTGCAATCGCATACTCGGCGACGACTGTCTTTCCTGCAGACGTGTGGGCCGCAACGAAGACAGAGTCACCACTCTCGAGATGATAGACGGCTTCTTTCTGGAAAGTGTCGAGTTCAAATGGCCATTCTCTTGCCATGTCTGGAACGAGCTCCCGAAAATTGGTCATCTCGTGTTTAATGTCGACCATATGTGCCCATTCGCGTCCGGCCTTTCTAGCGCTAGATGCTGCAAGGATTCCATGTGGTTCCAACGAAGGGAACTCGACTGGCAAGATGTCATCGATATCGTCTCCGTGTTCCTCCTCCTCAACAACAGCATCGGGCGTGCTGCCCGAGGAGGCATCCTGAGTTCGGCCCTCATCACTGACATCCTCGGGTTCTTCCTCCAGTACTTGCTTGATAGCAGTTGCATCATCCTGGTTCTGCTGTGGCTTCTTAGTGAAGTCTATTCCGCGGTCTAGTCCCGGGGCAATTTCGAGTAGTCGTCCCTCGTTTCCGACCTGAATGACTCTGTCCAGTTTGGCTCGGCCAGCGCTTTCCCCATTTTCATCGATGTCCCCTCCAATGTGGATTTGATCCTCAAGGGCTGCTGTCGCTTCGATGCTATCCAAACCTCCCGGGGCGAAAGGGAAGAAGCCGGCAGCGCCTCTCACGAAATCAGCCCGATTAGCTGGCTTTCTCAGCAAGCTCGTTGAATTCTTGGCCGTAGCACTGCTTGCAGGAACTGTGACATTTTTGTAGCCCGTGACCCTACCCTCGAGCCCATGCCTCAGAAACCGAGTGACAGTGCGAGTCTGTGTTGGTGCGATTTTAAAGAGCGACGTGTAGTCAGTCTCGAATTCCCATCGCTGCTGGAGCCGGTTGAGCCACTCCTCTGAGAACTCAGTTGAGGGCGACAGATACAGCTCCTCAAGCTTACGCTTCAGTTGATCGGGGTCTTTTGGTGGGGCTGATGAAGGCTTGAGCAGACCTTGCCCAGCCTGCTCCTGCAGAATAAGATCGTCGATACCGCCCATGGCTCCCTTTCTTCCTGCCTTCTCTCTCTGCAGGTTTGGGGGCGATGATGACGAGCGGACGAAGTGGATGCCCCAAGCTTCGTGCTCTCAATGCCAGAGGTGGTGACTGTTGAGTGGTGGAGGAGCCCCGCCTCTGGGCCTCACCTCCAAAAATGTACAACGCCAAAGTTCACCGTCACCTACCCTGTGGACAAGCAGATAAACTAATCATTTGCAATGCCTAAGTGGAATAATCATCACCCGCTCAAAGAATGAGTCTACTAAATCAAGACAAAGAAGAAAAGAATCTAAAATATAGTCTGTTTATGGGAACTAATCTAAGCTGGGCGCTCTGTGCTTCGTCATTGAACAAGCTCGCATTACTCGAGTTCAAGGTCTTCTATACCCGATACCCACGAGTCTGACGAAAGAAACGTCTAATCATGAGTTTCTAAACTACAGCAGTAGCAACGGAAACGCGCACTTTCTTTATGCATCTATAGAACAGCACAAGGCAATACAAAAGGCACCCGGTCCTAGCATCCTCGTCTGAACTCAGTTGTGGCAGTCACTAGAAAATTGTTTTTACTTGGACGGTGAATACAAGGAGAAAAAAAGGCATACAAATACAGATCCCAACCCAACCGTCCTGTCTAACAATAAAAAGAGGCTCGAGTTCGTCGCGAAATATGCAAAGAAATCGCTAGTCCGCGTTATTTTCGTCCTCAGAGACTTACCCACTCCGGTTCATTTCCAGTCGCGGTGATTAGTGATGTGAGCCACCAGCGGCGAGAACCCCCCCTGAACCAACTCTCGTATTAGTCTGTAATATGTTCCAACTGTATGTCCACCAGAAATTACAAGTCTACAGCTTGAGGAGCTTGGCGGTGTAGTCCTCGATCAACTTCTCGGTGGGGAAGCTCATCTCCTCCAGCCCCTGGGCGTAGGGAGTAGGGACATCGGCACCAGTGATACGCTGAGCAGGAGCATCAAGATAGTCGAAGGCGTACTCCATGGTCAGAGCAAGAATCTCAGCAGAGACACCGAAGGCAGGGTAGCCGGACTCGACGACGACAAGGCGGTGGGTCTTCTTGACCGACTCAACAATGGTGTTCAGGTCAAGGGGCTTGATGGATCGCAGGTTGATGACCTCGGCCTCGACGCCGTATTGCTTCTTCAGGTTCTCAGCAGCGACCAGAGTCTGGCCAACGCAACGGGACAGGGAAACCATGGTGATGTCCTTGCCGGAGCGCTCAATCTTGGCCTTACCGAAAGGGATGACGAAGTCGTCCTTCTGGGCAGCCTCGGACATGGGGAAGGACTGGCCGTACATCAGCTCGTTCTCGAGGACAACGACAGGGTTAGGGTCGCGGATGGCGGCCTTGAGAAGACCCTTGGCATCCTCAGCGCTCCATGGCGAGACGACCTTGAGACCGGGGATGCTGCCATACCAGGCAGAGTAGTCCTGCGAATGCTGGGCAGCAACACCGGCGGCGAAGCCGTTGGGGCCACGGAAGGTGATGTTGCAGGGCTGGATACCACCGGACATGTAGAGGGTCTTGGCAGCGGAGTTGACAATCTGGTCGATAGCTTGCATGGCAAAGTTGAAGGTCATGAATTCACACTGGAGGTTTCCTGTTAGCTCAACCGAAAACTGTACGCTCTCTGAGGGGGACAACGACATACGATGGGGTGCAGACCGCTCAGAGCGGCACCAACGGCCAGACCACAGAATCCGCTCTCCGTGATCGGGGTATCAATCACTCGCTTGTCGCCGAAGCGATCTAGCAGTCCCTTGGTGACCTTGTATGCGCCGTTGTACTGGGCAACCTCCTCTCCCAGGATGAAGGTCTTGGGGTTGGACTCGAGCTCCTCAGCAAGAGCCTCGTTGAGGGCGTCTCGGACGGTGTACTCCTTAACCCCTGAGCCCTCGGCGTAGGCTCGGGTCTGGGCAGCTCCAAAGTAGGCATTTCGGGTGAGGGCGGCGCGCGAGATCTGTGCAATGGGCTGGGTCACAGGTGCTCGGGGGGCAATTGCGCGCGTCGAAGCAGCCAGGCGAGCTGCAGGTCGGAGGATGCGGGACATGACGGGCGAGGTGGTGCGGATGGAGACTGAAGACCAAAAAGGAGACGAACAGGTCAATGCTTCCACCAACTCAGCTGCAGCTGCGTCGGTATCGAAGGAATGAGTTGAGGATGATGGGCCTTGACGTGGGACACCGGATTGAGGTTGTGGTGTTGAGAAGCTGGAGCACTTTTTTGGTTTGATGGAACCTCACCCAAGAGAAGGAGGGAATTTCCGCAGCAAGTTTTGAAGCCAAAGCTTGATTTGATTGGTGGTGCTACCTCACAGCTTTTTTTCTGCCAGCGGCCTGCAAGTACCTACAGCAGGAGCTGCCACCTGAAGGTACCGTCGGAACAAATCAATCCGAGACCCCCCACTAAGCTGGCAAGCATTTGTTGGGGATCGGCCAATCTCGCCCGGCCCTATCAACCACTGCCAGTGCCACCGCCTGCCGCAATGAGCGGACACTTGACTGCTTGCTATTGCTGCAAGGAACCGGTCGCAGCCAGCTAAACACGGCAATTGTGCGGGCATTGATAGTCCGCTTGACCTGCACGTTCGACATGATGCATCGTTAGGGAGAGTGGTAGTTGATACGTATTATGATTATTAAAAGAAGTCCATGATGGGAATGCATAAATCGTAGGTAGTTTCATCCTTTTTTTTTGGTTCTCAAATAACCCAGATATTTTACCCTTGCCCCTCCCAATTATAGGTATTGGATGCTGCGCCATACATTACTCGAAATCAACGAACATCTAAATGCTTTCACTTGCTCTCGGGCTTGCGTCCAACCATCAGGTACATCGGCGTGAACAGGTGCTCACGACCACCAGCAACTAGACAGTCAGCAGCCAGGGCCAGACTGTCGGCAGTTTTCCTAGTGCCAGCAGGGGCAAGCTTCAGGGTCTCCATGACACCTGCAAAACCGTGGGCGATGGCACGACCCCAGTGGGTCATGCGAACGATGGTGAAGACATCAAAGACGGACTGGATGTACTTCATCTCACCGGACAGAGGCCAGTACCAGGGGAAGGGGTCAGGCCGGTCAGCCATATCCTCGTGACGGAGGAGGTCAAAGCCAGCAGCCTTCATGGCGTCGAGGGCCTCGGAAACCTTGCACATGTTGGAGATACCGTCTCCTTGCTCAATACCAAGACGGATCTCACGGTGGTGGAGGTTATTATTATCATAGTCGTCCGTCATGAGCCACTCGTAGACTCCAAAGACACCGCCTGGCTTGAGGACACGGAAGATTTCGCTGTAAATGCCTTCGAGCGTAGGGGCGTGGACGGTAGCCTCAATGGCATACACGGCATCGAATGAGTTGTCAGGGAAAGACATTTGCTGTTTGACAATGTGTTAGAATTATACTATTACATGAACATGTGGGGATCGAAACCACTTACCATGAAGTCGCCCTTGACATACTTGAGCTGGCCAGAAAGACCCTCCTTGGCAGCATAGGCGGTGGCACGGTCAATCTGATAGTCGTTGTTGTTGAGACCGGTGATGTGAGCGCCAGTGAACTTGGCAATCTCGCGAGCGGGTCCACCAACACCACAGCCAACATCGAGCACCTTCATGCCTTCTTGGATGCCCATGGAGTGGGCGAGGTAGTGTTCATGACGCGCGATGGCCTGGTAGAAAGGCTCACCAGTCGAGAATCGACAGAAGTGGAAAGACTGACCCCAGCCGTACTCATACAGATCAGTGGCCAGATTGTAGTAGCTAGTTAGACTGTTAGTATTTATTGCAAAAGAGAGCCCCTCCATTTGTATCGTAGGATCGTGGAACATACTGTCGGGTCAGAGTTGCATACTCGGCTGTTCGTGCCTAATCAATCACATCAGGAGTCAGTCTCAATGAATTGAAGGGGTGTCACGATTGGAACCTACAGCACGGGTCTCCTCAGTCTCGTCCTTGGCGGCCTTGTCATCCCAATGCTTGAAATACTCGTCAACAGCAGCCTGCTTTGCGGCGCCACCCTTGGCGAACATGGCAGAGATACCACCACGAGCTTGAGCGGATTTGCCGTGCATTGCCTTGTTAAATGCGGCATCACGGCTGTGATCCTCGCGCTCGAGGCCGGATGTGGTCGATGAACCAGCCATGTTGAATGCTTCGAGACAAAGAATTACGAAACCAATTGAAGGGCTAGTGGGAACCAAGGCAAAGAGGTGCGTCGACAGTATTCTCAATGGGTTGAGGAACAGAGATGAAAGGAAAAGAAGCGGGAGAGCCAGGCCAAATTTCCAAACTCTCTGCAGACCGGGAAGTTTCGATCAAACCGAATTCGAGGACCCTCAGCTACCCCTGGATCGCAATTGATAGCGGCATCCAATCTCTGGCTACTCCTTTGATGCGGGCTGGTGGGGGAAAAATCATTTTAGGACTAGATTCGACCACCCCACCATCTGTGTGGCAGGCGGTGTGTTTACTTTTTTTTAACCTCGACCGAATACGAACCCGAGCATGTGAAGGCAGAGCGAAGGAAAGCGAAGCACATTCTCTGGGTTAGTCATCAAGCGTAGAATCTTATCGATTAGAGATATCTAATCGGGTCCAGAGCATCAAACTTGGAAACATCCTCTACTGCGATCACAGCGTGGCAATCTGAAGACTGCATCCAACTACGCGCCACCCGACTTCTTGCCGCCCAAATGCCTCCTCAAATCAAGCAAGACCTCAACCGTTCCGGATGGGAGTCCACCGACTTTCCCTCCGTGTGTGAAAAATGCTTGCCAGAAAACCCATATGTCAGGATCCTCAAGGAGGATCATGGCGATCTATGCAAACTGGTATGTCCTCATAACCTGACCGCTCCAAATATTTTGGCCATCAGATACTAACACTTCTATCTCTCTAGTGCACGCGGCCCTTTACCGTCTTTAGCTGGAATGGAGATCGCGCGCAAGGGCGCAAGAAGCGAACGATGATTTGCCTGATGTGCGCGCAAGGGAAGAACTGCTGCCAGACTTGCATGCTCGATCTTTCCTTCGGTCTTCCGATCGCTGTACGCGACGCCGCTCTGAAAATGGTCGCCCCCGGGCCGCAATCCGATATCAATAGGGAATACTTTGCGCAAAACAACGAGAAGCTCATTAAAGAGGGCAAGGCTGGTGTGGAGGAGTACGAGAAAACGGACGAGAAGGCGCGAGAGCTCTTGCGGCGATTAGCACAGAGCAAACCGTATTTCCGGAAAGGACGAGCAGTTGATGAAGCTGAGGTGGAGGCATCCAGAGCAGTTGGAGGCAACGCGGCAGTCGGGGCTGGAGTGGGCGGACCTGGTCCGATTCGGACCCGAGATACTAGGGCAGCCATCGCGGCAGGCGCGCGGACAGGTGGCAAGGGAAGAAAAGTGTTCCCAAGTGCGGCTCAGCTGCCCCCGAGCCCGCGCGACTGGCAACCACCGGCTGACAAGAATATCATGTCTTTGTTTGTGACTGGCGTGGAGGACGATCTCCCCGAGTACAAGATTCGGGACTTCTTCAAGGTTCATGGGAAGATCAAGAGCCTTGTTTGTTCTCACATGTCGCACTGCGCATTTGTCAACTACGAAACGAGGGAGGCAGCGGAGAAAGCAGCTCTCGCATGCCAAGGACGGACGGTCATCGCAGGCTGCCCGCTGCGAATACGGTGGGGTCAGCCAAAGGCTATTGGAAACATGGACAAGCAGGAAAGAGCGTCGATGTTGCATGATGCGCGCGCGGGCCTCTCGCGGAGCAAGCCTCGCTCAATAGAAGGCGCCTCTGCATCTGGGCAGCAGTCCTCAGATCAGTTAGCTATTGCGGCACCACCATCGGCCATCGCGGCGCCACCTGGCGCAGAGGATGCCCCAGCCTATGCCAGTCTTCAAGGAGAATGAGCAGCAACTGGAGATGAAAGAGAAACTACGTTTGCATATCTTGGCGTTATTTTGGCGTACCGGGTTGGAAGGTGTTGTTTGTTGCCAATGGTAATCTTGAGCGAGCCAAATGGTTTGGAGGGTGTATATAGGCATCATGGGTATCATGACAAGAACTAGGCTACATGATAGTGTTACAGAATTTATACAGTTCAAGACGATGTTGTCTGTGGCTAGGGCCAGTTCCTGTTCATCACTTATTTCGAACCACTCCCCCCGCAGCATCCGCCTCCCGTTGCGACACCAGCGCCAGCCGTCTTGATGCTGTCATTGTCGCCCTTCTCTGTGAATTCGTGTATTCGTAACTCTGGTTGGGACATTAGTTCCATGTGATCCAGGAAGTGGTGGCTGAGGGGCAATAGTACTGTAGTTGTGATCGTTCTCGGTCTCTCGTCTTCCCTGCACAACATTTTCTCTCAAGATGCGCGCGACATCTTGGGCATGTTGAATGGCGGCCGGTCTTTCCGAAGGGTCAAGAGCTGACTTGTTTATGAACTCGCTTCGGATCTGGGATTGAGCTGCGGCGAGGACGGGAGCGTCGCCTATCAGGAGCAGGCAATTAGCGATTATGGCCCTTTCAATGAGGCTGGATTGAGTGGTGTGTGGCGGTTAGTTGTACCTTCGAATGCAAGTCGCGCAGCACGGAGCAGGTGCCTGTATGCTACCAGAGCCATTGTGTCGTTTTCTCGCAACTCAAGGAGCGAGACTGTGGTGGTATGGCAGATGGAGGTTGGCCGGTAGTTGGGCGGAAGAAAATGTGGATGAACGGCGCGGGCTGGATTTTGCAGCTCGGCTTACATGATCCCGCCCCGGCTGGTCACTTTGTACCGGGACAGTGGGTGCCAGAATAACAGGGACTGCAAAGGTTTGCATCCCAGGTTTCCAATATAGGCAACAATATTGATATATAATAGCTAGCAGAAAAATAAGAAGAATTTATCGTGTGATTATTTGGGAATATTGTCTGCTTGTTATTATACCATATGAAGTATTATCATGGGACTGTCTACCACAGTAATTCTGTCGAGGTGACTTTGCAGCCTTGCCACGGCCGAAAGAATGCCTGCAGATCGCACTCTAGCTTGTGCAAGGGTTGGGTCATCAATAATTCTTGTTGCCGAAGGCATCAGATGTTGTTTTCTTCGAAATTATCCAGGCAACCCCCACAAGGATGGCGATTCAACCAACCTCATCTTTATTCATCTACTCTGGGGCACTATTCTATATCTCTATTCATACATTGCACTCTTCCAATTGAAGACGCCGTCATGTGTCAATCAACAAAATGGTATATGAGCAGCCTTCAGCCCAGCTTTATGCCAACCATCTCCTGGAAGAAGAGCCAGACGGCAGGGCAGGAGGCTTGAAGTCACCACTTGCAATATCCTTCTGTGCTTGAATGGACTGGTTGATAATTTCAACAGTGATGTGCTGGCGCTCGACCTCGATATGCTCGTCTTCGACCCCGTCGCCATACCAGACAGTTGCGTAAATATCGACTCCTGGAATGTCTGAGCCGTACTCCTCGCCAGGGACATCGCGGGCGGAGATGTGAAGCACGCCAAACCGGGTGTTGGTACCATCGCGCAGAACTTTGTCACCCGCGGCTTGGAAGGGGAACTCTGGCAGCTCACGAAGCATCGGGTGCTTGGCACGGTTGGGAGGGCTGCTGTAGTCGGAGATGGAAAAGTGGGTTGTGACGCCGCCCCAGCCCTCCAAGATTTCGGACTGGAGGGTTCCATTGAGGTTGGTGGTGCGCTTGACATAGTGCTCTGGGTTGGCGGCGTTGTTGGATCTGTCGGCGAAGGGGCTCTGACTCCAGGCTGCGAAGCTGTATGCCGTCAGGTTGGGGAGGAATGCCACGGCTCTGCCATCGGTGGGAACCCATTTGTCCGTGGAACGATCAACGACATCGTGCCAGAAGGCGTCGGCCTCCTTGATATCGGGTTGCAAGAGCTCGATGAGCCCGTCTGCTCCGATTCGCGTCTTTAGAAGGTTGAGAGTGAACCGGGCAAACTCGAGCTCGTAGTTATCTTTGGGCTTGAGCACCTTAGGTCCAGATTTTATGAAGCGGTAGCCATCAACCACCTCGTCGTATGTCTCTTCCGCAATGGCAACAGTAGCCAGAGAGGCTGCGGAAGCAAGAATAGCGAGCTTGGGGAACAACATGGTGGATATTTCCGTGGAACAAGTGAATGATGTGGCTCTTGATCTTTGCGATTGGACTTCCTGTCTTCGTCAAACGCTTGCCAGATTTAGGCCTCTCTTGCCAGCTGGTGAGGAACCGCCCAATTTATACTTACTCAATACTTATTCAACATGCATAGCAGCACCGGAATGGTGCCATCTCGAGCGTATGAGAAGCTATCGCTTCAAGGTGCACGTTCCGTCACCTCACATTCAAGCTTAATCCTTTTCGACGTTGCGTTCGGTTCTCGACGAATAGGCATCCCTTGTTCATGATGTAAAACCTAGCCAAGCCTCCAGGATCCCTTCCATCTATCGGGCTGCACGCCTTTAGCAATTGAGTTGCCACATGGCTCTCGTAGGAACGAAGGGACTTTGGCATCTTCCGTTCATCGGCTATACGCGCTGGTCCAATTTCCCAGAGAATGTCATTTTTGGCTTGGCCGACCTGGGGCACGCTCTACACGCCTTGCCATTGAGGCGAGAAGGAAAATGTGACATGGATTCGACTGGTCTGAGTTACGAGCTGGTTAACATAGGTAGATATATGTGAGATCGCGTACTTTTAGGGTTCCATACAATCTGCACGGTCATTTCCCTGTATTTTTAATGAGATATCATCTTCCTTATTACTTTTAGAGCTGCCAGTTTTCCACATGCCCATGCTTGATTGCCTTTTGAGGGGGGCTGGGGGAAGAGAGAGGCAAGAATATTTAGGCGCAAAAGTTGGCGATCGAAGTGGTGACGAGCTCAGTTGATTTACTTACTACTATGCAAGGTATATCATGCCTGGATAACAGTGAAATATTTTGGACAAATTTCAAGTCTTACTCACCTATGAAGCTATTGGCGAAGTCTTTTCTAAACTTGTAGGCCAGTATTTCTGGTACCTATTTTTAGTATCGCTCGCACTTATTCCTTCATCGTCTAATTTTACCTACGATCGCCAAGCACCCGCTTTAGCCCGAGCACGATGAGGCAGGAAGAATGGTCTCTTGCACAGTGCAACCTGCATTTAGATTCTTGGAATCTTGACAATGTTTGAGGACCAAGTCTGCTGAGATACCTGCTAGGTAGGTAGGCGCTGGAGACGATGTAGAAAGCGGGTGGGGTGGCATGAGGGTGGGGGAATATTGAGTCTAGGTAAGCCAAAAAAAAAAAAAAAAAATTACCACACAGCGATTTCTCACCACCGCACTGCATTATACCAACGACGGTACGATGGCTTCCTTTGCGACTGTCACATTGCCACTCCCCGTCCTGCCCGAGGGCTGGACTGGAGAGAAAGACTTCAAGTCTCTCGGGCAGCTCTCTGGAGCCGTCGAACGCAGCATCGAGCCCGTCGGCCCTCACTTCCTCGCCCACGCCCGCCGTGCCCGCCACCGACGCACCTTTTCCGAGGATGACCGCATCCAGGCCCAGGAGAAGGCCAAGAACGTCGAGGACGTCGATGATGGAGAGATTAGCGAGCCCGAGGACCCCATGATGCTCCAGCGCGAGGCCAAGGACTGGAAGGTTGGTTCCCCCGCTTGCCCTCCAACTGCGAATTGTGGAGGCTGACAAGATCATCTCGTACAGACACAGGATCATTACAAGATTCTTGGCTTGTCCAAGTATCGCTTCAAGGCTACCGAAGACCAGATCAAGAAGGCTCATCGCAAGAAGGTCCTCAAGCACCACCCCGATAAGAAGGCTGCCCAGGGACGCACAGAGGATGACCAGTTCTTCAAGTGCATCCAGAAGGCCAACGACATTCTTATGGACCCTATCAAGCGTCGCCAGTTCGACTCAGTCGACGAGGAGGCTGACGTTGACCCCCCTACCAAGAAGGAGCAAAAGTCTGGCAATTATTACAAGCTCTGGTCCAAGGTCTTCAAGGCTGAGGGCCGCTTCTCCAAGACACACCCTGTTCCTACATTTGGTGACGTCAACTCTACACAGGAACATGTCGAGGAATTCTACAACTTCTGGTACAACTTCGATAGCTGGCGTACTTTCGAGTACCTTGACGAGGATGTTCCCGATGACAATGAGAACCGTGACCAGAAGCGCCACGTAGAGCGCAAGAACGCTAATGCCCGCAAGAAGAAGAAGGCCGAGGACAATGCCCGCCTCCGCAAGCTACTCGACGATGCCTCTGCTGGCGACGAGCGTATCAAGAAGTTCCGCCAAGAAGCCAACGCAAAGAAGAACGCTAAGCGCATTGCCAAGGAGAAGGCTGAGAAGGAGGCCGAGGAGGCTGCCAAAGCCCAGGCCCAGCGTGAAGCAGAACTCAAAGCGGCGGAGGCTGAGAAGGCCAAGGCCGACAAAAATGCGTCTAAGAAGGCCAAAGAAGACGCCAAGAATGCTGCCAAGAAGAACAAGCGTGTGCTCAAGGGTTCCGTCAAGGATGCCAACTACTTTGCTGGTGCTGGCGAGGCATCCGCTGCTCAGATTGATTCTGTCCTCGGTGATGTTGACCTGGTCCAAGGCAAGATCGACAACGAAGAACTTGCTGCTCTGGCTGGTAAGCTCAACGGTCTCAAGGTTGCCGACGAGATCAAGGGTGTCTGGAGCGGTGAGGTCAAGAGGCTTGTGGGTGCTGGTAAGCTGAAGGACGGCGATGCCAAGAATCTGGCATGAGTTTCTATTAGACCTAGGTAGACCTTGATTACAAGCCTAGAGCGGCTTGCAGTCGATAGACTGCATACACCATAACTAGACTATGCATTTAACGATTTCTATGTCTACTATGGAATAATCTCGTGTGAACTATTGGCAAATGGAGATCCAGTCAGGAGCCGGTCCTCTCCCAAGGAGAGTATTTTCCTGCTGGCTTCTCCCTATGGCAAAAGCAACCCTTACCAAGAACACTATATGCACGAAAATGGAGGCGTGCTCCCACCCATGACAATCGACGCCTAATTGGCGAGTGATCCCTCACACCTCGTCGTCCGTAGTGTTCTGCTGTCGGCTGTCACATGCACCGCCACGACTGTCAATTGGTGCCACACATTGGATGTGGCTGAGCCACTCCGGTGTCCGCGGACTCCGTGTGGGACCTCACCCTTTTCTCACCACATTCTGTGTAAGTTGGTCTGACGATAATATGATCATCTCTTTTTGAGCCGCCAGCCATATACCCACCTACCTCGCTGTAGTTTCTAACTGGTCAGAACTTAATCTGGTTGTTTCTGCCTATCAATCAGATGGCTAGTTAGCTCAAGACTGCGGACATCACCCAAACCCTCACGTGTTCGACGTCACTGATTAACCATTACCAGATAGTTCCTGGGGAACAGGTGAAACCAGTCATAGACCTGCGTTGTTTGGAGGCTGATTAGTGTTCTCAGCCCTATCTTCCTCGCAAGCGGCAAGGCATCCACTGTCCGGCTATGTAAGCCGTAAAACCTATGCATGCCTATATAACCTCAGCCGGGACTTCCAAGTACATCGTCCAAGGGAGAGGGGCTTGCCGTTCACTCCGGAACAGCTCAGTCTCAGTAACTCAAAAAGCACACAGCACCCAGGCCCACGCACGACCGCCTATGTGCAACCTTATATGTCTTGCATCGACTAATAACTAAATACCACCGCTTTCGCTTACCGTCCACGATTGATTCAGCTAAAAGGAGCTGGGTGACCCGCCATGCAGAGTACCGAACAGGGACTTGATCCCGGGAATGGGCCCGCGGGGCCCGAAGATGCCGCATCGCGAAGAGCTGTACGTCCTGATCCCGCCCCCAAGTAAGAAAGGCGGCGCAATGTACTCTTGGTTCCGTTTCGTGCAGGGTTTCCCTTACTACATTCTTAGCTAGTGCATCAGTAGACTAACCATTGACACTCTCCTAGTGTGACCAATGCCGCCTCAAAAAGGTATGAATGATGATCCATCAGCCTCATCTACCAGAAACCATATGTATTAAGTTGTTAACGTGTGTCCCTTTGTTAACTCCCTGCAGATTCGGTGCGATAAGGATTGGCCATGTTCCAACTGCCGTATGGCCAAACGGTCATGTACATCCACGGGCGCTGGGCAGCGCCCAAAGGAGACTCGGCAACGAGTTCTTATATCCTCTCAATAGTATGTATCCGCCTTTTTCGTTCATCCACCCACGTCCTCTCCTTGGCCACTCACTAGTCCCGATTTCTTTGCATCTAGTGAGCGGAAGATCGACCGCATTGAGGGTCGACTCGAGAATATCGAAGCCTACCTGAAGCACATCGCCTCTACACAAAGCCAGCCTGCCACTGATCCGGGTTCCAGAAGTTTGGCACCAACCCCGATAACAGGCAGTAGCATTCCCACCACTGCTTCGTCAGGGGATATTGATTCGAGTGATAACGAGTCTGCTTTTGGTGGTGACTCCGCTCTTACAGCACAGACAGCGTTTGCCAGTGAGTTCCTCGAGAATGCAGTCCAGCGAACCTCTCTCCGAGAGGCCGACCCGTCGATCAAGGCGGCCCTCGCCACTCTTGGCCAGCTTGTCGAAATGCAGAAGCAAAAGTCTGTGAGCCACGGGCCACGCTTCCCTTTACAGAAGCCAGTTCCAGCCGGGGGCGTGACCAAACTCCCCATGCCACCAATCGAAGTGGTTGTGCCGCTTCTAAAGGATGCAAAGAGTAAGCATTTCCATATTGAGTAACGTAACCTTGTGCCCCTGCAGTTTGATGCCAACAGACTTTTAGACACCCCAATGAGCCTCTTCAATTTTGTCTGCCATATTACTGGCTTGCTAGACTTCGATAGCCTTTGCCGCATGGTCTACTTTCCAACCGAGGATATCTCACTTTGCCATTTCATTGTCGTCAATGCTGGCCTCTACAATCTCTTTGTGGAACAAGGAGCTCTCGCCAAGGATCAAGCCCATCAAGATGAGTATCGGGCATATGGACTCTTGTGTCAAGCTAACATGGAGACCGCTTTGGCCAACCTTCCCTTCTTTCTTTCTCCCAAGATCGAGACCATCCAGGCACTTATCCTCGGGGTCAGTACTTCCAACGTGATGGATGGCCTACGTTATCTCAGGATGGAACGCATGAGCATAGTAGCTGACCCTTTCTGTAGGCCCAGTACTCCATCGATGTATCCAGACCTTCCGTCGCCTGGTACCTGAACTCGACTGCCGCTCAGCTTTGCCAAACGGCTGGCTTCCATCGCGCTGAGCGTGTTGCTGGCGATCCCCCTCACATAAAGAAAGTCAAGGCATCCCTGTTCTGGAATATATATACCATCGACAAGAATCTGGGCCTCAGACTTGGCCGCTCCTCCGTCATCCAAGAATGCGATATTAGCATCGAGCGCAGCTTTGACCTCGGCTCTTTCGTCAAGTTGCCAGAAGGCGCGCCCATCACGGACCTATGGGTGCAGACAGCTGCATTGCAAGGCCGCATATATGAACAGCTGTATGCTCCAGAACGACAAGATCTTCTTTTAGGACATGGACTAACCAACACTCTACAGATATAGCCCTAGTGCTCTACAATCCGACCCAGCTGAGCTAGCTAGGAGAGCCCGGGAGTTGGCAGCCGAGTGTGAACGACTAGAGGTACAGCTGACATCCACCCGAGATGAGACTGTTGCCTACCTCAATTCGGTCAATTCATCTGAGATCATCACCTTCTTCCTCAAGGGCGATGAGATCGGTTTCCATGTCACTCTGACACTGGTTTATCAAGCACTGCCAGCCCCCGAGAACTCCGTCAGTCGCTTCTGTGACAAATGCCTCGAGTCGGCAAGAAAAGCAATGGATATTCATAAGGAGAGCATCGGTCTGATGGGATATGGGCCATACTTTAAAGCACTCTACGTCCATTGGTCGGTTTTCCCCCTTCATGAAAAGAAAGCTCTACCCTCCTTCTAGAGCTAACAACTTCTCAGGAGCCTAATGCTAATTCCCTTCGCCCCCTTCTTCATACTCTTTTGTTATGTGATAGAAACTCAATCGCGTACCGATCTAATGATTCTCCACGAATTCGTCGAATCGCTCGGGTCCCTGCGGGACGTGTCCGAGTCGGCAGAGAAGCTCCACCGCATGTTCCAGGTCATGCGGGACGTGGCATCGGTGTATGTCGAAGCCAAGTCACAACAACAGCAAGACCAAACCATGATCCCAATTGGGGACGAGTTCGATATGTATCTGAACCAGCTCGGGTTTATCCCAAATGAAGACCATACCATGAATCAAGGCAATGTGCCCAATGGGGGGCAGGTGCCTGGTCAGGAGCCCACAGGCGACTGGTTCGCTGGCAGCCAGAACATATTCGGGCTTCTGGAGGAGGACCTTTCTCAAATAGACGGCAGCCGCTGGACGCGCCAGTAGGTTCCATGTAGGCAGAGGAATATAGAAAACCGTGTGTGTGTATAATGATAATAACATCGTCGCCATTGCCCAGAGTATGCCAATTTAATCGGTCGGGAAGCGGGGATCATACATCTCGTAGCCTTCGTCTTCGGTATCGCTCTCCGCCGGCGCCGCGCTGACCAGAGATGGTCTACCTGGCATGTCTACGTTTTGGGTAGGCTTGCTCGCGTTGTTGTCTCGAGGCGCTGCGTTGGAGTCCTCGACGGGTGCGAAGGCGCTCTTGAAACCACTCTTTTTGAACCCTCCCTTCTTGAATCCTCCGCTAGAGGTTGTCGACCCAGAGCCGTCCTGCGGCATCTTGATGCTGACGATCCCGTCGGCCTTGGCCTCGGCCTTGCGCGCTCGGCTGGAGGCGTTGGGATCCCGTACCATAGCTTTCATGTCGCGCAGTCGCTGCTTGTGGGAGTGGTCGTAGGAGGATAGATGGGCCTCATAGTCGTTCATGCGGGAGTAGCCCTTGGAGCAGAGCGTGCAGTAGAAGGACTTTTGGGCCTCTCGCGCGGACGAGGTTTGGGCGGCGGGGAGGGTATGATGGCGCTGTGGCATTCGGAGTCAGCTTCACTTTGCACATTGACGTGGCAGGCTCTCTACGTGTATTTTGACATACCGGCGGCATCTTGAAGTCTATGACCAATTTTTGGCAGGAGAGCAGCTGAAAAATCAGCGTGGGGTGTGATGTATGTAGAAGGGAAGCTTGGGAGAAACATCATAGCTCCGCCTAGAAATTGCTACGTTCCTAGCTTCAGGGTAGGTGGTTCAAACGGAGAAATCCTCCAGGTCCCTAATCACAACAGCGAAAACATTGCTCACCGAGCTACCTGTTTCAAAGATGTCTTTTTTTTTTGACACAGCTATTTCCCTTCTAGTCTCTTGCCAAGTCTATATATCAATTTAGATAGTATGAAGCTGATTTAGACAAAGATAGGTATCTTGTAGTGAAGGATAACCATGTAGGTACTCCGGCTATCTCAAATTATTCTTTCGAGTCCCGCAGCTCATTCCCGCTCTCATTGACTGGTATACAGACAATGAACATCAAGCATCCTTGGTCGCTCTTGAACGGACCGTGTTTCATCCCCGGCTTTCGGTACGCATATGCTCCGGCAGTCCATCCACGGTCAAGCTGAGTGTCGTACAAGTCGCCTTCAGCTAGATAAATTTCCTCAACATAGTCGTGAATAAAAGGATGGGATTGAGCATTTGTAGCTCCGGGCTCCCAGCGTTGAAGGGTAGTGCGTCTGCCTGTGAGGGGGTCATGGTTGAGGAGGAGTTGGGTTACACCAGAGTCAATGGTTTCCCAGGTGCGGCCTGGACGGGAAGTAGCATCATGAAACTCAAACTGCTCCATCTTGAAAATGTAGTAAGCGCATGTATTCGCAAAGTGAAAAACTGGATCTTGTCACACGCTGAGAGAAGATGTGATCGGAAGGCACTATACCAATATATAGACCCCCGCTTACCTCTACCCTGACTGGGCCTCTGACGAAACAGCCTATCATCCAGTCGCTGATATCATCACCCTACGGATCGGACCCTTTCCTTGGGTGGGATCTTTCATACCCCATGCAGCCCATCTCAGCAGGGTGTAATCCCATGATTTCTAATTCAAGCTTAGTTATATTTCAAAGATGACAAATTCTTGATATTGCGTCATTCAGGATGCAAGTGGAAAATTGCGTATTTCACAGCCCTGTGAAATCAACCAACTACTATTTGATAGATCAAATAGTTTTGATACCCTTAAGGTAGTAATCGGTGTAAAAACAAGTTGATGGCAACTAAACTGGAAATTTCTCACCCAAAAACGAATATTACTAATTCCGAGAAACCGATGGGCTGAATCTCTTTTGTTTCCGGGGTTGCAATTGTCCTGCTGAGTAGAATCGCCCAGAGTTTGAAGTTTTGAACAACAAGACCCGAAATACCAACTAGACTTACAACCCCAGGGTTGGGTTCAAATTTTCTTCCATGCCCCTCCAAGTCCAAGAGGTCGAAAAGGCCGATGTGCCATTGCTTGAACCTCTGCGAGCGGAAGCTTTTCAAAGCAACGCAATTGAGCCATTTCTTTTCCCACGAACACAACAGGCCATGAGTGCGGAAGAGATCTCCAACAAAGGACGAGAACGGGCTGAGCGGGTAATCAAGGAGTGGGAAGCGAACCCTTTCATGAAAATATTTAAAGTCATCGATACGGATCTTGACAACGAAATGATAGCCTTTGCTATGTTTCTTGTGTATAGGAACGAGGAAGAAGCAAAGGAAATAAAGATCCGACACGCTGATGAAATTGAAAGTCTTTTTGGTGATAGGGTCAATCTTGAGGTCGCCAGGGACTTCTTGGGAAGGCTATGGGAAGTCAAGGCTAGGCTAGTAGGCAAGACTCCTCATGTCCAACTGATGCAACTAGCAACGTCACCGAGGCACCAGCGCAGAGGTGCTGGCCAGCTTCTGGTTCAGAGGGGGGCGGAACTTGCTGATAGCCTGCACTTGAAGAGCTTCCTAGATGCAAGTGAAACCGGTGAGAAACTCTATAAGAAGTTGGGCTACACGGAGGTCGAGGTGCTCGAATTTGACATACGGAAATGGGGAGGTGATGTCGACCCACAGCGCATGAAATTCATGCAACGCGAACCAAGGCATTGATGCAGCTTGGATTGCTAGATGGTCAATCTAGGTAGTTATCTATAAGAAGACATCATGAGAGTCCGCCGCAAAGCAACTGGGCATTTACTTAGTGCTGACGACGGTGGAAATAGATCAGATAGCACCCCAGCATCTTTCTCCTCGTCGTGGGAAGGAGAAGACTCTAGGGTAGGCTATGCATGGGTACGGCGCTTGTGTTAAGGTTAGATGTAAGCTGCTGGTAATGCCCGTCTCCCTACCTAATTCTATGGGGAGACGCAAGACATCACGTGAAGTTCCCCACACCGACAGTTAAATGAGTTGGCAAGCGGGTACAATGGGCTCATAATGGGGGCAATCATGATATTCCCATGTTGATAGCTGTCTGAGGAGAAGCGGAGGGGAGTCAGTCGGTTCACCGAATAATCACGTCCTCTGTTCAATTAATTACTTATAGTCAATGCGGTGCATGCGTGTTTCCCAAGGCCACCTCGCTCGGCGTGTTTGATAAGGCCCAACAATTGAATTGATTGCGGCCCCTGTCCAGCCCCCACTGGTGAATGGTGTGGCTGGATTCATCAATCCTCATTTCCTCCCTAACCTCCTGAGTTGCCATCAATCGCACACCAAAGCTGGCAGAATAATCAATGGCTATTCAATCGCTCAGCGCTCCCTACGAGTGCACTCCCTTCTCCTCCAATGCCCCAGGCTCGTGGCTGCGTGAGACATCCAACCATGTCCCACGGTATTTATTCAGGGTCTACACCCCCAACTCGGGCGGTCTCACGAACCGAAAGTGGGCCATGTCCATGGAGGCTGCACATGAGCGCCAGTCTGAAATCCCCGTGGATGTCTGCAGCCGCCGCGCCAGTGTAATCGCCGATGAGCTTGCGGATCACCTCCGCTGGACATATCATCGCTCCTTCAGCCCCTTTGTGTCATGGACAAGCTCACTCTTGGTGGCTATCCTATACATGTTCAACCGTTATAGCACGGATACTAATGGCGCCACACTCAATGATATTCATCTGTGTATCGTGGATACCAGATTATTCCCGAAAGGAGTTTTCCTTCGAGACATGGATTTGATACGCCCGCTGAGCCCCCATAACCAGCGGTTGGCACGGCTCGAGAACCTCCGCCTGGGAAATTACGGCACAGCACATTACAATGGAGAGTTTCTCTCCCAAGGGTCCCTGAAGATCCAAGATAGATGTCAAGTTGTTACTCTTCAACAGCTTATTGCCAGTGGCTTGTTTGATCTACAACCGAAGTTCATTACTTATCTCGACTGGAGGCGCGAGGAGAAAACACCATGGTCGACTGCCATCCTAAATTATCGGTCGCTGTTCACTCCGGGCTTCCAATCCGATCTGCCTAGTCCCCGGGCGTTGGATGCTGCCCTTCGTCTCGGAGGCCTTTTTGAAAACCACCTTGGGTTTCGATTCTCCATGGCAATGAGCTTTCTTGCTTTACTTCCGCCGTCTCTTCTGGATACCCGCTTCCTGGACGCAGTTCAAAGAAGTAATATTTATTGTATGGCATTCATATATTGATGTTAACATGATTTTGGGTATAGAATTTGCTAACTCTTATAGTTGAACTTCCTCTAGAGGAAAAATTGTCAAATGTTCGAGTTTTTACACATCAAGCCTTGGCAGAGGCTAAACGGTTTCAGGATATTCTTTTCCTTATTGATCGCGTAAGTATTGCCCCTACCCCCATGAAAATTAACCACATAGTATCACCCTCGTATTTATTCTTATTCTGATATCATTTCTAGCAACTTGAGCCGTTGAGGGATAAATATTTAGAGCATCTCGAGGACACCGAAATCGAGGAAGTTGCGCAGTGGTTTGCATACTACTCTCAACGTAATTTAGTGACTAACAGCGTGACTTCTATCCGCCTTTCGGATTGAAGAATCTTTTTTGTTCGGGAAATGTTGGGCAGAGAGAATCATTAATAATTACACACGGGTCTGTCCTTGATGGATATGCGATCGGAGTGGTTCGAGGTCTACTAGATCCGATGGAGTGGACGGGAATGCATGCCACAGTCGATTCGAAAAGGTACATAATAGCGAGCATAATCATATTTACATAGAGTCGACCAATAGCTGAACGTCAAGCCTGTGGAGGGTTGCTTTGGTTTGCCCTGATTTTAATTGAAACTATTACTGGATGATTGATCATAACAAGTTAAGGTAGATGCAAAAAGGAATTCGATATCACTTATACATTAATGCGATTGTACGCACTTTCCTCAAGAGGCTGTCCGGAATTCATTAAGAAAAAGGTGGGAGTAGAGAATTATATATGACTGGATTCAGAATTGGACGAGGTAGAATGCCTGTTTATGTAGATGGTTGGCCAGAACCTTGCATACTTCTTTAAATACTTTGGCCAGAACTATGAGATGAATTTATCTAATTGTGAACGAATTAGGATCCCGTATAGAGAGCTGGGACATCCCTATTGAATTGCATCACTGAATATATGGAGTAAGAGAAAGTACGAGCAACGACCTGTAAGTCAACAACAGAATGTATCGCCCTGATGATCATAGATCGTTCTTTAGAGGCGCCCCGCAGCTTTCGAGCTTGGTTGAAAACCGTGGCTACCATCCTGTCAAAAATATCTCAGCCAAACAACCTGTCGAGAGCCCGTTCGAATTTACCGCTTTAGAGACGTTAATAATAAGTTCGAAGTGGTCTGCGGAAGGTGAGGCTTACTCTGGAGTCTGTGAAACAACGTTCCGCTCATACTCGTCGATCACATCCAAATCCTCGCGAAGGTTGACATTATGAGGCTTATGGATTGTTGTCTTTTGAAATAGCTTCCAGCCGATATAAAGAGCTGGGAATACACTGATCATGGTATATCTGAAGTCGATTAGATTTCCTCAAACGGCACGGCTAGGTTTGATTACTCACGAAAACAAGAAATTTGGGACGTCCCAAAATCCAGAAAGAAAAACAGTATAGCCCTGCACAAACATCATTACGAAAGCCCCAGAAAGACCATACCATGCACCGAATGGCATAAGCTGGGCTTTGAAAGGGGGTGAATCACGACTTATTCCTTGAGCCTTGAGAGCGCGTGCGAAGTATAGGTAGGTGACGCGAACAACACAGAAATTGATGAGCTGAGACGCGGTCACGAGTGAAACAAACCAGCTGAGAACCACTGCAGTGTTAGTAGAAAGCTGCAGGAAGGAGAGTAACCCTATTCCCAGTACGACACCCACGCAATAAATAGGGACGCCGTCTTTTGTACAACACGTCAAGAAGTGAGGTGCCTTATTTTCAAGTGCAAGGCCATAAAGTGACCTGGAGGCACAGTACAAATAAGAATTGCCTGCAGAGAATGCGGATAGCAATACCATAGCATTGACAATATGTGGCAAGATTTTGATGCCAAGACGATTCATGGCCACAACATAAGGAGATGCTGCTGCACCAGGCTCTCCAGTTTTGAAAGCTGCCGCCATTTCCGGGTCGTCGTACGGAACCAAGATGCCTACACAGAGTGCTCCGAGAACAAAGAAGGCGGTCAGACGATAGAAGACTGCGTTGAAGGCTCGAGGCATGGTCTTCCGGGGGCTCTCAGCCTCACCGGCCGTCATGGACACATAGTCTGGGCCAGCAATCAGGAAGGCTGCCTGAATCAGACAGGAGAGGAACCCTAGCCATCGGCCTAAAGAACCCTCGGAGTAGAGCTCTGCAAAGGCGCCTGGTGTATGCCAATATCTGAAGCCAAACCTATCGTGTTGAGGATTTCCACCCACCATGACGATAAAGGTGAAAATGATGAGGCCGATAGCTAGAAGCACTTTGCCAAGTGCAGCCCAAAATTCAGTCTCACCATACCACTTGATAGTCAGGACATTAATCAGAGCGTAGAGCACAAGAACAATTGCAATCACTACAGCTGTTGGAATAATGTCGCTCCAGTAATGGATCGCCAAGTTGCATGCAGTAACTTCAAACGGAACCAGGACAGCCTCAAAGATGAAGAAATTCCATCCAGCAGCAAAACCAAGCGCTTCATCGACGAAGCGACCTGCAAAGCGAATGAATGGCGATGAGATGGGCAGACAAGTAACCATCTCTGCCATACACATCGTAATGGCAAGGATAAACGTGCACCATAATGAAAACGCTATAAACAGGCTACCTGGGCCACCATTGATAAGGCTTTTACCTATTTGAACCTGCAGTTTGCATTCAAAGTCAGCACTTCAGAAGTAGAAATGAAGCAAGGGATCAGGGAAATCTCTGGGTTTGAAACGATTGGATTTCATGGATCCGGTTTGGCCCCGGGTTTTTGCGTACGTAAAGTGCAGTACCAATGGTGCCGCCAATGCCAATGAACTGGATATGCCGTGGCTTTAACATGCGACGAGTTCCATCATGATGATAAGCTTGTGTGCTTCCAATTTGTTCAAGAGAGGCCCTTGAGCGGACATCTTTCTCCCCTGACATCTTCAGGCCCTTTTCTGAATTGTGAGGAGGTTCCATCGCTAAACTTAGGCGGTGCAAGTAGGGGGAGAAGAAAGGATCAATCCGAAATGCCGAAGGAAATATTGTGGCTCTGATACTTCACACAAGGTTGCGATGTTGTCTATTTTTCGGTTTATGGCTGGCTTTTCAGCGTCTGTAAGTTGATAAACAGGTGATTCAATAGCACTTTATGAGTGAAAGTGAGATTGCGAGAAGAGCGTTAGATACTCTTAGGCCCGGCGAGTGGTTTGAATTTATAGTTACATGGACTTCATTATTTGACTAGGCTGAGATACAAACCGTCGACTGTCCCATCGCGAGGCCTGAGCTGTCGTAGCCGTTCGTAGAAAATGGGACCCCTTTGTTGTGAGCCTATCATATCATAGAGATATGGCGCAAAAGGTATCCAAAAACGGCTAGACATACTTGAGACAAGGACAAGGTTTGGGGCAATGATAACCTTTAACCATAGGATGATAGGGGAGGTATGGGTGGATTGCGGGAATAAGGGAGAGAAACATGGGGCACGTAACGAGATACTGAGACAAGGAAACCAACAGCCGGCCCCGGAGAACAAAATACTTCTAGCCTCTTCAGAAAACAAGATAGTGTAGATAGATAGCATATTTATGGGAGGAAGCTGGATACTGTCATCCACCTGTGGGGAACCTATTCGCAGAGATATAGTCTTCTACTGTTTTGATTGTGTGTCGTTGCTTGATTATTAGGCTGAGAGGGGCAAGCCACTTTGGCAATATCTAGTAACAAGGAGGGTCCCATACACTATAATTTGTAGGTCTACTCGTCGTTTTGGGACGTAGGCTTGACTTGTAAATCAAACAAACTCTATTGCTCATCCAAATACTACACACGTATATGAATATACCACTTATCACAATGGATATCAACTTCGCTTCGAGATCTCCTTCTTAGTGATCCAGCGGTCGAAAAGGGTGGAGCCAATCACCAATCTAGTTTGTCGCTACTGCATTGCATGGCTTGACATACTGAATGATTCACATTAGAAGCGGCACTCTATGTTCTAGACAGATGGTGGTATTGATCTTACTTTGTTCAGCCTTCAAAAAAGCCGCGCTTCGGTACTGTTGCACTGTCGCTGGCTTGATTTCTGACCCTTCCACTTCCTCTTGCTTGAGGTGTTTGGACACAGTGTTCGCGATTTTGGCGTAATTTTCTGGAAAAAGGATCAACAACCGCTTCTAGTTTATGTCTACTGGGGAATTTCATACCAGTCAAGTTTCCTACTGTTGCGTCTTGGCGGAGAGCTTTCCTATAGATATCCTCATACCGTTGGATTGTATGATTTAGCTCTGCTTCTAGAGTGGCCTTGATTTCACCTATTTGTGAGATCTCTGACTGCTTCGTCGAGTACAGTTCACAGCGCAGTGTTGTTGAGGAAGTAGACCCTGGTGAGAGGGTTATCTGGTACCAGAAGGGCCTCCCACTCTTCGTGTGAATGGTCGTTAGAGGAAAGAAGCGTAGTTGCCCCGCGGGAGTAAGTCCGTGGGTAAATAAGGCCCGAGAAAATATTCCTGAAGTCCCTTGGCTCGAATTGGGAACATCATCCCCGTTTCCCAGTGGATCTATATATTTTGTTATTAACGATCTCGGGAGCGACACAGATTAGGCATTGTAGTCTACCTGCTGCCTTCCAATTGTACTTTCCCTCTATCTCCCAACCATGTAGAAACTGTGAGGATGGACTCACCCGGGCAGGTCGCCCAATCTTCTCTGGTTCCTGAAGGTTGTTATCCACTGAGCTCTGGTCTCCCGTTAAGTTGATGTGGATAAAGCCCGAGCCATCTACTTTGGTATGGATTTCGAACAGGCTATTCTTGCTCTTATCAAAACCTGGAACATTGTCAAACTGAGGAGCTTTAGTGAGTTCTCCCTTGGTATTGTAGCTCCAGCCATGGTATTGGCATCCAAGAACCATGGCTGACCCAGAAGCTTTTTTTGCCACAGGAAAGGCTCGATGGCGGCAAATGTTATGGAAGGTTCTAATCTGCTCATCTTTGCCAAGGATGATGAAAACTCGGAAACCTGCAAGCTCATACGCAACGTAGTCCCCAGGTTTGGCAAAACGCCCTCGGTGGCTCACACATATCCATGTCTGGCCCTTGTTAACCAATGCAGAGCAATTAATGGCTACCTTATGTACATACCTTGCTGAAAATGGCCCTCCTCTCTGCCTGGAAAAAGGTCTCACTCGACCACCATCCTGCTGGGGGACCTGTGAGGCCTCCTTTCTTCAAATCCTGTTCATCAAGGAGAGGTAAGAAGCTGCGTTTGGATACCAACAGCCAAATATTCAAAGATGCCGATCCCAAAAAAGCAAGAAAGAGGTAAATAGGTACTTGAGGGGGCAACGAAGAAAAGTCGACAAGATCCAACATGGTGAAGGGTGATCGATAGTTGCGAACAATGGAGGAGTGAGTATGTGTTTCTGATCCCGCAAAGCTATGGCGGGCCAGGAAATGAAGTATAATGCATCGGCATCTCCTTTCAACTTCACTCGTGCGATCACTGGAGATTGGGGCGGGTCGCATTACTGGCTTGTGCTATGTTGTGATCAAGATGGACCATTTCGACAAAGAATTCTGACCTTGGCTCGGCATTCCGGCGCTCACTCCGGCGTATTGCTTTTCCCAGATAGGCACAATCCCGCTCTCTGTCCTATCTCGCGTCCCAAAAGCACCAACGTCGCTGCCCAGATCAACATCGCTTTCCTGTAATAGGTAAAATAGCCTTAGACCATGGACACCCAAGTAAGTTTCAAATTGCCCCAAGGGCTGATTGAACAATACACAACCAGATACCAGGTTTCGACACATGCTTTACATCATTCGTCAGACGCTGGCGGATCAGTATTCCTAATCGAGCAGCCAAGAACCGGTGTGGACTCAAACTCTCCATCAAGACTAGCGGCATGTGATGGCAGCTTTCATCAGAGGATGTGGCTTCATGAGATACCTCATGACGATCTATATTGATATCAGGTCCGATTGTTGCTTTGGGCTAGAACCAACCCACTATTTGATGCAAATTCCAGGTTCAACTCCCTAGAAAGACGGCTGCCTGCCCATCAACGCTTCCCGCTTCTTGGTACACTTCCAGCGACCTCTACACTTTAGAGCAGCGCGCCGTATTTTACAAGGTTCGCTACGCCTTGTTTACTATCACATAGGACTGCTGCTAATAACTTGTTTTCAAGTCATGGACACTCCTTGGCCCTGTGACCAAGTGGCCTAACGTGGGAGAGGATTATCCCAATGAGAATAGCCCAGGTCAAATTTATCGTCCGTCGTGCCTCCTCCGATTGGAGAAGCCTGGAGGTCTTCTCTCGCGATGTAGGCTGGATGCAACCATGTGCAGTATTATGATATTACATGCATGCTGACGAGCCTCCCACGGCTCAGAGATGCGCAGTCATTTGTCCCCTACTGGCCTGCTTTTCTTGATTCTTAGATGAGGCAGTTAGCTTTGAAGATTTTTCCCGGATCTTGAAGAGTTGATTGCAAAGGCAGATTTCACCCAATATCCACTTAGACGACCGCTCAAGTATACAACCAAAGCTAACTGGAAGACGATGGTGGATGGATATTAAGAGTACCTTCTTCACTGCGCCTACACCCATCCCGCCTTCGCCAAGGTCTATTCGCCCGTCGGCTACAAGGTGGTCAATCACAAAAATTACTCTCAGCATTTTACATGTACTGAAAATCCTCTTGATGGTCTGTTTATCTACATGTTTCCTAATGCCACTTATGCCTTATCAGGGGCAAAAGGAATTAGCTAATAAGGGCGTGTGGATAAGTAGGCCCGGTATATAAAGCTACTATAATAAAATAATATTATAATCTTAAGAGGTTTTAGAAAGATTAAGAGCTAATTTATCTATTAGAAAGATATCTATTATTATATAGCTATTTAATTATAAACCTATTACTAGTTAGTATCTATTTATTTTTACTCTTTCTAGTATATATTATTATTTATCTAATAAGTTAATTCTTTTATCTCTTAGAGTATAAAAACTATTAATAAGTAAGATAGCTACTATCTAATAAGAATTATAAAAGTAAGATAATAAAAGATTATAAGAAGAAATAAGTAATTTTATAGTAAAGTCTTTTTAAAAGATTATACTTATTATATTTTAAACTTTAAATAAATTTATTATTCTAGATTATTAATCTATTTAAGTATTATTTTAAACTCTAAATATATATACTCTTAATTATAATAAAGATAAAGAGTATAAATATATTATAATTAAGATATAAGCTTATAGTAAATAAATAATAAGAAAGCTAATATTTATTAAAGAAAAAAAAAAGCTATAAAAAATAGAAAAAGAACTTAAGAAGATAGAAAATTATATATTTTAATTCTAAGTTTATAAATTAATCTTTAAAAAGATAATCTATAAACTAATACTTTTTAAAATATTATTTTTAATAATATAATAATAACTCTCTAATAATCTAATTATAATCTTTATATAAATTTTTACTAGAAATTAGAAATAAAATCTTTATTTCTATAGAGATAAAAATTAGACTAACTTCTAGATATATAAATTAGATATTAATATCTATATTAAAATACTATATAAACTATATTTAGTCTTTATTAGTATATAGTAACTTTATAAGCTATTATAATTTTCTTTAAATAATCTATAATAGTATTAGATTAACTAACTTATTATATTCTAAATATTATTATATTAATCTTATTTAATTTAATTTTTCTATTTAATAAACTTTTTAATAATTTAATTTAATTTAATTTAATTCTCTTCTATCTAATATTACTAACTAAAATAGATATTAAACTTAAAAAGCTATCTTAATCTAGATTAATTTAATCTAGTATATTACCTACTAGAACTATATATAGTAACTTAAGTTATAATAATAATTAAATATTAGAGGAATATTATTATAATTCTCTATAAGTATATTAATAATTAGATCTATTTCTATATTATTACTAGTTATAAGAAGATAGAGTAATAGTTCTAGTAGATATAACTACTAAATCTATATAAGAGAGAGTAATTTTATTATTATAAGTAAACCTATAATAAATTATAAATTTAAATAATTAATATCTAAAAAGAGATTCTAATAGTTCTTATTAATAATAACTATTATATATATAAAGATCTGATTACTTATAATAATCAGACTCTAGCTATAGGGAATAATAATATTAGAGATATCTATTATTATAGTTATAAGAAGAGATAGTTAGTAATAGTAATAATAAGCTTAGAGAGATATTATAATTAATTATAAATAATAAGTATTCCCTCTTAGAGTCTATAGCTAAATTATATATTTAGTAAGCTCTTTTTAGAGTTTTTAAAGATATTATTATCTTATCTTAGCTTATATAAATAAAAAAGTAAAAAAAATAGAATTAAAGATTAAATATAGATTAAAACTTAGTTAAAAATAAATTATATAGAGCTAGTTATATATAGTCTGATCTTAGAATATCCCTTATATATAATAAAAATCTTTAAAAAAAAAAAAAAAAAAATCTATATTAAGAAAAACTTATTATAGTTCTCTATAGAATATTTAAAGATATTACTAGTTTATTATTATTTTAAGAGTAAACTATAGTATAAACTTATATAAAAGAGCTTTATAAATTAAAATTATATCTCTAATTATATATTATAAGGATTTTATAAATTTCTTAAAGAAATAATTAAAAACCTAGTTATTTATACTCTAATAACTAAATTAAAATTAGTTAGTTTAATCTAAAAACTAGATTAGTTTTTTAAGAAATTTTATACTAAATAGAATACTATAGAAGCTAAACTTATTAACTAGAGCTTAGATTTAAACTAGATTATTTAAATAGTTTTTAAGTTAATAGAATCTCTAAAGTAATAGCTTATTAATAATAGTCTTTCTATAGAATAGAAGGATTTTTATAATAAGAGAGTAATTACTAAGATTATTCTTAAAGCTAATTATAATTCTCTTCTAATAACTAATAGAATAAGATATAATTATTCTAGATAATTAAGCTTAATAAAAAATATTTAAATTAATAATAATCCTATTATAATCTAATAGTAAAATAACTTAGAAAGTTTAAAAAACTCTTAATTCTTAGACTATTATAAATATACTAGAAGATTATAATATAGATCTATTATTAATTAATATAAAGATATTAATTATAAAGAAGAAAGAGAAAATAAAATCTTTTAAGATTTCTATAGAGAATATTAATAGAAATCTAATAGAGATCTTTAGAATATTAAATAAGATTATTAAAACTATTAATAGTAAGGGTTATATAAAGTATAAGTAATTATACTTTCTTATTATAGATCTCTAGATAGAAAATATTATCTTTAGTTTATCTTAGTTCTAAAAAGTAAATCTCTAGATATTAGATTAGATAATAGATTATTAGATTTATCTATTTAAAATATATAATAATAATCTTATAAAGATCTTAAAATATACTTAATAAGTACTATATATAATCTAAATAGTTATTACTCTTATATATTATAACTAAATAATCTTAGTAGATAATAGACTAGAGGAAAAACTATTATTAGAATAAAATAAATAGTAAGTTTATAGAGTATTAATTATAATTAGACTATCTAAAAATCTTAAGAACTTTAGAGATATCTTTTTATTAGAAGAAATAAATAAATTAGCTTTATTATATAGAAAAACTTATACTATTAAATTAGAAAATAGAAAAAACCCTCTATAGAGCTTAATTTATAATCTTATTAAGAAAAAACTATAAATTCTCTATAAGTATCTTATAAATATATAGAAAAAGAGCTAGATTTAATACTTTAAGAGCTTAATTAGTATCTCTATTCTTTTTATACTAAAGTCTAATAGTAAATTATATTTTTATATAGATTATAAAAATCTTAATATAATAATTTAAAAAAATAAAACTTTATTATTACTAATTATAGAAATTCTTAATTAGCTATAAGATATAAAGAAATATACTAAGTTAAATATAAAGAATATATATTATTAGCTATATATTTATAAAAATAATAAATAGAAAATAATTTTTTACTATAAATATAAATACTTTAAATATAAGATTATATTTTTTAATCTAATTAATACTCTAATTATCTTTTAAAAGTATATTAATTAGATTTTTAAAGACTTTATAAATAGGATTTATATTATTTATTTTAATAATATTCTAATCTATAGTAGTAATTTAGAAGAGTATAAAAAGTATATTTATAAAATACTTACTAAGCTATAAAAAGCTAAGCTATATATTAATCTAAAGAAATATAAGTTTAGAATTAAAGAGATTAGTTTCTTTAGCTTTATAATATCTTTAGAAAGAATTTCTATAGAGTAAG